TTAACCAGCCAACAAACCAACAAACAAATCAACTCATCAGCCAATAGCCGGTCAACTAAACATAATTCAAACTTACAGGAAAGCATGTTGGAGCAACATCCAAATAGCCCGCTATGCCAATCCCGTTCAACAGCATACCGAGTCTGTAAGAAATACCACCGTTAAAACGTGTCAGTTTAACTTTTATTTCTTTTAATGATATCAGTGTCCTGTATCTCGTATTAGAGAAGAAGGAAAAAATGTGCTCTACAAGAGAAAATAAATGTTTACCCAACTTCGTCTCACATTCACATGATTGTCGTTACAACATTACTGCGAAATTATTGGTGAAAGTATAGAATGTCAATATGAGTCGAATGTTCTTGCAACAGTACAATTAGCTTTAATAAAACGTAAAACTTGATTGGTTCGATGGGTAGGATACATTTCAGGCCTACCCCTACATTAAACTTGGGCCCGTCTTATAAAGAGAGGATATTGATCGCAACTTATTTGCGGTTGACATAAAATAGGGGATAGCAAATATAAGATTGATTAGAGGACTTGCGATTGATTTGGACCAATCGCAACTCTTTATAAGACGGGGCCCTGTGCGGTGCAGCACGAGCCCAAAATTAGATAATGGTAGCTTTAGGAATATTACAAGGAGAAATTAACCAGCTTTCAGCGATAATAGATGCAACGCAAATAATAGACAAACACAAAGAGGTATTATCAATCAAACTCTGGTTTCTGATCTATTTATATATTTTGTTTTTATAGATTTTATAATCATATATCCCATCTATCAAATCGTTATACCAACCCCCAGTTGTCGATTTTTTTTAAGGGCATGGATATTAGCGAAGGTACATTACACGCTCTCCCAAAAATTCCACTGTTCATCCATTTTTGGAGACGACTTTGATTATAATAACTTTTTAATTTTGGAGCAAATATCAAAAAAAAATTGCTCGCGGTTTGGTATAACTCAAATATTTTAAATTCAAATCTGGTCAAAAAGGATTTTACCCGCCCTCTTCTGGCGTAGTGGAAGGCTCCAATTTATTTTTTTGCCCTCATTCCCTCCCACCCCTATTACAAATGTAAGAAATATAATTAATAACTAAATACTATTTTTTTTTAGACAATAACAAAATCGTCTTTCAAAATTAATTTTTTTTATTTTATTTTTTTTATTATTTTTTATTTATTTAATTCTTCCTTATTTGTTTATTGATTTACTTCCTTACTTCATTTACTTAATTTGTATATATTTCTAGTTTTATATTACATATTTGTAATGATCTACCTACCCATACTTACCGATGATATAGTAGGCATCAGCGGCTGGGTGGTTATTACAGTGGTCGTCATGGTAACAGATTCGAGATGTCGATGATGAAATGATGCTGCCTTCGATCTTGGAGCTTAAATAAATGGTAAAAGGGTAAATCGCTCCGGTAATTTAATGTCTTGGTATCGAATATTTCTTGATACAGAGTATTACTGAATTGTATTCTGGAATTGTGAACAATAAATTGACATGAATAAGATATATTTTTATTTGTACATTTTGTACATGTGCACTCAAATCTTAAATGTGGCAGTGGTTAGCAATGAAGAAAAAATTAAACAAAAGAAGGACCCCAAAATTCAAGATCATCGAATGGGAATTTCAAATTGGGAATTTCAAATTGGGAATTTCAAATTGGATAATTGGTGATATAATTACAGGCTACACTCCATTCTTGTTTAAGAAATATTGTTGTAAAGTTTTTCCTTCTCCAAAGCCGGTAGCCATTCCTTTAATAAAACTGTTTTATCGATGTCCTAGGGAATTATTTTCAAATACAATATTGAAAAAAATGATACTTTGTTGCCATGAACAAAGTGCATGACAGCTTTTATCACAAGGAAAAGATCTCACAAACAATATTTCCCAAACGCTACTCATCATTAATTTGCCACATTTATTTGTACTTTCACCTAAAAATCTTTTTTTTGTTATCGAGCGTGAATTTCCATTGAACAGTCATAGTTCGCATTTGAAATATTGTGAATCATTTAAACGACCTGCAAAATCAATGCCACGCTTGGAAAGATAATGATCTTTGCAAATCATGATTTAGACATTATTTTGTGTCGAAAGGTCACATCTAAACTGATGAAATATTTACCTGATTGAATTAGAATTGTACCGCCAATCAAACACACACAGACACAGAGCACAGCATTAGGATTAGGATAAAATTACAGGTGATAAAAAATAAAACTTACCCCGTTTTTTTAAATGTCAGATTTGCTCAGCGCCTCACCATGCATGCATAGGATTTGTATTTTGCACAATGTATAATGTACGCAATAAGGGGAAGAGCTCATGCATGTAGTAGTCTCAAGCCTGTCTTCCAAAGAAGAGGGTACCGATTTACAACGGCCCTCGCCCTGTCCTAAATGAACAAACCGACTCCTTACATATTCAAATTCATGAATTGTTTCCCTAACAAGGCATTATGTGATAGAGAAATGCCTTGCACTTGAAAGCTTACTGATGCATCATTCTTGGTTTCCTTTGTCATGTTCGTCGTGCTCTTCATTGTTAAACGTGTCAGTGCATTAATGTCAAATTCTATGCATACCTTTTGGACAAAAGCTGCTCTTAACGACCCCAAAGCTGCACAAGGATTGTTCGACATAGCAACATCTAAAGTAGGCCAGGTCAAACGAATTAATGTTGATTTGTTGTTATGTCGAGAAAAAGAGTTGCAAGTTTAGGCTATACGAATGCAAAATTTCTTCACTTTACCAGAAAAGGGCATTATACGATTATGTTTATGCATTACTTTGCTATATTCATACCCTTCTGATGCTGCTTTAAAAATGTAAACAAAGTACTATCTCTTTCACAGTGGATTAGGAAACGGGGGACTCATGCCCCTACTTCTTTTCTTATTAGAATCAACGAAAGTGCCCCTCCTGCATGCGCGATAAAAAAATACCCCTTTAAGTAAATTAAGCAAATGGCCCACTTTGGTAATCGTATTCCTGAGTTAAAGTCGCCCCTTCCTTATCTGATGTACCAGCCAATTTTCGAGGTTTGGGAATGAGAAAGGAAAGTGCTGATGTAGATCGAAGTGAATAGGGTATTCTCTGGTGTTAAGAGAGTGGGGAGGTGTATAGATAACACAAATAATGAAAACACAGTATTCACATTTGAAATAGTTATACAAAGTCATTTTTATTAAAAATATTTCAAATAAATGGCCATGACCAATACTGAATAAAAAAATCGCCAACTGGTTATCCGTTCTGCCTTTCAAATATTAGATCGCAGATAGTCTTCTTAAATCATACATGTATGTACAGCATTCAGGTAAAGTTGATGATCAATCACTCGATAAATCAATCAATCAATCAATAAACAAATTCTTACATTTGCGACACAGTTGGGATAAGATGCTCAGTGTGGATTTTTACATCCAATTCTAACACGTTCAGAATTTATTATCTGTAAGGCTTTCAATAAACGGTGAGTGAAAATTTGAACGAAATTTCATTGATTAGGGCCCCGTCTTACAAAGAGTTGATATCAATCGTAAGTTATTTGAGATTGATATCAATCGTAACTATGTACATAAGAGATAGGAGACTGCAAACTTGCGATTGATTGGAGGACTTACGATTGATTTGGATCGATCGTAACTCTTTGTAAGACGGGGCCTAGGTCTATCCCAAAATTTTGTTAAATTAAAGGCACACTGATTTGAAAAACTGAATGAATTCCATTTGTTCAAGACATTGTAAAATGTTTCAAGACTTTAAAGGTATATTCACTATCAAGAATGTTAAAGCCACCAATATTCGGGGGAATTTTTTTTATTTCATTGCCCCTTATTCATTAACAAATAAATATTGTATGGAATATTTATAATTATAGGTACATGCTATTAGCGGTGTGTATCTTAGTCTCGCAAATATTTACCAAATAGTGGCTTTAATAAAGATAAAACAATTATTTCAACAACATAATTACAATTGATAACAAAAGTAATATTGAATATCGAATTCTTTCGACGAATCAGTGTATGCATTACCACGCCTCTAGAACTGTTTTACTGGGAGTTAAGATATTTGCAAACAGAACTTTACCAACAAGAAGTTTTTAAAAATCTCAATTTGACTAATTCGCCAACCCCCAAAATGGTGGCTTTGTTGACAAATAATTGTTGGAGAGGTGCCCATCCCCATCATCTCCCTCTAGCGTCGCCCCTGTCTCCGAGTCTTTTATTTCAGTGTATCAAGAGCTGTCTAGACAAAGATTATGACCGTGATTGAGAAGCACGTGACTATTTCCCCATCCACTGAAAAAACGGTGTGCCCCACTTCATGACCCGTGATCTTCAAAAGTCACGAGAACGTTTTATTTTCGGCATCTAGCAATGACGTTCGAATGACATTTAAGGCGAATGACTCCTAAAGAGTAGACGTGTTTCCTGGTGTTATGCATACCGCAAGAACAGAATTTATTCTTGACGGATAATGAGTTGTCAAATGCTTGCCAGACGTAGCAACAACTAATGTAATCAAAATGGATTCCATTCACAAAGATATCACTACGCAGTAAGTAGGTAGCTTAGTAGCTAGGTAGTAGCTGAGGAAAATATGCATAAATTAAAAACATTAGTAAACAGGCTATCAAAAGGTGGGGGGGGGGGGTAGATATGTTCGAAGACTTCAAAGGGAAGCCCATACTGTTTTATGCATATTTCATTCTCTCCTGTTTACACAAAAAGTAGAGAGAGATATTTATTTATATTGTATGATAAAATTACGTTCGCATGTACGTAAATATAAACATTGATATATTCTCCACATATATGAAACGCACGTTAATGACAGACAGAAAAACAATGTAAACCCAAATTAAAAAGTGATATAGAGGGAGGGAAAGAGAAGAAAGAGAGAGAAAGAGAGAAAGAGATAAAATGAGAGAGACTAGTAGAGAGACAGAAAGAGGGGGGAAGGAGGATTGGGGGGGGGGGCAAAGAGAGTAAAATAAATGTAGGTGTAATACAAAGGATTTATTACGAATCATCAAAATATTCATTCCCAAACATTACTATTTACACTCTAAATTCTCAACAGACGTCTTGCAACTTCAAAAACGTCTCGCTCTTTTTAAAATGTAATTATCCTCCCAACGTAAATATTCTTGTTAAAAACATGTATTCCATATAATTATGATACCGTTTTTAAAAGTTCTCAAAAGGCATCATAATGAAGTGTTCGCGGTATAAAGATTTTAAACATTCAGCATGTATACTTCGATGACAAATTTCAAAATGTAAGCATATCGAGGAAACTCCGACTTGACGTTGAGGTGTTATTGCCCTGGTTTCCATGACTACCGTTGGCAGAAGACCCAGGGTTATTCTTCTTTTCGATGTAATCCAGTTCCCGCCACATTTGGCAGAGCGACAGCGGGCACCCACAGCAGCACGTGACTCCGTAATCAGAACAAATGTCACCCTGGTTTTAAAGGATAACGAAGTTAATCAATTTATTCAAAGACGCTTTAAAAATAGACCTTTTGAATTTGCCAAATCTATATCTTGTTACTAATTTGAAGTTTAACCACGTAGAACTAGATTTGTTTTCTCTTTGTTAGTAAGGTATTTTAATGGATTTATTCAAGAACGAGCATAGATAAATTTATAACACAAAGTACAGCGATCGAGACTCCAAGAAGTTCGTTTGCAATGTAAACGAAGGGAAGAATGAGAGTAAAATTAGTAAACCATAATAATATGGCATTCATTTAACTGCCCCCCCCCCCCCAAAAAAAAGTAATTCTCCTAAATTCCAGTCTTCCATGGTCAAATCAAATATGTTCAATTTCGTTGATTATTTTATTTGTTAAAATCCTTTCAAGGTATACAAGCACAGGTCTATATAGTCTTTCGTTAATAACTATATATATATATATTAAGTTGTATAGCGGTGTATTATTAATACTCTATCATGTTGTGATGTTTTTATTTTATTTTATAGTTTATGTGGTTTTCTGCATGCCTTTTCTGCATATCTTAGTTTGTTGACAAACAATTTTGGATCTTCTTCATATACCCTGAGGTTGTCAACTAAAAGAGTTCAATGCAGGGTAAAAACTAAAGTAACCAAAAATAACAAAAAATAGATAAATAACTTTCTTTGTTAAACGTTCAGCTTAATACAGTTCTTTATGGAATGCTTTTCTATACGACTGACATTTGTTAATGTTCTTGAAGATGCACCGGAATGGAAAAATATTAAGTTTTAACGATTTTGGTGTCCTTATTAATCTTACCTGTATATGATGTTGTGTTCGGAGCTTGACACGCAGTGCTACACAGCCGAAGGGTAGGCAGCATGCTAGCGGGTTCTCCCCCAACCTCTCGGATAGACGGCTAGCTAGGCAGGGGCAACACGCCAGTCCTGTAATACCTGTCAAATTTAATAATTTGATTTAATTTAATTTTCATTACAAATCAATTATAAGCATTTAAAACAAATGAAAGAAATACATGTTGGAAACAGAGGGGTCCAGTTAAAAACAATGCTTGTACAAGTGTAAACACCTCAAATGATACTTAGGAATAATGAGTAATTAAATTAACTAAACCGTAACTACAAAAGGAACTACAAAATAGGGGAAAGAAAAAGGGGGTGCCAACAGAGACGAGAAAGGGACAAGACAATGCTTTACACGACAAAGATAGAAGAACATGGTCATAATACAAAGAGTAGACAATGACCAAAAAAAGGTGAGAGATCGGGGGTACAGAAAATAATACAAAATGATGAGCTGCATGTGGGGTTGAGAAGAAGATAAGGAAAGAGAAATGCGCAAAAGGTACAATGTAATATATCAAATTTCATAGGGGGAAATCAATATTTTATTTTACTTAAAATAGTGTTATATAGTTCCAGAATGAAATTATGAATGTTTCTATGCACCGGTGGGCTAATCTATCTTAGGAATGGGAAAAGAGGCAATCTCATTAATACTAATTAAAATTATCCTACAAATTCAATTTTAAATTCAAATAATGTATTGCAATACAATCCGGATATAATAGAATTTTCAAAAAAAACATAACAAAATATATGAGAGCATATAAAATAGAAACAAAACCTCAACAAAACAAAGGCAAATTACATTACATTTTTACAAAATACTAGGAAAAAAAAAGAAAAACCACGTTAAATTAAAATAAAAATAAACATATTATATTGGGGCAACCGTCTCTGATTCCACTATATGACTGTGTTGCACTATTGACAACAACACAACATATGAAAATTATTTTGTATAGGCCCAATATATTTTCCTGAAAGTTAATATTTCGTCTATAGGAGTTGAAAAAGTTGCTGGGTAAATCTTGAAATAAAATGTAAAGGATTTTATACATGTCTAGCCCTAATAGTGAATTAAAATATTCAATTCCTTAAGAACTTTGTTAACCAACAATTTCTTTGTAACATTAAGTTCTCTTCAGAGTTTACAAATCGTAAATATTGTATGTTAAGTATTATAGTTTATTTGAGTAAACATAAGTACAGACAATTTTAATTTAAAAAATGAATTAGTTCTCCTTACATATTTCTGGATCATCGCAGCACGCTAATAAATTGCTGTTCCAAGGCCTCTGAAAAAGAATAGAAATATACGTGAATGTCAGGTACTGGGAAATGTTGGTTTAATATTCAAAATCCGCTACACGCGAATGTAAAATTGCTCTCGGGGGCTAAATAGGATCTCTTGCCCGAATATCAGCATTTCAGTTTCCAATCTTTGACAGCTAGTAATGTGAGCGAGGGAAAATGTTTGTACTCATTAAAGGAAACCGAACCCCAAGTAATAACTTTACTTATACTGAGAGATTTATTATATTATTGCCCATAAATCTACAAGATTCCCCACCAAAGTTTCTAAGAGAGGAATAAAGCAAAAATAAAGTACAGTTTCTCAACACGACATGGGCATCGCCATTTTCTTGATAATGTGACGTACTATGCGAAATCGTTTAACAAGTAATGTATTCAAATTTATGAATGCTTCTTTCCCAGCCGTGTGTGGTGATGAAGCATTTCATTCACCTGCTATTATCCTTTGTATTATAATTGCCAGAACGCAAATTGCATAAATAAGTTAGTGCTCTTCTGGGGTGAAGGTCTCTCATAAATGAGATAGATTTGTCAACTGCTATAGTGTAGTATTTATACATAAATTTTGTTACAATTGTGCCCCTATTATTTATTTTTCACCTAATATTATTTCTATCATCTCAGTTATTATTATTTTTTATTGAAAAATAAAGGTTTCGTTATTGATTTAAAAATTCTTTCCAACTAAAGCTTGGTGCATGATACATGTACAACTTCAACAGGTACGTCACATTTTCAAAAAATGGCTGCGCCCATACCATGCTGAAAGGCATCACATCATGCCAGGAATATCTTCATTTATATATATCTTGTACATTTTCGTAAGGAATATTGTACATCAAAGGGCAGGAATACATCTCATTTTTCAGAATACCTGAACTTATTCTTTTGGTTTAGGTTTCCTTTAACGCGAAAATACAGTATTGTATTTCCCATAATACTAAACTAAATTAGAAATAAGAACTACCAAAAATACCACCTCGCTCCCCAAATATGATGTGACGGCTGCTCGAATATTGATTTAAAATTGAGAGATGGAGGGGGTGCGCTGCAACCCCTCCCCCTTTTTTTCTAGATTGTATATATTCGTGACTTTAAAAGAAATACTTGTTGAACAGAAAAACACAAAATCCTAGTAACTAAGAACATCAAATCTTTATGATCTTCACAATAACAAAATCGAGAGAAAAGAAACAAACTCACAATTTCAGGTTGCTTGTTCTTGTGGATACCGCGCCTAGACCCAATCCGACTTCCACCTCCTCTTCGACCGCCGACGCCGCCTCGCCCTGGTCGACCAGGGCTTCCGGGGTGGCTTCCACTGGCTGTGAGCTGGTCTTCGATGAGCGTGGCCTGATCGCTGGTCGTATAGGAGACACTGGAGTTTGGGTTGATGTGGGAAGCCGGATAGGGTTGGTGGGTGACCGTGAGTCCGTTTCGGGTGTCGTGACGGGTGGGAGGGTTGTAGGTCTCGCACCGGTCGAACTGCCCGTTTGCTGGTGGGGGGATAATTGAAATTGAAATGGATGGGAAGGTTTATTTTTCAGTCAGTTTGTAATATTTGAAACATAATAATGTTATTAGATCAATGGCGGACACAGTAGGGGACACGGTGCGCGTGCCCCCGAATTTAAAACATGTTACCGTCCAAGCTGTGCCCACCCCCCTCTCTGACAAATTAAATTTGCCCTCCCCTTCCGGATCAATTACAAAATGTTTCAGGCAAATTATTAACTGTTTCATGCGTAGTCAACTTCCCTGCTGCGGACATACGTAGACTAATTTAAGTTTAACTTTCATTTCACCTATTTCTTTTTATGGTGAAAATTAGCCATGGGTCTATAATGGAAAAGGATTCTCACTATCTATCTATCTATCTATCTATCTATCACGATCTATACTATAGGGGTTTAAATCTGTGTTTCTGTTCTCCACTAAGAGACACATTAATACACCTCGATAAAAAAAACTAATCTGGCAGCTCTGAACGTTTCAAAACGTCAGCTTCTTTCATCTTGATGTATTAGTAATGATCGATGATAAATATGAGTGAGTAAAAATAACATCATTCAGCATGACATATACGTGTTATTCGTGATAAGATCTACGAGTTCATTGCACCCATTTGCGGAGCAGGCCACTGCGCAGTGGGAGGGGGTGGTGGTGGGGGAGGGGGTACGCTTCGATTAAAAGACTATAGTAATTAACAAATTACTAAAATGTAATATTCAACCATTTAATGTTAATTTTATCAATTATATAAAGAATGTAAGAAAGACATCCTTGAGAGTTTCAAGAACATTTAATAAGGAGCAAGTGTATATATTATAGTAGGCCTATATTTGATTAATTTCCGTTTTTATATAATTATTTTCAAATTCCACATATTATAGAGTCAATAATTGAAACAATGTAATAAGCCCTGGTAAAAGATTGGTATAAGCGACAAAATAGAAATATTGAAGATCTGATAATGACAACAGAACATTGTTGACCTAAATGCATTCACAAGCAATGCATGTATGCCGTACAACCCCCTAAAACTGATGTTAATTTTTCAACAAGAATTTTCCAATGAGAAATTTAGAGAGAATTCTTTGAGGCTGTGACCATCTATATAACTTTGGACTGATATCTAAGGCAAGTATTTCTAAAAGTTTACTATTTCTACGTTAACGATAGGCTTATACCGGACCGAAAATATATATCAAGATTTGTTTTTTGAAGGAGGGGGGTTCCCCATGCCAGTGTCCACGCTGCAACGAGTGCACACTCACAACGGTAACATAAATCAGAAATTGAAATAAATAGTATTATTTGTTTGTTTGTTTGTTTGTTTGTTTGTTTGTTTTTTCGCACATTAGCCATGCTCAACTACATAATTCAATCAAGTACAACACAAAATAAAAAATTAATTAGAAAAAGATGAAAGTGGGAGATTGATTTATGTTTATGACGGTCTTGAAACGTTGCCCATTCGCAAATCCATCAAAAAAACGTAAGACTATTAAAACGTTTGATCTTAAATCTCAGTTTTGGGATTGCCAATATTTTAACATGAAGGTAAAAATAGAACGCAAAATTCAAGTCGAATTAAATAGTTATAATCAGAAAAGGTTATGTAGATTCATGCCAAGGCTGAAAAAGTCATATCAATAACATTCATTTATAAGGTCAGGTGAATCTATAAAGAAAAACTGAATATGTTATGCAATTAATTCCTCGTATGAAGAAAACAGAATCGAATGATTGAAAACAAATTGTAAAAAAAAAAAAATAGCGTTTGAAACCTCGAATAAGAAACACACAAAACTTGACTTGCAAAAACCCAGAACAAAATGTGAAGAGTCTACATCCCGGCCCCCCCACTCAGGTTTCAAAATGACCGCATGCGTGTTGCCAAAATGTCCTTTTCGTAACAAAAGAAAAAGGTCGAGCCGTATTGACTTTACACACCGGACTTTTGCTGAAAAGGGGGGGATGCTGAAAAAGGCTCGTATACAAAAGAAAAAGGTCGAGCCGTATTGACTTTACACACCGGACTTTTGCTGAAAAGGGGGGGTCGGTTGGAACACGCATATGCGTACCCTAAATAACACTGAGTGGGGGGGCCGGGGTCTACATGAGAGAACACACTAATTGGAGCACTCATTAACTTTTTAATGAAACAAAAGCAAAGATTGCCTCATGAAAATACAGCTTATTGCTAAATTACCCACATTTGTTGTTGTTTATCCTGTAGTTATTGAACCTTCCTCCTCTTGCTTGCATGATCCTTCATAACACACGCACGCATTACATGACATGCAAATCTCTGACATCCGCCGTGAGTCAATGACAATGTAGAAACGGGGTGTCATTAGCGAAACAGGTGAGAGCAATTTGAACTTCAAGGATTACGTAAGACCTGAGACCGCTAAAAATTTCTCAGGTCAAGTCTATTACTGACAGCTGGAAGGAAGTTATTACTTTGTGATTGCAATTTATAGGCTTGTATTTTTAGGATTCAAATGGTTTATATTATAGCAGTTTTGATCAATATCATAAAATCACTTTTTTCTCCAAAATGAGTTTGTTAATAATGTTCACTATCATTATTATGATTATCATTATTATCATCATTATTATTATTATTATTATCATCATTATCATTATTATTATAATTGTCATCATTATTATCATCATAACAATTATTATTATTATTATCATCATAATAATTATTAACATCAGTTTTATTATCATTATTATCATTATTTTTATTTTCATTATTATCGTTATTATTATAATTATGATCATAACAATTATTATTAATACTATTACCATCATCGTTATTATTATCATCAGTATTATTATCATTATTATTATATTCATTATTAAAAAAGTATATCTAACATGGAGCGAAACATAATTGAGCTTTTTTAGCGAAGGATTTCATGTTTATATTTTGTCTTAAAGTTGAGTTAGATTATCGCCATATTATTCATATTCATATTCATATTTGTTTCATTTCCAACAGAAAAGTAAACAAAGATATTACATTCATCACAACTCAAGTCTTAAATTTGTTTATGCTGTATAATTCTGTAAACAAATGTAATAAACGATTTAACAAGAGCAGAAGAAACCAGACGAACACAAGTATAACTGATCAAGGAAAAACAATAAGTGACACAGAGCACATAATAATTTATGATCACGTCTGCAAAGATGGCCTTCCAATATTAAGTGCTAGATGCTGAAGTATTTATCCACCAGCAACAAAGATATTTTTCATATATCATACTTGAGAAACGTAACCCATACGTCTGAATAGGATGCCAAGTACAATGAAAAATCTGAAAGAAGAATGTATGTATATTTATATCGTATTTTGGGGATGTAAATGCTTTGTTGTTGTTTTTTGTTTTTAGTTAGCCTTTTCTTAATTGGATGGGCACATTATTTTAATAATGGAATTATAGAGTTTTTGATGGTTTAAAGAAGGGGAGGTGAGCCTTGGTTACGTCCTGTCGTTGCTCATTATATTAGAACTCAAAACAACGATGACGAAGACAACGACATAAACAAAAAACATCAACGGCAATCCAACCCCTTAAAAGAAAAGCTGAAATACAGTGAAACGAACCAAGAGGGGGAAGAAGGATTATAACATGCTGACTTTAAACGCGAGACAGCAAGTGAAGACACGAGTACTTCGTGAAGAAATGTAATATAGGACGAAGGGGGAGGGGGTGGAGAAAGAGCGATAGGCAAGGTGTATTTAAGAAGGAGTTCGACGATATAAATCCAAAGCTCTTTAAAGGAGCTTTAAAGAAAACGATGAATAACTGAATTTCAAAAAAATGCTTGAAATTAAAATGACAATTGACTCACCTAAATACATAATGCTAATGATTCTTGTTGTGTATTCCAATAATTTGTGATCCTTTGCTGCAGTGTACTCCGTGTGTCCCACTCTTTCCGGGAATTTTCAACTTCGGAGGCTCTCAAATAAATCCTTCTTTCCTCCTAATTGCTTATCTAATGCCTAACAAACTTCACAGGCAATGTTAATCAATCCACGAATGTCGAAAGTGCAACTTTGGAGAAAAAAAATAGTTTCAATTCCTCGCTCCAGAAATTTTGAACGTCTTCGCGTGTTACTGCAGTCATAAAATAACGTCTGTTGTTGTGTTGAGGTTTTACGGAAGACGCCCGCATGCAGTTAACGCACTGATTTACCGCCCTTCCGCCCGCTTCGTGAAAACTTCCACAAAGAGCAACAAACTACCGGAGCTTCCAGTTAAATTTAAAGGTTAATGATGTAATGATGACGTCAAGATTGTTTACCTATGAGACCCGATACATCTTGAGTCTTGAAAGTAGTCAAAAGATTGTTTACAAACAGGAAATTGAACTTTACATTAGTCACTAATTTAGGTGGAAGACACAATCGTTCCCGTATTTTGCTCTCTCTCTCTCTCTCTCTCTCTCTCTCTCTCTCTCTCTCTCTCTCTCTCTCTCTCTCTCTCTCTCTCTCTCTCCTCTCCCTCTCTCTCTCTCTCTCTGCGTGTGTGCGTGTGTGTGTGTGAGGATATGTTATGTGTATGTGAGTGTTTCTCTCCTTCTCTCATGTCTCTCTTTTATGTAGCTATATATCTTCTTCCCTCAGCCTATTTTATTCATCTCCCCGCCCTCTTTCTAACTCATGCTATTCTATATCTCAAACGATATTTCTGTCTGCACATACCTGCTCAATGTCATTGATATTTGCGGATGGCATCCCAATTCAATACTTGGCAACATTAGAGAGAGAGAGAGAGAGAGATAGGGGTGGGATAGCGCGCGAGAGGGGGGGGGGGGGAAGCGGGGTAGCGCGCGCGAGAGAGAGATTCAAATACGAACTTCACCTTTAAAAAACAAGGTTTCAAATATCTTTGGGTTGATTGAATTAATATTAACTTTTGACAACATTCTAATAAGCACTATTTTTTTAAAGTTTTCATGTAACAAATACTCTACATTTTAGAAGCGCCGCCCTCCCCAAGATTGTGGTTTGTCGTTTAAGCCGTTATTACACATCGTCTAATCACAGCCTTTGCGGGTTAAAAGGAAATTTAAATTCCAGGTTTTTAGAAGAGCAATTAGTACATCCCGTTAGTACGAAAATATTTCCTTACCTTCGAAATGACTTAGGAAGGAAACGATAAATCTTCTCTTTAATCCTTCCCCTCTAAGTCTTTCCTCACTAGTCAGTATGTATTAAGGTATTGAGTCACAAAGCTGCTTGAAATCAGTAGTACAGTGAAGATGAGGGAGAGAAAGAGGGGGGGGGGAGAGAGACAGAGGGGGGGGGGTGAGTAAGAGAGAGAGAAAGAAAGAGAGAGAGGGAGGGGAAGAGAGAGAGGGAGAGAGAGAGAGATAAAGAAAGAAATAGAGAGAGAGAGGGGAAGAGAGGGAAAGAAAGAGAAAGAGAAGGAGAAAATAAGAGAGAGAGAGAAAAACAGACATAGACAAACAGACAGACAGAGAAAGAGAAAGAAAAAGAGAAGGGGAGAAAAATAGAGGGGAAATAGCGTTTAAAAAAAGACAATGATGGGGCTTTATTTTGTAAGAGGTAGTACAACGACATTGCAAATCGTGCTGATGGGAGAGGCAGGAAATCTTTTTTTTTAATATAACATGTTCATGTATATCAAAACCTTACGTTTAAAGAATGATGAAACAGCTTTTACTGGGAATAAGTTCTATAACTGAGCCATTCACGAACGGTAATCAACGGTGAAAGACATCTAGATTGCGATCTATAAGTCACATTTTGCAAGCTTATATTATAATGTAAAGCCTGAAGAACAATGTAGTAATGCAAACACGTACTGGGCAATGGATATCATAAGGTACATTCTTAAAGTTATCTATTAATACAACCTCGTAATATTTTCCTTCCACTCTTAATGCTTCTATTAGGCAGCGTGGCATAACTACAAACCGAACTGCTTTGGATAAGATAACAGTAGGCCATTTTTGTAATGTAACCAAATTTAATGCATAAGTCTTTGTGAAGTGCCTCAATACAACTTATTTCATTCACCTGATAAGAATAATTATAGTATTTCAATAGTCAGAATGCAAACTGCATATATATTAAGTGTTGCTAGGTAGGTCAAGCCATAATGTTTGTCCTACCTGGCAACAACTAATGTATGCAGTTCGAATTCTGTCTTTTGAAATACTATTATTCTTATCAGGTGAATGAAATAATTTGTATTGAGGCATTTCACAAAGACGTATGCATTATTACGAAAATGGCCTATTATGTCAATATTGAAATTGTTGAATCATGCGCCTTCGAATGCGTTCATGCCAGATTTCCCTTTTTCCTTTTCATGATTTGAATACGCCAGGTCTCGTTCGCGCGAACTCCCACGTCTTCTTTTACTTCTTTAAAATAAGAAAATCGACACATCCTACACTTCATAGACCACAAACTTCATGTTTACTGTCCATACTTTGCGAAATATACTCGCCGGTTGAGATTTCTCATCGCATCATCCGCATGATTGGGTAGCGAAACTAAAACAAGATTGAGACTGAAACACGATCGCATAGACTTTCGAAAAATTAACTTAATGTAATTTTAATAGCCGAATCTTGTAAATCCCCTATCGAAATGTGCACACATTACAAGAACGTTTTGCGTAACCGAACATTATTTTTATCGGACATACACTTGAACCTTGAGTTGATTTCTCGAAAGTCTTTGCGGTCATTTTCTAAGCGAATCAGGAAATTGAAAACTGGTATGGACGTACCCTCGAAGGAGTGGCGTTGAGAACACGAACCCTCAGTTGTTGATGAGTTTATTAATAGTCGTGTTTTCATTTTTAAGATTGCACGGTGAGGCATAGCGGGTAGAAGTGCCCTGATAAATAACGCACCGACGGTGCGTTATTTATCAGGGCACTTCTACCCGCTATTGACTTGGCTGAGTCATGCCCGAGTTATGCATTACACATTCATGCAACATCAAGCAGAGCACAATGTGAATTAACCGTTTCAGTTTATGTCATCCCTGTCATCCTCGTGCTAAAATTTCCTTGACTCAACCTTTTTAATGTTGTTATCATTCTCATTGTAGTATCCCCTTTCTCATTTATTTATTCTTTATTTCATATTATTATTTTGTTGTACATTAACTTGCATGATTAGCTCGAGACCGCCCGCATATTTGAAGTCCATCTAAACATCACCTACATCATAAAATCAGTGTGTGTCACTCTTCACCTTTCTTCCTCTCTCTCTCTCTCTCATTGTAGTATCCCCTTTCTCATTTATTTATTCTTTATTTCATATTATTATTTTGTTGTACATTAACTTGCATGATTAGCTCGAGACCGCCCGCATATTTGAAGTCCATCTAAACATCACCTACATCATAAAATCTGTGTGTGTCACTCTTCACCTTTCTTCCTCTCTCTCTCTCTCTCTCTCTCTCTCCCCCCCCCCCCTCCCCACCCCAATCTCTAGGATCATCATTTTATACATAACGTATTTTCATTTTGATAAAGCGCATTTTTTGTGGGGCCCTAACAAACAATTACGCAATTCAGAGCTTTTGTCATTGGCCGAAGCTAGAGTGACGTCACAATAGGCATACGTGTACCAATAGCCAATCAATGCCCGAACCGCCTTCACTTAATGACGTCACGATATGACTTCACATAACTTTTGATGAAGCACAAGCCATAATGGCTATACAAAAACCCACATCATTCAGCTTTCTACTGAAATCTCTTTCAAGTCGATAACTTCTGGGTTCGGGAATTGTAATTCAATAATCCTTTTCTCTATGAAGGCTACCTTTTAACAAAACAAAATTAAATTCTCTTCGTCCTTATTGAAAACATCATCTATAAATCATTTAAGGACGGATAAGACGTATAAGGTTGCAAGCAATCTATGTCAAAGGAAAACAGTAAATCAAGGAGGACTGAATTCTTTTAAGTATCGTCGCAAAGGCCTTACGCAACATCATAATTGATTTAGAAGCAAAGATTTCATAATGTAATTCAAGTTCAAAGCAACATGGTGTGTAAACAAAAAATGAAATAGAAATCGTCCACTTGGCGGGAAGGGAACAATTCCAGCTCCTATCTTCTACATAACATCGCAGTCCACACTGTATGGATTGCGATGTTCAAAGCTTGACACATATTAATCATGATCTTAGTAACTCTGGGAATCATGATTTTTTTTTTCGTGTACAAAAATTTCTTTTCCAGCATCATATTACATCAGAAAACTGATTCCGAAAATTCATTTTGATGCTTATCCGGGTTTTAAAAAAAAATCATGAATGAGAGCTACTTCATGATTAAATCAGGTTACGAATGACTGACATTCTTGATAAAATGTTAATTCAAAGATTTTCATCCAAATTTCAAGACGTATTTTCAATTTGTTTATGGGTCATCCTGTACCGTGCATATAGGAGGTCGTTGCTAAATTCTATATAATTCAATATACCTGAACGAATTCAATAATGCGCTGGAATACACGAATTAAGATAGTGATATAATATCCGGGACAAGGGCACCAAGTCAGCTGAAGGATATATCGCATTTTCTTATAAGTATTGCTGGAATTTAGACCTAAGGCGCAACGGTTCATCAACAACAACAAAAATACTATTTTCTTCAGCTATATAAATAGCATGTGCAAAACAGAATTTTAGATAAATCGTCTGTACTGCACTATTTGGAGACAATTTTACTATTTTCATCAAAAGTATAACAAACTACATCATGGCATCAATCCTATTTGGAACTACACAAAATACAACGATATTTGGGGAAGGGAGTTGGGATGAGAGTTGGGATGATAACGTGACCATTCAAGATCCTGGGTCCACTTCCTCAAGCATAAATGGCATCTTGTTTCCCGCCGTCTTCGCCAGCCTGATCGTCATCGCGAACATCGTCAGCCTCGCGTCGTTCTGCGTCGAAAAACGACTTCGAACCTACAACAACTACTTCATCATGAATCTGAGCATCCTCGATCTGCTTATCGGGTTGCGACTCGGCATAAGCGTTGCTCACACTCATCTCAGGTACTTTCCCTTCTCTCAGAACGTCTGTAAGATTATCAGCGGGTTTGCTCACGCATTCACGAGCGCGTCCAACTTCACGGTGGTCGTCATTTGCGTCGACCGTCATCGAGCGACGTACGATCCCATCAACCATTTTATGTCGCGCTCCAAGCAGAAGGCGCTTCTCAAGAACGCGGTCCCGTGGCTGCTCGGACTCGCCTTTTGGCTCCCTTACGTCACCGTGTGGGAGTTCGTCGAGGGTTTCGACAACGGGGTGCATTGTCTCCGGCGGTTTGCGGTACTTGCTTTGACGCAAGTCGTCACGAACGTGGTGTTATTTTTCGGGCCTTTCTTGATCATCGCCGTTTTGTACTTTAGAATCTTCACCAAGATCAAAAGCATCGGGAAAGGAAACTTCGAGAAAAAGTTTGCAACGAAGGGCCAATCGGCTGGAGCGAATCGCAGTAAGGTGGTGGAAAATTATTCAGTTGACGACATTTCGACCATTAGCAGCGCTACGACCGATGTAGAATTGAACTCAGCTGACATTTGCGATGACACTTTCGACCAACCAACTTCAAAGAAGAACGCCGATGGTCTCCAAAGAAAGGTAATATGAACAAAATTTACTTCATGTTCTGTTTAGTGAGCTCTATACATTTTTTTAAATCGCCGAACACTGCTGACAACTTGTTAAGTTACTCGAGACTGTATGTTTGCAATACCTGATGACCGAATGTTTTCTTACTCATGGATGAAGGATAGATATGTTTCACACAGGCCGGGGCCGGGGCTGTATTAAACAAATATTTACAATAATAATGTTTAGGGTGAATTCATGAATGGGAATTATTAGTAGGGATAACAATACATTTTTGAAGATTTTTAGACAACATTGGGAGATACCCTCGTCAGATACGCCACAGAGTTGCCAATTTGTGTTTGGTTTATCGCACTTTCAAAATTCATAACTCTTTCTTATTTTCAATTGGTTTTTGCTCAAACATTCACTGACTCGTTTCTCTCATTTTCTGCTACTATTGAAACCAACTTAATTTCAGGGTGGACTTCCCTTTTAACTATCGAGGACTTATAAAAGCATCCTTAAGTTGAAGAAAACCTTTATAAAGTTTACAGTCGCATATTGCTTTTAAACTTATACCATAATCGTTTAAAAGTGTCACACAAGTTTATATCACGTCATTTCCAGGTTCCCAAGCCCGCCAAGCGTGAGTCCGTCGTCGAAATGCGGAAGGCAACGCGTACGCTTCTCCTGATCGTCATCGCCTTCGTTATCGCATGGCTCCCTTCTAGCATCATCCAGCTCACCTACACCATCGAACCCGCCCTGATCATCTCCGGGTTCCCCCGCCCCGCCTATCTCTTCTTCTCCTACTTGGTCTACGCTAACAATCTCCTTAACCCGATATCGTATGTCGTCTCGCAGCCTCTCTTTCGCAGCACCGTTATCCGCATGTTCCTATGCAGACGTAGATGAACAGTCGTTTTTACGATTGGCACAGTGACTGTAAACTGGAAGTGGTCTGAATTACGCTCCTAAAGCAGAGGAGGGGGAAGTCTGCCACTCTCTTAAGAGTCACATCAGAGATTCATTCGTTTTTAGTTGAATCCACTTCGAATCTTTACGGATTCTACTCCAAATTAGAAGTCTGATTAGACCAGTTCACGGTTAGCACATGTCCCAGTATTTTGTCTCCGTGTATTTCACAATTTGGTCTGCAATGACCTTTATCTGCTCATGCTCAGACTGCAACTATGAACTGGTTTATTATTTGAGAGTTCATTCCACTATCTTATAAGCGTGGCTTTCCAGTCCAGTACATTTAGAGAGAACGTTACGTAGTATTATTCGTGTTATTGAAATAAAAAGGCGCGTGAGTAGCTCTAGTCGACAAAGTTAAAATAAGAAGATAAAAATATGTTACCAAATTATTGATAAAATGCTTCATTTGAGCTAAATAGTGAATAGTGTTTGTGTGTAATATAAGGTAGGAATATGTTTTGTTTGGTCTGGTACAGAAGGAAACACAATCATGTTACATGAAGTAAAAGAGATGTCAATAGATAAATAATAGTTATTTACCATCGGTTATCAAGGCTCTCTCTCTCTCTCTCTCTCTCTCTCTCTATCTCTCTCGAACAACTGACTTTTTAATCTTTATTTGTTACTGCGTTTACCTATATGTCCGTTTTATTCTCCTAACTGGACTTTGACCAGTGAATATTTTCAGATATTCCTCTTCTTTTTTTTAATGCACTGTTTTATATTGCTTATAGTCTACTTGGTGTACTTGTTTTTATCTTTCATTTGTAATAGTATATATGTGTGACTCAATTTTAAGCCGACCCAATTCGTTTACATTTAACGGCCTTGACTCTTTAAACGGAGTGGACAGTGACCTACATCCTCAGTCAAATTACTATTCATGTGATGAGTTCAATGGATTCATAGATGCAAAAGATAAGGTTTCTCAGAATTTTTCCTGTATTCATTTTAATTGTCGAAGTCTCGTCAAGAACTTTGATATATTTTCCCTGTTTTTAAATGACATTCATCATAATTTCACTATTATAGGACTAACAGAAACATGGTTTAAGCCTGAAGATTCATTGAGTTTGTATAACATTGATAACTATGATTTGATTGTGAATAATAGATCTCAAAGAATAGGAGGTGGTGTGGGAATGTTTATTCAAACAGATCTGAAATATAATCAAAGAAACGACTTCACTTTTATGTCTGACAGTTTTGAATCTTTATTTCTTGAATTTCCTAAATTTGACAATGTTTTATGTACATATACATCTCGTTATTGTGTAGTGGGCGTGGTTTACAGGCCTCCTGCAAGTTCGATTGAAGATTTTTTACAAAAACTTACGGGGATATTAGAGAAAATTAGTCGTGAACATAAATCTTGCTTTTTGCTTGGTGATTTTAATATTGACCTTGCATCGGTTACCAACCGTAGCATTACAGATCGATTTTTAGATACCCTTTACACTTTCTCTGTGTTACCATTGATACAAGCACCAACTCGCATATCTCGCCATAAAGCATCACTCTTAGACAATATTCTTACCAATGCTGATGCCGGTTGTGAATCAGGTATATTATTAAGTGATTTAAGTGACCACCTACCTGTCTTTACTTTTACCAATGTTCTTTTGAAATTGAGTGAAAACATAGATTTACCTGTAAACAAGCGTGTCTTTAATGATGCGAATTTTTTGAAGTTCAGTCAAAGTTTAAGTGAACTAGATTGGCATGATTGTATACAAATTGAAGATTCTAATGTTAACTACAACAGCTTCATTTCAGTGTTCATGGCTTTATACAATGAATGTTTTCCTTTTACCACCATACGCAAAAAAAAAAACTTTAAAAAACCATGGTATACTACTTACCTTAAACAAATTTCCAATAAAAAACTCAGGCTTTATAGAAAATACTTAAAGAAACCTACTAATGAAAATAAAAACCAATACAATTCGTATAGAAATATTGTTACTAGGGAAATCCGCAAAGCAAAGACAAATTACTATAATCAGAGATTTAAAAATTTGAATGGTAACATGTCAGGGACATGGAAAGTGATAAATAACCTATTGAGAAAGAAAAACAAAACAAAAATTCCTGAATTCAAAAAGGATGGTGAGACCATTGATGATGAAGCTGTTGCAGAAGGTTTCAATGATTACTTTGTTCATGTAGCACCAAGAATGCTCAGTGAAGTAAACAATGTAGCCCAGCCTACTTGTTCCCCGACTGCTCATATTGTAAACAACTCGCATTCTTTTTTCTGTAAACCTATACATGAAAGTGAAATTATAAATATTGTAGACAAAATGAAAGGTGGTACAAGTCCAGGATATGATGATGTTCACATATCTGTAGTTAAGAAAATTATTCACTTGATTAGTAAACCCTTATGTGCAATATTTAATGTTTCTATTAACAATGGAATATTCCCTGACAAGTTAAAAGTTGCGAAGGTTATTCCAATATTTAAGAAGGGTCAATCTAATCTGTATTCAAATTATCGGCCAATTTCTCTCCTTCCTATATTCTCAAAGATTCTTGAGAAATGCATGTACAATCGACTTATCACTTTCATTGAAAGATTTCAGTTGCTTTTCAGTAATCAATTTGGCTTCAGGTCAAAACACTCAACCTCTTCTGCTCTCATTGAATTTATTCATACTATCACAAGAGCTATGGATGCTAAAGATATATCTATCGGTGTGTTTTTGGATCTTTCAAAGGCCTTTGATTGTTTAAATCATAAAATATTATTAGCAAAACTATTCTGTTTAGGCATCAGAGGTATCCCTTTGAAATGGTTTCAGAGCTATTTAGATGACCGAAAACAATTCACTGTTTACAATAAAAACAAATCTGATATGCAAAAAATCTCATGCGGAATTCCGCAAGGGTCAATTCTAGGCCCTCTACTTTTTCTAATATATATAAATGATATTCATAAATGTTCTTCCAAACTTAGTTATGTCCTCTTTGCAGATGACACTACAATTTCTTTATCAAATAAAGATGAAGCAACCCTTATTCAAACTTTAGACCATGAACTAGAACATGTCGCCCATTGGCTCAAACTTAACAAGCTACTACTTAATACAAACAAAACTCACATGATGATTTTCACCAAAAGAAATATTGATATTTCCAACTATAAGGTATATCTAAATGGCTCTGAAATCACAATAGTATCAAACACAAAATTTCTAGGAATTCAAATTGATGACAAATTGTGTTGGCATGACCATGTAAATTACATATGTACAACAATTTCACGAAATATTGGTGTAATGAACAAAGTAAACTATCTGCCTAGAAATATTTTGTTATCTCTTTACTACACACTCATTTACCCTTTTCTTATATATTGCAATATTGTCTGGGCCTCAGCTTCTCAAGTAAAAATGTTGAGAGTATATAGATTGCAAAAAAGAGCAGTGAGGATAATTTGTAAAATGCCTTTCCTTGCCTCCACTAAACCTTTATTTACTCAATTAAAAATCTTGAATGTATTCGATTTGTATAAATTAAGACTGGCCATTTTTATGTTCTCTTGTCAGAGACAGATCTTGCCATTGTCCCTGACTCGCTATGTTTCCATTAACTCTTCAATCCACTCCCACTGTACTCGTTCAAATGCAGACTTTCACATCCCATATGCAAGAACTTCAGTTTCTCAAAAGACAATTTACTATGCAGGTCCCAAACTATGGAATGCATTGCCACCTTATCTAAAATCTGCATGTTCTCTGAATGTTTTCAAGAGACAATACAAAGAAAGGCTTCTACAATCTTATCCACATTGAGTCACCTGTTGTTTGTTGTTTATATGTCAATGTTAATTGTTATATCCCTGGTTTGTATGGGTTTTTTCTTTTTATAATTGTTATTTCTATTTTCTATTTTGTATGTACTATTATTCTGCTTGGGTCTAATTTCATCCTATGTATTAACTTTACTTCTCATCTTGCCTTTCTCTCCTTCAATTTTCCTTCCTCTTCCCCTCTCTCTCTCTCTCTCTATCTATCTCCCTCTCTTGTTTCTCTCTGACCCAGCTGTAGCTGTATATGTATTCTCTCCCTCCTGTTGTTGTACATGCAACAGTATACAATGCAATTTATTTTATTCTAAAGGGTCGAATTCACAAGATCTTTGAGTAGATCTTTAATCTGTCCCCACTCAATTTATGTTATTTGTGTTGTCATCTACTGATTTTGCTATGTCCATCTTTTTATATTTGTTATACATGTATGCGTTTATTCGCAATTCTATGTGTCTGTTTTTTTATATTGAGTGAATAAATTATTTGAATTATTTGAATTTGAAATTATTTGAATTTGACTATCTCTTTCTCTTCATCACTTTGTTATCTCGCCATACTTTTCTCAATTATTCATTTTTCTTTTTGTTAACGATACTTTCGCTGTGACCACTTATAAATCTCTTCTTCAGAAACCTTCATTCAGAATTATTCTCACTGACTGTAATTCCACTATCAATAGACATATAGTTACTGCAAAAAACAGTCATTTCTATTGTTGTAAAACTGTGCTTTTATTCCTTTGCATCAAATATACCATTAAAAAAATGTATTTACACGGATTAATAATATTGCATAGTTTAATATAATGATATATACAGATGCGCATGAAACGACAAAGGCAATGTGAAATATCGCACGAGAATAATGCTACAAAGACATTGCAAATCAACATTAATGCACATTTTAAACATTTTAATATTGGCTTATTTTTGGTCACGTGATAATGCATATTAATAAATATCGCTTACTGTAATTCGCTTTGCAGCTGATATCCAATAAATTTCATGACATTAGAAATTATAATGCCCATTTCAAGCAAACTCCTGTTAAGTTAAATACTGTTATATAATGTGCACATTAATATTTTTGCAAATAGATATCAAAAATCCCTATATATATAATAAACATAATACTATCTGGAGGTATATTGTGACCTTAAAAGATATATATATAGCTGCTGGATATTTTTGTCATTATTTAGTTTGAGATAATCAATATATCAATTACAAATATAACTAGATAATGTAAAATAATTTTTTAAATATATATTATCAATATCAAGCTTGAAAGAGTACTAATTGTACACCGATGTTATTATCAAAATTTGAGGTAAATTGTGAATAGATTTTTCACTGCCATGATTGTGTTAGTATAATTATTATAATGCATTAGATTCATATAACACCATAATGCCCCTGCAGAGAGACTTGTTGAGAGCTCATTTTTACATTCGCAATAACTTTCTAGAGTTAAGTTCGAGGACGGTAAAATGCAAAGAAAACCTATCAACTACTTTCAAAAAATTTACTGGCATGATTTGAAATGAAAATATATTTTAATCAACAACTTACTTTGGAAAATAGAAATGACTGACCGATTCAAGAATATACTGCAGCGAGAGAGAAACCAATGCCCTAAAGCACTTAGGGTTGCTGGTTAAATTATCGACAAGCAAAAATAAATCGGTTTACAAGCCCAGCACAAAACAGCAAAATTAACAAAATTAGCAAAAAGTAACGTAAAACATGTCTTGAATGTAACAGAGAGTACCAAAACATAATGCATGCAAACGTATGAATATCACATAACATAATTTATTATCATTCAAAAGTACGTATTGCAAAGAAAAACTTAAATTTATACACTACGAAAATTGCACAAAAATATATTGAAAAGAATAATGCCTTTGCTTGTAAAACCGACGAGCATGTATATACTATGCTCGTCGGTTAGCATACATTATAATTGGACGGAGTGACACTGATATCGGACTTGCCATGTAACTTAGATGATTCATGAACTTTTAAGCTCAGGCTTGCCGAAGTCGAGATTGGAAATGGATTCAAACGGTGATGCTGAAAGAAAAAAGGAGAAGAAAGGAACAAAATTAGTAAGAAATTATAACAGGGATATAGTTTTGAAGTGTTTTTATTTCACGCAGTTGCAATAGTTGGTGTTTGATTAAATACGAAAAACGTCAGGCCAATAATAACAATTGAATTTCTAATTTGTGATTCTTTTCCTCTTACATTCAAGTTAAATTTGATCAGTCATCAAATAACTCCCATCAACCATTTTTTTTTTCTTCTAAATATATCGATGCTTTAATATTTTGATGAAATCATGATGAATTATAGTTAATAAGTCTTAAACGTTGAAACTTTTTCACAATGGGCTTTATACATGGCTATTTATAAACACAAACTTCTGTATACGACTGCATCCATTCTTACTCTCTTATCATTGGATATATATCGTCACCACAAATGTATACTAAAATTACTGATAAGGTATTTCAACTTACAGAAAAAAGGATCGGCATGGAAGAAATGAGACTGGGCAGGAGCTATGGGTTTCCGATTCATGTGCTGAATGGTAAGAAGTTGGGCATCGGTATGGCTGGGTGGAAAGCGAAGAAAAGGAGAAAATCATTAATGTCAGAGGTCAAAATAGGAACTCAATGAGAATATAAAACTAAATATGAGATCACAGTAATGATGTCATTGTATGTGAATGTACTATGAACACTTCAAATCATAATTTACTGATGTAAATATACAATAATACATTTCTTGATGTAAATAGATTATTAGTTTGTCGATACCAGGTTTATGAGTATTCGTGAAGCAATATTAGAGCCTGCATAAGCTATGATTAAATCTAACAATTATAATAAATTGTGTCTGCCTGTTGTTCTGCTAAATGATCATCATATTTTTGTTCGCAAGTTATGCAATAAATATTGTACGAAAGAAATTATAACTCTGTGGTTTATGACTGGTAATTCCATACAAATGATTCATCATACGAGCTATCGCCACCCGAGTTGAGGCTGTGTGCATCTATCGCACGAACTGCCACGAAGCCATCAGGCTGTTGTACGATACGCCACAGACTCGACAACAGCAGACGGATAGATCGTAATTTAATCAACAAAATGGCGACAATGAAGTGGAAAATAAAGAAAAAGAAAACAGATTTTAATGTTTTAGGACTCCAGCTTACCTTCGTTGATTAAGAGGTTTGTAGTCATGGCTCATGGTTGATGAACTGTGAGCCGCTGACATATCCTTCGGGACTTGCTCTAACGTCAGATCCTTCACAAACTGGTCATAATCAACCGACCCGTCTCCTATTCGGTCACATCTGAATTGAAAGAAAAAAAGATCGTTTAATTTCGGTGTCAGTTTTATCGGGCTCTCCTAAAGTTTCAGGATACTGAAAAATTGTGATATTTTAAAAAATATTTTATAGTTCATATGTTTCTTTATTTTTTGGCTTCGACCCCTATGAAAACAGCTGTTAGCTGACAAGGGCGATCCAACACATGAGTGGAGAAGAAATAGTTCATATAAAATGAAATCAAGATGACCAGCCAATAGACATTCATTTATTGGGGGATTTAATTTTCTTTCTTTTTTGGTCTGGAATTTTCGGACACATAGTTGTGTCCCCTTCCCAGTCAACTACTCCTGATAAAGGTTAAGATTTCCATTTTGTATACCACAAACTAATAATGCCCAAATTGTGTACACCATCGAGAAGTGTATTCGTATACGCGATTAAATGAATGGATTCAATAATATCTAACATCTAATTTTGTGCACTGGTCGACGATGACGAGAGTAATCGCTTCCACCATGTTTTTCTTTCCCTCATAAAATGTGACCCAGGCGGCAGGGTGACGGATTATCATATCACATATGTTTTCTACAATCGTAAGAGGTTAAAGAGGTGCAATCCTTTCGAAAACAATAGATTACCATTTTAATGAATGACGAGAAGAAATACATATTGTCACTTACCTTTGTAATAATGAATTCAAAGCCTTTTGACTGACGTTGATCTGGAATTCACCGCAGATTCCTTTCATCTGTGCCTTCGACAACCGACCCGTCCGCTCGGGGTCGGCAGCCATCAGCGACTGCCGCAGCTTTATATGTAGCGGGTCACGAGGATTAGGAGTGCTGAAGAAAAAGAACAGAAGAATGCTTGAATAGATTAGCACTTTCATAATGTAAAATAAAAAGCAGTTTTAAGCCCCAAACGTTACACTGAAATAAAGTGAAAATACTTCTGAAATATAATGGTAATCACAGTATCTAGTTTTGAAAAGCGCTGGATATTTTAACATCATGACTTTGTTTCGATTGATACTGATTGCTTTGATCGCAAGTCCTCCAAATAATTGCAAACCTACAAACTCCAAACTCTTTAATACAGAGTCGCCCCGGAAAGTCGCTGTTACTATCAAGTTACGAACAATTTTAATCAATTGCAACTCTTCTTAAGACGGGGGACACAAGTTATGATAATCTAACAACTTTCTGAACGTCGCGTTAATCCAATGGACATTAGTGCTGAGTCGTCCACATTTGAATTTCTTGTTTTGCTTTCTCAACAGTAATGTTCGAATATACTCACTTATTGTAGTATGATTTCTTCGCCATTCTGATCGTTTCGAAGACTGTTGGACGCATGGGATCCTGCTTCAAATCTTGAGTGTTTTCACTGTTTGAAGAAAATTAGGACATTGCAGAAAGACGATTAGATAAGAAACATAATTTTATCGTTTCAGACTCGTATATTGTTAAAGAATACTAACCCAATCCCTAGCTTTCAAACGACTGATAACATGATACAAAATCTTGATATGTCAGAGAAGGTTCTCTTATGCTATGGGCTCGACGTTTCTTTTGTAATTAACAGTATCTTAATATCATAACAAAAATTATTTAAAAAATCTTTCGTAATTGATACTGACTATGGGCGTTAACGGGGTATTTAAGAGCAAGTGCCATGGGCGCCTAGCAGAGACTGATACCGACGTAATAAAACCATCACCAACATCATCATCATCAACATCACCCCACCATCACCAACACCACCACCACCACCATCATCGTCACCACAAGAGTTTCTAAGTTTCACAATAATCACAATGAGCTTCGCTCTATATACGTCAACAACAAAAAAGCGACAGAGAATAATGATCTTACCTGGCGTAAGTATGCCTGTAGTTGGGGTCGCTCTCGTTCTTCTTTCCTGCAGCTGGAATCTTCAATCCATTGTAGTTCTCATCGGTGAAACAATCCTGCGCTTCGGTCACATGACTCGGTCCGTCGTTCCCAAACTTAAAATGGACTCTTCTCGCGTCCTCTACCCTTTCCTTCTTCTCATTCCGCATGCCCCGTAGTCGCGCGTTCGTGTCGGCGTCGTTCATCAGCTTGCTTCGGAAATCGAACGCCTCGCTGGTCTCCGAGGCCGATGGGATGTGGGCTTCGTACGGGAGACAGCCGACGGTGTCCAGGTAGCGGTACTTGGACTGAGTCACCTCGTATCCCTTGCGATCCCCATCAAGCGCGTGCTTGACGTAGTTTGTGTGAGACACTGCAAATAATAACAAATATAATATTAAAGTTTTAAATAATTTCACGCATTTCAAAAAGAAGATATAAAACGCTTAATTAGTGATGGAGAAGAATCTAAACTTGATGTTGGAAACATCCGTATGTAGAATTGGCATTAAAGGCAGGCTTTACTACTTCAACCAGAAGGGATAAGACCACCAAGCGAGCCAGTGAGATCACTGTGACAGGTGTCTATCTCATTAACTCAGCTCTCATTTAAAATAAGAATAAGAGGACCATGGGGGACCAACAGGCACCGATTGGGGAAGTTTTCTATATAGAGGGAGCAAGTAGCTACAAGTAGGACAGTGTGCCTTTAAGACAGATGCCGACGATTTAGAGTCGAATAATGTTCATATTATGCGTAAAGGAATAATATTTACGTCTTCATAAGATGTGGACGTAGGCGGTGGGTTAACATTTAACTTTAAGTTAATTTGGATACATAAGCGTGTATGCGTAATGCGTACGGTATACAGCGTCTATTTTCTTTTAAGCATGCCTTTAAACTTTAAAAATTTCGTTCCAGAATCTTATCACAAACATGATTGTCCAAGTCCACTAAGTAAATTGTTGTTTTGCTATTTCATTAAAATGCAACAAAACATTTTAGAACGAAGTCTTTTTACTGATCAAACTCTACCGTCTGCCGTTTTAGAGAGGTTGTACTTACATGAATCTTGTCTGTCGACGGCGTCTCTTTCCCTGTCACAGGTAAAGATGACATTGTTGACATTATGACGTCGCTTGTTCCTCAGACTCTCCATCTCGCGAAGATCCATCTAGAATAACGTAACACCAAGGGAGAAATTAAATATATATTAAAATATATAGCATTAAAATATAATGTGTGTCTAACGCACGATTGATTGAGGAGCCAAAGCCTTTTTTGAGGTTGCTTTTATAACTGGTATTATATGGAGGAATATCTCAATATAAACTGAGCAGGATTGCAAAAGCTTTCGTAACTCAACCTAAGACAATTTCAATAAACTTGTGCATCATCTGTTGAAATGTGCAAATAATTATGACATAACATGATCCGAACAGGATTTCTCAGGGCGATACAACAGGGTATTGAAATTGCCCAGTCTTGCGATCTTGTTAATGATGACTAAATTCTAGATAACGATCAAGTAATCTCGCAGTCCCGTAAGGAGACGAGAAGACAAAACGCCTAGGACCTCATGTCAACTCACTTACGGTCGGCAATCACCCACAATATTCTGCGAAATCAACGTTGATCAGTGTATCTTGTGCTTACCATGTTCAGATGAGTTTGGGATTTGGTCCCACTGAAATCTGTGTAGTCACTCTGTTTGGTGCTCTTCTCAAATCCCCCATCTGAAGTCTTGTGCATCACCTGCAAAAAGCAAAGTGTAAATGGTTTAAATGAGATAACGAAGAATAAACTGTAATCCTATGCTTAAACTAGATAGATTTCTGAAAGTATTCGTGGCGAACGAATTGTTTTCCCATTTTAAATCAATTGAACTGACAATTCACCTATTCATGCTGATTACTTTGATCACTAATTGCTTAAGAATTAGAAGAGAAATGATGATGACTTACCTCTGAAGGTTTTGGTGGTGGCTCCTTGGTTGGCATGACAACGGTAGTTCGTTCCTTGATGTAGTCCTTGTTGTAGATAGAAGCAGCTGGATCCTGATCCGTACCAAACTGTAGAAACAATAACAAAAAGGGTTTGATTAATTACAAAGGCTACATGTAGACTATATGATGTGTAAATATTGGGTTAAAAGAATGATGTGCAGATCAGTACATGGAAACAGATACGAAATCACTTTGCGCTGGAAAATTGAAACAGTAATGGATGGTCCAACGAACAGTTTCTAATCATAAGGACAACCACAACATTCTGGTCGAGAAGTCGCAACTAATTACGAACTCAGCGCTTTAACAGTCAGTACTCGCATTGCTCATGAAGAATACATTATTTCAATCGTAAAACTGCACAGAATAATGTCATTATCAAGGCCTCAGAAAATATAGATTTCACGGCAAGACACCGAAGTTTCAAGGTTTTATAATGTACCTTGAAATGGACGGAGGTCTGGTATTCCTTGCCCCGAGATGCATTGTCCAGCATGGGACTGCCCTCTGCAGTACCGGCGCTTTTGCCTGATCCTCTGTTGAGGACACCCGGGGTGATCTGAAGAAGGTTCGGCTCAGCTGCTTCTGTTCCTTGTGCTCTTTGTGCTTCGTCTCCCAGCTTCCAAGCTAAAATTAAGTTGAGGGAAGAAAACGTGAAATGTTAGAAAGAAATTACATGTTTAGACTTCTTCTTAATCTTCACTTTAAAAGATAACAGGTTAGAAGAAGAAAAAAAAGCACGTGAGTAAGATACATGTACGCGCAAGTCCCATCAGGGAGGTGTTTCATCAAACCTTACAATATATTTTTAAAACCAAAATTAATTTTTAGTTGATGAAACACCCCCAGATCTCAACGGGCAAAAGAAGACGTAGTTATGTTATTCTAATAACTTGTTCATAAACAAATTTAAAGGTCGACTTTAATGTGGTGACGATTTAAGTTGTCAGGACAATGCGTCACAGATAATTTACATGTTTTTTTCTTACCGGTGAAGTTGTTGACGAAGTCTTCATAGTCAATGGTTCCGTCTTTGCCATGGTGCGTCCTGGTAATGAGTTTATCAAGGTTTACAGCCGAAATAGGATCGAGGAGGCTGTCCGTAACCCGTCTCAGCACTTCTTTGCTTACGCAGCCAACCCTATAGGATTATATTTAAAGAGAGAGCAATCTTGAGACATAATTCGATACTTGTATTAATATTGGAGTAACAATGTTGTAAACAAAGATGCGATTGAGCCGTGCTGAATGCATCGTTTACAAATTATCATTTGATTTTGCCGAACTGATGGACATAGAATTTAAGGAGACATGATATATATTCGACCTGAATTAAATTATTTTTTAAGGAAATATGTAAACAAACAGAGAGATGCACTGACGAAATATGAGATAAAGAGCTTTGGAGTCTTTACACACTTAGACAAACGTGGAAATTAGAGAGAAAATTAATGTAATCTTTCAAGTTGTTTTACGCACAGATTTCGCGGTTCGTAACTACAATGACATTTACTTTTTATTTCTGTCAAAAAAAGGAGAGGTGCAAGAAACTTTTAAAGAATTTATCTTAAAAAGTGGTATGTGAAGATTGGTAATTGAATATCATTCTTACCTAGCTGGGTCGTACTGGATGAAGATCTGTTTGAGGGTAGAGCTGGTGGCTTCTACTTTGGCGATGGCTTCTTCGTCTCGTGGGATGGGAGGCAAGAGGGCTGCACCTTCTTCTATCAACTGCGATCTGAAATAAGATGGAAAATATATGGAGTGCATTTTCATAAGGAAAGAACACGAGGACATAAATAAGTCTGGATCCTATGTTCCTCAGTCTCATCGCCAAGTGAGACCGACCCTAAACCGATTCAAAACCAATCATATCGTCGCCAATCTGTCTGATGTCATTTTTCATTCGTTATACTGTCGGTATTGTGTAGGTTTTGCCGGTATGACTGAGGTATGACATGGATATTGATATCGTTGATCATTCAACCGATTATGTTTTGACTTCTCTTGCTCTGATGTCAATTTCTAACAATAGCCGAGTTCCCAACTTTAAACCTGGAATTTAACGCTAAAAAAATCACAACGAAAGTCCTTACCCTATCATTTGACGAAAAGATATCAAATTTAGTAAGCGTAATGCGTATAACTAATTAAATTAGATTTTTAATTTACTTTCTCTTGTTAGAAGATAATGCGTCGGTATCGGGGAGTTTCGGCTTACCTAAGTATAGGGTCATCTTGCAAGAAGCGGCCTTTAGCTATACGGGTCGGTTCAATGAATGCTGCAGATTTGTCTGGCTTTAGTTTCGCGTTGTAGTCATGAGTGAATGTTGTCTTCCCCGGCCTGGGACCTACAGAAAGAAAAATGAAATTTTGTTAAGAAACGAATTTATTTTAAAGATAATTATCATAAGCATACTTTTGAATTTACATATCAATTGAGATTCATACAACATAATTATACCCGACGGCAAAAAAAAAAGTTTGAGCCAAATCATTTAGTACTTGACTGAATACGAGCAGACATATTTTGCTTTATGGTGGTTGCAGTATTTCGGATACTTTACTTAATTCTTCTGAAGAAGGAATTTTGCGGTATCTTTTAGTTCGATTGCACTCTGCATTATGAATTTAAAAAAACCCGATGGTAATTTCTAGTGTTCCAGCAAAAATTATATGAAACTTCGTTATATTCCGATACAAACATTCGGCTTAATGTTTATTAATATCTTTCTTGAATACTTACGCGTGACATTGTAATCTCCTTGACGGAATACAGCCGAGTCCCTCTCATCTTCAATCATCTTCCTAGCAACGGATGAGGGGCTCTCCTCAGGCTGCTTGGGGCCCGGAGCAGTCGGGATGGGTGCAAGACGGGCCCCCGTCATGGACAGGTTCTTGTGGAACGAGTCGACAGTTTCTGAGTCGTAACTGGGCAACGATGAAGAAGGGCATGATCATATCAATTAGGATTAATAAAATATTTTACGTGAAATACAAATGTCATAGATAATGTAAAGAAATATTGCTTATTATGCGCATTTAGGCAAAGTAAAGGAGTCACTTTCGAGAAGATATTAATTAATCTGTCAAGGCATAACGTCACTCAGGCAGTCTATCAATATATCCAAAGTGCATAATTTCCATCTGTTTCCAAGCTTCACGTACTTGTTTGTTATAACAACACTTTGATGTCTTTTGTATTGTCCCATAATTATGTCTGCCACATTGTCCCTTGATTTGATTTGTTCTTACTTTATATTTTGTTTACTGGTACTAATAAAGTGTCCATCCATTACATTAACAAATATATTTGACCAATTTACATGATTGTATGGTTATTTTGAAACGGAAATAAATCAATCTTATCGGTTTAGTTTAGTGTGTTTATATCTTCTATTTTATCAAAATGTTATAAAAACAAGTCACGTATGATCCGAAGGAAAAATAATTGTTTTATTCTTACTGTTGAGGGTCGTTGCCTAATTTAAAGTGAGTGGTCCTAAGATCTTTGACGTTTCGTCTTCTCATCTCGTTACGAGACTGCGAGACGGCCGGGTCGTTGTCCAGATTGTGTAGGGTCTGAAAAGGATGACAAAATTGTCGAGATTAAAATCATCATCATTGTAATCAACATCGATTTAATATATGAACAATGGTTAAGAACCCTGTCCTTTCATATGTTAAAGTCAAACTGATTATACATTTCTTATTGCTGTAATTTTGTTGGCGGAGGGGGGGGGCAAGGGACACCTGCCCCTCCCTCCTTATAGGATCCTGAATCTGCATTTAGTGCGTCTGTCAATATTCGTAATATAATACAAATATGAAGATAAAGTAAACTGTTGCAATATACGAGACATTTTTTTAATCAAGAGATATGAAAACAGTTCTTTATTCGTAGGAGTGTTGTTGATTTACAGATTATAAATATTTGAGAGGGCTATATACTTACATTTCCACCCACAAAGTCTGAATCGTAAAGAGACTGTCCGAACTTTCCATCCCGCCAGTACCGTGGGTTCATGTCCTGTTACCATGGAAATGAGATAAGATTATGATTAGGAAATTCATATTCTATACCTTTATATTACACATATCACATTATCAGATAAATAAAAAGTAAAGAACCTCAATAAAAAGTTCATAATTGTCATTTTAACATCATTAAATGTACCTACAAGGCTAAAGCTAATTCAAAACGTGATACAGAACCAATGAGCATACAAAAATTATCAAGATATTAGGCCTAATATCAAAGATATTATTAGATTATTTTGATATCATTCGCATTTTGATCCGGCGAATAAATTCACGTCCTGAAGTGTTTGCCGAAGTACTCAATTAACGTTTGTAGTTTATGATATCTGACCTTTAAGAATCTCTTATCTTTAGTTTTGAGTATAATTACAAATGAATATGTACACACTGTATACAGTCCGACTAATTTGGAGTGGTTCTAAACACTTACCGGTAGGTTGATTTTGTCCTCTGGCTTGACTGCTGGAAGCTATACACAAAAAAAGAGAAATTACAAGTGAAAATCAAAGCTACATAAACCATGACAACTATAGTGACTTATAAGTGATGAACTATTTTGAAAGTAACATACAAGATCGACCCCCGAAGGCAATATATGAAAAAGGAAAACAAAGGAAATAAAGAGGTGTTATTATGATATTGATGAAGTTTATAAAAAAAAAACTGTTCTACCAAATAAGAGGTTGTTGCTAGCCTTTCCATATAATGCCTTTCTCAAATCAGATCACTAAACAATCACGTTCTGTCACACAAAACTTGATGTTGTATCTTATCAGCATCGTTCTTAAACAGGTTAAAGATTATATTTTGGTATTATGAGCTTACCCTCTCCGCTTTCCTCCCAGAGTAGTCGGCGGCTGTGAGCGAAGACTTGTAGATTTTTTCATCTACAGGGGCTGCTTCTCCTCGAAACTCAAAATGGGTTTGATTCTACACAAAATCAATGAAAATTAGGAAACCATTGAATTATAAAATCTAGAACACGGTAAATGAAATACATATACATAACTATTACTACGCAAAAAATGAATTTCATAAAAAGCAAAAGTATCGTGATTTCTATTCGTTGCTAATATTTCAGAAAGCCTTTTGGAGGCAAAAAAGGGTATATATTGAATGGACGATATACATGTACATTGTTTGCCCAATTTATCAGGGACATATTCTTTTCATGTTAAAAATATTATCATCAGTGAATGTGTTAACAACTATGAATACAGATCACACAGTTATTTGATTTAATTATAAAGATGGATTTTGTGTTAGTTGCGTATAAAGATGTTTTCTTTAAATATTGATGATACTGTATGCAATGATAAACTGGTATTGATGTCATTTGCAAATATCCAACATCTTTGACATTTAGACAAATGGTAGAAGCAATAGAAATGGCTATGTGGATGAGCGAGAATGAGAAATGAGAATGAGAAAAGCTAAAATAAACGCACGTCTTGAAAAGAATCTTGATAAAGTTCAGAAGGTAATACGATCAAGAAAGCATACATCAAAATGTGTTTGATAGAGTTTTTTTTAAATGGTAGAAGAAAAAGAAATGATTGAGAATGCGAAAATCAGAAAATACCCACAAAGTCTTGGAAGGAATCTTGACAAAATTCAGAATGTAATACGATCAAGAAAGCAACATCAAAACGTGTTTGATACATTTTTGTTAATGGTAGAAGAGAAAGAAATGATTACTGAATAAATGCGAAAATCAGAAGCTAACCCAGAAAGTCTTGAAAATTATGTTGATCAGGTTCAGAAGATGATTAAAAATTAATAAAGCATACAATGATGTAATGTTAGAAGCAAAGACACACTGGTTAAAATTATAGAGAGGGACAGAAACACAAATTCACATCTATGGGTAAAAAGATTTCAAATTACCTGAAGTATTTTCTGCAATCGACGAAGAATGAGTAATAAAAATATTGGAAACAAAACGAAAAAGGTTTGTTAAACTTGATTTATAGACCATAACATGTTTTCAAGACAAATGTTCATATTTCAGTGGATTTAAAGGGGCCAAAATGCATTTGAAATATAAAATGATAAACATCTGAATAAGTTATCGAGCAATATTTTTTTGTTTATCAAGCTGTAATTTTCTTTATCCACGCGCTTCAAAAAATTATACTGTTTGTTTTATTTTCATTATGCTTACCTGTTGACCTGAGTCCCAGACAAAACCAACACTGCGATCTGGTTGAGTTCCCTGAAATGACAAAAAAATAAAACGATCATAAATATGATGTATAGGCCTACATAATACATGTACATGCTCTTTCAAAGGTACTCCTCTATTATTTTATTTTGGCGGATTAGGAAGGAGGACTAAAATGTATTAAGTTTGATATACATTGTACATTAGCAAATGCTGGTGAAAACTGTTCCTATTAATAACATTTTTTTTTTAAAGAAAAACCTTTTAAATATCTTTTTAACGGATACCTTCTTTGATTGTGTTGTTTTGTTTCGTTTGTTGTTGCTGTCACTAGTTTCATTCAAAACGGTAGAGAAATATCAATAGCCATGCACGCAGGAAAGGGGTGATATAGAGGTATCATGTGTTTGTAAAAAAAAATGCCTTAGATCACTTAGATCAGGGGCAGGTAAAATTATATTTTAATACAGTCTAGTTGCGCCTCTCTCTTTATAAACATCAACGCGCCCATTAAAAATATATTAAAAAATGGTAGGGAGGGGGAGGGACAGGGGGGGGGGTCTATCTTTTTTCTTCTCGCTTCTACTAATCAAACATGTTAATCTATGCGCCAACCCCACGAATGGCCATCTTATTATCTGTGGGAGCATGCCATATTGATTTTACGACCGGACATTTTGATCTATGATGGAATTTAATCGCCGCTGTCAAACCCGGCGAACAGGAAAGCAAACCAGGTGATGGCAACGCGGGAAAGATGTTGCTCTGAACGATCAATAAATGGTTGTCTGATAAATAATAGGCCAACGTCAGTTATCGATTTTTATTTCCTTCGAAGCAGTGTAAGCCTTGTCAATAAAGGAGGTGTCGGGAACATATTATAACCAAATAAGCGAACCTTGGTGTCTGACTTTTTTCTCCGACTGAAAATGGGACAGATTTAGAAATTCTCATTGACTACTTTCTCTAATTTTTGCTTTAGGCCTACATGTATACCAGTAGGTATTTCATCATCTGTGTCATTTCAAAATTATTTGATATCGTTACAATGATGCTGCCGTACATTTTCGTCTTTGCCCAGGTACCAGGTATAATACAGTTGAGTGTTCAAAAAAACGTTTTAGCAAACAGATCTCCTTGTCTTTTTTTCTTCTTCTTCATCGCTTTAAATGTGGGCCTATCACAAACGTTTTGGCACGTCGGTGATGAATACTTCCAGACGTAAAAATCTTCTAAAAATACGTTGTATATTTCCTTCCAAAATTCAGAATTACGTTTAGTACGAGTATTTAAAGTCTGCACCTTATGACTCAAATTAGATATGCAGGAACGATGTAAACAAAACTAAACGAAACTAAACAAACACCCGATATGTAAATGTCATGATGTCAGTTTGAGAACATTTAGGACTAAACATTTTTTAATCATTTTCGCTGCTTGGAAAACCACGTGATACGACTGCAGGGATTTATGTTTTGCCGAATGTGTTCGTGAGGAACCTCGTGCAGGTGGAAAAGTTCATTCGTTGCCATAGAAATGGAGACCCACGCAACGTCGTCTGCTAGATTTCTCACTGACACATCTTAATGTGCAATTGAAAACATTTAGTCTAGCTTGCGATATTCAGTCAACACTTTGTGGGCCCTTATATGGTACATTATTTATGATGATGGAAACAAACATGCCAAAAAGTGAAAAGTTTGCCTGCAAACTTAAAACAGCCGATATATTCGATCAAAATATTCGATCGATATATTTCATGTAATATAAATTTGTAGTAAAATATTTAAGAAAGAAAGAAAAAAGGGGCCAAATATATCCGAGGTATTATATTTATTGATGTTTCCGATTCATTATTTGTAATATAATGTCCCTATATAATGTTACATTTAAATGTTATCTCGATATATTGATTTCGCCAATAATAAACGTTTTAATGATTAATTCTACAAATCTTTGAGATCTAGATAAATTAAAACAAGATTGTACCAAAAATGATAATAGAGCCTGTATCTGGTATCAAATGGTTTCGGGTATAGGAAACAAAATCACTTCTATTTGGTTTATATGGAGGGTGATAATATTTTACTTCAGTCGACACTAAATGGACACAACGTGAATAACATGTTTACGGGTCTCCCTGATGATAAGAAGTAGACTTTGATCAATTAGGAGTTCGTAACAATGTAGCAACTCATAAAAGTGTGAGACATTCTAGCAAAACTCAGCACTTATAGTCAGGGAAAAGCATTTATCATCCGTTCAAAGAAATCATTGAAAAGTTAGAAAACATGATTATAAAAAGATATATGAAAAGTATTTTCTCAGAAGTAAAGTGTTATAACAGAAATACATATACTTTTAATAAGCCATCGTTAAAACATACACTGCTTGAGTGTATAAATCCCCACAGTTTGGGGTTTAAACTTTTAAAATAATGTTTTCAAAAGACGAAATTTCAAGACTATATCAATGTACACATTTCTTATCTTTGTTTTCACGAGGATGCAAATCAATTTCTAGCAGGCTTGAATATAATTAAAAATAGAAACATATATATATAATTTATATATATATGCACCCAGTCAAAATATGGATCGTCTTTTTTTACCTTAAAAGCTCCTTTAGTTGTGCTGTTTAGAATGGGCGATGTGGATCTCATTCCTTCCTTGGCAATCATTTTAATGTGATCCTGAGTGAGAGATTCTTTCATAGCTGTCATGGCATTGGTTCTGGTAGTCCCATAGAGTTGGTCTCTTCTTCGGGCCACTAGAGGGTCCATCGCTGCACCTGCACCCCGACTAGCCCCGGCGCTCCTGCTCATGACTATAATATTCTACTTTCGCTGGTCAAGAGATATAGAAATGTTCTTCTTTTTTGTCAGTAAAAGCCCAAACGTTTTGGGCTGTGGTGTATAATTCCTTTTGATTTCCCTTTTTTGCTGTTTCTTGATCATGAACTTCTTTCCTGAGTATTTACAACTTTTTAATGAAGTGGTGTTGAGTTACTTGGAGAGCGGCTGGATGTGAGTGTGTCCTGAGTAGGTACAGGTCTATATATTTTCTTGAGCCCACTTGTTGCACTATGCACACACACGTTGTTACTATCGTACGCAAATAATGCAGTGGTCAACTGCGCACGCGCTGTCTAAAAATACATGTACACAGTATACGTTGTCGCGTAGCGACAACATTATCGGGTTAGCATAAAAGATTTCTTCGCTTCAGTAAGTTTTCTTCAAGTTTTCTTCGGCCATTCTATTCGACCCAACTCAAACAATAGAGGGTTCCGAGGATTCTGTCAAGAGATGCATGCACTAGAGCAACAAATAAAGAAGATTTTCCGACTTCAAAATACCCATTGTGAAGTCATGATTTTACTTTATCGACGCTTATATACAGTGATTTTATATTGTGATATCGGAAAGTGAAATTATTCTTCTTTTCTTAGAACTTTTTCTATTATTTTGTTTTCTTTTTATATCTTTCTCGTCTCCACGCTTCTTCCATTCGTCTTTTCTAAAAAAATTTAGAATCCTTTATTTTTCTTGCTTTTTCTTCCTTCAAATCATTTTCTTGTTTCCTTGTTTTAACTTTTATTCTCCTTTCTTTCATATCTTCCTTTCAAATCTCTTTATATTTTACTTTTCCCCCTTCTTTTCTTCCTTACTATCTTCTTCCTTCTACCTTTTGCGCAATGGCCGGCTGGGAATCATTTCATCCGTTAAAGTGTTGTACTACAGACAGATCTATAGCCTTTACCCTCATTCGGGTGCAAGAAAAACTTCAAATATTGACAGGGGTAACCAAGAACGCCTGAAGAGGGTTATATAACTCTGTCAATGAGTAATCAGGATTTAGTAGTCTCAGTCTGAGTGAGCTGCCAAAGGTACCAAGTACCAAGTCTACATTTTGTCGAGATCTTTATTTCACTGTTGTTTCGTATCAATATATTCAAATTCTATGCATACAAGTTTGTTCTTGACAACCTGAAAGCTTTTCCGAGGCTTGCCCGACATAGGAACAAATAACATCGAAACTGGGTTCCAAGTATAGTTCATTATTAATACTGTACCAGTTTGATGAAATAACTCGTCAACTGGAGGGCGTTTCAAGAAACAATTAGTCAGTGGTTTTCACCGACTAATATCATATTCACGAAAATTATATTGTCACCGACTATTTTCCAGGCCTCTGATTGGTCAAATATTGATGAAACGCACCCCCCCCCCTGATCCCAGGAAAGAAACATTGATTGAAAATGTTAGTAAACCAGTCTATTCGATGAGTTTCGGTACCGATGAGAACTTTGTCTCATCCTTCACACTTTGTAGCCATTCAAGTGAATAATGTTAAATGAAACTCTTCACACTTGAACTTCAGACACCTTTGAGAGCACCATAAAAAGCAGGATGCGTGAAGCACCTGGAGTTTCTCACGCACTCGAAAATCGAAATAAAAAAAAGTAAAAGATGACGGATATCTGATTGACAGCACATTATTGAACAGGGGCGTCGCTTTAGGGGGTGTGCATAATAGGGATGAAGGGGTGGACTTGACACCCCCCCCCCCCCGTTTAAAATCTTCTGTCATAAACTTTGGGCATTTTGCCTCGTTTGCAAATCACAAGAATGGCTGACCCCTTCCCTTCCCCTTTTCCCCCTCGTTTTTCATATTTGTAAGTGTCTCCCGTCTTGGTCCGAAACCTCACTCAAATGGTAGGCCTACATCGTGACGCCCCTCCCTCTCAACACAACTTCCACCAATACATCAGTATGTTTTCTAATGATGTAGATCTGTATAAAACTAACAATGACTTATTTTTGTCGCACGATACTTCTTTACTTCTCTATCATGCCTCACTGCCCGTCTTGCTTTCTCTCAACACACAAACCTTCCAAATCCATTGTGCTTTCACGTATTTGCGTTACAATTATCATCTAGACGTTATATAAAGGGTGCAAGAGAGGGCGGCATAGGGATCTATTTCAGTCGAATGAAAACCCTATTGTTAAACGCTGAATCTAGATCTTTATGTGTTGCCTGTGCATTCTAATGCTCTATATATCTATACGACTTAGTTCTGCCGTCATAGAAAAAGTATTTGTTTGTCCCTTCATTCCTTTTTGTTTAATACAAAAATATAACTTAAGATGTGGATTACACCATATCTTTACTTTATGCCAAGAAATGTTTAAAGTATAATATACACATTTGTTATAACCGTACGGAGGAATGCTATAGAATGCTAGACACAAACAAATGTGAAAATTTACAAACATTTGTGATTTTACAGTCATTTTTAATACTCCATACAAAATTATTTTTCTTATCTATTAATCACATTTTACATGGAAGCAACCAAAATATTCCTATAACACAAGAAATCAGAAGTATTTCTCCACAAATTCATCATGTAAGCTTCTTCTGGCCAGAGTTATCAATGCACACTTAGAACTGTATGTCTAATAACCCAATGCTCAATGTGTCCTTTTAGAGCCTTTACAAAAAGCTGCAATTAAAGTCAAAGAAAGAGAAGAGAGGATATAATTAGAGGAAGGGCGAAAGAAACGGAAAAGGAAGGTGCCATTATGCTTAGCAGATTAATCGAATAGTTGGTAACAAGGGTTTCTGGAGAATTATTGATCAGTAAACGGGTCTATGAACAAAATGGAAGGAGGCAAAATGAAGAATGAATAGACATTATTACTGGGAGAGGAAGAGGATTTGAGATGAACGCAGAGGAGAAGATGAAGGCGGGAGAGGATTATTGAAGGCAGATGAGATGAAGGACTTGAAGTCAGAGGAGGATATATTATGAAGGCAGAGGAAGAGGAGACGGGAGAGGAGGAGGAGGGAGAGGGTGAGGAGCGAAAGGAGAATGACGTGAAGGCAGAGGATGAGAGGAAGGCACGGGAGGAGAAGGGGAGGGAGAGGGGGAGATAAGGACAGAAGAGGAGATGGAGGTAGAGGAGGAGATGAAGGCAGGGGGAGACGAAGGCAGAGGAGAAGGAGAGGAAGATAGAGGAGAAGGAAAGGAAGGTAGAGGAGGAGGAGAGGCAGAGGAGAATGAGGAGGAGATGAGGCAGAGGGGAGAAGACGAAGGCAGAGGAGGAGAGTAGGGCAGAGGAAGAGATGGAGGTGATTGATATCAGAGGAGAGGAAGGTACATAAAAAGGAGAAGATAGCAAAAAAGGAGATGAAGGCAATGGAGGAGGAGGAGATGAGGGCAGTGGAGGAGGAGCTAAATGCAGAGGTGGAGGAGGAGTTGAAGGCAGAGGAGGGGGATGTAAAGGCAGAGGAGGGGGATGTGAAGGCAGAGAAGGAGGTGAAAGATGAGAAGGCATGCAGAGATGGGGGCGGAGATGAAGGCAGAGGAGGGGGATGTGAAGGCAGAGAAGGAGGTGAAAGATGAGAAGGCATGCAGAGATGGGGGCGGAGATGATGAAGGCAGAGGAGGAGGATGTGAAGGCAGATAAAGAGATGAATGCAGAGGAATGGGGTGAGTCGAAGCAAGAAGAAGAGCTGTCAACTGTTTTGGTGGAAGAAGCTAAAGTCACATAGGAAGATGAAGCGCTACAAGGCAAGGTGAATATCAAGTTGAAATAACGGAGGATTTACTAGAGTTTGCTGAAACCTTCTGGAATGAGATGTGGGTGAAAAATAATAATAATAATAATAACAATATTTATAAAGCGCAACATATCCATCTCTAGAGATGCTCAAGGCGCATACAAATAAGAAAAAGAAGAAGGAGAAACGGTAAAAGCAGATGGAGGAGGAAGAGAGCACAAATGAAATGGAAGATGTGTTGGTGGAAATACAGGAGGCCCAAGACTTCGAAGAGGAAGGGAAGATAAGCGGAAAGGAAAAAGATGGGAAGAACAAAAGTGTTCGAGATAACAAAGATCAGGCTGTTGTAATCGGATGAAGACGTGCCCCTTTCATCAAACGGCGAAAGGCACTGAGGAAAACAAAGAAGAAAACAAAAGAGTGAGAAAGAGACAAGACAGAGGGGAGGGGGAGGTAGATAAGAGAGAGAGAGAGAGAGAGAGAGAGAGAGAGAGAGAGAGAGAGACAGAGAGAGAGAGAGAGAGAGAGAGAAAGTGATAGAAGGAAATGAACGTAATAAGTTCCGTTCGGTATCATCCTGACATGTAGTAAAACTTGTATGAATTTTATATGTAAAAGGTGACTTCTAGATCATACAAACTGATTACGCAACATTCCCATTAACGGCAAAATTATAAATTTGAAATCAACACATTTAATGTATTGTGAACCCCTTTCAACTTTCTTGAATAAAAGCGCGCAATGTTGTCCTTTGTAACTTTTAAGACAACTGCGCTCAATTGTGACGTGATGGATGCGGTTATGCGCATGCGTCATGATCCGCATAGTTACAAAGTTATCTTTTTATCATTATTGATGTAAGCGCTCTTAGCTATAACATCGATTTAGTAGCATCTCTTCTGAATATATCAGAATATTTGTCTAATTGTCTTTGATTTGAATCTTTCATCATGAGTGACGAACGTAAGTTCTACCTAAAAAACACGTCGATATCATACAACTAGAATAATCTATTGCGATATGTTTTTCTTCAGGATTTAGGTTAAAAATCAATATCATAATTATGCAACGTCAAAATAATCTTGCATTTAAAAAAAGAAAAAAGACAGGTGTCTCAAGAAGACAAGCGTTAGTTTTTAATAGACTCCTCCTGTACGTTTCCCTTATTGCTTCGATATTGTATAACACCATGATTGTAAAATGTATACAAGTAATTTTTGGGGTATCACTTCTCATATTAATTTTTATGTATACGTTATTGTTACATTTTCATTAATGATGTTGTCATGTATTTAGAAAAAATACAAAAAACATATGTGGTAATTAAATAAGCTTTGAAACTTAGAATACAAATGGGAAAGTCGTTTGCATAATTATTAAAGTCGTATTGAAATCTTTGAAACTAAAATAGTTGATGGTTGCTGTTAATTTTTGATACAAAATATAAGATGTATCATTACAGTGTCATTATATTGGTCTTCTCCAATTTGTTTTCATTATTCAGCAAATCGAGTAGTTCCTAGATTTCAACACGAGTTGGCAGAGACTCTTGCCTTCAGTGAGTATGTATATCTGAATGACATTCAGACAAACCAGATTAACGAGTTTGTCCAGCATCTCCAAAAGAAAGGCGCAGAGCTGACGACTGATATGGAGGAAATCATACAGGAGAAGGAAGCAAAGGAAGCGGTAGAATGGGAGGAGGAGGGGGAGGAGCTGGAGGAGTTGGAGGCAGAGAAGGTGGAGATGAAGGCAGAGGAGGAGGGGCGGAAGGTAGAGGAGGAGGAGCTGAAGGCAGAGGAGGAGGGGCTGAAGGTAGAGGAGGAGGAGGTGAAGGCAGAGGAGGAGGGGCTGAAGGTAGAGGAGGAGGGGCTGAAGGCAGAGGAGGAGGGGCTGAAGGTAGAGGAGGAGGAGGTGAAGGCAGAGGAGGAGGGGCTGAAGGTAGAGGAGGAGGGGCTGAATGCAGAGGAGGAGGAGGTGAAGGCAGAAGAGGACGAGGAGGTGAATGGCATTCAGACAAACCAGATTAACGAGTGTGTCCAGGATCTTCAAGGGACAGGCGCAGAGCTGACGACTGATATGGAGGAAATCATACAGGAGAAGGAAGCAGAGGAAGCGGCAGAATGGGAGGAGGAGCTGAAGGCAGAGGAGGAGGGGCTGAAGGTCAAGGAGGAGGAGATGAATGACATTCAGACAAACCAGATTAACGAGTTTGTCCAGGATCTCCAAGAGAAAGTTGCAGAGAAGGAGGAGGAGCTGGAGGCAGAGGAGGAGGAGGTGAAGGCAGAAGAGGAGGAGGAGATAAATGACATTCAGACAAACCAGATTAACGAGTTTGTCCAGGATCTCCGAGGGATAGGCGCAGAGCTGACGACCGATGAGGAGGAAATTATACAGGAGAAGGAAGCAAAGGAAGCGGTAGAATGGGAGGAGGAGCTGAAGGCAGAGAAGGAGGGGCTAAAGGTCGAGGAAGAGGAGATGATTGCAGAGGAGGTGGAGGAAAATTTAATGAAGGCAGTAAAGGAGGTGAAACCAGAGGAGGGGAAGGAGGAGATAACGGCAGAGGAGGAGGAGGAGGAGGAGGAGGAGATGACGGCAGAGGAGAAAGAGGAGGAGGTGAAGGTAGGGGAGGAGGGGATGAAGGTAAAAGAGGAGTTGAAGGCAGAGGAGGAGCTGATGGCTGAGGAGAAGATCATGGCGCTGGAGGAGCCGCCATTCACTTTGGTTGCGGAGGCTAAGGTCACAGAGGAAGACAGAGAGCTAGAGGACGAGAAGGTAGTGAAGCCATCAGAAATGACGGAGGAGTTACGAGAGTTTGCTGAAACCTTGTGGAACGAAACGCGGATGGAGAAGATGAAGATGAAGAAGGGGCAAATACACGAGGATGAAAAGATCATTAACGAAATGAAAGAGGCACTGGAGGGAGCACTAGAGGCCAAAGACTTCAAAGAGGAGAGGAAGATAAATGTAAAGAATGAAGATAGGAAGAAGGAGAGTGATCAAGATAACAAAGATCAGGCTGTTGTAACTGGAAGGAGACGGAAATGGTGGCAATTGTTATGCTGTTTTGGTTGGAGGAGGCGCAGCAGACGTTCTTAAGCCTTAAATGAAAGATTATGTTATGATCATGGAAATTGTGAATAAAATTGTAAATAAATTGTAAATATAAATTGACTTTTGAGGACTGTTTGACATATTTTGATTCACTATTGGAAGACGGGGAGTGGGAGAATCCAGCAAATACAGAGAGAGAGAGAGAGAGAGAGAGAGAGAGAGAGAAAGGGGTTGAAGAGATATAAAGGGGTTGAAGAGATATCTATATAAAGAAAAAGAACAGGAAAGTGAGAGATAGATCGAGTCAGATATGGTAACATATATAACGCATAACGCAATTCAATATGATAAACCAGAACGTTAATGACGTAGCGCTCATCCGCATCTCACAACAAATATCGTAAATTTTATGTGGTACACTTTTGAACTGGTCAAAAAATAGAAATTTGATGCCCTGGAAGGGACATAATTTCATTTCATTTGCATGAAGTACCATAAATAATCAATGGAGCAAAATCTCACAATTCTGTGTAGAAGTTTATTGTTCCAAATTTAGCTCTACCAGATAAGGCAAAATCGGTCAAGAAATTAGGGAAAAGAAGCAATTTTTGTTATTTTTGGAATAAATTTGCATAAATTACCATAATTAATTAATGGAGAACAATTTCAAAATTCTGTGTAGAAGTTTAATGTACCAAAGTTAGCTCTACGATATAAAGCAAACCAAATAAAAATCGGTCGAGAAATGAAGGAGAAGAAGCCTTTTTTGTGATTTCGAATAAATTTGCATAAATTAGCATAGATAATGAATTTCATGATTCTGTGTAGAAATTTTAAATCCCCGTCTAGCCCTATCATATGAAACAATCAGAATCAAAATCGGTTGAAAAATAACGAAGAAGAAGCATTTTGAAAATCTTAATGTTGATGCCACAACAAAGTCTAAGTTTGTTGACCTTAAATGGCCTTTGACCTTAACTTATTGACCTGAAATTCTACTCACATGATTGGGGAGACTTGATAACCCTATAGTCCAAGTTTCATTGACTAAGAACTTATACTTTCAAAATTATATCAAAAATTCAAAAACTTAACCTTAGGTTAAGTTTTCGATGATGATGCTACAACATAGTCGAAGTCTGTTGACCTGAAATGACCTTTGACCTTGACTTTGTGATCTGAAATTCTACTCACATGATTGGGGATACTTGATTACCCTATAGTCAAAGTTTCATTGACTAAGAACTTATACTTTAAAAATTCAAAAACTTAACCTTAGGTTAAGTTTTTGATGTTGACGCCGTCGCCGTAGCCGTCGCCGTCGCCGCCGCCGCCGTCACCGGAAAAGCGGCGCCTATGTCTCGCTTTTTGCTACGCAGGCGAGACAAAAATGAAATGGGAAGACAAGAGAGCAACAGACAGAGACAGAGCCACAGAGAGCCAATCGATTTTTAGTGAAATGACAATCAAAATAAATCATTAAAGAAAAAAACAAGTAAACGAAATAAATAAGTGCCCAATAAACAATCTTGAAATAATTTCAGTTAATCAACATAAAACTTTAAACACCTTTATGGAAAGGCCCCTGTTTGGGACAAAGAAGTTTCTTCCTTTTTTGTATGTTGTTGCTAAGCTGCTTAAGACATGTAATATGATAGTAGTGTGTTACTAATACAATATTATATGAGCAAGTCCAAAGTATTTGGTCATTAGGTGTCCCATACGTCACCAAAAAGTTTCATGGTGTTATGAATATAAATTGTCATTAAATGTACCATTGTGTTACTTCACTAGTGTGATCCAAATTTGTATAGAGCTTGTAATTGATACAATAACCAGATGCAATTGGAACCATTAATGACAAAATACTGTTTTATTTTCAAAAAAGTACACAAACATACGAGAGGGAACTAAATAAAGAAAAATGTCTAGTTTCGTTTGGTCAAAACATATTTTGCATTTTATTGAAAATATTTAGTAATAAGGATTTATAAAGTAGAGCAAAGCCCAATTCTTTTGAGATAGCCTCAATGATTAATCTCAAACATAAAGAAGTGATCAATTGCAGAGCAAAAATAAAATATAATCAAAATGAAAACGGGAATATCAGCAGATGTTCAGAGCAATATCAAGTGTCAAGATATAAGATTAAAATTAAGCTAATCATAATCTAAATTAGTTAATCTGAATTGTAATTGGATCTTCACTGTAGGCATTCCACAGCCAAAGTAGAATATAGAAATGATATTGCACTTCTTTTTACAAGGATAGAGTATTCATATATATGAATAAACATGTAGTTTGAATAGGTATTTACAAATATATGAGCTCCAACTACTGGTATTCATCTGTTCAGAGCCAGGAGGGCCCTTCTGGCTCCAAATAGACGTATTTCACAAAGGAGCTCTGACAATTTAAGTTCATCTGAACCTCATTTCTTAGCGATATTTTCTGATAGTAAAACAAAGATTTGTACTTGATGAATTTGCAATTGCAGTCTATATTAGCCAAAATATGATGTGTGTCCAACATGTTACAGCTATCTTGTGGATACTATATTGATAGCAGAAGATAGTCGGAGTATCGCAAAATACTGAAGTACTTTACTTGATGTTGTTTTGTGCTTATTTGGCAGCATTTTCATACGTAGAATCCTAGGCAAAATACTGCCAATACAAGACTTGTGTATTGAAGCATTGAACAAATGGTCCCTAAAATGCATCAAAGCATTGTTCCATGTGCATTTCAGGTATAAACAGCAATGCGTGTTTGCAGTATCGTTGCCATACTGCTTTTGGGCGGTGCCTTGCTAATATGGCAATGAACATCCCTTGCGAAATGTGGTATTTGTGTACTGGTATATCAACAGTGCCATGGTGACACTAGTGGCCATATACGCATCAATGCATCTAACCTTTGGAATGTCTTTGCACCAATAATAAAATAGCTATAATGAGTAACATTAATTCTTCAAATCATCTCATTTAACAATTATTATGCCAAAACATTAAGTATTTATTCAAACACATGATTAAAGTTGGTAAACTTCCACAATTTTGTTGTTGTTATTCTCAAGAAAATTGAGAGTACAATGGTCTAATTTTTGTAAACAACACATCCGTAAAACAAATAGAACTGAGGGAATATTGGCAAGAACTGTGTTTATTTCTGCTGTGTGCCACATAAATAGAATGTACTTGATTTCCTATACCAACTCTTAGTTAGGTAACCTTCATTTACTGTACATCATTAAGTACAAGATCCCGCTTTCTCTGTCCATTATATCCACTTGCAGGACATTGTTCTATGGGTCACACATCCTCTTTCATCCTTGGAATACTAAGTCCAAGATAACTTGGAAAATAAGTGTTATACATACTCAAATGGTATTAACAGAGTTTACCACTATCTAAATTGGACTCACAGTTCCAAGGAGTGAGGACACCTTCAAGGTCATGCAGCTAATGACACATATTGTTTTTAAAAACCAATCCATGATTTTTCATTGATACCTGTCTCCAAACGGTTTGCTCCTCGAGTGTGGGCCAGCCTGCTTATGTGAGCCATATCTTTGAAAAAGTCTCAAGAATCCGACGGTCTACTGTTCTTTCATTACTCTGGTGTGCCTTTAGTGTCATAAGCCTGTTCACATAAGCCATCTCAGCCATTCAAACAGTCTGTAGAGCCTTTGCTGTTTTTTCTTTTTTTCTGGTGTGCCTTTGACATCACCAGGTGGCTTGCCTAATGATTCCAGCGGTCTCAAATATCCAAAGCTCTAACTGTTCTCAGGGATGCCAGTTAGAAATGATCAGAGACCCTGAAAATCACCTAGAATGAGCTATTTTGTACACAAAAAAGCCTAAACTATGGTCTGAAAATAACTTGCCAGGGCCTGAATTCAGGCTATTGCCTGAAAACTGGCATCCCTGTGTTCTTTCGATATGATGTTGTCAGCCTGCTTTTATTAGTCAAACCATATGCAGTCTCATGAATAATCTATAATTATTTCATTTTTCTGGTGTGCCTTTAGCATCACCAGCTGCCTTGCGTAATCCTAGTGATTTGAGTGGTGTCTTGTCCTTGGCAGCAGACTGCTCCACCTCTGTGATCGCTGGAGATAGAGAGCACCAGTCAGGGACCACCTCCGTCTGCAGGAAGGCATCCCGGGACAAGGACCGGTAGCTCAGGACCTCCAAAGCCCCAAATATGGCTCCTGGGAAGCAAACATATACATTAATGCTAATTAATGAGTGGGTAACGTAACTTATACATGAAAGGTTGAGAATCAAACACTATCATTCATACAATCTATTATTCAAAATAAGAATACCTTACCTGTTTTTAGAATTCTGATGATATAAAAGGCTACTTCATTCAATAATAACAATATTAAGCATTTATCAACAATGAGCTTGATTTATTGCTCTCCTTGAACTTTATCCACTCTTTAAATATTAAATCAATTTACCCTTCCTTTGAAAAAAATTAAATAGATGAAAAGAAAAAGAATAAATAAAGCCAAAGTGACAAAAAAAAAAAACATGGATGGAAGGATATAACCTACAAGCATGACCCCTTTGACTGCATCTTTCTTGAGGAGGCACACAGAAATTATGCAAGATCAACAGTAGGTACTGCAATGCTATTTGCTACAGCATTAACCAATCATCTACTGTATTAAACAAAGAGGAATCACTTAGATAAAACAAAGTAATAACAAACTTTCAACATAACAAGACAATGTTGCTGATCAATTTCTTTATATATTTTATTGCATTTTAGCTTCAAGTAACAAGGTAATTTCCTTTGTCCCAAGGGCCCGAATTCACAAAGGAGGTTTAACTTAACCCATGGTTTAAACCCTTATTTACATAACCCATGGCTTAAAAATAGCACAAAATAAGCGTACCTTGCCTTGTGCACGTCTGATATTGGACCTCTGACTGTATCGCGCTTATTTTGGGCCAACTTTAGACCATGGGTTATGTAAATGAAGATTTAAACCATGGGTTAAATTTCAGCCTCATTTATGCATTTGGCCGAGGAGTTTGTTATAATGAGGTTTCCACTGTACTGGAAAGAGAAAGAAAGAAAGAGGTTTGACGTCAAAAGACAAATTTAGCACTTACCTCCTAGCCATGCTGTAAAGTTGGCCTGAGCTGGAGGTGAATGCACTTTGAAGGTCGTGATGGCAAAACATTGCTTGTACTTTGGCTTAGTGAGGAGCAGCTTCAGCTCGGCCAGAAGCCGATGAGAGAAACCAGGCAAGAGGGATGTGCCTCCGATGAAGACCAGGTTGTCAGCAAGGGGTTTCCGCATGTCGATCGGACACTGTCAGGGAAGAGAAGAGATGGAAGAGATGTGTTAGACATTCTATTAAAGGCATGAGAAACATACAGGATATTATATTTCTTATGCTGCTGTAGATCATGATAAATGGTGCTGAACTCAACCACAAAGCATCTTTTTGGGAATGGGGTAGTATTACATGGATCTGCACAGTATACAGCTATCATTTCCAATAAAGACCTGTATTGTAGCAAGCAGTTCTTCCTTTAGGCACAGGTAGTATGATAATAATGCAAGGAAATATATGTCAAAATATAAGACACCTGATGATCATTTCCTATAAATATGACGAAACTTAATAATTAAAGCTAACATTTTGTTTGTTTTTAAATCCAATTTAATTTGGTTGTTTGATCCCACACTAGGTTGAAGAATAAACAAACTACTGAAAGAAAAAACAAAAATAGTAATGGGGAAGAAAAAAAACATGATTGAGAGTTACAAATCATCATTATCATATTCTAGAGTCAGCTCTGAGTCAAAAACAGAATGTCAACAATAAAGAGCCCAGTTAAAATGGATTTCCTTTCAGAACATTCAACCTAAACCAGGGCCCCCTCTTACAAAGAGTTGATATCAATCGCAATTATGTACATAAGAGATAGGAGACTGCAAACTTGCGATTGATTGGAGGACTTGCGATTGATTTGGATTAATCGTAAGTCTTTGTAAGACGGGGCCCAGAAATACAATAAATGAGAAGATGTCAGAGTTCACCGACCTTGAGTATGGAGTCAAGGACAAGTGTCGCGATGGACTGCTCTTCATTGTCCATTTCAAAGAGGACCTCGCAAGCTACCTCTCTTGATTTGCCATCCATGGTCAAGGTTCTACCACCATTCAGCGGGTAGTCAACAGATGCTGCAGGACTTGGCCACTAGGGTAGGAAAGATATGAACATTTTAAGTACGATACAAATCAATCCACACCTTGCAACTGAATTTTTCTCTTAGAAAACATAGTAATCTGTACATGTATTTATTTGATGAATACAATTATCAAACCCACAGCACTTGCAAAAGGGGGGATTCACAGTTATATTTAAAATGCAATAACTATTTATAGAAGGCATATCATATACGTGTACACACAGATTATTATCAACACTATCATGGCTGGGTAAAGCCCAAGAAATATCTAGGTAACAATCTTTAAAATGCAAAAGTTGTCGATGTAGATGTCATAAATGTCAGTTTCAAGATATATACAATGAAACTTGTCTATAAAGACTACCCAAGGGAGACATGAAAAGTGGTCTTTATAGGCAGGTGGTATTTATGTAAAGTTTACTTCAGAACATGTTTCAATGAGAAACAATTTTCAAGGGAAACAAAAATGTGGCCTTTGTAGACAGGTGGTCACTAAAGCAGGTTTGACTGGAGTAGAAATTCACTTCATGTACTCTTGTTCTCACCTTGCTATCATCAGCCTGAAGAATGCTCTGCTGAATGGCTGTTGCTCTCTCCATATTGGTCATAAAGCAGCTCCTCACTGCATACAAACAAAGTTTAATAATGATGACAAAAATGGTGAATGTGGTAATAGATATATTAATATAAAATGCTTATCGTTGGTTGTTTTAACATGTACGATTAAGATTTAAAACTACGTTTGTACAGGAAAGTGAAACATTCATCATAAAACACATCACACGTTAAATGTGACTTCTCAAAAAATACTAAACACCAATGCACACAATAGAAAAATGTACATGAACTTGCCACTTAGTGGTTGGCTTTGATTTCATGTTATTATAACAAGCTAAAATCAACAGAAAATACAACACACATGGGATGACATGATTATTGCAACATTGAGGGGATGCTCTAGACCAAAATAAGGTGAATGAGGGCGCAGTCAGAGTTAGCCTATAACAGAATTCCAGTACAAAAATCTATCACGGATTTGTTTTTCTTACCGGTAATATCTTCCAAGACATCCGGAGGTATCTTGTCCATAACAGATAACAAAGGTTTCTGTTCTTCTCCATTCTCTTTGATTGTCCCTGTCTCCTTCAGCTGGCGCTCAAGGTTCCTGAAAGTGTAAAAACAAAGTCAAATTTGGTTGGTTACACAGGACCTTTAGGATTATATAATTGAAACTGAAGGATTGCTTTAATTGTTCTTTTCACATTTTCCATACAAAACTTTGTCTACAACAAGATTTTGAGGTCTACTCCAGAACTTCAACAGGAAATCGAACTAGACTCAAGTGGATTTTGTGCATATATATATATATATATATATATATATATATATATATATATATATATATATATAAAAATCTGTCAAATTTCAAAAAGATAATTTGTCAGATGAGTTTCACTAATCAAGTCAGCACCTCATGAAATCATTGTGTATCTTATGGATTCATAAGTATATTTTGACAGTTTTTAAGTCACATGTTTCTTTCAATTATAAAACTCTTTTTGTGACGATCCACTGGTTTCAATCATTCATTCTAGAAAGGTGTAATTCAGTAAAAATAAATACAAGAAATGTAAAAGTGTTTTAATTTTCCCATCAGTACAGACAGGTTGAATACTTACTCATGAATTGCTCTCCCACCAAGAGGCAATGATTCTACAGCTTTAATGATTGGGTAGCCTTCATAGACGTAAATCAATAACATTGTGTCAAGGAACAATAAACATACTTTAAACATGAAAACATACATGTAATGTTATCCACAAATCAAATTTCAGTAAAGAAGTTTATAAACTGTTTTGTTTTAAGTCTGATTTAGAAAACAGAAAAGCATACACTTCTTTTTAGTAAATTGAAATGGTGCAACAATTTGGATTGAATTACTAAAACCATAAATCACAAAATGGAAAATGCAAACCTATATCAAAATGCATTTCTAATGGTTACTGACAGTGGTTAATGTTAATATGGAGTAGCCTTGACAGGTCAATTGCCTTACTACTCCCTCACATCCACTACATCACAGTACACACATCTTTTTCATTTGTATCATTTGTTTATTCATGTTTAATGTTCTTCTTGAGTTGTCTATTTCTCCATATATTCATTTATATCATTTATTTATGTTCAAAGTTCTTCTTTGATTGTCTATTTTTCCACACATAGTATTTTGAAGAGGTGTAAAATAAATAAATTTGAAGAAAACAAAAAAAATGAAAATAGGTAGCAAGTTAGCAACAGTAATCATTTCAGTGTTGCAGGGCTCTAGTACGCAAGGTTGCCTGCATCTTCAACAGATGAACATTCAGCCACAAACCTACTAAGATTAAAATTATAATGGAAACAAAAGGACAAGTACAGAAAGGATATTGGAAGAACCACTGTCTCATTGTAGCCAGCATCCAGGACCAGTGCTGTGTTGATCCCCAGTGTGAAGAGTGTGGTGAGATGCGATGGAGCAAACAATATTGATGGGACCTGCAGAAACAATGTTATAGGAATCAATGATTTTATACAAATACTGGATCTTTGGATCTCTTGAAATAAGAACTTAATCTTTAACACAGGACCAAATCTTAGAACCAATTGTTAGTGCAATATTATCAACACAATTATCCAAATCTGAAATACATGTTATATTTACATTTATAGCTTGTTTGTATGTAGTAATTAAGACATAAGATAGTAATGTCAAATATTATGTACTACAGTACATGTATGCATGTTCCTCCATCATAATTGAAACACTCCTTACCTTTTAAATGTGCTTTGAGCATATCTCACAAATATTATATGTATCTATAGTGGTTTTTTCTTCTTCAATTTAAATCCTTTCCATAAATTCTATACAATTGTACTCCTGCAACAGAATCTTCATAAAATTATTACTAAGAAGTAAAAAATATGAATAAAAACAATAAAATATACATCTTTATCAAATGGAAGTCAGCAGCTAAGAATACAAGATCAGAAATAGACATACCTCATATCTTTTGAAGAAGACTTTGGCAAGGGTTTGTCTGAACTGTGTGGGGCACAAGATAGATTCACAAACCACAACACGACGGTCTCTTGGATTCACCAACAAGTGCCTGAAAATAATATATAGTAATATTTGTTATCAATGACTCGATTCCCAGCATTATAAAGTTTGTAACTGCGTCAAAAATTGTGAAAAGTCCTATCATGCTCAGATAACATGTATGGTATGCAGTTTTTAATCTCCCGCAAATTTAATCATGATCAGTTTCATCACCAAAATAATGAACTGTTTCAATTCAATACAATCAAGAATTATCCGATATGTTTTTGAATGAAGACAACAACATATTTGTATGTGCTATGAAGAAAAATAAAGTGGGGTGGGGTGAGGTAAACTATTAAAAAGGTCCCCTGCCCCCCCCCCCCCCACTCACTCTTGGGTCACTCACATGATTCAATGACATTTACATTTCACTAAAAATGCAATACAAATTAAATTATTGGTGATAATTGCTTGAAGCAGATTCAATATCATTGACAAAATCGGATGAATCAAAGATAAAAGTTGAAACATGTTTTGATAATGTGTGTTTTATACGATATCTATTTGATTATCAACATTTAAATTCTATCCTAACATTCTCTTCAATTAAACCACATCTGCAAAAATCTCTTTTTAATCACCTGAAGTATACATGGTGTAGAAATTCCACCAGTGCATCATACAGCTCTTCTGTACTGGAGTAGTCCCAGATATGGACAACCTTATCTGTCTTGGAGAGTTTGATTTTACTTGGTATTGTTGCTCTTGGACTCGTTTCACCAGCAAACCCCACTCTGAGGAGAAAAAGAAAGGAATTCATTGAGGGAAAAAAACACACACACAAAATCATAAATGGCAATTAAGATGAATAAAAATGCACAAAATCATGAATAGCAAATAAGATGCATAAAAATGCGCTTAACATTAATAAAAGAGACATGCCTTGGTACTGAATGTAGATTATTTGCTTCAATCAAATTTGTACTTCACAAAGATAAGGATCCATATCTTCATCCACCTCTTACTTTCTTGTATCAGAACTTTAACAAAAATTTGACAAAGACAAGGATCCATACAGGATGATGATGATAAGGATGATGATGGGGAGGATGATGATGGGGAGGATGATGATGGGGAGGATGATGATGGGGAGGATGATGATGGGGAGGATGATGGGAGGAGGATGATGGGAGGGGGATGATGGGAGGGGGATGATGGGGATGATGTGAGGAGGATGGGGAGGAGGATGAGGAGGAGGAGGATGAGGATGAGGATGAGGATGAGGATGAGGATGAGGATGAGGATGAGGAGGATGATGAGGATGAGGAGGATGATGAGGATAATGAAGATGATGATGGTGATGATGATGATGATGATGATTGCTTACTTACAAGCAGTCAGGTAAAATGACCACCACTAAATAATAATAATAAAATAGGAATTACAAAATAAAATACAAATAATTAATAATTTAATTAAAAAAAATAGATCTAGATCTAGACTAGAGTCTAGACTAGATTAAACAACAAAAAGAGGCTTAGATCTAGATTTAATTATTGTAAATATTTTTCCACCCCTCCATCTTAGTCTAGATCTTGAATCTACAGGCGAGGAGGTGCATTTCAAAATTATACATTAGTTAGATAATCTACACACTCTTCCACGGCCACGCCCATACCACACCCTTCACCAGCTTCGGACACCAAGACCGTAGCGGCCTAGCAGCCGCCCAGCGAATCGGCTCATGATCCAGCTGGTGCCTCACACACCCACTACACATTCACAGACTAGCTCGAGCAGTCACAAAAAGCGTCAACTCACACAGATATTTCCCTGTTATTAAATCATATAGTAACATTCATTAATATCTCACTTTGTATATGCAGCACCTATGTCAAAGACGGCGGCTGTTTTCTCTACTCCAACGCTGAGACCCTCAAAAAGCGGCATTTTAAACAAGAGTTGTGTCACAACAAGTAGAAGAAAAGTGATGTGTGCTGTAAGGGATTAATTATTACACACCGTTTCAAGATCACACTCCTTGCACTCGGATCTGACCCGTATGAAATGTCCTGGCCAAATCGAAAATCGCGTCCTCGGGCATAAACTCTTGTGCAAAACGGAATTCTGTACGTTACCGAATAGTCTTTTTTATGGCTGATGTTGGCTAAACTAATTTCAAAAGGAAAGATTGCCATTATAAAATAATTCAAATTAAGACAAATATAATTTCAATACATTAAGAAAACACATTTAGTAAGGATTTTTCCTAAAATTTAAATGGAAACACTGTATATATTAAGTATAACATTATACTTGGCTTAGTACTAAAGCTACGTTCTTGATCCTAGTAAATACCGAATTCTACTCTAGCGAATACAGAATGTATCTTATCGGGGGAGCTTCGCGGTAGGTAGGCGTCGTCGAACGAGCCCACCGTAGCTAACGAGCGCGAGTGATACATCAACAACAACATGCTTGACGATATGACGATTGTTGGTACAACATGGTGAAATTAATCTGACTTTTCAAATATGTGCAGACTGCATTGAATAACTATGACTTTTCTTGATACCGCATGTTAGTTTTTTTTTTTTACAAGTTTTGTGTAGGCCTTGGCTTGAGGCTTGCTATTTGAGGCTTTTAATTAGTTTTTTATGCCAGGCGCTGCACTGGTGATGCCGAGTCAAGTCAAAGTGAGACTGACAATGATGAACCGAATATGACTTTATGAGCCTAGAATAATTACTTATTTTAACTGGTTCACAAACCTGTTGACAAGTTAAGCAAAAGGAATCGGGCTATGCCATCAACACCATGACAATGGATACAAATAAGAGGAACACCATGATAAATCTCAAATTAATTCTGACTGTGATGATCATCATTTTTCTACAATGTTGGGAAGCTACTTCTCTGTCGTCTGCTCCAGCTCCTAGCCGTTGCATATTTGATGAAGTTCAAAAGCATCAAAACGTAGAAAGAACACTTATAAAATACCATCCAGGTTAGTATGGCAGCCCTTTAATCAATTCAGAAGTTTTGAATTGAAAACTTATTAAACTTTGAGCTTGAAATGAGTTTACAGTTTTCATGATTAAATCTTCCAAAGTCAGAATCTATTAACCTTCACTCACAATCTCACAAAGTCTATCTTGAAAGTTGAAAGAGAGATTAAAATGACAGCATCACAGCATCACATTTTTTGTTTGTAAGTTGTGTTGTTTATGAAAATAGATTTGTTGTTGTTGAATATTTGCAACAAAATGGTCAAAATTGTTAAAGTACATGGTGTAACAAAAGAGTAGAAATATCATTGAAGAGGATGACATGTACCGTAAACAAATGAACCAACAGCATTATTCATTAACAGGATATGATGATTAATGTTTTCATGATTCCCCCGCCCTTTACAGGTGATGTAAGCGCAAAATCAAAGAGGTCAGTAGAAGAAGAAGCAAATGCCTACCAGCCAATCAGAGTGAAGACGTTTGTCCAGAATGAGGAGCATCTGATGGACTCCGTGCAGGTTGAAAAACTAGAGACCATCATGGCTGGTGCAACATCTGTTGTTCAAAAACTTCTGTCAGGTACATAGGGAGAGTGACAAAGATGGAATGGAAATAGCCCTTTTACTTTCTTCTGTTTTCACTAAGTCCACCAGTTCATAGAAAGCACATGGTATAAATATCCACAGATCATTTCAATTGGGAGAAGTCCCACTTTGTGTACAGTATGTAAAAATAATGACTGTCAAAGTGATGGAGGTACTTGTTTGCCCCCTTGAAAAGAATACTTCCACCTGTGTATCATAGAATGTATAATTTAAATTTAAATTTAAATTTAAATTAATAAAGATTACATAACTTTAATGAACACCAGCTAAACAGCATTTACAGGGGAGTAGAAGGAATAGAAGATTTTCCCAACATATAAGCAGCTGTATGCAATTTGGATTCCATGCATAGAGATGCCATTATTTAGTACAAATGTGCAGATAGTATCAACTAACACTGAAAGACCTGTTTACTTTTTTTATGTCTAATTCAATTTATGCATTGTTACCAACTATAAGTATTTAATGCACCTGCTGTGTACAAAAACAAGTATCTATGGATGGAATCTGTATCTGTTGTTGCTATGTCTGGAAACCCTCAAGGAGCTATTGTCAAGAGAAACTTTTGTTCAAGAAGTATCAATAAAAGAAGTAAACAGATCTTTCAACAACAACAAAAATTGTAAAAATGTGTTAACAAAAATCTTATTTATGTTTCTGAAAACAGAACTAATACATTGTATTTAGTGTACTTTAATAGAAAAGATTGTTATGATTCATGTACAAAGAAAATTATGTCAGTGGTTTTAATTGAGTGTTGATTTATATCATAGGTGACTAAATTGTAATTGATTATTTAATTGTTTTTTGAACAATTCTGTTTTGTTTCAAACCAGTTTACCCTGTGCAAGGCCCACTGCTAATAGATCGCTCTGAAGCAGCTTGTAGAACTACATACAACGGTGGACAAAACGATGGAAAGTAAGTCCCTTGCCATTAAAAAATGTAGGGGACCTATGAGTTTGTTAAACATTATCATACAAGAGACAAACAAACTTATCAAAAAGATATAATTTTGCATTTTACACTAAACTTCAGTTGTGAGAAAGGATACATAATAGAAATTCAAAAAAATAATGTAGTAGAGATCAATCTGAAATTGCAAATGAATAGTTTTTTTTTTAAAGAGCACTTGATGCAGTTCATCTGAAAACACAAATAATATGAAATACAAGTTATTGTCAACTTTATGCTTTGTGATAGAAAAGAGCTTAGTGAAGCTGCTTTGTGATGTCATTTACTTTATTCAGTTACTTGATGTTACTTACCATCTTCAGGATTGTAATTTTATATTTTTGCCTATATTTACATAATTCACACTTTCCAGGGAATAAGACATTAATTGATGCCAAGTGTGACTAGTATTGGAAGGTTTTGATTTACAGTATTACTGCTTGCTATATATGTTTCATATTACTTGCTCCTGAAAAAGATATAAAGTTGGATGTCAATAGTTTGGGTGTTGTTACTCATCAAATTTTTTTTTTTGTAATTTGTATTTTTCAATTTTCACAAATGCAATAATCTTCTGATATTGTTGTTTTAACACTATGGTGTTGTGCATTTAATGCTTTCAGATGTGCAGAAATTTCACCAAATTATAGAGAACAGTGTCTGGATAATTTTGAGGTAAGGATTTGTTTCCCAATAGAATCCTGTGTCACAGAAATAGTCTCTTAAAATAAAAGATATCTTATGAAATGTCGGATTAGTATAAATTGAAACAAAATTGAAATCTGCTTTATGATTAGTGAATACCATGGATTGTCATGTGCTTAAAATCTTTCACCAACCATCCATCGCTGTATCAAAGACATTATGAAATATGGTATTATTGCCTGGAGTTCATAAGATGAATTCTTAAGAGATTTCAGTACTACATGTATATTAATAAACAAATATTATTATTATATGTGTGGGACCACAACTCACTTCTTTTGAAGAAATTACTTACGATAGGAGAGATTTTAAACTTACAGGCCACCTCTCTAGAAAGGCCATCTTTCAGTGTATGTTAGCTATTATCTATATTATTATTATTATCATCACCATCATCATCATCGGCGTTGTTGTTGTTGCTGTTGTTGTTGTTGTTATTATTATTATTATTACAATTATTACTATTTAGTATTACATACAAAAATGTGTTTCTTGGTTTAGATTCCTGATGATCATCTGGAGGGTCTATGGACATGGGATGCCATTAATTCAGAACCTGCAGTAACCCATTTTGAAGAAGGATCTGGTATTCCTAATGCAGATGTTGTGCTGTATGTCAAGGCTGAGCATACAACACGTTGTAATTCAGGGGTGAGTCATTTAGGATAGTTGTGGCTTTTTAAAAATGTGACATCAAAAGAACAGGCTATTTGGGATATTTGTTGGAAGTGTTGGTATTTTTCATGATTTTACATAGTATTCTGGTGTTTTGATGAAACAGGATAAGGAATTAAGGTCTAACATATCATCTTCTTTAATATCCAGAAAGGCATAAACTTGTATACCTTCCTATAAAGTTAACACACTACCCAATCTTAGCAGACATTATTTTCCTGGAAAATTTGATACATTAGACATAATAGGATGTAATGTGGTAAATTAAGCATGGAAATTGAAGGTACCGGTACTGATTTTGATTATGAACTCATAGATATACTTTTATTTAAAAAAAACAACTAAATTGCAGGCTCAGATCTGATGACATGGTTGAATTTAAAACGAATTTGGAGGTTGTATATAATCTCACCTTTAATTCTAAGAAGTTTAATTTTGATGTTAATAATTTCATATATTATGATCATCTAATTTTCTTTTTTTTTTCTTTTTCATAGGATGTGTTTGCATATGCATCATTCTGCAAGCAGGATCAGTTTAGCAGACCAATTGCTGGAGTAATCAACTTTTGTCCTGACCCTCTTCTGAGTGAGGAATATGATCAAGACAAATTTACTCTGGTAAAAAACAAAACATCAGTTCTCTTCTCATTCTTTAAAATCCTTTCACATTTTCATGTGGTTGCAAACAAATCAAGAGATGTTTTTATCTTCTGTTTTATAGTTTCTGGTAAATTACTAAAGCAATATAATTACAGCTTAGACACTTTCTTGTGCCACTGTGAATTAATTTACACAGCTCAAAAGATTTGTTGTTATATAGATTGATATGTTACACACAATGTATGAAGTTTTAGTATACATTGATGGTCATCACTTCAGATTTATTTTATGGTGTGAAAAATCATTGAAGTATTGCGTAATTATAGAAAAAAATGGGTTAAAGCACAATTCAACAACAAATACCACATATTAACAATATCTATGATTGTGCTTATATTTGTGTCTTATTGCAGCTTGCCCTGCATGAAGCGTTTCATGTTCTTGGATTTTCTACAAGTCTTTTTGACCAGTTTCAAGATTGTAGTGTATGTGGTAAGTTTATGAACCTATTAAACACTAAGCCCAACTTAAATCATGATATGGGAGAATTTTTTTTGCAGCAGTTGGAAAGTATGATTTCTCTTATTTATTACCCTTATATTTCCTGTTATCAAGAAGAATTCTCTTTCCTACGTGCCAAGCTTCTTATTAGACAAGTGTGTCTGTTAGTGGATACCATCATGAAACAAGATAAAAAGTTATCATATGATCAATATAAGACCAGAAGAGAAATTTATTCATTTATTAATGTACATGAATTTTGGCGTGACAATAAGAAGACATTAGTTGGATAGAGCCAACAACATAGCAAACGCTTGTCAAGATTGGCCCATTCAATCCAAACAAAATGAATTCATAACCCTCCATCGTATTTTTCCTAATTAAATTTGGATATCTAATTTGTAATTTTGTTTTGAAGTTAATTTATATTTTCTTTGTTTCTGTAGAAGATGGACTCGAGTGCGAGACAAGAGAGGATGTTGTGAGAGTGGATGCCGGTGGGCAGTCTAGACTCCACACCCCAGCAGTCGTGGCTGCATCTCAGATTCATTTTGGCTGCACCGAAGAGGAAGAAATGGGTGTTCCTCTGGAAAATTTGGTGAGTAAAGTTTCTCTTTTTTAATTTCAGTTTTTCAAATTTCAAACGAGAAAAGGTTTCTTATGCTGTTAGGCAACTAAAGGGCAAAGAGTAACACTTTCTTTCATGTCGACCTGAGTAAAAAGGCCAACTGTGCATTTTGCTGGAGAAAGTATAAATGTACCTATACTTTCAATTCTGGTACAGCACTGGGCTCGTGTCACAGGAAAGTACAATCTTTTGTATTTTGCTAAAGAAGAGAAAGGGCACAATTGCAGAAAATCATGAGTACTTTATACCTGTACTTAACATGTGTACTAGGGCCATGTTTTTATTTTTCTTTGAGGGGTTTTTATGAACAGAATTGACTGCAGTTGGCATATTCTAATAAAATGTAAACATTTTTTTTTTCAGGGTGGAGAAGGGGTATCATCGCACTGGGAAACACGATACATGTATGGTTCTGTCATGGCCCCTGCCATCCTACAGGTAAAAAATCATCTAGCATTACTTCAATATTTTGATGTCTCACCGGAGACTACATTTTTCTAACAGAAAGTTGATTTCATGTTCCCACTCGATAACGTGTCTGAATATATGCTTAAAATGGCAGAATCTACTCAAAATTTAAGGTGGAATTGTTTTTCAAGACTTACTTGCAAAATGAATGTCAATTAATAAATACGTTAGACAAAATATCTTACTTGCTGAAAATCATCATCACTAAAAAGAAAAAAGCACCAACACACATATGCACATATGGGACTACAAATTGTGATGCCACATGTGTGTGTAGTCCCATATACCCATATCTGTGCGCAGTGCTTTGCAGTGCATGTGATGTTCATCAAGATTGAATCAATCTGTAATCATTTTGAAGATTCTAAATCCTCACAGTACTCATTTAATCTTTTGAACTACATAATTAGACATTTATATTAAGCTCTTGACTGTGTTTTTGTCCACAACGCAACTGTTTGTCCAGTTCTCAACTTTATCTCTAGTGTTTACAGACAATGAAGATATTTAGATTTTTGTCCTCTGGGATGCAAATGCAGACAATGAGAAGTAACAAATGTGACAAATTTAATTTCAGGCGCACTCAACCTTTCTGGACAACATGACTCTGGCTGTATTTGAGGATTCTGGCTGGTACAAGGTGAATTATGAATACGCCGGGGATTTCCCCTGGGGTAAGGACCAAGGCTGCGAGTTTGGCTCGGTCGAATACTGCGCTACAAACTTCACCCAGTTCTTCTGTAATGAAAGGTTGGTATATTTAATATTGATAGTGGTGAATTCCTCAAACCACCATTGTGATATTGGTACATGGTGTCAAAAGGGGCCATTTCAATGCGATATGTTTGGGAGATATGTGTTTCTTACATATGCCTCATGAATATTCATGAGTTCACTGAAAACAACTCCTATCATGTTCTACCATAAATAGCAGTACAATCTGTTACTTTCATAGATAAGTCATATTGATATTATGCAGTATTACATTTAGTAGTGTTGGATGGCCCCTGCTAATTTCATTATGCAAATTTAGCTAGATATATGCACATGAGATAGCTCATTTGCATAATTTATGCACAGAAGCCTATTTATGTTAGAAGGGTTCGTTAGAAGCTGTTTTGCTACAACTTTTTTTTCTCATTTTCTTGTTATTTCTCATTTAGTCACATTTTAATGATTTTATACATCACAGTCAATTAATTTTGTAAATAACACAACATTTTTTTATACTAACTATACAAAACTTACACAAATTTGTGACTGGTACATATAGACCATGGATAGTATGATTTCGCTGCTCAGAAGATTTGTTATCCAAGTTACACACAGAGAACTCAGTTTCTCATCCATTTCTTGGGGGAAAGTCCCTGGACCCTGGGTAGAGAGTGCCACATAATCATCTTGTTATGTCTGTTTAGTCTGCAGTCCTCTTGATAATGGGCTATGAGGTTGTTAGGACCGAGCCTTAGGATAGACTAGGCATTTGTCAAAGCACAGTCATGCAAGTACCACTTCTGTGGTAACACAACAGGGCTCACTCTCTGAGTATGCACTTTTTGTTGCAGCATGTTACAATTTTTACAAGTTTGCTCTTTAAGTTACATGAAATGTGCATATAGATGAGATAATTTGCCCAATAGGCCCAATTTACATTTATTTGAGCAATAAATATGTAATATTTAAAACTTTTTTTGTTCTTTATCCAAATGCACTATTAGTAAACAGAAAGTGTTCCCCAATTCAATTTTCTTAGCCAAGAGTCTTTTCAGACGTAAACATGCATATCAGCAAGCTTAATTGCATAATTTATGCATACCGTATTTGCCGGCGTAAAGGCCGCAGTATTTTTGGAAGAGAAAATATCAAAAAGTCGGGGTGCGGGCTATGCGACGAAAGAGTAAAAAAAAATTTAAAAAGTAAGTCAAAACCAGCACAAATTTGCACATATGGGACTAGATCTACGAACAGTACAATAACTATACATTTCCACACATCTTACCGAAAATTTTATCTTGCATTGTTGACATGAAGACGAAAATAAACTTCCAAAAACAACATCTGCAGATAGATCTTGATCTAAGTTCGTGCCAATGCATTGCAAAAGTAAAAGAAGGGCCCGTTTAACGGAGCTGCCGCGAAGCATCCTGCACGCGAAGTCGCTATTTTGAATCCATTTCAATACACAAGAGAGAGGCACAATGTATACATCACAGAAAACTCCATATGCTAGCATCAGTGCGGATTTTTTTTTTTTTTTTTTTTTTTAAATGTCAAAATCGGGGGTGCGACCTATACGGCGCTGCGGCCTTATCGCTAGCAAATACGGTAGATATTGATATTTTTGTATTGTATGCAAATTACAGTACCTTTTGGAAGTATGAGAACAGAGTAATGGATATTTTCCTTCTTCTTTTTCTCTTTAATCAGTATATCAGGTTGTGACTATCTGGGACTGAACAAAGCTACCTGCACTACTAACATATATCTGGATGGATGTAAAATTTATTGGCCAGATTCAGAGAATCAGTGTGTGCATTCATCCAGTAGTGTGAATCTCAATGAAACTGGTGAAATTACTGGACCCGACAGCAGATGTTTTGCGTCAAATTCTCTTTTGGAGGTAAGAGGATATGTGATCTTCAACCCATACATCCGTACACATATCATCTATTTGGAGCCACTCAATTGCAACCCAAGCCCTGACCCCATAACTGTGACATAAGAATAAAACCGGGGGGGGGGGGGGGGGGGGGGGGGGGGGGGGGGGGGGGTCAGAAAGACTATGATCGACTTTAGGTTGGACTATGGCAGGCAGTTCATGCCACTGTTCGCTCTTATCATTATGATCTTTAGATAATATTTTTTTCTTCAATAATGAATTATCAAAAAATGTAAATTTGTGACCACAATTTGTATGTCCCTTGAGAGACCAATGCCAGTAAATGGTGAGAGCAAACAGTGGCATAAACGGCCTGCCATAGTTAAAGTCCAACTTAAAGTCGATCTTAGTCATTGTGAAACACCCCACTGGGGTAATTGTAATTAGAAATACTATTTAGCAGAATATCAAAACAGATTCATATTTTGACCCATTTTATTTTAATTCTCATTTGTATCTCTGTTACTCCAGGGAACATGTACACCAGGGGATTTAGAAGGGAGATGTTATGCAACCAGATGTGGGAATTCTTCTGAGTCGTATGAAATTCGTCTCTTAGACTCGGATTGGATTCCATGTCCAGCAGAGACAAGTATTCAAGTGAGTACAAACTTCTCAAAGCAGTGAAATGTGTTTTCATACATGTGCTATGTGATATACTTGTCTATTCTCAAGTTTATTCCATGTAGGATTTTTAAAAGAATTAGAAGAAGAAAGAAAGAATCAGCATGAGTTTGACCTGATAAACAATATCGATGTCAGCAATAGATATATATTTCAAAGTTAATCATTTTATCAATGGCATTACATATATGTTGCATACAAATATAAGTGGAAAAACTCCACAGAAAACCATATATGTACACTATTTTCGAAACTTTGATTGCTAGTAAAAAAAAATTGCAAATTTTGTATCATCATACTTCAATAGTAGTCAATGGAAAATGATTTATTAAAGAGTAATTGGTTGTTTTACTTCATAAAAAAATATATTTAGATGAATGTTTTATCATGGGAGTTTGTCAATTAAAAATATAAACTTTGCTGAATATGAATTGGGATGAAACAATTTAAACCTAGTGTTTATAATCATACTTTTCAATTGCCACATTAAAAGGAACATATAACCAGAGGTAAGCCTTTTTGCTTGTACTTCAGATCACTATCATGCATTTGCACATTATGTTTATTGCTTGTGCTTTTTCTTCATTTAAAAAAAAAAATTGCAAAGATATTCCATTTTGTACTTTGTGCATGGCGTTGTGATATGCAGGATATTTGCACTTGTTTTTTTTTGCTGCTGTTTTCAGAAGTTGTGGGTTTGATTTGTGAGTTATAAATGCAATTTTGGGGGAAAGTTTGTCATTTAGCATTGGTTTAGCAATTTCATTGGTCAGTATTTTATTTCCTAATGTTTTTTAATATTGACAGTTTAACCTACAAATTTTAAAATTATGTTTTTGTTTGATTATTTTTTTAAATCGACTCTACCACTGCATTGTGTTTTACCATAATATTTATTGGTTTTTCAGTTTGCACTTATGCTTATATATGTTTGATAATGGATCACTGCAATGCACTGTTAGCATCTCTTTAGATATGATGTTAAATTTACTTAACTACAGTTAGCAACTAAATTATTCATACCCTTACCCAGTTTTGTAATTGTTTAAGTACCGGTATGTGAAAAAATGATTTGTCCTGATTTATGTTTTTTGAGAATGTGACATATTCAACCAGTCCACCTTTCATGCTTGAGTTACGGAAGACACAAAAAACATCTGATTTACAAGGGGTGTGAATAATTTAGTTTTTAACTGTATATGGTCCCCTAGCCCAAGTGACATGTCAGTAGGTAAATAATTGACAATTTCATATTAGAGCAAAATATAATGCTAAGTCTAAGGAGTTAAGGGTCACAAGAAAATCCCAATGTGAAAAAAATAATTACTCAAATATTTCTCTTAAAGAAATTAAATACGAAGAGTCATTTAACCCATTGTCTACTGGAACTGTGTGGTTCCTGTATGAAAGCCAATGGGTATGAGAGAGTTCAGTAATCAATGGGATAATATAGCAGATTTCAGACTACTTTCTAGCTCCCCCCCCCCCCCCTTCTTTTCATTATACCAAAAAAAAAGAAAGAGAAAATTACTTTTGCTTACAAAAAGCAACATTCATGACAACATTTACTGGTAAACATAATTCAGCTCTATAGATATTCAACAAAAATATCTTGAAAAACAATATTATGACAGCACTTACTGGTAAACATATTCAACTACATAAATTTTCAATAAAAATATCCTGATTATTTGAATGCTTGGTTTGTTTTTCCAATGACTGCCAGGTGCCTGGCTATGAAGGGGAGGTTCACTGTCCTCCTGCAGACATTGTCTGTAAGAACCATTCCTCTCTTGTGAGCCTGGTGGATCAACCCTGTCTGACCTGCACAACGCCACCTGCTACTTCTACTGCTACTACATCAACAACTCAGAGTAAGTCGTGTTAGGAATGGCAAAGTTCAGTTAATTTAAAGGTTGGATTGATAAATCAAGTCATGATGCAAAAGAAAAAAAAAAAACCAAGATGAACAGACATGAAATATATATATATAGATTAAGGATTAGATGATTTAAAGGTCACTTCAAAATGACTAAATTGTCAATGTTGTGCCCATAGTATGTTCATTAATTTTATTTCAAGGTTTTCATAAACATAAATTTGGGGACCCCAGCAGAGGAATAAATACTTAAAGGTAATACAAAGTTTTGGGAGATTTTGAAAATTGGGTGGATAGTGAATCTTTACAATTTTGATATATTTGGATGCCCCTGTGGATGTATTATAAGCACTAAAAAAAATAGCCCCTAAAACACTTCTGTTTTCGTGAAAAATTGAATATAAAAATTTACCGGTGCTCCCGGTAAATTTTGATAAATTTCAAATAGCGCCTATGGCCGTACAATGGTAGCTGCGACCATGAAAATCTCAGAATATGTAGTTGGGATATATAATTTCCAAACGGGAATAGCTAATCGGTCGATTTTAGTCAAGAAACATTGTTTCATAGTTAAATTAATATCTTGACCTTGAGAGGGAGCTATACAACATAAAGAGTTTAATATTTATAATTTCATAACTTTTAGACTCGATTTCAACCGCGAGAACGATCAATGTATATTGTAGGAACGTATATGCTTCCAATATGTTAATTTGAACCAAATTCATGACCCCATACCAAAACTTTGTAATACCTTTAAGTTAAGGACAGTTTTGACAATATTTTGGTTTTCTAGTTTTAGGTAAACTGCATTTTCCTCAAACAAATCATATAGTCAAGTGCAGATCAGTAATATTAGCAGAGATATTGAAGCTGTGCTGTACTGTACTGTACTGAAGTTGTAAAGATGTTTTTTTTCCCTCCAATTAACCGTTTTTCAATCAGTATGAGTATGAATTGAGAAATAGTTTTTGTGATGTGACATTTAAATATCCTAAATATTTAATCTCTTGCTCTCTCACTCTCTCCATTTTGTTTTCTTTTCTTTCATACATCAGCTTCCCCAGGTGAAGTTCCAGGTGAATTAAATTTCTCCCTAGTGTTCAACGACCTTGCATACTCAGAGGTCGACGAGGGGTCAGAGGTCAATGACTTCAAGGGAGTCCTGATTGGGCGCATAGCAGAAACGGTCCAGCTTACCCAGTGAGTATATTGATCTTCAAAATAGTTAGCCATATACGTTTTCCTTCATCTCTCCTCTTCTTGCCCTTCTTATAATAATAATAATAATAATAATGTCAAGCTTATATAGCGCATAATATGTTGCAATCTCTATGCGCTTTAATAACAAATAGCACAAAACAAAGTTATATCTTATACAACAATTGGAATAGCTACAGTAACTTAACTACATCAAAAGTATGGCAATATCTTTCTCTAAAACCCCTTTCTCTGTCTTTGTATTAAACTTCACTCTCCTCTTTCTAGCTTGCTCTTAACTCCCCTTTTAAAAAAAAAAGTTGAATACCCCTTCCCTTCCCTGTCCATCTCTGTCTCCTTCTCACCTCATCATCTATCTTCGCTTCTTATCTCCAAATATTAAAAGTCATGAATTGAATAACGCATGATTTTACGTGTACGTAATGTGAAACTTTTATATTGTTTTTCATTGACAGAAATCGCATTGAGATTCTGGACATTATTGCAGGAAGTGTGAAAGCCTTTGTCTGCATCACACCACCCAAGGAAGGAGACTCCCAAGGTATATATTATAGTTCCATAACATTACACTCATATTTCTGATAGTTAAGTGGTAGGTTTATTATTGTACTCATGTACAGATAGGAAGGTATGGCTAGTCCTTGTATCCTTTTAACAATAGATGCCATAGATGTACAGCAAATTTTGTTTTAATTGCTCTTAATTGCTCTATATATATATATGGCTAATTCATTCCTTTCATTTTCATTTTACAAATAAGATATCAGTGTGTTTCTGAACAATCTGAATACAAAAGATATTTTGTCAAAATTATTTTTATACATCAGTTTATGGTTCAGCACCCACCCCCTCCATTATGCAATATAAAATGGGTAATATATCACCTAGGCTAAAGCCAGATTATTACATTTAATAAGCAGTTGTACCATCAGTTTTTGGAGAACACCCTTCTGGTTTCCAACAGACAATATGTACTGGTAGGTTTTTTATGCCTCCGTTACGAAGTAGCCGGAGGCATTATGTTTTCGGGTTGTCCGTCCGTCCGTCCGTCCGTCCGTACGTCTGTACGTACGTCTGTACGTACGTCCCGTTCTCGTGATCACGTTATCTGAAGAACGGATCAATGGATTCCTACCAAACTTTGGTCATATATGTATCTAGCAAAGTCGATGAACTGATTAGATTTTGGGGTCACGAGGTCAAAGGTCAAAGGTCACAGGGCTCATTATGTATGCAAAAACAGCTCGTGATCGCGTTATCTGAAGAACCGATTGACGGATTCCTGCCAAACTTTGGTCATGTATGTATCTTGTAGAGTCGATGAACTGACTAGATTTTGGGGTCACGAGGTCAAAGGTCACAGGGCTCATTATGTATGCAAAACGGCTCGTGATCGCGTTATCTGAAGAACCGATAGATGGATTCCTGCCAAACTTTGGTCATGTATGTATCTTGCAGAGCCAATGAACTGATTAGATTTTGGGGTCAAGAGGTCAAAGGTCAAAGGTCACAGGGCTCATTATGTATGCAAAAACAGCTTGTGATCGCGTTATCTCAAGAACCGATTGATGGATTCCTGCCAAACTTAGGTCATGTATGTTACTTGCAGAGCCGATGAACTTATTAGATTTTGGGTAACGAGGTCAAAGGTCAAAGGTCACAGCGCCCATTATGTATGCAAAAACAGCTTGTGATCGCGTTATCATTAGAACAGATTGATGGATTCCTGCCAAACTTAGATCATTTATGTATCTTGCAGAGCCAATGAACTGTGTAGATTCTTGGTTCATAAGGTCCAAGGTCATGGGCTCATTATGTATGCAAAAATAGCTTGTGAACGCATTCTCATTAGAACTGACAGATGGATTACTATTTAACTCTGGATATCTTGCAGAGCCAATGAGCTGAGTAGATATTAGGATCATGAGGTCAAAGTTCAAAGGGTCATATATGTATATGAGAAATTGTTTGTAATCACGATATTCTGAGAACCTGTTAATGGATTACAATTGAACTTGAATTTGAAAAATTTCTTCTGTTTTGGTTTGTAAAATTGCTCTATGACGGAGGCATCATTTTCGACTGCGCGCAGTCGAATTCCATCTAGTTCTAGATTGATAACACCATGCAAATGCTATATTAGACTGTCAATTGATTTTTCATTGATTTCTCTGATATTGTGGTCATTATTTTCTTCTTTTTTTAACCTGCAGTTTCCCCTGAGGATGCCTACAACAACCTCTCTAATGCTGTAATGTCAGGAGAGTTTAGTATTGAATATAACAGCAACAGTTATGCTGCCTCAGCCATCACGTAAGTATTGAAAAGAATAAAAGAAAAGCATTGTTATTTTTGACAAATTCTCTTGTCCGGAAGAAGGAAGAAAAATCATGTTTAGGGTAATGCTGATATAGCGATAAGTATAACACTTTGTATACAAGTGATGTGGAATTCTCATACAATTAAAGAAAACAACTTTACAAATTGCTTACTTTGCTTTTGCTATGTATTTAATGCAAAGTGTAAAAAGCGCGATAGCTCAGTTGGTAGAGCAGGTGGTCTCTTAATCCCGCAACCTGGGTTCGAAACTAAGTTTTTGCGCTAGTGCCCTTTGGTAAGGCATTAATCCTCATTACTAGGTCTCTCAGAGAAGACCTAAAGCTGTTGATCCTTTGGTTGCTTACTAAATAGCATTAATGGTTTCTTAGCAGTCAGGTAAAATAACCACCACTAACAGCTCGTCTATTACCATTATAACATAATTATCATTTTCATTTCAGACTCTTAGTTGTTGACAACCAGACCCCTACCCAGTCATCAACCGCCATGCCACCGACCGTACGCTCATCCCCTATCACCCCTCTCACTATCATCGTGTTGTCCATCATTGCTGCGCTCTTTGTGACCACCTTCCTGTCTGTCTGTGTGTGGAAGAACAAGAAGACGGCCACCACCATAGCCCCCGCCCCGGGGGCCACCCCCAGAGAGGGGGCGTTACCGGGGGAGGTTTACATGGTCAGGAAAGGGGAGCGCACAAGGGGGGACATGACTGCAGCCACATCCACATGATACACTTTCTCATCCTGACTCTGCTCTTTATGACATTTTACTGCCTCTGTGTGTGTGGAAGAACAAAATGACAGCCATGGCTGTAGTCCCTGCCCCAGGGCTACCACAAGGGATGAGGGGGGGGGGGGGTACTTATATCATCAGGAGAGGAAAGTGTGCAAGAATGGCAAGATGATATCCGGATGACTAATAGAATGTCCTAATATGAAACACCCAGTAAAACAAGATTATTATGGCTGAAGTAAATGAAAATGGTAGCTGAAAGTATAATCATCCTTACAATATTTGTCTCTTTACAATAAGACAAATGTGATTCAATGCAAATCGTTATCGTTATCGTTAAAGTTAATATAAATTTTTTTAAAAGCTAATGAAAATATAAATGTATGGGCACCCTGTTCAGATATGCTGCGGTGGTCTGCGCTATCTTTTAAATTTTTACAAATTACTTTAAGTGTAATCGCTTTACATTTCCTATGTTACAAAGCAGAGCATAGTGAACATGCATATGACCTTTGTTGCTCACAGTCGCCAATCAATTATATGTGAAAAAACTCTGGTGTCTTTTTTTGCACCAGTTTACCATGGCATATATCTGAACAAGCCTTTGGCCTTCTTCAAAATCATAGAAAGAATGGTCTTGAAATCACTAGGTCCTGGACTCTTAACCCGAGTTTGTGTGCTAATAACCTTTGATGAGTTTCATACCCGCAGATACACCCAACCTGTGCAATACATGTATGTGCTCTTTTGTCATATTTCACGCTATGGTGATATATTTATTCATTGTTACAAAATGGTATTGACTTGTATCTCATTAAAGTTCTTTTAAATAGGATCAAGTCACCAAAGCTTTATAATGAAAGCCGCTTGAAAAAAAATTGCATCAGTATTTTAATACGTACCCTATGCATATTAAAATCAGTATTATTCATAAGAGGATCAGCATTATTCATAAAAAAGAAGAAGGGAAGAAACCCTATACACAAATTCTTCATTTAGGTGATTGGTACTCTTTAGGAGATACGATCTGATTAAGTTAAGTATTATACAGTAGGCTTGCAGGTGCACCATCTCAAGCAGCATCTAAGTTAAGTATTGTGGATGTAACTTTTACATCATGACAAATTAATTGCTATATTTCTATGTTTCATGTAAAAAGAATTTACAAATTGTGTTGTGTCTATGCCATCAACCAATTCTCCATTGATTGATTCGAATTTATTCCATTTCAAATCAATTGTTTGCACAATAAAGAACATAGTAGACTAAGTATATTCAAAATTATGAAATGAAACAGGAACCTCCTGGAAAGCATAGCTTGTTTTCACCCATACCATGGAATTGATTTCTTTTTGTAATGACAAAATTGAATGGGATTTTATGATTATAACGGCCAATTAATTAGACAATCATACTTTTCATTTTTGTTTAGTTGCATGCAAGACATTTTATTGATGATTAGCTATTCGATAGCAATGTATTGTACAATTCATATCTTTAATCTGCGTTCCAGGAGATCTTATTGATTTATTAATGATTTTTGTTTTTATAGGGCTGAATTATAGCTGAATGTGTATTGTTATATGTTATTTGCAGATAACCAGTGAGCTTTGTACATTTTGTGTGTTTTTTCCATTTCATATCAATTGTTTGCACAATAAAGAACATAGTAGACAAAGTAAGTTAAAAAATTATGAAATGAAACAGGAACCTCCTGGAAAGCATAGCTTGTTTTCACCCATACCATGGAATTGATCTATTTTTGTATTGACAAAATTGAATGGGATTTTATGATTATAACAGCCAATTAATTAGTCAATCATACTTTTCATTTTTGTTTAGTTGCAAAACAATTTATTGATGATTAGCTATTCGATAGCAATATATTGTACAATTCATATCTTTAATCTGCGTTCCAGGAGATCTTATTGATTTATTAATTATTTTTGTTTTCATAGGGCTCAATAATAGCTGAATGAAATGCTGTGTGTGCATTTGTATATGTTATTTGCTGATAACCAGTGAGCTTTGTACATTTTGTGTTTTTATTCCATTTCATATCAATTGTTTGCACAATAATGAACATAGTAGACAAAGTAAGTTCAAAATTATGAAATAAAAAAGGAACCTCCTGGAAAGCATAGCTTGTTTTCACCCATACCATGGAATTGATTTCTTTTTGTATTGACAAAATTGAATGGGATTTTATGATTATAACGGCCAATTAATTAGACAATCATACTTTTCCATTTTTTATTCCCAAGATATTTTTATTGTTTGATTAGATATTTGATAGCAGTATGTTGAACAATTATATCTTTGATCTGTGCTCCAGGAGAGCTTATTGATTTATTAATTTTTTGTGTTGTTGAAATAAATCTTTATTCAGATACAAAATTATGAATAACATCATACATAAAATATTTATAATACATATTGATTTGATTAATGATTTTGTTTTTAATAGGGCTGAATAATAGCCGAATGAAATACTGTTTGTGTATTGTTATATGTATTGGCTGATAAGTTGATAACCAGTGAGCTTTGTACATTTTGTGTTTTTATGGTTGTAAAACTGTGTGCTTAGATTATGTATTTACTATGCTGAAACCATGTTGTGCTTTGTAGTTTGTACATATTTGCTAAATTCTAGATATACATATTTTATATGTTGTACAGAGAGTAGTATTTTTACAATGATTGTGATTTGTCTTTGTGATTTAACTAATCATGATTTTTTTTTATAGATTTATATATAATTAGGAAGATGAAATGGCAGTATTTCCAAATGCTTTTTTATTTGATTTGTATGCAATGCTATTAGCTAAGAATTATAGTGTGTGAAATAATGGCAAAACAATGTATATGTATGGAATCATGCTCGATGTGTACTGCATCAAATTTGTATAGCAGGTTTGCACTACTACCGGTATGTGATGTTGAATGTACATGTATCTTCACAAGTTCACATACTTGCTTGAACCTGAAACCATCCACCCACAATTTTGTGTAACTTCAAACTTTTGTGTATTTCAGCTGTTGTTGATTCAAAGAACTTTGTGAATTACTGTTTTCGTGAAGAGGTAGACAAATGAGAGATAAGGTCTGTGAAGTTTAGAAACTTCTCTCCAATTAGATGAAAATTTCTATGAATATGTTTTGTTGTGCAGTAGTATGTATTCCGTTTAATATTACAGTAGTGTGTGTGTTATTCTTGTTAAATATTCATCTTAATTGGTCCTAGTATGTAATCAGTGACTTGTTCCATTAGGAGTGTAGTCATGAAATAGTTGAATAAATCAGTTTGTCTGATCCAAAGTAAAAATATATATACTTCTTGAGATTCAAACCTTGCTAAGGAAATACCAAGTACTAAAAGAACACCTTGAATTTTTGTTTGCATCACCTTGTATGATAACTTGTTTTCAAACCTTTTGAAAAAGAAAGTTGGACATTAGAACATGTTTTTTGTAAGAGCTAATGATTACGCTCAAAAGTTAAGAAAGTAAGAAGATATAAATAATATTAATAATAATATTACATTTATAAAGCACCTTTTCATTAGATACAAAGGGCATATACAGTATATCTCTGAAACTGTTTTGAGAAACTGATCCCAGATTGACAGTCTGTCCTAATAATCATTTACCCAAACAAATTATCATACATTTATATACAAATTATGCCAGACCATCAGCAGTTGAGAATGTTGTCAAACTCACCTCAAAATCGTTGATATCAGGTTGTAGCCATGTCTAAAAATGTGTAGCAAATTGTGATTAGATACCATCTCATCTGCTATTCCTAGGTAAATTTTACAGGCATGGAAGTAGTTGGATGCAATGGACATTCACCAAAGCTTTGTGGCTTACACATGCCATTAAAATAACAAGAAAAGTTACATGTATGAATGTATGGCACATTGGAATGTATCCAACAAGAATGACCCATATATATGTTAAACCTTTGTCTAAAATGTCACAGATTATAATGTACTGAATTAAGTGCTACTGCCATGGAATTCTTAATTTATTATCCACGATTTCATCTACATACATGCATCCTCAATCAAAGCTATTAAATTGTAATCAAATTTTAAGCGTAAATGGCTTAATAGTTATTTCATTCACCTGTGTCAAGTTGGACAAACCATCATGTATGTCCAACCAAGTATTACAACTAATGTATGCAACTTCCATTCTGGTTATTGAGCTACAATGATATATAACAGGTGACTGTAATGGGTAAGCCTGTATAAATTTGAATACATTTTAAAAATGTTCTATTCTCAACTGCCATTTACAAATAGAATCAATTACTCACAGACTATAGCATGGAGTTGGATAATGAGCATTTTGGTTTCAAGTGTGGTCATGTAGCTAGTCTTTTACAAGAGATGTTTAGATTGAATGTTTGTATGTAGTTTGCAACAGTATTAATATATTTGTACAAAATATATTCTAATGCAATAAAACTGTGTGAATGTGAAATATACATGTTTCTTTGTGTTCTGTTTCAGTTTATCTCAATAGGGGGGGGGGGGGGGAGGGAGGAGAGTAAGGCACTTTTTTTAGATGCAAGATTTCTGCTAATGGGTTTATTTCACAGATTTTCTTATAATTAACTCTGGTTAATTTCAGGGGGAGGGGCAGTGCAAACTGAAAGAACCATCAACAATATTATCAGAACAAATCAATGAATACACAAGTTAAGACTAACAGAAATGACTGTATTGTGTTCTAGTTTATTTCATCTCTTCTACAAAAGAAAAGTAGTTATGACCAAGAAAAAACAAAAAAATCACAAACATTTCCTCCTCTCCTTTCTCCTCTCTCCTACTATATACATGTTTCTCAATGAGTTCATACATTCATAGACAAGAATAGATTACTAGTTTACTACATTCAATCCTCGATACCGGTTGATTCCATGGGGAAATCACTGTACACCTCAGAAACAAGGAATATCTACAGCCAGATGAACAAGATTGCCCTAAAGACCATTCAGACACGAGGTGGTAAACTGCCTAAAACAAAACTGCAAAATAAAATGACATAAGCGCGGTGCAAGTGACATATTGGATTACACATAAAGTGTATGTATAAGGGTCTTTGCAATTTTAAAAGTGTAGCTATTCTGTTTGTTTGCCTTACTCCTACTTGCAATTCATTTGCATGTAAAATGTTTTTATTTTGCTGCAGCGTTTTTTTTAGGCAGTTTACTGCGCCACGTCTGAATGGGGCTAAGAGCCTTGTAGCAGGCATAATAGGTTGTGCAATAATGGACATGATACACTACGCTATACATGTACAACAAAACAAGGAATACAATGGATATTTGCATATCTGGGTACTCTACAACTTCAATAAATATTACGAAAAGTTAAGTTTCATCATACTCCAAATCCTACACATTGAAATTCCAAGACGTCTCTTTCTCTGCTCAATTTTGAAGTGAAGAGAAGTTGTATTGTCCCTCTCAGAAGTCTCTTAAACATAAAATAACAAGGAAATGATGAGGATAAAGGACCAAATAATGATGTCCCAAGTCAAATACACAGTAAATCGATCTAGTCATTTCATAGTTTCAACTACACGATAATTGAACATTCTCCATATACGCATAACGTTTTTGGTACCAAATTTAGTAGGAAGTGCACACAAAAATATGCACATACATATACATGAAAACAATATCAAAGAAAATAAAGCCGTGATCTCATAATGGGTGTGTAATAGTCAATGAGAATGCCAATCTTGATGGAGATAGGAAAAATGATGCAGGCTTTTTTTATATATAATTGCTTGCTCCAAATTTGCAGTCTTTCAAAACAAAATCAGAATCAATTTTGTAAGAGCAGGTAACAATACCCGTCTGAGTTCAAAATAAAAGGCGCAATGTACCTTAAACCTCGAGTATCCCCACTGATATGTGTAATGCCTTTTCATCACTTTATTGGTGACTAAGTAATTTCTGTAGTACCTTTTAATAGTTACACATGCTTATCCTATAAACACTTTAAACATGAAAATAGCCGATGCACATAGACACTGCTATTTGTTGTTTATCCACACAAGAATTACTCAATGAAAATCGAAATTATGAAAGTCCACTGCTCTATTTTCTAAACTCTTTAGTTTATCTATCTACCTAGATATTAGCACTTCTATCTGGAGATTTTAATAAACAAACACAATCTTCATACTTCCTAGTACTAGATTTTTATGTTACAAGTACATGATCATTTTGGCATTACTCTCTAATCATAAACGATTTAAGAACGCAAATTATTGTTCAGAAGTACTATAATTAATGTACAACATGCACATGTAATTTAATCCCTTTTTTCCATTATAGAATAGTACATGACTAAGGCGAATCCAATTAGTACATCATTAAAGCATTATTGCAGACACTGCTAAAGGCATACAATGTACTATCACAAATCTTACACAATAATAATGATTTCAGATAAAATACAAACATTTTTTCAATTTCTTTTGCTGCTAATACATCTTAAGTACATCTAAAGATCTTGATTACAAGCTTTTTAAAACTGATTAGGTATATGGTTTTTAATACACACTTTAATACACATCTTCAGGACATGTAAAGTTCTTGATTACAAGCTTGTTAAATCTGATTAGATATTTGGTTTTTCATACGCAATGTTCTTTGTCAGAGGCAGTGTGCTTCAAATAACTCAAACTCCCAATAATAACTATATGTTTTAATAATTACATATGTGACATCTCTCATTGTAAAATACATTCTACATTAGTATAATACTATTTGAAAAAATCACTTGAACATTTGGTATTAAACTCTGACATCATTATTCTGTGCATAAACCAGTGGTACGTCTGGTTGTAGTCTGTCATGCTAGACATTCCAATAAACAAATTTGTCTGCAATCGGACTAAAACACAGAAATAGAACAAGAAAGGGTTGTTGTTGTTTTTTGGCCATATACAGCACAAAATATAAGTACCAGTTTACATGTACTTTTAACTAGTAAAACTTTACACAGTACCTTCATTTAGAGGATAGAATTATATATTAAAAAACAAAATTATCAAATTTCAGACAATAAAGCTAACCATAATTGGTGCTTATAAATAGCACTTTACTGTCCATCTTTTTTTTTGTTAACAAATAAAATAAACAAGAGCTACATGAATTCTTTTTTTTTCATCAATAAATTTGTTTAGAAAATACATGAATAAGTAGTCATAATCATATCACCTTTAATAATAAGAGTCACATTTACATAGTCATGATTGTCCATATATAAACAAAGAAAATGAAGAAATAAAAACAATTTGCCCCTACATTAGACTAATGTTTGTCTATTCACTAACAAAATGATCAATGTGGATTCTCTTCGGGTGCTGCTTCTGTAATGCTAGTACACACAGCTTGGCTGAAATCTGCCCTTTCCACATTTTTATGGAACAGGTGTAATAATTCAGAGATTTCAGATTTAATCACGGTAAATTGTGTGCGCATGCAGGTTAAATTCCTAGCAGTATCTTTCTGATATAAAGAAGAATGTATTTCTTGACAGAAAAAAATTGGGTTGGAAACTCAAATTTGCAAGGATTAGTACAACCCCTCAGATTCTTCAATAATGTAGATCGAGATGTGGAGTTGAAGTTGGAAGAGCGTCACCTATGCTTGGTCATTCTTCGGAGGAAAGGGGGTTTCCTATTCCTAAACTGTTAACTGATCATGTATACGAGGCATGACCGCAGCAAGAGAGTCCTTAATATCGTAATATGACAGACAACATGAACAACAATAAAATATGAACCCAGTTTGACCTGCAATGGGGCACATTGCCACAGCCACTGAACATGCTTCATCAAGTCTTTGACAGTGATGACACTTTGAGAGGTTTCAGCTTGAATACAACCTGGTAGTGTCTATTTAAAAGAATCGACACTCGATAAGTCAGAATATGACGGAAAATATCAAGGACAATATCAAGGACAATAGAGTTAGTAACAAAGTTGACCTGTAATAGGGTACATTGTCAAAGCCACTGAACGTGCTTCATCAAGTCTTTGACAGTGATGATGCTTTGAGACTTTAACTAGGAGAGGCTTCAGCTTGAATACAACCTGGTAGTTACTATTTAAAAGAATCAACACTTGATAAGTCAGAATATGATGGACAACATCAAGGACAACAAAATTAGTAACACAGTTGACCTGTAATAGGGCACATTGTCAAAGTCACTAATGTGCTTCATCAAGTCTTTGACAGTGATGACGCTTTGGGACTCAGACTCAGAGAGACTTGAGCTTGAATACAACCTGGTAGTGTTTATTTAAAAGAATCAACACTTGATAAGTCAGAAAATGACGGACAATATCAAGGACAATAAGATTAGTAACAAAATTCATCTGAAATAGGGCATGCAGTCAAAGTCACTAACATGCTCCATCAAGTCTTTGACAGCGATGACGCTTTGGGTCTCAGACTCAGAGAGGCTTGGTCTTGAATACAACCTGGTAGTTACTATTCAAAGGAATCACTACTCGGTAAGTGGTCACTCCAAAGGAATCTATGTTTGGTTTAAGGATTCCCTCTATTTAAAGGAATCAATGTTTGGTAGACGGTCCCTCTTCAGCAGCTTCTCGTTCTCTACTTTCTTGTGTCCCAGGTTCTGGTGACCTTTGGAGAGGCTTTCCTGTAAACCTTGGGAGTTCAGCTGAGGTAAGTGGCTGTTGTCCTTGCGAAGACCCTGTCAACAGAAACAGATAACCAAAATAAGTTAAGTCAGTTTTTCTTTGTATGAATCTTAAATGTACACAATAAAAGGACATTCCTTGTAAAAAGGGTGCTAACGTCACATAAATTCAATCAATCGATCACTCCATCAATCAATCGATCAACCAATCAATCAACCAATCAATCATCCAACTTATCAATCATCCAACTTCCTTTCTTCAGATGGATAAAGCAAGTACAGATGATGGATCTAAGCAACCAATTAACCTACAGCATTCTAGCAAATAAAGGGAAACAATCAATGAAATTTGATGTAAAAACAAAGAAAGGGATCCTATTTAGACAAACTGAACACCTCGCTTCTCACTGCCTTCCTGCTCCTGCAACCCAGTAAAGGCTCGTCAGATATGACGCATCAAAACCACAGCAGTGTTTTAATGACATAAACTGTAATACGCTTCACATCTGATAAACACAGAGCTCAGTGAATACATGCAAGTCATTTGTTGACGCAGTTGCCATTAATTTTAAACTTCAAAAACTATGGCTGAGTTTTTGCAGCCGTTAACCATGCCATATCTGAACGAGCCTTGAACGATGGATGAAGGGCAAAAATTATTTTTTCTTTATTTTTTGTCTATCATTTTTTTAGGGGGGGGGGGAGGATTTCTTTCTTTACCTCCAGTCTTTAACAGTGGGATAGCACTACAGATCAACAGGAATTTACAAATAGTCTTGATCTAGATAAGTACAAAGCATGTCATACCAATTTTGATCTGTGCCTGCGGACATTTGTTGAGTCTGAATGCCTGTCGTCCAGACCCTTATGCCTGTCAAAGAAAGGCATCTCCATCAGCTCTTGACAGCTTAGTCTGTCAGCGGGATCCATCTGCAGGCAAGCCTGTGAGAAAAATGAGATGATTGGTTTATGATAATGAGGAAGCAAGTTGTTACATTATGCTCTTTTTTTGTTCCACACAGAAATTGTCCACCACTGATATTTTGTATCAAAGAGTTCTGTGAAAGTAACACAAATTGTTTGAGAGCTTTTGCATTCATTTTATGCAGAAAAGTATTGTAGAAAAATGTCCCTAAACGTGTTAAATACACTGTCAAAAAATAAAATCTATAATTTTAATGATAGAGTTTAACTGAATAATATCACTAACATCTATGACATTCAATTTATAAATATCTATAAATATCAGCCATTCCCAAATTATAGAAACAAGCAGGGGACCAATATCTGACTGCCATATCAGAGCTGCTGAAAAGATTATTAGACTTTGATTTGACATAACATTAATAGAAGTGTTGTAGACAGTTTTGTTTTTCTTTATGTTTTTGCACAATAATGGTTAAATTAAAAAACGATATCTTACCTCCAAGAAAGTCAATGCAGTCGAGTTGAGATTCCTAACCTTGTCCTTTAATGGTATCTGTGGCACACCAAAACCATAAAACATATTGTTATTATCAAATATCAGAGAGAAACATACAAAGTAAAGGTACAATTATCACACTTACAATGGAAACATACCACATGCAAACAACAGAAGAAAACTTACAAGAAAACCTAATTGGCTCTTTAAAAGGTGGCTTCAAACAGATGTCACACGCGATACCCATTAAGAAGTGTTCTCAAATTAAGAGGTCAATGGTTTCTATGAACTTCAAGTCTATTCAAATACCTCTTGAATAATTTTTTTATTTTTTATTATTATCTGGAATATGATTCAAGCAAAAATTCATCATTTGTGAGCTACAGCACAATCAAGAATCTGAATCTTTTTGTCCCATGTTTATAGATAGATAGATAGATAGATAATCAAATTTATTTCATTCATCATAAAAAACATTTAGATACAATACATACAATATCACAAAGATATATAGTCAAAATAAACATACATTATGATCCAGTGTCTCTGCCTATGTTAGGCTTTTTCACATACCGGTATACTGCGGTTTACCACAGTAGTTTTTACTAGTGTAATAAATGAATGGCAGGTGAGGATGAATAAAAGTAGCAGCATGCACCAATGGTCCTATGTGTACTTACTTATCCAAGTGTATTAAGATACAAGTGCTATACATGTAGTAAGTACCTTTAAACCTTTAAACAAAAAACCAAGTAAACCGACAAGATTTAAGGTAGCATATATATGCAAGCAAACTTTAAGCAGTAAAAGGCAGTTTAAAATCGAAATGGTTCATTTTCTGTCAGGTTTGCTGCATTTCTATCTTGATCCTGTGTTTTTAACAACAGAAGAATATAACAAGTTCTTTAGAGATAGAAATCTACTCATTTACTGTTTACAACTATATAGTATGAGAGTGGACAACTTACCCTCCTCTCTGGTTCAGGAATACTCATGCCTTTGAAGAAGTGATTTGTGCTGAAAATCTTGGAATGTCTGTCAATCAAATCACCTGATCAGGAGACAAATTGGTATTTTAAAAGTCAGTCATATGATATGACCTTTACAAGATCTCTACAAAATATCTCAAAATATCAATACTCAAATTTAGTTTGTTGTCAATGCCTTTCTTGCGTTACTTTAAAGCTCAAATCTAAAGCTAAAAAATGGCCAACATATACAGTATTTCTCCTCTACATACTGCATGCATTATCTACCTCAGAAATGTATTTAAGCTTGGTGCAAACTGAGTGAAATGTCCTTACAACATGGGGGTGCAGAGATTTTTGAGGAGCATACATGTACAGTAAACAACTAAAATTATTCATACACATGTGCCCCTTGTAAATGTTATGCCTTTTGTGTTTTTCATAACTCAAGAATGAAAGATGGACTGGTTGAATTAGGGCCTCTGTTGAATACTTTTAGATGTCAGCATTAATATGTCACATTCTCAAGAAACATAATCAGGACAAATAAATATTTTCACATACTTAACAAAATTCTAATACATTGAATAATTTAGTTAATTATGGCACTTCTTTGCAGGTTGAGAGATAATGTTAGTTACAGTAAAAATATCTAAGTGCATTATCCAACTCAGAAATGTGTTTAAGCTTGGTGCAAACTGAGTGAAATGGCCTACAACATGCAACATATAACATATAACATACAACATATCATAACTCAAGAATAAAAGATGGACTGGTTGAATTAGGGCCTCTGTTGAATTTCTTTTAGATGTAAGCTTTAATACGTCACATTCTCAAGAAACATAATCAGGACAAATAATATTTTCACATGTATTTAACAAATTAGAGAGAGATAATGTAAGTTAAATCTTCTCCAGAGAATACAACCTTTTTTTCAGAAAACAAATTATCGCTCTGTATCAACATCAAGTGTGCTAAGTACTGGTGACAACACTGTTTAAAAGTACTGCAGCTTGAAAATATATCGTTTTAACTCTGAGATCACTTATATTCCATAGGCAACAGACTTTGCCGGAATTGTAAACAGAAACTGACCTCAAAGTTATCAATTTACTGCATGTTTGGACATGCCATCGCTTAAGGCAATGAATTCGATGTCAAACTGACAATTTCTGTTTACTATCCATTAAAATTTTCTTACATTTGGGACATGACTAGTATTTGTATTGAACCTGCCCAATATTTACAATGACATTATATTGGATATTTTTATAACACACATATCCACCACACAAGCCAATATCACCCTGGCTCTATCTGGGCTACTGATTACAATGCTTACAGCATTCAAGGAATTCCTTCCTACTGGTAAACCAACCATTCAACACACAAGCAGAGTGTGGCATACCTGTAGATTAATGTCTAGCCATAGCTTACTAGTGCTGTACCGGGCTTGAATCAGCCACAAAAATACACGGGAGCGTTGAGCGATTTAGCTCTAGTAAGCTCTGAAATAGCTTTCGTAAACTGAAAAAGAGCTCTAGTAAAAAAAAAATTAAAAAAAACAATAAAATATTTAAATATTATTGGGAGTAAATCACACTTAAACAACACCAAATTCTAAAAGAGCTCCCACAACAACAAAAAGATTTGTACACACTGGCTAGAACCTTCGACCTTCACATCTCCATTCAAGTGCTTAAAAACTATGGGTATGTTGCCATCAGCTCGAGATTGCCAAATAGCCCGCTATTTCTGATTTGGGAAATAAGCCAGAAGTTACAAATCGCGTCTCCATCAGCTCAAAACTCGAGCTCGGGATATTTTGCTCAGCGTTCGTGCATAGTGCCAGTCTTCAGGCTGGTGAGGACACACCGGACAAATAGCGTATGATTTTTTCGACCAAATATCCCGCTAATTGCAACTTGGGGCTAATGAAGATGCAAATTAGCTGGATAATTTGCGATCGGGATAGTTAAAATAGCAGGTTATTTGGCAATCTCGAGCTGATGAAGACTGGCCTTATGACATGGAGCTTGTTACTTTGACCTAAACTCTAGTTTACCTAGTGTTTGTTTGATGAGATACAGCTGATCCACGTCTGATCTGCCCGGCCAGAGCGCCTCTCCTGCTATGAGTTCTGCCGTTACACAACCGATGGCCCATACATCAACGGGTGGGCCATACACCATATCCCCTACCAGGAGCTCTGGTGCTCTGTACCATCGGGTCGCTACATAGTCTGTATACTCATCATCGGGACCAGCTGAAAGCAAAGCAGAAATACATACATGTAATATAGTGTGTAGCTGACAAAAAGAACATTTCTCTTACAGTACATGTACATGTACCGGTATACAGTTTAAAAGCAAAAATACTTCTTGAAATATTCAGTGATGGAACATTAATTGCTAATTATATCCCTCCTTCTGGGTAACTTTCAAGCAATTAGGATGGTTACTTTTGAATGAAGAGTTGTATTTCAGATGTTAATTTATCTCTGAAATGCCATAATTTATGACAGAATTTTAGACTAAATTTTGATACTTTTCAGAGGTACACAATATCAATACACAAAATGCAGCTAACAATAACCTTTTGGTCCCCAACAGAGTGGATTTTTTTACAGGTTCTTTTGTTTATTCAGCTACCGGTATTTTGAATTTTGACATCCTGCCACTAGAAAAAAAAAAAATGTATTCACTCTAGCCAAAAGCTGATTGTTTTATCTTACCCAACAATTAATAATGAATGAACTTTCACTTTTTTTGTGTGTGTGTATTTCTATAACAATCAACAGGGGTATTTCCAATCATATGAATGATTACATATACTGCAAACACAATATAATATGCTATCAATGCATAGTTTATTCATTTTGTTTTCACCTGCATGGCCCCTCACTTAGTTGAAAGGGCACTCTGTATATATTATTCAAATAATTAAAAAAACATCTAGGTTCATGTAGTTATCTACTTTTACCATATCTTGAAAATCTTGAAATCTTGAAAAGTTTAATTTTTGGGAAAAAAATAATGAATTCAACATTTTCATTATGTATGCCTAAATCAGTGTAAATTTTAAATCTTTAAATCTAAAGGTATGACCCGAAGTGATAAATGAAAGTTGCCTTTTAGCCATGAATATATAGCAAAACCCAGAATATGTTGTAATTCATGCAAAATAGTCTATTCTTATTAAAGATAAAGGTGAGTTCTGGTCATGCGATTGCATTGTGAAAGGAAAGGTGTGGAATGGATCAGGAAAAGTTGATCATGTAGCCTGTAAGTATTGGTGTGTACTGCAAAGTTCTGGAGTCATCAAAATCATAATAAATTTGGCCCAGTCTTGGTAAAGTAACAAGCACTGTACACAGAAAGATGTATATGGGACTACACAAATGGTGTCTGGGCTACTAACCTTGATTTCCTAATCTTTCTATGCTCATGACTCGACCAGTATACATTTTCTACCAAAATTGTTTGGAAAATGACATTTATCTGTAATCTTGAACATTCAGTGTAAGTTTTGTTTGATTCTGTGAGAATTCACTTTTTTTTTTTTACCAGAACTCACCTTTATCTTTAATGTAAATATTTTCATTACGGTAATAACGTTTAACCCAATCGATCGATTATTGTATTACGGTAATAACATTTAACCCAATCGATTATTGTATGTAAAGAATCAATGATGGTGGATAGTGATTTAAGGGGTAAATGTACTTTTGCACATTGTTTACGTCATACAACATGTGTATATGACAATACCCTATTTACAATACAAATTCGTGCATGCATGATATACATTTACGAGGCAAAATGAAAACAGAGTCATGAACTATTAAAACTTTGCAATGTAATATGTATTAAAATCATATGATTTTGTCATAAATGGAGAAGGGAAATCAGCAAGTCAAAGACAAAATACATATTTGTTTATTATATTTCATGTATTTTTGTTATATCGGACATTCTGCTTTGATAGCCTAAAAGTGGTAAAAAAATACATGTATAAAAAATTTCTCAGTCATGATTGCCTTGTGAATATTTGATGAAGATTAGGCCTAGAACTGATTAGTTGTAACCAATAATAATTTGTGTACAGAGTACATGTCCAGATACCATGTATGACAAAGACATTGTTTAAACACAGCAATGCACTAATGCAATTTATCATGCAGCTTCCCTCATTAAAGACACGAATAGTAAAGAATACACATCAATATGCAGTTTCTAATAATTGCTCTCAGACAAGAGCTCCGTATAGATCTTTCAACTCCAAACCAATCCACTTAAAAATCTAATTTTACACCAAGCCTTCATTCATTGCAAATTATTTCACAAACAAGCCAGGACTGATCAATTATTCTTAATGGGTACCCATCTGCAATTCTCCATCATGTGGAAATTAAGATCAGCACAAATGAGGCATTATCGTTTCCATGGAAACATGCAAACAAAAACACGCATGTTTGCTCTGCCTGGAATTGATGATTAAATTGCACGGTCCAGGATTATAACGACTGCAAGTGAGTAGTAATTTGTCCTCTCCTTTTTCTCTCACTCTCTCTCCCTCCATCTCTCTCTTTCTCTCCCATGAACCAGCCTACATCTACCATCATAATATATTTCTTTAGGATAATTAAAATATATGTTTTGTCAGCATGTCAAAATATATTGAGTTTTATAAATATTGAGCTTACATTTTCAGAAATTGCATAAAGGTATCATGAATTCATGATCCATTGAACAGGAATCTTAAGAATAAACCAGCATGTTGACTATGAGTAAAGTCTATTTATGTCTTAATGTTTTCATGATTCAAATAATCAGTTTTAATATTATAATAAAAAAATTCAATAAAAATGAATACCTTAATTACACAGACATGACCTTTTTAAGGAGAATGTAAGAACTGCTTCAATAACATCTTCAACAAATGATAAATATAATAGAATGAATATATCAATAATGTGCGATTCTGTCATATTAAAAAATAAAATTAGGAACACAATATACATGTTCAGAAAAACTGCTTTTTGTGCTTGGCAATATGATCATGCCACAGTAAACTTTCCAAAAGGGGATCTCGCCGTAATATCCCTGCATCTTGTAAACTTATAATTCCTCGTCATCAGGATAAATCCGCTTTTCATATTTGAACAGCTGTCTTCAGCGAGCACGGCATATCATATATGCCTTAGCAACCGTAATATCAAGTGCTTTGTAGTTGGCGTGGCAACATGATTGCATCAATCGGTGCCCACCGTGCTGGCTTGGCACCACACGTGCAGAGTGGGTGGTTCTCCTTTCTTCTAATTTCATCACCAGAATGCAAGAGAAAAACACTTGGAGGCAAAGCATATCTTGGTAGTGGAGCAGCTAAGCAATATTGATTTTTGAAGACATCTCAAGGGCGATTAGTTCTGTAGCACGAAAAGATAATTATCTTTCTTCCTCTCACTCTCTGTTGTTGCGAGGCACACATGCCTTCTCGTCCTCATTCGTGCATGGTTCCAATTTAGTTCTCTATCAGATCTATTCAAATACATGCATGCTTGGCTTCATTTCTTGTACTTTATCTTTGCACATGTTCTATCATGACTTTATTCAACCACATATAGGTATCATTTAACACACACACAAAATAACTATAGATCCAAATGTGAAAGAAGAGAAAAAACATTGTAACACAAAGGACATTAGAATGGACCAGTGTCCAGTTCACCAATGAATTCAAATTTATGCATACATGTACCACTTCAGTTACTAATACAAAAATTTCCAATTAGGTTGTCTGCCATATATAGCTAAAAATGGATGTATGGAATCTCCTTTGCTCATCAAAACAGGATGCCTTGTGATACATGAATGCAACTGATCTGCATGTACATGCAGGCTTTCAAGAGAAGTGTCCATAAATTTGACTGTGTTTGTGAACTTGTCCGTTGCACAAATACACTCAGGCTTTCATACACATGGAGAATAGATAACAAAGTAACTCTCATCATACTTACTTAATATTCTGGCAAACCCAAAATCACATAGCTTAATTCTGCCATCTTTGGTGATGAGGATATTTTCTGGTTTGACATCTCTATGAATACACTGAGATGAATGAAAACAAAGAAAAGAGAAAAGGTTGAATTACTACTGGAGAATATAATATTTCATAAGAGAAGCATATTAAGACATACAAAAAACATGACACTATGGTGAGTTTCTAGAGCTATGCATTGACACAAATTGTCACACATGTAGCTTCCAAGAGAGTTATGATCATCTAGATTCTCTATTCTGTGCATATGGTCTTTCTGTTAACATTTAATCTTAAGAAATAACTGCTCTATTTATAAAAATTGTGCAACAAAAATTATTGCAGGGACTCTTCAAATATAAGACTACTGTATGTTGTAAGAAAGGTTCTTAAATAGATTTTTTTAAATAGATTTAATAGCTGGCCCTTCAATTAAATCCTTCAGTGCTTTGTTTTTCAGTGTTTCACCATTCCCAGTACAACATTCTTCTGTCAATATACTTAAAACAAATATGAGTTACTTAGTGTACAAATACTATTCAAGATTTCATAATAACTTCACTTTATCATTTTATCAATATTTTATATTTGACAATGGTCAGCTCATAGAAGAAACTATATCAAGACAACCAAGCTTGCATATTAGAAATAAACTTACATTGTGTTGATGGCAAAAGTTGACAGCTTCTAATGTTTGGTAGACTATGTTCATACCCTGCCCTTCTGGGACTCTGTTGGAACAAAAGTAAATAAATAAAATATACAATTTAAAAAAAAAAGATCATACAAACACACTAACACACAAAATCTGAGTTTAAATTTCTTAATGATACATCATATAATCTACAGTATGAGTTTTTCAAATAAAAAAGTATGGACTATAAGGAGACAGGCAGATTTCCAAATGTGTACTGGTCAAAGAATATTATTTATTTTGTATACGTATTGCTTGAAATAAAGTAGACACATTAACACCAAGTCCATGGAATAATACATGCAGTCATGCGTGACACAGTGTGAGAGTGTCTACTTTATTCAAGCAATACTGTACTGTACATACCGTAAACATTGTAATTTGTTGTTTGCTTTTATGGAGGGGTGGCAAAGAGCTTTTTTTTAAAATGCTTTGAAATACAAAATATTCCTTGATTATAATATGAATACATACATAAATTGAAGCAAATACTGCAGCATACATGTATATTACATGTTCATCAATCCCGGACCAATTCCTCACTTTGACAAATCTATGGCTCAAGGACACATTTTCACAACAACCTCTACTAGCTTAGAAATTTCATTTGATTCCATTCATAATTAAAGATAAATAGGCCACAAGGGAATAAATAATAATTTGACAGTTATTAAAAAATGCCTTTTGTCTCCGCCTTATGTATTAAGCTTAGCTTGAGTACCAATAGTTGAATTCTATTTTAAGGAAAAGTAGGTCAAAATAATTCTGATTGATTACCAGAAAAACTGCTAGAAACTATATTCACTGAAAATAGAACATGAGTTCATGGACAATTATCTTACTGTTCATCGCTCAATACTAAATGTACATGACTGCTATATTTCCTACTAAAATTTCTGGCAGATATCATTTATTTAAATCTGTTTGTAATTCTGAACTTTTCACATGCATCATGGATGTTTGAATAACTATGAATAATTCATTTTACATTAATACTAGAACTCAAAATGATATGGATACAAGTACATACAATAAAATGTATCTCACTTTAATACTTGCAAGTACTATCTCTTTACAACCTATATTAACATGCTCATTGTGCATCTCTTATATAAACTGTAAGTGAAAGAAAATTGTGAAGTTCTTACCCATTCACATTGGCTTCTAATGTATTGAGTACTGTATAATCACAATATTCAAATACAAGATGAAGTTTCTTTTTCCTCCTGAAGACCTCTTTCAGATTAACAAGATTCTCGTGTTTAAGTTGCTACGAACAAAAGGGAAGACAAAAATTAAGGAGTATGAATAACATATATGTACACTATCGGTTTCCATTGAAAAACCATACGGTAGTCTTCTTGATTAAACCTAAGTTAACTTGGGTGGAAATCTATGAAAAATAGGCGTATGTCAAAATCAAATCATATTCAACATGTTAAAGTAAAACTCGCAAAGTGGACTATGATTTTATTACAATAACAAATTAAAACAAGTAATAGAAAAGGATGCATGTAGTATCAAATTTTGAGTAAACAATGTGAATATTATAAATTTGATTAATATCTCTTAGAATGTATGAACACATTCTACAAAATTAGTTACACAATATTTTATTCCAGAACAAGTGAAATTGCTCAGGGTTGATATCCTCAAAGAAAAATAGTAGATACAAATCAGACACTAATAAACATAAAATCAAGAATGTCTTTTCACTATAATGTGAATTGTGAATCATTGCTACAAAATGTTGACGATTCAGCACACAGCAAATCCATTGTTTTAGTCACCTTTCCGTCAAAATTTGCATTTTCCAATTTCCACAGCATCCATTACAGGGAATAATTTTCCTCAAATTTTTTGATTAGCAATTTCAGCCGATGGATGAATATTTAAAATGAAATTCTGTACATTTCTATGGAAGAAAACTGCTACACAAAAGATATTTTGTATAGCAGTCATGCAAAAATGCATAGCAAATTGCGATGCGATACCAGGAAAATTATTCCCTGCATTATTCTGAACACAATACTAATAACAGTAACACTCACAAATTATTCAACATCAATTATAAATGTATTCAGATAGCTGTATCTTTTTCTTTGTGAACTGAGGAACACTTTTCTACACGATGTAAACCTATATAGATGTTTAATTTCTGCCTCATAAGGCGGTGTCACACAGAGGCCAAAAATCCAGATTTGAGTTATCCTCTTAATTGCTGTCTGTCATCAATTATCTCATTAAAAATCCTCTAACGAAGCAAGAAAATTCTTCCTTGAAAGGATTTTTTAAGGGATTTTTCTGTGTGACACCGCCTATAGTTTGAAAATTAAAACATGAACAAATTTAAGGAAATGTAGATATTCCTGAATAAGCAATCAAACTTATCCATGCAGTGGTGCCATTGTGCCTTTGTGATACCATAAAGTACACATTAGGTGGTGTCACACAGAGGCCAACAATCCAGATTTTAGTTATCCAGACTTTAGTTATCCTCTTAATTGCTGTCTGTCATCAATTATCCCATCAAAATCCTCTAACAAAGCAAGAAAATTCTCCCTTGAAAGGATTTTTCAAGGGATTTTTCTGTGTGACACCGCCTATACTGTACCTGTACAATGTACATGTAACCTAAATGGTGGATTTTTATTGCATCATTGGAATGTGCATCCAAATATTTGCTATCCAGATAATGATTCAACCAAAGAAATTGCTTACAGTAATATTTAAATCTGATTGAAAATAATCATTTTGAAAAACCATGAAATTTGCCAATAATATTTCAAAAAAAGAAAATCACAGATATATACACATGTATGTTACAAGACATTTATGATCCCTATACCATTTTGCTAGGTTGAATTTATGAATACCGGTATAAATTGTCTACCAAGTACCAGGGGAAAATCAAGAAAACATTGTAGATTCTAGGATTTTATTTATAAGAACCCAAGTAATGCTAAATTTGAGCGTCTCTCCTGAACTTCTATAATTCAAACACGACTTGCAACTATAAAATTTACTTTCACCAAATTCGCAACAATAATTAACAAACAGTCTCATACTTTATGACGGTATTTATAACTTTTTTTCCTTTTCTCATGCCAGAGAAATATGTGGGTCATTCCATGAGATTGGAGCAAAAAATATGACAATGTCCATGGAATGTTGGTACGAGATCTTCTACAGTTCTACACAAGGAACATAAAATCACCTGTTGATGGTTGATGGGAGATATGGTTACTCAATTCTGGTATGCCACAAAAATTGCTCCTACCCCACGGTATGACCACTTATAGTTTGATGGTAATTCTAAAATGTGATACCTTCAGCTCTTGCAAGCACTTTCTCTTCAAACTTGGCATGTTCTGAATCGCATTTAATTGCCTTGTGGCAAAAATGTATATTGTAAAAACATGTACTTCTTAAGATCAAAGTATTTTGGTGAACTCACCTTCAGCATACGAATCTCTCTCAATGCAATCTTTTTGATGAGAGGGTCATCTTCTGACTCTACAAATCTCTTGATGGCAACTATTGTTCCAGTGTCCTTGTGCCTACATTTAAACACCACTCCATATGACCCCTCTCCGATCTTCCCTAATCTCTCGTACTTGTCCATGATTTCAGATGAAATGCTATGCCTTCCAGCACCAAGTCAATTTGTCTTTATCACGTCAACAGTCGTCACTCGCTGATTTTCTCCTTCTCTCTTATCCTGTATTTAGATTCATGGATGGACGGCAATCAGTGCTCCAGAGAGCTTTCACACTTTTCAATAGTACTTGACTGGCTCTGCATGTTGAAAATTTCCAGATAAATCCTTCCCACATAGAAGTTAGACGCAGAGCGCAAATTAAAATTGTCTTTCCAAGAATCCTGGTGCAGCACTGGATTACATGTAGGTTGACCTGTACAATGAAATGTTATGGGAGAAATGTTAAACACAAATAAGTAAATAACAAGAAAAAAATAATAGATGGAACAAATTAAAGAATCACCTATTTGACAATAACATTGGCCCGCTACATGGCAACACACCAGAGCTGCTATGCCGCAACCCGGCATCAAGAAAAGGATAATGAAAATATTGTCATTGTCAAAGGTTTCCTTTTGTTCAAACAGTAATATGGACTTATATGATTTTAGTTAAAAGTGAACATTTTCAGTTAAAATAAGTGTGGATTTAAGACTTTTAACACTGCCTTTGTATCTAACGTTATAACTTTTTAGTTCTATTTAGTCATTGGACAATCAAGTTACAGTTTAAGTTCAACTTTTGGTAGCCTACAGTATTTGGGACACAGACTCCCATTTTGGATACCAATTTTTCTTTATTTACATTTCCGCAAAGGGATTACCTCGACTCAAAACTCAAATATGACGAGCAGAACCTCATAAGAATTACCTTTTTTCACTGTCTACTTTAAAAATTCACTGTTCCTCGGGGGTCCTATTTTTATATCACAGATTTTGTTAATGATCCACACACAAAATCAATGGCCTCCTGAACTCAGAGAAGAAATTTGGCTTGGAAAAATGGCCTTGTTGTTGGTGTTATTTCTTTTGTTAGCTAAATCTCCAGTATGGGAGAGTCTCCCAAGCATGTTAGGCCACTACTGGTATGGTGGTGTGACCTTAGTTCACTATCTCAAGAAATTGGTAAGAGTTCGAAATCTGATACCACCAATGAAAAGAGGAACCTTAAATTATTCAGAGTTAACATTTTCTATGGAATTGGGGGTGAAATTATGAAAATATTGACAAAAGATCGGCGATTTTCAGTCTTTTGCGTCAGTCCCGGAAATCTTTTTTTTTGAGAGATGTCATCAAAATAGTTAGTAAAATGTGGTACCAGCAGAGTGTATATTTTGCCTTACAAAATACCTGGTATGTACGGAGCCCCGGAAGTGACATGGAGAAATTTTTTTTTTCTCGTTTTCCTGAGATAAATTCTCGTTTTCCTGAGATAATTTTTCGTTTTCCTGAGATAAATTCTCGTTTTCCTGAGATAATTTTTCGTTTTCCTGAGATAAATTCTTGTTTTCCTGAGATATTTCGTTTTCCTGAGATAATTCCCGTTTTCCTGAGATAAATTCTCGTTTTCCTGAGATAATATTTCGTTTTCCTGAGATAATTCCCGTTTTCCTGAGATAAATTCTCGTTTTCCTGAGATAATTTTTCGTTTTCCTGAGATAATTTTTCGTTTTCCTGAGATAAATTTTCGTTTTCCTGAGATAAATTCTCGTTTTCCTGAGATAATATTTCGTTTTCCTGAGATAATTCCCGTTTTCCTGAGATAAATTCTCGTTTTCCTGAGATAATTTTTCGTTTTCCTGAGATAAATTCTCGTTTTCCTGAGATAATTTCCGTTGTAAAATGAACAGTTAAAATGAATTGAAAAAATACAATTTTCTTCTAATTTTATAACGTTTTGGCATCTGAATGCCCCCCCCCCCCCTGAGTACGATGTCATATATATTTACTGTAAATTGCGAGCGAGCGAAGAGCGCAATTAACAAATAAAAGACACTAGTCTTACTCGTACAAATTTAGGTACAATACCAATTTGGATGATAAATCTATCTTGATTCAAGAACACTTTATTAACAGACTGCCCGATTACAATAGGGGACAGCCCACGAGGCCGACGGCCGTCAGCCTAGGGCCTAAATCCAGTTTTAGGGGGGTATTCAGTTATTCACATCACCTTGTAGGTCTCAACATTCAATTGTCGAAATTCGATATATTTATGAAGATAATTATCAATTCCAAAAGGGCCTTAAAGGGGAAGGCCACCCTAAGAATATCTATATTTTAATAAAAGGAGACAAATAAGACAAAGTGATTAATAAAAGTTTGAGGAAAATCGGATATGAAATAAGAAAGCTATGTAATCGGGCAGTCTGTTAATAAAGTGTTCTTGAATCAAGATAGATTTATCATCCAAATTGGTATTGTACCTAAATTTGTACGAGTAAGACTAGTGTCTTTTATTTGTTAATTGCGCTCTTCGCTCGCTCGCAATTTACAGTAAATATATATGACATCGTACTCAGGGGGGGGGGGGCATTCAGATGCCAAAACGTTATAAAATTAGAAGAAAATTGTATTTTTTCAATTCATTTTAACTGTTCATTTTACAACGGAAATTATCTCAGGAAAATGAGAATTTATCTCAGGAAAACGAGAAAAAAAAAATTCTCCATGTCACTTCCGTCAATTATCTCAGGAAAACGAGAATTTATCTCAGGAAAACGGGAATTATCTCAGGAAAACGAAATATTATCTCAGGAAAACGAGAATTTATCTCAGGAAAACGAAAAATTATCTCAGGAAAACGAGAATTTATCTCAGGAAAACGAGAATTTATCTCAGGAAAACGGGAATTATCTCAGGAAAACGAAAAATTATCTCAGGAAAACGAGAATTTATCTCAGGAAAACGAAAAATTATCTCAGGAAAACGAGAATTTATCTCAGGAAAACGGGAATTATCTCAGGAAAACGAAAAATGATCTCAGGAAAACGAGAATTTATCTCAGGAAAACGAGAATTTATCTCAGGAAAACGGGAATTATCTCAGGAAAACGGGAATTATCTCAGGAAAACGAAATATTATCTCAGGAAAACGAAATATTATCTCAGGAAAACGAGAATTTATCTCAGGAAAACGAAAAATTATCTCAGGAAAACGAGAATTTATCTCAGGAAAACGGGAATTATCTCAGGAAAACGGGAATTATCTCAGGAAAACGAAATATTATCTCAGGAAAACGAAATATTATCTCAGGAAAACGAGAATTTATCTCAGGAAAACGAAAAATTATCTCAGGAAAACGAGAATTTATCTCAGGAAAACGGGAATTATCTCAGGAAAACGAAAAATTATCTCAGGAAAACGAGAATTTATCTCAGGAAAACGAAAAATTATCTCAGGAAAATGAGAATTTATCTCAGGAAAACGAGAAAAAAAAAATTCTCCATGTCACTTCCGGGGCTCCGTAGGTATGCAATTTTCTTATATATTTTTTTTTTATCCTAGACTATTTCTGATAAAACAGCTGTAAACCCCTGTGCACTTAGTATATTCTTGTTTTTTAAATGATGTTTTCTTGAGTTGAACTTGAAGCGCATTCCCTGATTCGACATCGAACTCTGAGATTGCGATATCTCTGAAGTTATTTGACGAGAATGCGATATCTCTGAAGTTATTTGACGATACATTTTCCAGTTGCACTAATTTGTAGTCAAAACCTTTGCCGTTTGGAAATAATTGAAGTTAATGATCTAAATAAATTAATGTTAAATATGAGAAAATCATGAATCAAACATCATAGATCTAGGCCTAGACTATTTCATATTTTTAAAATCTCCGCAAACTTTGTCACCCCCATCATCAAACTTATCAAGTTACAGCCTCAGACTCAGAGACAAAGGATCACCTGCTCAAATTGCATATCATACTCTGACAAATCAAATAGGTCTATAGACTCTTAGAATATACCCTTAGATACTCACTAATTATTACCCTTCAAAGGACTTATCATTCGTGTCATATTGACATTGTCAATTGCCTGCCAATTTTCATCCAACCTGCTTCAAAATGAAGTTCAATTCTTCAAATCCACAGTAAAGCCTCATGATGGGCAGACTTTGTTAGATGATGGAATAGATCTAGATTAAAAATTACTGAACAATGGGCCTTTCGTGTAATTAATATTCGCTTTTTTGCTTCAATAACCTCAACCAGAAAAACTACACAAACAGCATTTTTATACAGGCACTTCCATGGGCAACGGCGGCTGAGCCGCGACCGACCCGCCACGACAGGGCTGTTATTATGCTACGTCCACAGCCTGGAGTAGTTCTTCGGCTCCACAGGAGGCCGAAGACTTCAACACACACATCGCAATCGCACCTCACCGAAATGATCCAAAGAACAGTCTATTTTCCAACCTTTACAGCTTTCAAGGAGTAAAATCCAAATACTCGGCTAAACTTAACATGCGTATTACCTGAATGGTGAAATATACAACTGCATAATCAAATCAAATTCCAATGTCAACATATTTTATCCTACCTCGCTATCTCTATTTTCGTGAAATATCTGGTCGCCATTTGCCCATTATAAATCTCCACGGAACTATTTCAGGCGGAAGATCGAGGATCTGTGTTGTTTTTGTTTATTTACACCTTCTTTTATATCATTTTGCATTTTATGATATATATCATATGTAATTGAATGTGGATTATACATTTATATTTACATCTCTTTGATTTTAGTGGCACTATGGACATTTTTACAAAAACTGTCTAATAAAATATGTAAACTACATTATATACCGCGCACGATTTTCATTTCTCTTTAGTAAACAGACCCCTCGGCGATTTGCTCGGCGAAAATGATTCATATTATAATTAGGGTTGCTATGGTCACGGCTTTGTGTTTCCTAAACATCAATAAAAAGTTATTCAGGCCACGAGAAAGGGGATGGACCAATGTTCGCAGTGATGCTTTGAACGAACCCCAGATTGGTTTCTCGGTTAAGGACAATTTTCACTCTCGTTTTTCGATGATGAAAATTTTAACAAAATTGCGGTACGTTTTACTGTCTCGTTGTTATTCCTGCATGCTCCGTTTATATAGCTGCTTCGGAGCTGCATGCACTTGTAGTAGAAGAGGGACTAGCGAAGATGAGGGATGGGATGGATATGGGGTGGGGTATAGCAGTTAACAACTAAATTATTCATCTACCCTTACCAATTTGTTCAGTTTTTAAGTATGTGAAAAAAGTATATGTTCCGTGATGATTGTATGTATCTTGAGAATGTGTCGTATTCATATCAAAGCAACCAGTCAACCTTTAATTCTCATGTGAGTTACAAAACACATCGAATTTACAAGGGGTAGACCTATAAATTATTGAGTTAATGTATATACTTAAAAATTGAAATCATATATGTAGCCTTTATTAATTCCACTGAATATTACACTTTCATGTAAGTTCTGTAATTCCTGCCGATTTCCGCGCCTCTGAATAGAGAACGCTGCATGGCTTCCTACCCATCTCCCGCCTCAGTGTCCCATTGTCAAAAACTCCCTGTCCCTTCAAGCTGATAGAAACCTGATAAACGAAACTTTAGACAAATATCCCGAGGCGTGAAGCCTCTTGAAAACCGTAGGGATTGAGGGCTTGGCCAGGTTGGGAGGGGAGGGGGAGGGAGGCTGAGGGGTACAGGCCGTAGCCACCCTATATAGTCGGATGGGAATAAACTACCACGTCATATTCTATTCATATGCTAAAAGCCACATTTTCCAACATAATCCTTTCAATCTCATGCCCTTTTGTCCGGACTTCGGAGAATGTCAAGGTAATCAATTAGCTCTTTGTTCAGGATTAAAACGGTTTGGAAAATAAGGGAGTTTTTTTTATAATTATTGCAACTGCATTTACATTGACAAAACAACAAAAAAAATCATAAAAAAAATAATTTCAGGCATTATTAATTTTTGGTGTGCGCTACATGACAAGATTTTTCTTTATCACCTCTCATCGCCATCTAAACATCATTGTCTCCCCCATAATGTGCAAAAGCAATATATATCTTGGACTACGTAAATATAGATTGAAGATCGTCCCTGATTAATGGGATAAGCTTTCAATGTAGATTATGTAATTTCTGAAGATTGTTATTTTTCGCTATGAAGTCAACTTTTGCAGGTGCCCCCTTTTCCACCAAGTGTCCTTTTTTGTTGGTGCACCCCCGCTGAGAGAGAGAAAGAAAAGAAGAGAAGAGAGAGAGAGAGAGAGAGAGAGAGAGAGAGAGACAGAGACAGAGAGGGAGAGAGCCTGATCCGATCACAGATTTACCTTGATGGGCATAAAATGGGCATAAAATAAGGTTCCTGTGGGTTTTGTTTCTATGCGTAATATATTTTTGTTTGTAGTAATGTTTTGAATTTTGTTTGTATGATGTTAACCTCAATTTTGTAACCTTGATTTTGTTTAATATGTACTTTTGAATTTTAAAGTCTCTCTAAAAAGTTGGGTTGCCCCGTTTCTTCAAAAAATTGATGGCAAGATGTGAAAGAGTATGTCATTTAAGACACAATTCTGCAAAGACTCCCCCCCCCCCCCAAAAAAAAAAGTCGTTTGAAGACAAAATTGATATATACATAATTTGGGTTTTCTGTTGTACGCAGAAAACCTAAATTTTGTATTCTTTCTTCAAAATCAATACTCGACCTCAAACCGTTGTTTTGAAAATCCTTGCATAAGTGTGTTTTAAATGACATCCTTCACATTTTGATACATTATTTAAGTGAAATTTTGCCATCAATATTTGTTGGGGTCAGAAAACCCGACATCAACTACTGCTTATGTTTATCTATACTTTTCAATTCTTCCCATTTATATAATAACATTGACAACTATTGTTTCCGCGTTCCTTGTCTGAGGATAGAGGATGGATGGAGGTATTTCCGGGGTGCAGCAAAGAGATTCGATCAGGTGCAGGGCGGAAAGCTTCACTCTGCTAGGTAACTGGTGGCCACGTGACTCTATGAGCCAATCAGCGACGCCATCCACTAAGTATTATGGATCACATATGTCCGCTGGTAGAACTAGGCCAAGAGGTGAGAACCCCACTTTAATCTTACTTCTAAGCATTTGATAGATTGATTATTATGACGTGTGTTAGTCTTTCATCTTGCTAATCAAATTTACCTTGTTTCTCAAACAGTACATTATTTATTCTCATACAGTGAATAAATTACTTCTGAACAGGTCAAGTAAGATGCAGTTAGCTGCAGCCCTCATTTTAATCCATCAGTAGGCCTACCGTGCGTTTCTTTAGGCCGGTGGGGCTGGCGTCCAGTGGGCCCACATTGCGCTAGGATACGATGGTGGATTGTGCATTGTGTAGTTATTGATTAGGGAGAAGTTTGTCAATGTCAATATTATTAGTCGATGCCAATTGGAATGTACAAAATGATATGTTGATATTATTATTAATACTTCATTTCTTCAACCTGTTATTTGACTTTGAGATACACTATCAGTAGATTCTAGTCTATCACAACGTTTAAAGATGATCTTTATTTTTCGTAATCATTTTTTGTTTTTTGTTTGTTTTGTCTTTGACTTTCACTTGGATCTAGCCTTAGGCTCTAGGCCTAATCTTTTGTATAATGTGGTCAAGATATACCATTAATATTTCATTATGTTCCTATATTTATTTACCCAATGAAAACGGGTAGCTGTGATCTCTCGATCTGTCTCGTATTTTTTCTCAACACATGGTGATATATTGGCATTCATTTCTTCCTTTCCGTTGGCTTACTTTTTGTCATTAAAAGTGGTGACATCAGCGATATTCAATTATTTTTGCTTTTCTATCTCCCGTGATCTGTCTCTCTTTAAATGCCAGTGATATTGGCATTCATTTTCTTCATTCATTTCTTTTGTCCTAAAAGCTGGGATCCATCAACTATTTTAATAAAGTTTTTTTTTCTTTTCTTCTGGCGGATGAAAAAGAGGTGTGCGGTTCATACACGGGGGCAGTTTATACAACATTAAAGATAAAGTTTGAGTTCTCTTCGTGCAATTGCATTGTAAAAGAAAAGATGTGGAATGGATCAGAAAAAGTTGATCATGTAGGTCTGTCTAGCATGTAAGTATTAGTGTGTACTGCAAGGTTCTGGAGTCATCAAAATCATAATTAATTTGGCCCAGTCTTGGTAAAGTAACAAGCACTGTACACAGAAAGATGTATATGGGACTACACATAGTGTCAGGCCCCGACTTACCTTGATATCCTTATCTTGCTTTGCTCATTACTCAGCTAGTATACATTTTCTACCAAAATTGTTTAGAAAATGACATTTATTTGTAATCTTGAACATTCAGTGTAAGTTTCGTTTGATTCTGTGAGAATTCATTTTCTTGTTTTTCTTTTTTTACCAGAAGTCAAGCTTATCTCATTGTAGAAGTTAAAAAAAAAAAAAATCAATTACATTTTCTCTATTTACAGAGATCCAGTCTGTATCTCAGAGGTGCATGTAGATAATACAATAAATTATGAACTACAACAAGAAGCAAGACTGAGTCATGTCCGATTCTGAGAACCAAAGTGCAGCCCTGGGCCTAGCGGCTGTTACCAAGATGGAGCAGCTTCTTAGTAACAAAGGGGATGATGATATACTCAAAGAATTGGTAGGTGTAAATCTCCATTCATGAAATAGCTCTTCTTCTTAATTAAGTATATTGAAAGTTGAATAAAAGTGCTGTTTGTTACTTTTTTATGTGTATCATACTTACAGTATTGCTTGAAATAAAGTAGACACATTACCACCAAGTCACACCAAGGTTTATGGGATAATGCATGCAGTCACGCGTGACACAGTGTGAGACTGTCAACTTTATTCCAAGCAATACTGTAGGTCATGAGTATCTAAGAGTGTTTTAAAGTACATGTATATCCTCAAAAGTAGCTTTTAAAATGTATTTTGCTAAGATGTAAGTCAAAATTTAGAAAATACATTGGTTATAAATAACTTGGATGATACTTTAAACACTGACCAAAGTTGTTCAGATTTTGTTTTCAATCCCAAATTTGTAATAAGTATTAATGTTATGGATATTTCAAATTTGTCTATATTCATGCTGCTAATATGTTTTCATCAACTTATATTTTTTGGTTAAATTTAAATTTTCTTTCCTATTCAAAGATTGATGAATTAGCACTATCAAATCAAATGATATCTACAATTGCCATTTGATTTGATTCTTGACTTTCTTAATCACCGAGGTAAATCTGTTAGGTAGTCAGTTATGTAAGCAGGTAGTCTTTTATTACTTTTAAAGGTGCACTCCGCATGTCAAAAAATCTCTGGATTTATCAGCTTGATATCATAAATTAAAGTTCTGAATGTGAAAATAATGTTTTTACTCCTCTGCGTCTTTCTCCCCATTGCTGCAGTGTGTTGCGAATGGAATTAAGTATAGTAAGCTAGGGAATGGTGGCGGAGACCAGGTGGACCTCCTGGAGATCTTTTTCTCTGGCTACCCTCGAATGTTGGGTCTCAAGTTCTTCCCGAACGTGACCACCCTCATCATCATGGGGCAGGAAATCAGCCAGGTGGATGGCCTGCAGTACTCCTCCAAGCTGGAAGAACTCTGGGTGTCAGAGTGCAAGCTCACTGTAAGTACCTGTCAATGCCCATGCAGTATTAAATCACTCCATATGCTTACTCCTCATAAGGACCCCTAAGGAAGAACAGTAAAGTTCTATAAGCATTGCTGAATTGGGCTTTCCTCCGATTGTTATCTATGTACAAGAATCAATGTTTCATTTTGTATATTTTTCTTTTTATAATATTTTTTATCTGATTTCGGAAATAAAAACAACAAACAACAAAAACCCTTCACAAAACCTGTTTTCAGCAGACTTTGGAATGATTTCCATTTAAACAATATTTCCTAAACTTCAGTGACCAAGGCTATAGAGCTGCACCTGTACCTTATAATGTCATATTGACTACCGTAGATCTTCCATTGCACAATAGATACATTCAACATTAAATAATCTTTACAATAATTAACAATTCAGGATAAGAAAAAAGACATTGTAAATGTCAGATGTGATCCACAATTTTTTTCTTCCCCCAAAGTTAATATCCAGATTTAATAGCCTTGGTGTGTTAAACACTGGAAAGCTAATTCAAATTTTAAGATTTACAAGTCTCAAAAGCATGGATAAACATTAAAAGTGGATAGAAATAGAATTGCTGAATGAATTCTGGCTTTATTTGCTCTTTGAGAAATGAAATGATATGGGTATATCTAATTGTTGACAATGAAACTTTTCTATTTATTTGTGCTATTGTTAAACAGAAAATTGGTGACTTGAAAGGATGTCTAAGGCTGAAGAAATTGTATCTCTACTCGAATCAACTGGAGCGCATCGAGAACCTCTCACATCTCAAACACCTACAAGTCCTCTGGCTCAATCATAACAACATAGCAAATATTGAGGTAAGAGACAAATTAGAGCTAATCATATATTGTTTGTTATTGTAGTTTTGATTACTTTTATGTAAAATTCAATAATGAAGATAATGACAATCAGTGAAGTTTATTATCATTGTCCTGAGTACACGTCTTATGATCTGTCTTGATGAGAAAAATGTAATGACTGATTTTTAGCTTTTTAGCGATTGTTTGTCATATTGCACAGTGCATTTGTTGGAATAAATACTACCAGTTACAAATTCCTTTACATTTACCTTTAAAAACATGAAAAGTTGGTAGCATACAGGCCTACATAGTACTGTGATATATATGTTTGACACATAGGAAAGTAATATGTTGCTCATATCTTAATTTCAGGGATTAAATGGTCTGTCTGCTCTCTCAGAACTGAATCTGGCTGATAACAAGATTGAAAAGATTGGTAAGTTGGCTGGATAGAGTAATTTTCTATTGAGTTGCACATCTTGGTAGTCCCTGGCAAGACAGTTGTCTGCATGACCTCAGTGACTTGTACATATGACGAAGAAGGTATTAGTTCATCTTTCTCAAAGTATGCCAACAGTGATGCATTGGGCTGTAAGAGGTTGAGACTCATAATTGTTTTTAATTTTAAGTTTCCAAACATGCTAATGATTATTTCCCAAAGTACCCAGTAATGATTTTATGTATTGTGACACGCAACTTATTTACAGATCATGTTAAGATTCAATATTACAGAGATGCCAACTAGTACGGATTTCCCGTAATTTCTACGGGAAATCGGCCGATTACGGGCGGTACGATTTTCATACCATAAATTCCGGATTTTGCTGATTTTTCCGATTTTCAAAATTAGCACTTTAAGGTTTAGCACGTTTAAGGTTTAGCACGTACTTTTGACTATTGCAGCGCAGCCATCCTTGAATCCATGCATAGAAATCCCACAGGGCTTCCGATTGGACAATTTGTTATCTAGCACACCCCTTTCAGTGCATACATGTGCATACAACATGTGCTTCGCGAGCGGGGGCCGGGTGAAATACCTCTCTTGGCTGCGCCGCTACCGCCCGCCCAGCGCCAGGCCTCGCTACGCTAGCGCCGTGTACACTGTCGGATTTCTCACAGGCTGTCACAGCGTTCGTCGATTTTCGTCGACAATCTGAACTCATGTTGGTTGGATTTAGATATCAATCATCATGTCTTCCACAACTAAGAAGCGTGGCAAGAAGTTACAGACTTTTAAAGAACAATACAGTAAGAAATGGAAATGCATCGTGTAACACCAACTAATGAACAGGTATGTTACTTTTATTTAACTTGTTGTGCTATCGCACTTGCCTGCGGGAGCTGCGCTTGCCAGCGTGCAGAAAAATTTGCGTCGTGCAGAAAATTACGGATTTTGTCTCCAAATTACGGATTTTTAGCCTTATGATTACGGATTTGTGCTCTGAAAGGTTGGCATCCCTGATATTACTGTAAATCTCAGAATGTTTGTAGTTATCTATTCTCTTTTAAGGAGTATCTTTTGTATTATAATCATGAATTTCTAACCCATTGCTTGTTTGCTTCATGTTTCATGCTTTCCCTTTCCCCTCTTTCATCTGTTATCTTAATAGGTCATTCTATAGATAATCATGGCAAGCTTGAGAATCTCAACCTTTCAGGAAATAACATCTGCTCCTTTAAGGTATGACAAAAAAAAGAGTTATTTTGTAAATTTAATTTAAATTCAGATGCATTATATATATACATGTTCACAGTATAACATTCTTTGTTTTCTAAATGATGGCCGGTGTGTTGGCTCAGTCACTAGAGCGTCCACCTCACAACCGGGAGGTCGTGGGTTTGAACCCCGGCCGTGTCATACCAAAAGACATTAAAATAGGGGAGTTGCTGCTACCTTGTTTGGCGTTCAACAATGAGGGATAGAGCAACATTGATCTGGCGCTGCTCAGTGGAATGCCGGGCTCACGATCAATTGGGCAAAAAGAATTTCCATTTTCGGTTTAACTTAATAACAATTTGGAGTGGACTTCAAAAGATTATTATTATTATTATTATTATTAAAGTATACCAATCACCAAAAATATTTTGATTCGCATGTTTGCGTTCATGTCTAGAAGGAGATATTATTAGATTAAATGCATTCTTAATCAACATGAAAGTCAACCACCACCTCTTAGGTCACCCCCCCCCCCCTTTCCCTTTAAAGAAGTGAAATTATGTTGCTAAATTTTAACCAAATTTGAAGTTACTGGCAGGCCCTGGGAAACGATAATCAAACTCACCATGTTAAAAACAAATTAATGTATATTGTGTTATAGGACATCACCCATCTAGTGAGGTTACCACGGTTAAAGATTCTTGGTCTGAAGGACCCCCTGTACGCACCCAACCCTGTGTGTTACCTGTGTAACTACTCCACCCATGTTAAAACAATTGAATGTATATTGTGCTATAGGACATCACCCATCTAGTGAGGTTACCACGGTTAAAGATTCTTGGTCTGAAGGACCCCCTGTACGCACCCAACCCTGTGTGTTACCTGTGTAACTACTCCACCTATGTTAAAACAATTGAATGTATATTGTGCTATAGGACATCACCCATCTAGTGAGGTTACCACGGTTAAAGATTCTTGGTCTGAAGGACCCCCTGTACGCACCCAACCCTGTGTGTTACCTGTGTAACTACTCCACCCATGTGCTCTATCACCTACCCTGGCTGGAGAGACTGGACACCTACGCTGTCTGCAACAAGAGCCTCAGGGAAATGGCAGAGGTATGGTCATGCTCCTGTCTTGGATTTGATACGTAAAATTGATCACCAATCTCTCGCTTTAGACAATTCATGTCATATGTACAACAGTTTAAATTTTCATATTCATTGATTGATGGCTACTTTTGTTGTTGTTGATGATGTAAATAGTATAAGACAACCAAAAGACAAAAACTGTGTTGTACATGTGTTTAATTTTTTAATGTGTGTGAAGATATGTCACAACTGGAAATGTCCAGATTACTTTGGATGCTATACTAGTTTAGGTTGTTTGACCAACACCCGTATAACAAAAACAATCAATACTCGAAAACCAAGTTATTTAAAGGTACACAAATCTATTTAAAAAGACAATATCCCTGTCTCGGAAGAAGAATCTTTCAAATGAAATGAGAATATAACAGTATTGGTTCAATAATCAGGATAACAATAATTAGTGTAATAGCATAGAAAAGTTACTTCACTGTAGTGTTCCAAGTAATCCGCCATCTAAAATACAATTATTTCCCCAAAAGGATGATGTCGTATTCGTTAATGACTATAAATAACCTTGATTACAATGCATCTATTTAAAAAATACACATGTGATCAATAATCAATATTTTGTGATAAATATAGAGCCATCACATTAAAGGAAACCAAAACCTTCATACTAAGTTACTTTTATTGTAAAGTTTAAGATATTTGAAAAATATCAGTGAAAATTTGAACAAAATCAGGCAAGGAATAAGGAAGTAAGAGCGTTTTGAAATGACTAGTCACTAGAGGGCAGTATTCAATTTGATGACATCATCTGTGGACAACTCTCCATGCCTTTTGTACATCAAATTTCATATTTTTCCTTCTTTCTTGTGATTGAGATATTGTACTCCCCTGAAAGCAAGATATAGAATGCAAAATGATATTCTACTTCACATGTTATGAAGTCGGATTAAGAACACAAATAAATACGAAGAAAACAAAAAAATTGTGAAATTTTATGTACAAAAGGCATGGAGAGTTGTTTACAGATGATGTCATCAAATTGAATACCGCCCTCTAGTGACTAGTCATTTCAAAATGCTTTAAATTTCTTATTCCTTGCCCGATTTTGTTCAAATTTTCACTGATTTTATTCAAATCTTTTAAACTTTACAATAAAAGTAACTTAGTATGAAGGTTTTGGTTTCCTATATTCCACAATCATCCATGGCTTTGAGTAATAAGCATCTAATTAAAATCACCCATAGAAAATGACAGTTCTTCAAAACTGATACAAAGTCTATGATTAAGACTCGCAGAATAGAATTCAATTCATTTCCAAAACAAGGCCACCTCAACTTGGTAAATTATTCACAAGCAAACTGTCCAACCGACATTTACAATTTTTTTGAATGTCTCTGCTAAATAGAAACAATCTTCAATTCTTCTCTATTGCTAGATAACTGAAAGCTTATTCTCTATCAATGTTAATCCATGTTATTAGAAGGGAAAAAAAAGGTAATTTAATTTCTCAAAACAAGACATTCGTTTGACATACAAATTGACAAAGAAGTAGCTTAGATATAAGCAAAATAACACTTACAGCCTTTTTGGAAAAATCCGACCACAATAAAATGGCTGGTTGCCTACCCTCGCATTTTTGATATTATCCTCTGTTTATCACACTGACAGCAAAACCCTGCAGCACCATACAGCCCAAATAAATGTAAGCAAATAACAAACTGCTGTCCTAGCATGTAGCATACTAGCTGCCCCAGCTTGCCTGATAGTTCCCCAACCTAGCAAGAACCACTCAACCATGACATAACAATAGAGTGCATGGCACACAATGCCCTAGCTGCTATGCCAAACCAACCTACCTAGCGATTACACACACCTGCCATTGTAAAGGATGCCATTTACTCTGACTAGGTGAATCTCATTTCTCTTTTCAAGTTCCTTTTTAAATAGAATGTGAAATTTTGTTGTTGTTGTTGTTGTTTTTTGTTGTTTTTGTTGTTCTCAATTTGTAGAGGTAAGAATAAACTGAACAGCAATATATAGTTCATTACACTTATTATTATTATTTTTGTTGTTGTTGTTGTTTGGTTAATGCAACGGTCACAAAGGTTCGTACGAACGATAATTATGTACGAATCTCCGTTTTCCCATTGTCTTCCCGAATTTTCATTGTCTGAAAATCGTTCGTACGGCGTTCGTAGCAGTTCGTAATGGCATTTGTGACTGAGGCGTAAGGTTGACATGAATAACCCCTTCATATGATACTATAGAGGTTACATGGTCTAGTGCAGGCGCGTACGCAGGATTTTTTCAAGGGGGGGGTTTTAACATTTATAAATCGGTCCGAAAATTTCGCAACGACTCAGCCAGCCGCTGAATAAGCGGGGGGGGGGGGGGGGGGGGGGGGGGGTTTTTTGGTCCCAAAAAAATCGCAACGACTCAGCCGACCGCTGAATAAGCGGGGGGGGGGGGGGGGGGGGGGGGGGGGGGTAAGAGGACACTTTTTTTTTTTTTTTTTTGGTCTCGAAATTTGGAAATTTGACATTTTGCTCCGTTGGGGGGGGGGTAAGGTCACGTTTTTTAGGTCGGCCATGGGAATAATTTTTTTTTTTTTAATTTTTTTTTTAATAATTTAAAAAAAAAAAAAAAAAAAAAAAAAAATCCAAAAGGGGGGGTTTTAGGTTTTTTTTAGGGGGGTTTACACACAAAAAATTTCCAAAGGGGGGGGTTTAACCCCCCAAACCCCCCCCCTGCGTACGCGCCTGGTCTAGTGGATATGTCGCTGGACTGTAAATCGTATGGTTCACTGTTCAAGTCACGCTGTGTCACTCATGTCGTTTGGCAAGATTTTAATCTACGTTTGCCACTCTCCACCCAGGTGTAGCAAATGGTTATCCGGTAGGAAGAAATTCCTTGAATGTTTGAGCGCCTTATCATGGTAGCTCGGCTAAACCCAGGGATAACGATATAATTTCAGGGCCCTCAGGGAGAACAGTATTAATACTGATGATGCTGCCCTGGGTAAACGAGACATAACATTATAACTACTCTTATTAACTTAGTGGTGTACACAATAATTGATTTGTTCTATATTCCTCCTTGTTACAGGCCACAGTAATGAAGAAGAAGATGTACTACAACATGCGAGTGAAGACCATGAAGAGAAAGATGTCGGACATCTTGCGTCAGCTGTGCAAGGAGAAACGCTCTCTGACCAGGGGAACGAAGGATAGACTCAAAGCTCTCAGCTTTGCCATCAAAGAGGTAGGCTTAAAGAGAAACTATAAACAAAATTTATTGATTATGCGTGAGTAAATCGCTCTTATCCATGAATGGCATAATGTTCTGCAACAGACATTGACTCAAATGTTTTAGAGAAATTTGCACTATCTGCTCATGCACACTTTCTTGATCGAAAGATGAAAACAAAACTTCACCAAAAGGTGACACTAAACTGCTATGGATTACGTATATACATCTTCATTTCAAGGTTCTTTATGGCTCATTTTATAGACTTGAATAGCAACTGCTATAATTGTATAACAAAGAAGATGGAGGCTCTTAAATTTTGTGCCAAATCAGGAGCCGACTCCTTTATATAAACCGGGTACTTGAGTTATGATGTATTTCATTTTCCACCAAGATTTTTTATAATGTGAATCATGTGTGGTATAAACTATTGTGAATCTGGACAACCTTCAGATATTTCACTAAAGCTATATGCATGTGAGTTTTCTTGCTTTATAGTTTAATCATTTATTCATTTATTCATTTATTCATTTATTTTGATTGGCCATACAATTTCTTGGATTGATTTCACCTCTAGTTTGAGCGGGAGCTAGAAAGCAAAGCCAGTGGTGGACGGATAGTGAGTCGACCGGTAGAAGACGATGTAGGGAGCGGAACAGAGAGTGACATAGAGGAGGACAGCAGTAGTCTAGAGACAAAGAGAAGAGCCAAGCTGGCCCTCATGCAGAAGAGATACGAGAAATGCTGTCTGATCTTTGAAGAGTAAGTGAAATGTTGAGGGAAAAAAATGTATCTCTTTCCAATGCTTGATTGGTGTTCAATTTATCAGAGTGCTTATGAAGGGATAGTATGTTTGTTATTGTGACATTTGTACATCCTATCAAAGGGACAAGGATGAATGCTTCACCCAAGGTCAACAACACATTGATATGGCCTTATTTGACTTGTTTACCCTGGTTTGAAGACCATTGAGTCACTCTGCCCTTATTTTATATATTTTCTTGCAACTTTCTTCGAGAAAAGATGTTCCTTTATAGTGGAATAGCTTTCAATTTGCCAGACAGTCACACGGGTAAACTGTCAATGATTTAAATGGTTTAAATGTGGTCAGGAACAGTATTTGTATGGCATGAGGCTGGAACTCATACTGACAAACTCTTTGAGATGCCAATGTGTATAATGCATAATATATATTCTTAAATCGCCTGATTTTAATTTTACCATGAACATACACAGTGTGGAGAAGTATCATACTGAAGCCATCTTGAAGGTCAAGCATGCGACCGCTGGAGCCACCCAGAGACTGGTCACTGAGCTGGAGACTGGAGGCAATGTTAGATTTGAAGATGGTTCTGCATCGGACATCTGGTAAGTATTTTATAAAGTTGTGTAATGTTGTACATATCATGTTTTACATTGTGAATGAATAGATTTGAATTAAATGATGTGAATGTCCAAACATATTCACGTAAAGAAGTAGTTAGGTAATTTGCAAAATCAATGATATTCAGGAGCGCTTCAAAGTTGTGTCTGCCTGCTGCCAGAGGGTGAATTTTATGTGGTGTAATATTGTTAAAAAGCGACTATTTTGATTTATTATCGGTCATGCAATTCCTGCGTAGGTTGTAGAGGAGTGGGCCGGGTCTGATAGATAAGTCACCTAGACTGTGAACCACAAGATGTGGGGTTTAAACTTCAAATCTGTGTCACAAGACTAATGTCCTTTATTAAGACAGTAATCTACCTATATCACACTCTTCTCAGACGAAGTAGACAGGTACCGGGTAGGATTATTGCTTGAAATGCACTTTGTGCAGGTAACGGTTGCTAGAGCTAAAGCCGGGGTAATGTCTAAAGTTCTCAGTGAATGAAACACATCATAGCCGTAATTACCAATAAAGTGTATTCCTCATCTAAATTTTTTCTACAGGTTCACATCGTGTCACGACCTGATCCTGTCACGCTTCTGTTCGTCCGACTACCAAGCCCATGGCATCACAGGGTTGAAGATCCACAGGATTACCAGGATACACAACCGTATGCTGAGATACAGGTTCGATACCTGTCTTGCTACATTCTCTGAGGAAGATGACACCCCTACTCTCGCAAGGTAAGAAGATTTGTCACTATCTAGGCCCTGTTTCACAAAACTTGTCATCAGTGACAAATGACAGTTTTTGTTATAAGCTACTGAGAACCTTGCTTCTGATTGGTTATCAGCAGATTTTTCACTGATTGTTGTCATTTGTCATTGAAAAGAGGCTTTGTGAAACACTCCCCTGGAAGTGCTTGGTCTCTCCTTGGCAGTTCAAACCACCCTTATTGATTACATTGTGTCTATTTTCTGACAAAGAAAACGTTTTTTATAATTTTTGAAGGCTTCCATATGGTGATGATAGGTTTGAGCGAGATTTGCAGTTACACCACATATTTTTTTGACAGAATTGGCCCTGATATTTTTTCCTCTTTTAAAAATAAAACTGGATTAGATTGTGAAATTACATTAACTGGAACAATGTATGTATGAGGATGAACAATGGAAATGCCAGATTAGGAAAATGCACTAAGAATAGAGCGAATAATTGACTGCTGTGCCTTTTGATATTTTCATTAGGTATCTTCTCACAGCAAATTTGCCATTTAACAAAGTGTTTAAGGTGATGAAGTTGACTGTATGGTAAGATTTGCATAGAGCATTACAGTTTCTCAGTATCAACTCTGTGTTTTACTTGTATGTTTGCTGTACTCAGGCCCCAAAGTGTGAAGAAGCTCCAGGAGTACCTGTTCTTTGTCTGGGACCCTGAACTACCCGGAGGAGAGAACCAACCCATGAAGGTGCTGGAGGATGGTCCTATGGATCAAGAAACCTACAGGGTGAGTATCCTGGCATTGGACCTAATCCATAGGACCAAAATTGTAGTATCAAAATTGTAGGACCGAAACTGTAGGACCGAAATTGTAGGATGCCTATTGCAGGCATAGTTTGCTGATATAGGACTGATTCTGGGAGTGGCATGGTCTTTGACAGGCCATGTTAGACATTGGAAGTGAAACTGTACAAGAAGAGAGTGCAAAGGGAACAGTGTAAACATAAGTGTGAATTACCGAGGTGCACTGATCATGATAACCAGTGGAATGAAGAGACGTGGGTCTAATATTTAATCTAATCTAATTTCAAATCTGAATTAAACTTGTCTGACTTTGTAATTTCCCAGTTTTACATGTCTTCTATTTTGCTTTCTTACTTATCTTTTAACAGCAACTGGGGCGAGATGGAGCAGTGCCGTTGTCCAACAGCCTCAGCTTGTCCGAGAAGCCTCGCATCCAATACCTAACCACCAAGTCTAGGACTGACCCCACGGCCCATGACCCTTGTCCTTTCAGACATGGTCAGCTGGTGGTATGCAAGGTGTACCTGGGGAAAAGCTTACCTGCCCTGGATATCTCTACAGGGTATGTATCATCCAGCAATCCCAGATTATTTGATGTTGATGATGATGGTGGTGGTGGTGGTGGTGGTGGTGGTGGTGGTGGTGGTGGTGGTGGTGGTGGTGGTGGTGGTGATGATGATGATGATGATGATGATGATGATGATGATGATGATGATGATGATGATGATGATGATGATGATGATGATGATGATGATGTGGTGGTTGTGGTGGTGGTGGTGGTGGTGATGAGGATGATGATGATGATGATGATGATGATGATGATGATGATGATGATGATGTTGTTGATGGGATGATAATGATGATGACGATGGTGATGATGATGATGATGATGATGATGATGGTGATGATGATGATGATGATGATGATGGAAATGATGATGGTGATGGTGATGATAATGATGATGATATGGATGATAATATGGATGATGATGATGATGATTGTAATGAATGGTGATGATGATGATAATGATGATAGTGATGGTGATGATGATGATGATGAGGAGGAGGAGGAATTATGTGAACACACCTATGTAATACTTTTTCAGGGTCCACCAGAAGTTCTACCCCAACTGTGATTCAGTGTTCAGACCAAAGTGTTTCACTGGTGGTACACAGAAAGAATCTGCGTGTGAATGCTCCTCCAGGCAGTGTGAATGGTTTGTCTTCAACCACGAGCTCGTCCTACCGGAGTATGTCATCGACTTTGAGTATGTTACAAGGGTGAGTACGTGTGAATGCTGTTTCAAGAGTTTATTTATTTATTTATTTTATTTCCAGGCAAGATGATAACATACAAAACATCGCAAGCTTGACAAATGATAGAACATACTGCAAACATAATGATATTTAATTGTTTTGCTATGTGACAGGCAAGATATCCACCTCAGGAACAGCTGAAATGTTAGATTATTTTAGAGTTGAACGATAAGCAAACACTGATCGCATAAACAAAAATAAAATATCTGTTTACAATGGATTTCAACAAAAAATGTTTTAGAAAGTTTTTAAATCGAAAACAAGTAACACAATGATATATATAGTTATTTTACGAATGTGACACCTTGGACAACTAGGCATATACACTCCAAATAATAAAATCTAATTCACAAATATAGATTTTGTATGTAAATCGAGTATGATGTTTACAAAATAATGTTTTTTCTTGCTGCAGCTTCCATCACCCAGTCCTTTCATGAATGTGATGGATTTAAAGCAAGCAAAGAAACCTGCTGCTTTCAGTGTAGACCCACATGCTGATGATGATATCTTGCTGATGGGACCTGTCTCCCAGCCCAGACCGAGGTAAATCAGTTAACCAACCAAAAATCTTGTTACATAGGCCAGTTGATTATATGAGATACTTGGCATCTTATAAAACTTGATGAATAGGCTCAAAATTTGCCAGGGTGGTTAAACCCAGACCATAGTTCAGATCACTGATTCACTTTGATAAAAAATAGTTAGTAATAATAAAACCAAAAGACTGCATGTAATTACAGGAGAAACAAAGCATAGAACTTTTATGTTATTTTTTTTTTTTTTTTAATGATATCTACTTGTGATGTAATTAATTTCACCGTTAATACCTTGATGTGATAACTCTTGTTGTCATGATACAGAGAGGGTGCACTGAAGTGCATGTAAGAAAAGGCCTTGCATGGCAAATCTTAGTAAAGGAACTCAATCAAAGGAGATATCTAAATATGTTTGTGTTTGATTTGTTTAAATTGTGATAGATTATCTTTTCATGCTGTATACATATTTAACAAGTAAAGAAACCCAATCAATGTAGACATTCAAAGATATTTGCGTTTAATCTGTTTAAATTGTGATGGATTATCTTTAGGCTTTCCATGCTCACTGAAGAGCTGCTCCTGAAAGCCACTAAAGCATCCTCTCTGGCCTCCATCACAGTACTCAATCTCCATGGTAACGGACTGACCAAGCTCAAGCATCTCAACTCCATGACGGCTCTTCAACGTCTGATCGTCAGTTTCAATGAACTCAGCAGATTAGAAGATGTTGCTCATATGGTCAGTTTTAGATGAAACATTCTGGAAGTTGCGTTTTTGCGTTTTTGCAGTGTATTTGAAGAAAGTTTAAAGCCCCACTGCACTACTTCTAACTACTTTCTCCCTCTGAATAGAAAACAATGCCTAGGCGGTGCCTGTTGGTCCCCCATGATCCTCTTTTTCTTATGTTAATTGAGAGTTGAGTTGATGAGATAAACACCTGTCAGTGACCACGCTGGGTGGTCTAATCCCTCCTGGCCAAACTAGTACAGACGGGCTTTAACAGAGTTGTGAATTACTTTATCAATATTAGAGATATGGATAAAGTAAAAACATTCTACGATATACACTAACCTACTGCTATACAGCTGTTGAATAACAATGAAAAGTGACATACTTTTATTTTTTTCTGTACAAGTTAGTGTATTTTGTTATTATTTAAATGATATTTATAACTATATACCCATGGTAATTCTTTGATTTACTTTGAATATTACAGACATGTCCATTTGTTTCCGCTCTCCTTTTTAAACCGTGCAGGCAAATCTTGAGTATCTGGACGCAAGCTTCAATAAGATCTACACACTAGATGGGATGAAGGTGAGATACATGCTATGATAGTGATAAGTAAAAAAATCCTGATGAATTCAAAGTATAATCATGAAATGTTGATCATAATAACAATTGCAATTCGGAAATATCATTATATAGTCAAACCTCCCTTACTGTCTAACTCCCTGTAAAGACCTGTAGAGGTCACACATATTGCTGCCCTCCATAATTAAAAGATGAGTTGAAGAACTTGTCTAGAACTTGGCTACCTGTCTAGATGGGACACTTTTTGTGTTTCTCATTGATGGAATTCATAGACTAGGTTGACTGTATTTGGGATGCCAATTTTTTCAGGCCATAGCTTGATTTCAGAACCTTACACCTCCTTATACAGGCTTCATACTGTACAGCACATATGGGACTGCAGTGTGTCTGAATCTCTTTTTAGGCTCATAAGGTGACACCAATCAGTATCCCTGTTGTATGCTTATTAGACATTTTAGAGCCTGAACCAAAGAAAAACACTGTTCCATCTTTTATCTGTTATGTGTTTGTTTTCAGGCTTTAGGTAAACTGAAGACACTAGACTTGAGCTGGAATGAGATGACAAACACAAGAGATGATCTGTCCATTCTGAGGAAGCACTCACCAAATCTCACGTGTCTTGATCTCAGGCACAACAATTGGCAGAAGGTTAGTATATACTCCATGTCTAATATTTATACTGTTTTTATAATACTGCTTTTTTAAATGTTACAGTATATGAAAATACCGAAGATTGTTACTGTCTGTTGGTCAGATAAATTATTTTATTTGTACCTCGAAGTTTGTGTCCTTTTTGTATTATGCTTTTCAAAAGTATGATATACATGCATTACATGCTTACAATAAAGCATAGTACCCTGACAATGTAGTGACAGAGTCTCCGTGATACGATAATCCTTGATGCTTATTCAAAGTACTAATTTTTATATAAATAAGCAACAATCTGTGATAATTGAGTCCACACTAAATGTACCCTTTCTAAATATATGTTATTTACAGTGTAACATTGCTTAAAAGCTTTTCACTGATACACTGTGTGGTATTCATGACTCTACACCACTGCATGATTGCTCCATGTCTAAATTTTTAAATTGTCACTTTCTCCCATCTTCACCAAAAAACATCCTAACCCTAGCCTGAAGGTCTACGTCTTAGAACCATTGGCCGGCTCAAATCCCTGACAACCCTCAATGGCCAGGCAGTGACCGAGGCTGAGGCCACCGCTGCCCTGCGTATGGCAGCAGGGTCAAGGATATCACAGGTCTCCCTGCTAGCGCACACCAGGACGGATGAATGCAGGCCACGCAGTCTTAGTCTGGTGTCCTGCGCACAGCTTCTCACCAATGTCAGCAGGAATAAACCTGACAGGCAGAGCGAGAGCGACAGTGAGTGGTACAACAAGGTAAGCTTGTCTTTATATTAAAAAAAAAAAAAAAAGGCAATGATAAAATATAAAGTTCAAAGTTCCTTGTGGCAAGAAAAACATTGAAAGGAGTTTTTATCATTGTGACGGATGATGATTGAATGTATCTATCCTCCCCCCCCCCCCTCACAAAAAAAAGGAGAGAGGGAGGGAAAGAAAAAAGCGTGTCTTCGAATTCTTTCATTTAAACAAAAAGGGACACTCTTACCTTAATTATTTCATCTGTTTCTGGTCATATTTCATTTATTTTGTAGAGTTAAATCTCATAGTCAAGAAAGATCAATGACTGCACATTGAACATGAAATGCTCTTGCAACTTTCAAGATATTATACTAATAGTTTTACAAACTTAATGATGGTTTCCAGGTAACTACCTTGAATTTGGATAGCCAGCACATCAGCAAGTTGTCCAATCTGGAGAGGCTGGTCAATCTTCGGTGGGCGTCCTTCAATGACAATGACCTGACCAAGATAGAGGGTCTGGAGAACTGTGGACAGATAGAGGAGCTCTCCCTTGAAGACAACTGTATCTACAGGATAGAAGGTGAGAACAAGGGGTGTCTTCTTATTAGTTGTGCTAAAAAGTGTTGAAGATTGATTGTATGATGGAAAGTGAGTTGAAATAGAAGATAGATCATGCACTTTGACAAAATATGCACTGTAGACAGTAACATATATATAAAACATTTTTACTACTTGGTGAACTAATTCCCCCTCTCCAGATATCTTCCTACATGCAACTACTAATGGTGTTTTAGAATCTCATTATGGGAATTTTGGATGAAAGGATAATACATTTTCAGAGCCTGCTTTATCAACTGCAATAGGTTTTAGTCATATGTGTAAGTTACCAGAGCTCTATTTCTAAAACTTCTAAAAATGAATGCTTCAGATTTAGGATAAATATGCCTATACTTGGTCAAATATAATGAAGCAATATCATATATCCATTTCAATAGCTTTTTTATTTCATTATATATTACCCAAGTGATGATTAGCTTTAATACGCCTTAATAGATAGGTAGATGTCTTGTTGGGAATTATCTGCAGCATTATGATTGTTATTGACTCTCATTTTGTCATTGCCATTTTTTGTCCAGGTATCTCTCACTTGAGCAAGCTGCACACCCTGAACCTGGGCACCAACAACCTGAGTACCCTGGAGAATGCAGGACTGGACAAACTGGTCCATCTACAGTGCCTGTCCGTAGAGGACAATCGCATCTCAACCCTGGCAGGGCTGGACAAGGTCACCTCCCTGCTGGAGCTCTATGTGGGCAATAACAACATACGCAACATCAGGGAGGTCTTTCATCTCAAGGTGAGGTCTTCAAGACTTTCAGTTTGGTAAACACTGATTAACAAGCTGTTGTGGAACCCCTCAGTGTGTATATTATAGTTGTCGTGTGTACAGAGAAATGGATATTCACAGGTATTTATGATTGTGGAATGTGTAACGAGGAGTTTCAACAACAATAAAATTGCTGTTCTCCAAATGTTATCTAAACAGACTGTATATTTGTTAACCGTATTCATGGAAAGAAGAAGAGGGGAAGACCTCGTAAAAGCTTTCTAGACGATGTAATCACAGAATGTGGAGCAACAGGGTATGAAATGGATGGCTCAAGACCAAGGAACTTGGAGAGACACTTGATATAGAATTTTGATTGGGTCACTGAACCTGTCATAAACTGACAGATCCCTATTGATGATGATTTGTTAACTATTTAATATGAAGGTCATGCTATAACCATTACTCTTATCATTCAAACAGCCCTTGCCAAACTTTGTGATCCTGGATATGTGTGGCAATCCAGTGGCTAAGGAATCGGACAACTATCGTCTCTTCGTGGTCTATCATCTCAAGTCACTCAAGGCCCTAGATGGTTCTGCTGTGGTAAGTGCATGTCATAACCTGTTTAATACTAAGCCCAAAATCTAAGACCGGATGCCCCAAATTTTGAAGATTTTACATATGGCTCATGAATAAAGACTGTAGAAAGTTGAATCCTTCAAAAAAAGTTAGTGTAGAGCCCGACAGTTCAAGTTGATGTGTTTCTTCTCTTTGTAGAGGTCTCTTGCAACTTGTTCATTAACTTTGCCGAATTCAACTGCACTAGATTTGTCCTGTGCATCAGTACCCATTATGTTGTGTACTAGATTTTGACAGTTGTAAACATCCTTTACAGATTGGGTTTGAATTGTTATACTGGCTGTAAGTTGTTCCTTACTAGCCTCCAACCAAGCTCAATCTGATCGACCGATGCAACATGTTCATTAACTTTGGCGAATTCAATAGTTGCACTGCCAAGTGAAGCAAAAAGGATGATTTAATAAATAATGGATATTATATTTCTCTGGTCATTTACAGGAATCAACAGAAGGCGGTACAGCTAGGGACACCTTTGGAGGTCGACTGAACCAGGACTTTGTTGCAGAGAAGCTTGGACACTCCAACTTCCATGAGATCAGAGAGCTAGACTTCCCTCAAAGTGGGATCAGACAAGTGGATCTAGGATCCGGAGAGCACTTCATCAATCTACGCAGGTAAGGGCTGCGAAACTTGTAGCATTGGTCTTCAAAGACACTTTTCAAATCACTGAAGAATGTGAGAGTGATGTATAGTACATGGCTTCTTGTTACAATTTTAACGTGTACATGTACCTAAATTTTATGTAAAATCTGATTTTGCCGTGGTAGCACAGTAGTTTTTTTTAAAGAGCATGGTATTGGCCTTTGAGAATTAAACTCTTTGTAGAGCTCAACCATTTGTGGGCTTTTATTCTTTCCAAAGAATGCAGAATGGAGTCTTTATGCTTTATCTGTACAGTGTCCACACCATTTATATCCAGAAACAGCATCAAAGAGATTGCGGATGTGTAGCAAAATAAATTGAAAGAGATACATTGGATTTTCCTTTTAAACCACTTAAAGTTAATGTTTGTATTTGCATAAATTCAAATACCATATGAATCTTTTTTTTAAATTTTTAATCTATGATTTTTGAAATAACAAGTTAATACAAATAAATTTCAAGGCAAATTTTACAATTTTCCATTTTGTTTTTTCTTTCAGTGTGAACTTGGAGCATAACAACCTGACATCTTTCAGTGGTCTTATCTATCTAGTCAATCTCAGGGTAAAGCATATTTTAAAAGCTGTCCGAATTTTCAAGTATGTAAATTAAAAGTACAGATGTGTCTGCTGTCATTCATTGCAATATTGCAAGTTAATATTTGGATAAGTGGCACCTTATAGCCCTCATGTGTGATTGGCTTTTGTTATTTAAATAATGTAGATATATACAAAATGCTGAGAATATGATTATTTTCCCACCCAGACTCTCTCTCTCTCTGTTTCTTCTCTTCCTACATCTTGTTGTGCTCTCCTCGTCAGTGTACAAATACGAAACAGGACTGGATTTATTTTCATCTCTCATGTGTAATTCATTCCACGAGGCTGGATTAATTTTTTATCTCTTATGTGTAATTCATTCCACAAGGCAACTATCGATCAAGGCATAAATCAATCATGCAAGTAAATACATCTTCTTTTGCAGGTGCTGTGTCTGAATCACAATCACGTAGAGACGATCCTCCAGAGACCCAAGGCATCTAAAGGCAGTAAGGTTGACAAGGAAGATCACCTTGATCATCACTTCATGCCGGGTACTCTGACACCCATCCTGGACAACCTAGAAGTGCTCCATCTTGGGTAAGCTTTACAAAGGCATTCAAAAAACCTTGGCCTGTATTAAATCTGGACTCTGTACTTTACTATAAATTCCTGCAATTCAGAATTAACGAACAATTGAGTCATCGATTGCAAAGTTCATGACAATGACTTAGTATTGTTATGTTCTTAATAGGCACAGCCAATAATGAAATGTGCAAGAAACAATATCCTGTCAGTAATCAAATGTTTTGACTAAAGTTTTAATACAAGCTTAGGATTGAATAGTTAGATCTAGCTTCATAAGCTGCCGCTAGCTGTGCCGACGATCACATAGCTGTGAGCAAAATTGTTCATGCCCTTCTGTCGCTGGTTGCTACACGGCTGTTGTTTGTTGCTTTATCATTATCGTGATTGGAGTGATTTAACAAAAATATATATATGCTAAACATAACAATTGTCACAGCACACCAATAAATGAAAGTAGGGAAATCATTATAAAGATCATTTTATCAAACTGCATGTAGCAGTTACATTGTAATATGAATGTGTTCTAGTATGTTATCCAACAGTATTGAAAAGTAATCACAGATGATAACAAAAAGGGTAAATCCTCTTTACATCCAAATACTCCATACTTTCTCCATCTATGGGACAGTAGATTATGTATGAATATGACCGACTAACTATTTCTGCTCTTCTTTTTCCTCTCTTTTCCGCTTGACTAGATATAATGGAATCAGTGACCTGAACAAGCTGGAGATGTCTCGGCTCCCCTCCCTCAAGGCTCTCTTCCTCCAGGGCAACGATATCAGCAAGGTGGAGGGCATGGACGGGCTCCAGGACCTCAGGGAGCTGGTCCTGGACCGCAACAAGATCAAGAGCGTAGGAGAGGTCTCCTTCATCAACCAGTGGAACCTTGTGGAGCTCCACTTGGAGGAGAACAGGCTCCGGGATCTCTCCCATCTCCATTACTTGGAGAACCTCCAGAGGCTCTATGTGGGAAGCAACAGGATCCAGGTAAGTTGGTTTGCGGTAGTCCCACAAGGATGGAGCTGTCATTTTGATATTGAATTATTATTCTTTATCTTACATTGGTCTGCTCCATTAACCCCCCTCTCCTTTTATGTTTTTATTTCTTTCTGGCTTCCTCTTATATTCTTTCTTATTCCTCTATTGTTGCATTCTAAATCCTCAATTGTTTCTTCCTCATCTTTGAAAAAAACACTTTATACAGATCCTGTTGTATCAGGGAGAAATCCTTTTCTGTATGCAATTTGCTTTTAAAACCTTCACAGCTAGCTACTGTGAACTTTGGCCTAGATATTCATTTCTCTTTTTTGCTAGCTAGAGCAAGAAATCTACATCATACTATGCAGAGGAGATTGAGCCAAGGTCACATGACAGGATGAAATTGACATCTGCACCCTAGATATGACATTCCTGTATTGCAGATTACAGGATATAACATTCATGTAGTGCAGATTACAGAATCTGGCATTCCTTAGTAGCAGGTTACAGGATGAAATATACATCCAAGCTATGAAGCAAGACAATAGATGAAATGTACCTCCTGGGTTTTAAATTCTGGATCTCATTAAAAAAGAAGAAATAAACATAAAAGAAATGTCTTGTATCATTCATCACCAAGGCTGAAATTGACTATCTATTGGTAAACAAGTTGGAATGCAAATTCACTGTCATTTCATATTTATAGATCTGTTATTTTGTTTTCATTCATATTATACAGGACATGTCTGAGCTAGAGAAATTGGATCGTCTACCAAACCTGATTGAACTTTCTGTCATCAGTAATCCAGTAAGAAATATGATCAATATTTTGCTCACATATTTTTCACCGTTTTCTTTGAAATAGGGTTCTCACGGTCAAAGAAATGTAATGGTTTATAATTAGGTTCATCAACTAGATAGATTCAATCAGAATTCCTTGACTACAAAATATTTTGTACTTTTATTATCCTTCAATGTGTTCATCATATATGTAAAGTGATGCAGCTATATTTCACAGCCTTTTAAGTCGTCTTTTATGCAGAATAAAACTTACAGAAAAGTACTTATTATCTATAAAAACATCTTCATAAGAAAACAGTGTGTCATCTATAATGCTATTCTGTTGTTACAATATTGGTATTGTAAACGAAACCGTTATTCATTCTTATCTGAACAGGTTTCAAGACGACTAATGCATCGCCCAATGCTGGTCTATCGACAGCCAAACCTGCTGTGTATCGATGGTATACCTGTGACACAAGAAGAGAGAACCAAAGCTGAACTCTACTTCATGGAACAACAGGTAATTCAAAAAATGTTGTGTGACAGTTGAATTTCATTGGTCTTTATCTCAAAATGGGTCTGCTTTCTCTCTGCACAGAGTGGCAAATGATTTGGGAATTTCCGTGCATGATTTTTAAACTCAATAAAAATCCCAGAGAGGAATACAAAAAATGTGCATATACATTGTAAAATAGAAATTCTGGAAATTTAATTGTATGATGGTATGAAAACATCCCAATCCATTTTTTATCAAATTTTCTTCGTAGGTTGAAATAAAGTAGTTTGTTTTGAGCAGCAATTATGAAACAATCCTCTCTCCTGGGTCAACTTAGGGCAGCCTTGATAAATTTGTTGTGTACTTTTGTAACCATCTTTCTTCTGTTCTTTAATTTTCTTAGCAATTTTACTTCCATTATGAATCTTTTCTCAGGTTACTGCAGTATGTTTAAGCCCTTTTAGGGTGAGTCTGTTGACTTGTGGGTGATGTTATTCATCATTGATGAATTTGAAGTTTGGTTTTGAATTGCTTCCGCTATATACATTGTAGCAAACAAATGTGCTGGCAGTCAATGATTGAAATTTTTTTATGTCCCATACACTATGTCATGTGAAAGTTTGGGGAGTACTGTCAAGGCTTGTCAAGTTTTACGTTTTTATTTAATATCCTGGGATGATATTTTTCTGTGACAAGTGGACTTTGATTTGAATGTGTAATCTGTTTAAGGCTAGTTGGTGATATTTGATAGTGAATTTGAGGAGTTAACCTGTGAGAATGTCATTGAAAAATTGAAGAATTGCAGTCTTATTTTCATTGCAATTTGATTACTTACATGGTGTATGTAGACTCACAATTAAATACAGATGCCATCAAAACAAATACAAATGTAGATAATGAAATGTTTGGGTTATAGACTCAACATTGCCTGAAAACCTCTCTGAATGGCACATCTGTGCCTGAGTGTATGTACAGAGAAACACTCGGAAACAAATTGATATCATCACAACTCAAAAAAGTATGTGTGATACAACTTTTTAATAGAACTTGTGGGCACTGTGAGAGAAAGTAATGCACCATGTGATCTCTCTCTCTCTCTCTCTCTCTCTCTACTTTATTATAAGACATTCAATAGGTTTTAACCCCTTGGTCAATAGGCTATTAAACCATTTCCAAAGGGTTGGTACAGCTATTAAACAGTCTATGAATATTAGCAAACACAATACTTTTGAGGTATTACATGAAACATTTTTTTTAAATGCTTGTGATGGTTATTTTTGACAGCCATCGAGCATGATGACAACTGAAACCACTCTCCCTGGCATCTCATCGTACAAGGGTCACCCAGCACCGGTCAAGATCACCAACGTCCAGCTTCAAGGAGGGTCATCGGGCGGCCATGGCTGGAGTACACAGGTCCAGTACACAGCAGGAGACGATGCAACATTGCCATCAGATCCTCATAGAGGTAATGATGGGGAAAGAAATACGTGTACAAAGAGTTGGGATTGCTTTGATAAATTTTGTCAGGGTTTTACATGTTTATTCAGAGCACACCTGTAGTTGCTGCAAGGGATGAGGGCAATTTTTTTTCCTAGCTTGATTTAGAACTTTAATTTCCCCCAAACTTAGCTCAATAAATTATTGATATTATTTACTTTTATATGAAGCATTTTGTAAAATTATCAGTGAACTTTTGTAAAGAATTGAAACATTGTATTGTATGACATTTTTATTGATTATTTGTGTACTCATATTGTCCAGTTGACAATTTATCATACAGACAGCTAAGTGATCAATTTTATGACACATAATTTTTTTATTATTGATCTAAGACCAATCTCTATCACTAAGTAAATTCCTAATTTCAACAGTAGACCCAATACCATACCTACCCTACACTTATCGCGATCCCAAGGCATCAAAGAAATACATTCTAGAGCAAATGTTATTGAAGCAAATATAGGGTCACCCGTTTATCCTGTGTTTAGAGTGTAAATAAAGCTGTGCAATTTTTACTCTCAAAGCAGCTCCTAATCGCAGACAGCGTAGCTACGGGAAGAATGATGTGCAGTCATCCCCGAGCAACACGGGAGCCAGGATGCAATATTCCAATGCTGCTGGAGCTAGTCGACACAGCGGACAGCAGTACACGGCGCACTATCAGGTGCCCTACGTACCGCATCAGAGCCGCAGTCAGGGATATGAAGGGTAAGTGATCTATTTAGTTATCGGGGAAGGGCAGTGACCCAGTGGTTACAGTACTGTCTGTAATGGGTTGGTCCTGGGTTCAAAACCGAAGTAAGTGTTTTACTACCAACTTCACTTTCAGGTGCCCTATATATCACACTAGAGTCTCAGCCAGAGATATGAAGGGTAACCAATCCTCAGTTCAAGGTTCTAGCATACCTGCCAACATTTGAAAATAAGAATTAGGAATTTCTAGCATGGTATGCCTTCGAAAATAAGGAATTTATAACAGGCGTTCGCACATGCAGCGTCAGTGTAACTGGCAATACGCGGTAAATCTGTACAAAAAGCAAATACAAATTCACTGGACGATCATGCAACCATTTAACGCACGCAGTATGTGAACTCTCAAATTGCGGCATATGATGAAACAAGCTTACTTTGGCTTTAATTTTTTTTTTTTTTTTTTTTTTTTTTTAATTGAAAAAAAAAAAATTGAAAAAAAAAAGAATATTCCGGATTCAAATTGCGGCACATGATAAAACAAGCTTACTTTGGCTTTAATTTTTTTTTTTTTTTTTTTTTTTTTTTAATTGAAGAAAAAAAAAATTGGAAAAAAAAAGAATATTCCGGTGGGCAGGTATGTTATAGTAATCTGATGGGTAGTGCAAATTTTTTAAATGAAATGCCTCTAGAATTTGAATAGATGAATACCAATGAGTGGAGTTATAAAACAAAGACTAGTATTTATTTTGTGTATGATTTTGTATTAATTTCATCCAAACTTGTTATTTTATATTATCTGCAGATACTCTGCTAGCAATGTGCGTCACAACAGACCAAGGTAGTACTAGACACAAACCTGGCAGTCTGTTTCATCATTCCTCAGAGGGCATGGAACTCTTAAACAACCAGTTGCCATCATGGAGCTAGGATCATCTACAAGATCTACTGTTACCAAGAGGTAGACACACTGGAAAGGTGGACATTCACTTTGATCTGGCCTTGAGGGGTTTCAGACAGAATCGAGTCGTGGGGATGGGGCAGTTTTAATTGAAATTGTGAAAGAATTTTCCAGTACATCGGTCAACCTCTAATGAGTTTTGAATAGGTAATGTTGAGGGAACACAGGTCATCTCAAGATTTAAGAGAAGGTGGAGGAACTGTATTTATCACGTCAAGCAATGCAACTTTACTGTACTTTGAACAGAATGATAACATTTGCAGTTTTGCACCTACTACCCTCTTTATTTTGCAGAATATTATATTTCGCCTTGTTTTGAAGGGAAAATATTCTGAATCGGTTGCCCTTGCTGTTTGTTGTATTCTTTCTCCCAACCAATGAGTTATCAATTCATTCTGCCTTATCAGAAATGCATGAAAGCTTTCTTCCATCATTATCAGTGAAGAAGATTTCTAGATTAATGTGCTATGTGACCTTAGACATCTAAGTGTAGTACTATGCTTTCCATTTATTATTTGATTCCAGGACAAACAGGTATTCATTGTTGGGTTTAAAAAAATTACCATAAATTTGCAAACTCAAAATACAGTACATCTGGAACATGCTCCAGTGCTGAAATCTTTATTTAATTCTATTTAAATTTGATATGATGTTTTTTGCACTTGCACAACAAAGTGAGATGACTTTGAAAAAAAGGGATTGAGCTTTTAAATGTTTACACAAGGGTGATAAGCTTTTGTCTTGCAGTCTGGGCTATTGAAATCTCAATATATTAGTAGTTTTTATGTTAAATTTCAGATGATGAAGCTTTAAGTTTAACATTAAAATCTTGATATTTTGAGTGAGAAGGAGAGAGCCGAGGTATATTTTCTTCTTCTATAGGGAACATGTATCTCTTTTATACGTGGTTTGTGCAATTTGGCATGTTGATATGAAAATGTCTGAGAAAAAATTATTGGAAACTCCTATTGCACTTAATGTTAAAAGTAAATTTGTTCCTCACATAGTTTTTTTTTTACTTGAGATAATGTTTATATCGTCTGATTAGGAAACACAATGTAAAATATCAAACATAAGGAGACAATCTGAAACCATCACAAAGAACAATTTATGATGTACTATGAAGGCATTGATACCCTAATGCAATGATTGCATTCTGCAGTTCATTAATTGCCTTATATAAACTATGAACTCACCAAAAACAGCTTGAAATAGCTTATACTAAGTACTATGTTTGTAGTTTGATAGTTTGAAATTGTGTATTATGTGTACATTTGGTCTATAATGCGATTTTACGTACCGATATGCATATGTAAATGTGTAAGAATTATTGTTTATGTGTACATAGAAATAAAGAGGATTAATGTGTGCTATTTCCATCAAAAAGAGAACTTCCAACCAACTATAAACCAATGGAAATAAAGTATTGTTAACCAGGCCAGTGAATATATATAGCATATCAACTTAATACAATTGTTGATTTTTGTTCAAAGAGGCTCAGAGGATATATTGTTTTATACCTCCATCATGTTTAAGTCCTGACTTTATTATTATATTATCTGTATCACCTGCAGTCATTGCATCTAAGGAAATGTTCTCAACAGAGAGAATCATTAGATAAGAGACAGAAGATCATTGCTTGTTAATAGGGCCACCCGAGTATAATGGTACTAAACTAAAAAACAACTAAAAATGGTAGGGATAACGAAATACACCTGAAAATGAACTTCAACTAACACCTTTGTCCACAACACACACTACTCTTGCGAAGAGTGCTGCACTGCGTATGTCAATCATGTCACAGTGACTGTAATGGCAATATCGCATTAGGTCTATCGATAGCCTCGAACGTTGACCTCAAATGGGATATATCACAGATATATCCTGTGACGTAACACAATATTAATTTTTCTTCATGGTGGAAGAATTTCACATCACAAGATCCATTTGTGGCCAATCCTTTTTTTATGGGGGTAGAAAAGGTGACTATATTAGACAAGTCCTTATAAGTGGCCCCACTACAAGGTCTAATTGTATTGTGTCCATCTTGTTCTCGGCTGATTTTTTTATATAAAATTGTAGCAAGCATACTGTATAGTGAATTGTATTCAACGTTGTATATAATTCTTTGTAAATGGTACAAGTACATACATTGTATATAATAAATGGTCGATATTTCTATGGCTCAAAATAACTTGTGTCTTTAAATAATGTCAAATGTTGCAAATATGAACTGGATGAAAAGGAAAAAAAAAGCAGACTACATAAAGAGTAGTAATGAAATAGATGACTGTCATTTATTATAAAACCAATATCACAGTTACATCAAAGAATCAGTATCTATGTAATAAATACTTTATAAAGTAACAATACTTCAAAATACACATATACATGTATATACATTATTTACAATAATAAAAAAAGTTGAATACAGAGAACATTGTATTGGAGAAGTACATGTATTAACAAGGTTTTGGATGTCAAATATGGACGGCTTTGTGTAATGTCTTTAAGGCAGAAAAATGAAATAAATCATGCACACAAGAGAGAAAAAAGAATTCTTTCTAGTCTGGAAACACACAAGAACAGGAGGAACTCTTTAGAGATCTCCAATAAGTTCAATCATAACTACTTTATCCATAATACAGTAGGAATATTAGCCTTTGCTGTACTTCCCTCCACCTATCAAAATTTATGCATACCAAGATCATAACTGGATAACGACAGATTTTTGATTAACTCTTTATATGCCACACAAAGACCTTTCCTGTGCCACATTGTATTTATCATTATATAGATATACCAAGGTTTCAAGGTTATTTAACTGTTTCTAGTGCAATATTAATATATATATCAGTGTTAAAACGATTGTCATGGACGTAGTTATGACCATAAGTGGGTACTTATGCAAAGCTATTGTGTTACACAAAGCACTCCTTCCATCAATTGGTGCCTATTTTGTGCAAAATTACACTTGTGGCAAACCGAGCAACCAAGCAGAGAAGCAAATAAAGCAACCAAAGTGTTAGATTGGAGCCCCATATATCACTAATCTTGCCTGACCGATATACTTGCTGTCTGTAAAATCCATTATCAAAAGAAGTTTCAGACACTGTCCGCGGCCTTCTTGATAGCCTCCAGGACTGTCACAGCCGCAAGCAGCTCTAGTCCCACGTCATAGGATCCGCTGTCGTTGCAAGCTCTGATGATCTTCTGCCAGGAACTGATCTTGGTGTCGGGATCATGGAAGACCAGGTCCTTCAAGCGTAACTTGCTTGAGCCTGAAAAAGAAACAAAGGGGATCAAAATAGTTTCACCGAGTCATTGATGTATTTTGTTGAGATGAAATTGTAAACATTAAATTTCATCCACTATTTTTCATCCTCTTTCCTTTCCCAGTCTGAGGATTAAAATGTGCAAGACAGGATTTGTTACTGACAGTTGTTAGTAATGTCTTATTGTCTACAACACATGGATATTTCATACACTTCGATAATCATGGGATATGAATATAATCTTGTACTATATGGTCATTCATTTGACGATGGACCACATCTTGCAGTGCGGCGGAACGGGTTGCACAGATGAAGACCTGGCCCTTGCTAATGAAACGGTCATTGTAGCAATCGGGCAATGGAAGAATCTAATTTTATTTAATTTTATTTTAATTAAGGAACTTTACATAACTATCTTGATCTAAGGAGACACGAACGAACGATTCACTTGACTATGAAAAAACATGACATAGGCTAGTTTTTATAATTGGGTATTAGAACAACAAAAAAGAATAGTGACATTGAATCATTGATCTTTTTTTAATTACAGAAAGTGAGAATAAAATATTCAGGTATTGTCCTATTATCTGTTAATCATTCCCGTACAAGGGATGTCTATGATAATTTTAGAAAATGTGAATGAAATCAGAAACATAGCTCACCTGAGCTAATACTATGGTGGATATTGTCAATAAGCTCAACTCCTATTTGATGATGGTCCTGGGTCTTGAGTAAAGTACTGACCACCGACCCCACAGACAGCACTGGTCTGGTGGAGTGACCACTGGGTTGGACCAGGACCTCGGCCAGGGCTAGAGATGGACAAGCTACTAGGACTCCCAAGTAGGCATCTAGATAACAAGATTCATAGAAATTTGTTTATTTCAAAATAAAATGGTTTAAAAGGCAAACAATACACTGATCACATGTGTCAATAAATATATCAATCCACAGACGATAGTGTCTTCGATACCTAGGTTTATTGAAAGGCCTATGGAGAATATTTGTGAAACAAAAATCCAACTGTATTCCAAAAGAATTTATTGAATACACATGAGAAGAGTTTGGTGAAATTCTGCTGATTCACAATAAAATACTTGACATAAACTCAAACCAGATAAAGTGGCAATTGCCAAAGAAAAATATCAGTTTGAATGTAGCTCCTGTTTTGATTTTTTTCTTCATATATTCAAGATTGAATTCATTTTTACACTCCAAATTTGCTATTTAATACTTCGCAACGTATACAATGCAAAACTTGTATTTACACTATTCAAAATGTACAGCACCTCACTAATTGCTAGATGGACTATTGAAAAAAATATTGCACGTTAACGATATATGCAAATAACATAATTTCACTTACCGTAGTTCACTTTGTTCAATAATTTCATTAAATACATACAAAGGAAAACAAACATATTAAACTTATAATGTAAAACATGTATCAATATATAACATGAGAATAACACAAGCGGAGAAGACATGAAGAACAAGGGGGGAAATATTAAACATGTACATTCATAATGAAAGTATTTGGAGACTAGACAGGAAGGCCAGGCCTTAATTTCATTTATAAAAGTAATACATCATACCTCGACTGAAGTTGACAGACTGTGCATACTCCAGCATGGCGTGAACCCTGCCTTGTTTGGACATACACACAGCAGCCTGGAGGTGAGCTCTGACCTTGGTATAGACAGCCTGGGCTAGAGGGAGGCACTGACTGACCACATCTTGACCTCTGACCTGCTGACCTCTACCCTGGGCGTAGTTATAGAGGAGATGACCTAGGGGCTCTGAGTAGGTCAGCCTGAATGTGTGAAAGGTCAGGGTTTAGATACAAAATTATATGATGAATAAAACGTCTCTTTGACTTAAACATAAAATAATTTTATAAATTGGCCAGTAAACACACTTCGTACTTTTGACATTGTCATATCAATTTATCACAGATATGACCAGGTGCTACAATGCCTCCTGAAACTTTTAAGCTTTAAAATAGTCCAATTGCTTATTCAATTAAGATTAACCAAATTATTGAAACAGTATATATTTGGGTGCATGATTGGAATGTAATTTGTTTTTTCTAATATTCTGAAAAAGTTCCTTTTCCTTTAAATCCCCAATGCACTACTTAAAGCTACTTGCATCCTCTATATAGCAAACAATGCCTAAGAGGTGCCCGTTGGTCCCCCATGATCCTCTTTTTCTTATGTTAAGTGAGAGCTGATTTGATGAGATAATCAGTGACGTTGCAGGGTGGTCTAATCCCTCCTGTAAACTAGAACAGATGGGCTATAAAAATAAATATATTCCCATTGGGCCAAACGTGAATACCATATGAAGATAGATAAGAGGGCAGTTTCTGTCTCTCTTACCAATTATTTGCAATCCAGTGTGTGACAATGTCCAGTCGGTCCCCACTGAGGGCGCTCTTCACACATTCAAGAGTAGCGTCGGCATTGGGAGGGAAACCTATGGCAGGCACTGATGACATGAGGGATTCTGCATATATCAGCAGAGGTGACTTCTGACCACGCTTTACTCGCACACCTGAAAAACATTTGTGATCAGGCATGAATGAATATTTAATCTATTTTTCGAATCATGAACAATGCACTAGCTGTTAATTGCAATGCTAATTTGCATACAGCCTACTGGTATGTGATACATATCACTGTTTCATGAAATTATTTGAAACTTAAAAACACCATAAATTTCCATCCTATTTTGTTATGAAACTGTCACTGTTTTGTTTGTTTAATTTTTCTCCATTTATTAAATTAACTTGCATATGGGTTGCGATTGACCTCTAAGTCAAAAACTGAAATAAAATGACAGAATTCAGTTATTTTTAAAAATCTTTCAGTAGTGAGGATGTGAATTATTGAATAAACTTACTTTTAAAGTTCAATATTTGATCTTTTATGTTAAATTTGGGGTATGAATTATTATTTTTTTTTTAATTAAAAAAATTAAATAAAGCTCAATATGCTGGATTCTCTAGATTAGTACACATGATCCTAAAATAAGAAGATAAATAAATTAAATTAAATAAAAAGGGAAAATCTCTTCAAATTAGAATTTACAATTTCTCAGCATGCGATTTTTATTACTTTTAAACCTGTGCAATGTCTCTGGGTTTCTTAGAATTCCTTTAGGACTGTTGGCTGCATGCATTGCGGCCTCCCCATAGCGACCCTCTTCAAACATCTCATTGAACTGCTCAATGTATTCCAGCAGCAACTCGGCTTCTCTTTCCTTGGTGGGGTCATCGTCCTCAAAGGTGGATACGGTCTCTTGACCTGGATACCGAAATTGAATAGATTAATAAATAAATAATTGAAATAAACAAATGAGCAAACAAATAAACAAACACATAAATAAATATTTTTTAAAAAATATAAAAAAACAATCAAAACAATCAAACAAACAGTCAAATAGATGAATGTGTACATACATTCACATATAGGGTAATAAATTCTTCCGCCTTTATTACTTCTTGCCCTAACGTGTACATTTTAAAGACAGAACAATAACAAAAAATAGCATTGGCTCAACTAGTCTTTAGAAGTGATATACTATAATAGCTTCAATAACTGACCCAAATATGCCATGCAACGTGTGTAATGCTAAGTAATGGCAATGAAAAAGCACCATATAAAAAACACTTTTTGATTACAATTGGATATGAACAATTCAACTACTTACACAATATTGTCAAATTGTGAAGTACTACATTTGTTGGCTAACAATGTGAGAAAAAAAGCTGTTTATTACAGAATGTCCTATATGAAAGTAGCCAAAATGACTGATTGGTGGTTACTGCCCCCCCCCCCCAACAAAAGGAGACATCATCGGATAAGTCATATGACCATATACTTACATATCTTGAAACATATCAATTATAGTTCTGAAAAGGTTTTTTTATTCTTCTGACTGATAAATACTGAGACTCCTCTTTATCTCATAGTACTTTTCTTCTTTTGTTTAATGAGCCAACATGTACATGTACTCACTTCTGACACTCATCATGGAGCCTGACCTTGTCAGACCAAAAGATACAGCCTCAGCTGGTCCAAAGATAAAACGCTTCTCCTTGTAGTATGATGCCAGCGCATCCAGAGCTATGCGTACCTTCAGACACCTAGAGATGTATCCAGAAGATAAAAAGCAATTAATCTTTTTAAAAGTATCTCCTGCTAAACAACTATCAAGATATGAAAGCTAGACTTGTGTGTTTCAGTATGGATGATTCGTTTGAATATATAAAGGTGATTCAAAGTATGAATATAAGCTCATTGATCCATTATAAGATGTCTATTGGCATACTTGCTGGTTTCCTCCTTTAAATGATTTGTGAAATAAATCATTCACAATGGATGACGCCATGAGTGTTTGTAAAATAAGTTATCTACTAGATGAATATTTTGTGTAACTATCAGGTTATCAAATTTTTTACAGACATTATCCAGGAGCATATGTGTCATTGTAGCTACCTCTGACAGGTCAAAATAAATGACAAAGTCTGCAGGTTTATTCACAACTTTAATCAAACAAATAAATTGATGGTCAAATTTATCTTGATCATAACATTTAATGTTGTGGCAAAAGCCGCAGACAAAGATCTCTATCAATTTATGTTTTAGATGATAAGGTAACGACTAGATGTGATCTTGATATAAACCAACCACCAAGATCACTTCAATAATATTAATAACATAAATACAAATGACTGACATGTCATCATCACCAGCTCACCTCTCCTTAAGCTGTTGATTCTGTTCCTGAACATGATCCCTGGCTTTGGTCTTATTCTCCAGTTGAGTCTTGAGTTCATTCTTTCTCTCTTTGGTTGAGTACTTAGTTATCTTGGTCTGCTTCAATGTTGCCAGTACGACTTTGAGTCTCGAAATCTCACTCTCCAGTCTCTCCACATCGGTGCATTCATCCAAGTCCATTCCTAAGTTAATAGAAAAATACATCAATATCTCATGTTTTCCATCTACATTTTTAAAATTGATAAATATTTTACATTTCAAAGCACATTATATGAGTGATTCCATGCAATTTGTAATATTTGTATTACCCCTATCACATGCTTTTAATCAAACCTACACAGATTATGCAACATCTTCAACAAAAAAGACATCAACATTGGTAAATGTATTTTGCATCATTCAAATGCATACACGACAGACAATTGAAAAGGCAGAGTGTGGCAATGTTATATAATAATGTATTGCTAAAGGGCGTTAGTGCTGTAGCTGGGACTTGAACCATGAACCAACTGATACACAGCCTTGTGACTCATCAACTGGACCACGACACCTCACTTTCCTTGTATAAAGCTGTAGAAGATTTAGGTACTACCTTTCAACATCGTGTCTGGCATGGTGGGCATTTTCTTCTTCTGTTCCTCTATCTCCTCCTCTGCTTTTCTCTTCACCTCTTCCCTCTCTTGGTAGATCTCTGCAATCTTTTCCAGTTCGGCTTTGAACTTCTCATTATCAGCTCTCACAAGAACAAGTCTGAAAATGGAACATTTGAACAACAAAATTATGAGGTTTTCTTCTTCACATTTATTATTTGCCTTATTGAATATCAATTTCATGGATAATATGTTAAATGCAAAGTATATCACTTAGATAAATTAAAAATCAGTAATAATCTGGGATATGACACACCAGAATGCAGTTACACTTCATGAAATGAATTAACTAAAAACAGCAAAATACAGAGCTATGATGGTAAAGAGAATTGTATGTACATGTATATCATGTCAGTATATGGAATATCAAAAGACAGAGCAAAACAACTTCTTTCTGTTGTCCAGTATTTTTGTTTAACCCACTTTTTTTATAAATATGATTTACATTGCACTTGTGTACAGCGGAATAATAGATAAGTAAAACGAATTGAACTCACTTTTGTTCAAGCTCATCAGCTCTCTTCTGATAAAGGCTGAGTGTTGTTTGCTCAGAGGCAAGGGCCTTGACCTTTCCCGATAGGTAAAACGCTTCCTCTTGACCTTTCTCTATGGTGTCAATGCAATCTTCATACTCGGCTTTGATGGCACTCAGAAGAGGCTTGTAGGCAGAGACATTGTCAATGATCTGTGGAAGAGACAGATGAAAATTAATTGAATCAAATCAAATCAAATCACAATTTTTAATTCAAATAAACATTTTATCTCCCTCCTCCATCATAGAAAATAAGAAGATCAAGGAGGAAAGAAGAAATGGAAAAAAATACATGGAAAAAGGAGAAAGAGAGAGAGAAACAGAGAGAAAGTCAGAAAATACAGATAGGAGAAACGCAGAGGGATAGAGGGAGGTAACAATATGAGGGGTGAGGGGGAGGAGAGGAGAGAAAATGAGAGTAAAGGAGAGGAGATGGAGAGGAAGGGTGTGATGAAGACAGAGTAACAATATTTGGCAACAGATGGAATATTTAGTAAATGTCAACAGTATGAATCATGTGACCCATTCAACAATGACATACAGTAAGTTTTCACTTCTACATATCTTGTCTCAACTTGAGATGGAGAAACAAACCTGGTCAAAGGCCCCTTTGTAGATGGCATAACGATGAGGATCTGCATGCCCCTCCTCTGCACATTCGACACTGGCTAACTCCACATTGATCTGTTCTTCAAGCTCCCTCAGGAACTGCTGGTATACATCAGGGCTGGGCGATATGGGAGGCAGGACCCGACGAGATCCTTGGTTGGGCTGGGGCTGTGGCATTCTGCTCATCTACATGGAAGTGAGAAGCAATATTATGGATGCATGAATGAGAGGGTATTATCAGTAACAGCTTGCTCTTATGTCTCTTTCAGGTTTTAACTTAATTCAAAATCTATGTAAAAAAATAGAACCAACAAAAGAACAATTTACTTAATCAACAATCATTCAATGTTTATAGGATACTTCATAACAATTTTATTTTATAATCAATAGTCAGTCATTAGTCATCCTGATGAATATCATCCCCATCTGACATTAACATCATCATCACCATCAAATATCGCTCCATACTTAGCCTGCCATGCCTTCCTTATCTATTATTCTATTACCAATCTGATTCATCCTGTGAACATCATCATCCTTATCATCAATGGAACATCATCATCATTATCATCATTATCATCATTATCATCATTTTCATCATTGTCATCATCAATCATTTCATTGTCATTTTCACGAAATCAATCATGATATTCAATCATCATCAACAATGTCCAATTATTCCAATAAATCATCCAATCATGAATCATAATCATTAATCATATCTTGTTGGCATAATTTCTATATCATTTGAACTTTGGATCCTCTGTCTAGTAGTAATAGTAGTACTACTAGTAATATGTGATTCTTGAAGAATGTTTGTAAAGTCAGATCAGCGAAATCTTCTCAGCACTTACTTACACAGAGCTGGGTTTATGGGACTGCATGATAAACATTCCATTTTAGGCATGTAGTATTTACTCAGTGAAATTAATTTTTTTTAAATCACAGCATTAATAAATAGATACGTAGAGGTTATGATAATGTTAATCTAAAAAAATAGTGACAATTTAATCATTATCAACTTACCAAAATGGATTTCTTGATCGTTCTTATGATTGGACAAAATCTTGTTTGGGCTCACCAAATATAGACTGAAATAACCGGCTTAATTTAAAGAGGAGTTAATACTGTCATTGAACAATCTGGACATAAGGAAATCCTTTAAAAATTACATTCTTAAAACTAAATAAATTCATTGATAAATGAAATAAACAATATTTAAAAACCTTTCAAGTTAAAAATCGTGCACAAACATGGAGAATATCATCAATTCATCACTATGAATTTTTCCTTCATCATTACACATGACTTTCCGATCAATTTTAGTGCGCATGTTCATCCATAAAATTCCTCTTGACGACAGTCAACAATCTCGATCGCAGAGTTGCATTTACCTCTTTATTTATCAGATAGACCTAGTTTCCAGGACTCATTGGAGAAAAGTAATCAGCCATGCCAAAAGAGTGAGTATGATGTATAAAATAAAACCCCATTTTATCAATATGATCACATATGGCGTCAAATAATAACCTATATTGTCGAAGGTACATTTTTAGGGAAGAGCAACACCAGTTAGCTGAAGGGAGGGCGGCCCGACGCTCCGGCGGGGCGGCAGAGGCGTTTACGTCCGTGACTAAATCTGCATCTCTTAGCCGAGTCGGACAGGGGCCTGGCCCTGGGCTCGTTTCTCGAAACCGTCATAAGTCTAACTTATTGACTAAATCAACGTTAGTAAGGTACTTGTCCGCTACATGTTTCATGAAGCCCTCTTTGCTAAGATCAAGAACAACAATAACATCCTGACTAAGTCTAAGTCTAGACCGAATTTTCCGTCTCTTTCGTTCGTTAAGCCTCTTAGACTAGTCTGTATTTGGGTAGGGTTGGCTTTCTCTTTAGAGATGGAAACCATTTATACGCATTCCCTTGCTAACGGCACGGCCATTTATGGGCATATTTTTATGCCTCGAAAATCCCCCAAAATGTCATTTTACCTCATGCATATCCGATGCATTGATTATTCAAAATTAGGAGAAGGTTTTACTACATCGGTTCCACTTACCAACTTGACTGAAATAATCCGTTTAATGGTTCCTTTTTATGGTTCCTTTTTAGGAAATTATGGGTCAAAATCGAAATCCATGTTGAAAATCTTGCAAGACGTATTTTAACTCTCGCTGCGCATGACGTCATCTAAATCTCATCCCTTATAGTCTATGCCGAAGGCAAAATGATTATGAAGGAAAAACTGTGCGTGAGCTACACGTTCGTAATGGCGTTATCACAGTTTTTCAGAGAAAGTGCATATTTATAAGTCTTTACTTTTAGGAAAAATACTAAGGCTTTTCCCACTTACTCAACTGATTGTCACATTTTGTATATGATATAAAGTTGGATCTAGAAATCATGGTAATACAAGTAGGTGTATTCTAGATGGATTTCTGTTTTTTAACATTTCAGCAAAGAGAAATCAATTTGGGACATCGCCATTCTTGAGGCAGAACAGAAGCATGCCACGGAATCCAAAGAACAGGGTAAGATATCAGAAGTAGATTGCTTCTTTAAGAATCCTTACTATACTTACAAACAAAGGCTGACAATATTTTTGTTTAAACAAAATTGTTTTAAAGAAATTGAAATGATCAAGAAAGATGTATATTATTAACAATTTTTCATTTGAATAAAATCATTCAAGCAATAGAATACCAGTGGCTACAAATGTTACAAATTATTCATGCTATGTTTGCTTCTGATTCATGCTGAGTGAAACAGAATATAGATATAAATAAATTAGATACTGATGGAATAAACACTTTGAGAAACCATAATGATGATTATTATAACTATTATTATTATTATTATTATTATTATTTATTTTAAAACCTGTTTGAATTTACAGTATCTGTATAATACCAACACCTGTATTCAGAATGTATTCTTATTCTGTCCCTTAGAGCTGTGCATTATTACCCTATGAGTGATTCTCAATTTGATTTTTGAAATAATCCATTGTTTATTTCATTTCATATACCAGGTGGTGAAACAAAAGGCTCAGAGAATCACATCTTGTTTATTGGCAGTAAAAATGCAGTAAGTAATTAAACAGCAAAAAGGGTCGGTCAAATTATTGTTAGGGAATTATTTTTATTTCTTCTATGGCTTGATTATATTTTGTGTCTAACAATGGTATTTGATATGTTATTATGTTGGGCAAAATTCATTTTGGCACAATTTACTGGATGCGACTTTAGAAGAGGATGAATGATATATTTGACACTCACATTTTTAATAGCATCTTGAATTGCAAACTTTGAATATAATTCAAATTTAATCAAGACGATATAATTAATAATTATAATTGGAGGCATTTCTATAGCGCCGTCTATCTAGAAATTTTATTCCGAGGCGCAGTAATAATTACCCCGGCTTTAGCCTAGCTGCCATTACAGCTCTCCAGCATTTCAAGGAATTAATTCCGGCCAGGTACCCGTTTAGCTCAAACTTGGGTCGAGTGTGACAAATGAAGATTAATGCCTTGCCAAAGGGCATAAGTGCCGTATCCGGGATCGAACCACGACCTTTGAACTTCAAGTCAAGTGCTTAAACCACTCGACTACGACACTTCTATAGCAATGTGATGGACACAATTTGTTTTAAAAAAAATCAGTAATGGAAAAACATTAATTGTAAATATTCAACAAATGAAATTGGTGTCAACTAGATCGCAGTTACAAATTAATAGAGACAAGTGATGATTTATATTTAATATCAAATGACATTATCACAGGTTTAATGTACATTATTTCAACTTGAAATCAAACAAATAATTTTTTTTTTTTTTTAATGTTACCAAGGGGAAAACATCCATTATTCTCCGGTTCTTGGAGAAGGAAGAAGCGCCCAAACCCACGATCGCTTTAGAATATACGTTTGGTAGGAGAGCCAAAGGGCACAATATGGTAAGTATTTGAGCATTGCTTTTCTTTTAAATATAGCATTGCAGTGATTATAATTTCACCACCTTAATCACTCAAGTTTTATTAACTTCTTAAATATTTTAAACATTTTATTTGTACTAACTTGGCAAGCTGATTTCACATATTGACATTTTTTATGTTGATTCCTTGCAAGGTGTTTATCATACTTTTGAACACATTTATGATATATTTTAAAGATTTTACTTATCATTTTTTGTTTATTGTTAATTCTAACTTTTTTGTGATACTGTCAATTCATAATCATCATTTTGATGTATAAACATTTTCATTTCTCATGAAAATCTTGATATAGATAAGACTTGATAATTTGAGCCTTATTTTGAACGTTGAAAAATATTCTCATAAAATATTTTAAAATCAATTAAACATTTACATTCAATTTCCTAGTTTTGTTCATAATTTAAATCCAGTTATATTAAATGCCTTTTTGCACCAAGATAGTTTTTCAATATCATCATATTGATCTTTCATCCATATTTAATCATTTTAATTCGATCTGCTGTGATTATATTTGATGTTTTTGTCATTTTGATCCCTTTTCACATTTGTTTAATTTTTGCAATATGTTTGCTTGGCTTTTGTGATTCATCCCACAGTCCATTCAGAATGGGGTAACAGATTTAGATATTTTTATAATGCATGGATTATTAGTTTAGTAACCTTTGTATTGTATTTTTAGATTAGTGAATGCATGCTTGATAGGTATTAGGTAGTGTACATACTTATTGTCAATGTGCATGGTTTGCAGCTGTTTATGTTCGACAATTCTCAGATAACAACCTGAAAAAAAGATGTTTTCATATCATAAAAGACATAATCATTACAATTATATGATTGTACCATATATGTTTAATGTTGTGATTTGTTTTGCTACTTCTAATATGCACAATTTTTACTTACTACTATACTATATGAATGGTGGAAAAGGGGTTGAACTTTGGAGGAGATTAACAAAGAGGGTAAAATTTATGAAATAAGATTTATCCTGTTATTTACTACATTTTTTTATCAAGAGAAATTTATGTTCATAAAAAGATTTGAAGATAAAATGTTATACAAACTACCTCTGTATACTTGTACTGTTAAACCAGAAACTCTTTATTTGCATAAAACTTTTAAGTGAATTTTGAAAATGTTATAGATTTTTATATGTTTAATGCCCAAAAAGAAATGATTTATAAAAAAATATATATTTTCATTCTGTAAAAGTGTTTTGCTGCAACTAATGATCATTCACAATTTGTGAAAGTTTCAGGCCATAAAAGACTCTGGTTTTACAGTAGTCTTTGTTTAAAACTATCAAATTTTGAATGTACATTTAAAAAAATGATCGCTTCAGGTATAACAGCTTTTGTTGTTGCTGAAACAGTCTGGTCTCTCAACATTGTCTTCCAGGCGGAATAACTTTTCTCTGCTTTAAACGAAATGTATTGTACGAAGTCTGGAGTAGGAAACTTATCCCTGGGATGGCAAGTGATGCTGAAGATTAGTCTACCTATACCAGACTCACTACAACAGAGTTTCTTCCAGAAAACAAGTCCTCCTAAAAGACTGTAGACCTTCAGAATTTCTGAATTTATCGAAACGTGACAGAAATTAGCATCTAGCATTATTAATTTCAGATACTGTGATATATTCTGTTCTGTTCAGATCAAACACGAACGATGCATTAATATGATATCTAAGATGTTAAATCAACCTTCTCACTATAGGCCTATGTCGTATGATTTGATAATTTTATTGTGATGCACAATTTCTCTTCATTTTTATTTTGTTTATGCACATTCATACATCTTCAAAAAAAAATCTTTGAAGGCTCTTTATCTGAACACAAAATCTACCTCCTTCCTTCAAAACTTGATTACTTTCCTGTATCATTTCAAATATGCATTGTCGGAAAATTACGTCATAATATATATATATATATATATATATATATATATATATATATATATATATAACAATAATAATATTGGATATATATAAAGCGCACAGATCCACCATGCATGGTGCTCAAGGCGCTCCAACTATTGTATAGTAATTTTGATCAACGGTACCCATAAATATATGATAAAGATTATAATGCTTCTAAATATAATCTCTACATGTTCCATTTGCGACTCTTTTCAAAGTACATCATTAATGCGTTAACATTTATGTGAACTTCTGTTTTTCTGTTAAATACATACCATTAAATTTGAATTCTCTAGTTAAAAAGGCACAAAGTAAATTAGTAAATAAATGAATACAAAAATTAAAGAATTAATTAAAAAAAATGAATAAGTAAATGAATAAACTAATGTATATAAAGTATATAGATATATAAATAAATGAATAGATAGAAAGAAAGAAATGAAAAGCATCAAAACATTAATCTGAGTTTCAGAAGGGATTGCATCTACCGGTATATAAAACTTTTATTGGGTTTTTGCAATGAAAACTTGCATGTACCAGTATGCATTCAGTAAATATACAAGTTTATTCATTTATCATTACTGTTGTATTATCTATTCAGGTGAAGGATATTTGTCACATCTGGGAGTTAGGTGGAGGAACATTCCTATCACAGTTAACAGAGATTCCACTGTCAGAAGACACCATCATGTGAGTTCAATGATATTTTTCTCTTGTTATATTTGGAGAATGAGTATTCATTTGTGGAGATAGGGAGTTGTAATAAAAAAGAACTGTTCTTGAAATCCAGAGAGATTTGCTCAATACTCTGTTACCTCCTTGCAAGAGATGATTGTGTAATAATGGATTATATAAAGATGAGGATAGTATACCGGTAATGAATATTGTGCTCTCTTTCATAAAGTGCCGAATTTTGTTGAAGTGTGTGATTTAAGTTTGAGTGCACCCAATTAATGTAGATAATCATTGTTGATAGTGTCAGAGACGCCAAGTCAAAAGATCAGCTATGTGTGACATTTTCATGACTCAGCGTGCGGGCGAGGGTATAACACATTTTTTTAAAATGTGTATCGTCACGCATAATGCGTGACACTTGGTAGCTCTGTGTTTATGAAACTGGGCACTTTGGGCATTTTGTTATAACTGTTTGCTGTATAGAATATCAACCTAATATTTATGGTAAAACTAGAATGTTTCAAGTGCATGAAAAATATTTACAAATTTTGTTTATGGTCAAATTCATGAAGGTTTGATGCCGCAAAATAGTTGAATCACACTGCATTTTTTGTGAATTACAAAGCTTTTTAGTCGTGAAAATTTCTATCATTTACAGATCAAGGCAGTTTCTGTTTTTCAATGAACCACACATTAATGAGTGGAAAATAGCATAATTAACCACTTCTATTTTGTGTAGGTCCTCATCACTCATGGTCGTGATGGACCTTTCCCAGCCCTATGAGCTATGGCACACAATGGAGACCCTCATCAAGGGTGCCTTGGACCATGTGGAACAGGTCATCTCAAAGGCGGCCAGAAATGACCCCAAGATTCAGGACAAGATCAAAGAGAGAGCTTGGAAGAGGATAGGAATCGATCACCCAGTAAGTAGATACCGGACCATTGGTGGAGAATGATTTTTTATTTACAATCAGTTTGTTATTTGTAGGTTTATACTTCAGAAATATTTTATTTTGAATACTCCAGTGAGATGAGTTTTGAGATTTAGTTATTATTGATTGAAGAGATATGCAGTAAAATGTTACATATATTTTTAGTTTAATCATTGTGAAGAAACAAAGATGAATTTAACATTACAAATGATGCTAGTGACAAAATGGTGTACAGCATTCTTTCAAGAGACTTTTTCTTTGCAGATTGAAACAGCATTATAATTACATGTATGATAATGATCACAAGTATATTTCTTTTTCAGTCTTTGTATGTACATATATATATATATATATATATATATATATTAGCATGTTATTATTTTGACTAGCAGGACCCGCGGAAATCCGCGGGAAACCCGTGGACCCCACGCCTATATTGTATATACACTCAACTCGCCGTGATCTGATCTCTCCCCCCCCCCCCCCCCAACTTTGAAGAACGTAACCCCCGAGCTTTTGGGGGTTTATGGCCCCTTGAAACCCGTGGACCCCACGCCTATATTATATATACACTCAACTCAGGACCCGCGGAAATCCGCGGGATTCTAGAGGGGGGGGGGGGGGCGCAGGCAAAAAATTAAGTTTTTTCATTTCGGGGGCTCCATTTGAAATTTTTGGGAAATTTTCGGGGGCTACTTTTTCAACTTTCGGGGGCTCTTTTTTCTGGGGCTATTTTTTCATTAATTCATAAAAGGATAGGCCTACACTTTGTTGAGATTTGTTTAGTAGGCGAAGGTTTCAGGCTTAATACTTCATAGGTCTAATTGCCTATTTAAAAAAAAAAAACATTTTTCTAGTTCAATAACTAAGTTTTCATGCATTGATTTGATGTAAGAACTGTAACATAATTAATAGACCCTAGATTGTGATTATTTCTGACCATGAATTTCGATAATCATTTTTCAAAGTAAAATTTTCACAAGAAAATCAGACAGTCGTTTAAAAACGTAGACATTAGTAGATCTAATACTTTTACTAATTCTAAGCTCAGGTTTCGTAAATCTATTCACAAAACTATATTGAAATCGCGGCAATAATGATGCAAACCAACAGATAACAATTTCAAAGTGTCGAATCTCTTCGACTCGAGCTCAGCTCAGCTGAACTCACACACACTCCAGCGTAACTCCAGACAGCTCGAACACCGACGCCGCAGGCCTCGGACGCCTGCGGTGCGTGGTGCCGGTGTTACACTGCACTGTGTGTTCTGTATGTGTGAGGACTGAAGGCAGCTTGCGACAGAACTGTCAGTCCAATGGTTTTCTTGTGAAAACTTTCCTTTAGAAAATGATAATCAAAATGTAGTATACATTAACCGTCATAATCACAAAATAAGCTTTGATTTCATACCTCCATTCACAAAAACTATATAAAAATCGCGGCAATAATGATGGAAATAGGTCTCTAAGTTTGGACGTGGACGGGAAGCTTCGTGTGTATCTCTGTTGCTTGTGCAGCTACTACAAAGGATATCCTATAGAAAGATGCTTTATATCGTGCATTTAATACGCAACATAATGTGAGTGGATAGTCATCGGTCGTGTGTCTACGGATGTAATGTTGAATATCCATGAGGTATCTCTGTCGTCACGCATATCATGCATTATGCATATCGCGTCTGTTTTTGCCCTGGACGTCGACACGGAGGAGGACCTCGGGCGGAGTATAGCCAATTCCACAGAGTAGACTCTCCCGCGGACGATGGCACCGGGCACCGGGACCCCGAGGGGAGGGTTCAGGAGGAGATAGCTGCACCAACTTGGGTCGGCGATCTCATTAAAAAACAATAGAATACAAAGGCTGGCGGAGACGTCGCGCCCCCCGCGGAGCCTTAGCGTATTATTATTATAGATTATTTTTTCCATTCATTTTTGCAGGACAGAGACATGTTAGATCCATTCCCGTTGCCCCTGGTGATTGTCGGTACAAAGTATGATGTGTATCAGGTGAGAATTAACTGATAGTATCATTCCATGTAATTTGTGAATGCAACCTGTAACAACACTTTAGTAATAGTGAAAATATTACAATTACTTCTGGATGTAATCCGATCAGTGACGGCTAAAATGTTTTAATTTGAATACTTTTGAAAACTGGGCAGTAATAATTGATCAAGGCAAGAATATGTTCATATATATCTGGTACCCCTCAAATACATTTTACTTACTTTACAACTTTAATGAAACATATGCATATCTATTAATATAATTTTTAAGAACAGGAAAAATATGTGAGAGCAAAATATTTTTAGAATCGTATCATTTGAGATATTTGTTTATTCGGTTATATATATGTACTATTTTTTGTTGTTAAGGCAGGCATTCTTTTAGAGCAGTATCAGAGATGTACTGGCCTTGTAACAGAAAGATGAAAATAAAATGCACAGAAATAAATAAATGAATATGTATTTTTTATATACAGGACTTCGACCCTGAGAAGAGAAAAGTCATCTCTAAGACGTTACGGTTCATTGCACACAACTACGGAGCAGCACTTCAGGTGAGTTTAAATGGAACGCCTTAAAAAATACTTCACATTGGTTGTGAATACGTAAATATCTATCAAAACCGGGTTTGCAATCCCCAACTTGTTTTCCAAAGGAAATAACAACATTGTAGGAGCAAGAATTGCAGACACTTAATTTCAAGGATGATAATGACAAAATGTTGCAAGAAATTATTTCACCCTGAACCATTACTCTCATTGGATGTTATAGGGGTCATGTGACCTTAGTGTGAGGAGTAAGGTTTTGTAATATTGCATCTGCATTCCAATTTGTTTACAAATAAATAGTATATTTCAGCCCTCTTGGCATGATACCTGAACATTTCTGATATGTATATTTCACCCTTTTTAATTAGATCAAGACTTTCAAACCCAGGAGGTACATTTATTCTATTGCCTTGCTTCATAACTTGGATGTATATTTCATCCTGTAATCCACACTACAGGAATGCAAAGTTCTGTAACCTGCTATACAGGAATGCCATATCTTGGGTACATGTCAATTTCATCCTGTCATGTGACCTTGGCTCAACCTCCTCTGCATAGTGTGGATGTAGGTTTCTTAATTGTTCTAGATATCACTGCTAGGATAAGAGAATTGAACTAGGCCAAAGTTCACAAAAGCTTTGATAGGTTACAGCAATTGCGTAATAGATAAAAGGATTCATAACTTTTGTAATGTTTTTTTCTTTTCACTGCACAGTTTTCAAGCAACAAGACTGATGCTCTGATGTCTAGGACGAAGAATCTTGTCAGTCATCTGGCCTTTGGAACAACTCTCAGGTAAATACCAAATTTTGTAGGCCTAAAACTTGCCTTCCATAGGAACATACTTATTTTCAATGCAATACAGTTGTATTTCAAAAATACTAATCTCATTTGTTATTACTTTAATCATGATTGAAGTAGTTTAATTGGTTCTATGAGCAGTGATGAGTAGAAATTTATAATGTGATATAGATTAGGATGTGCAATTCAGTTTATCTAATTTGACTTGTTTTCATTATAAAGAAATATTTATAGACACATGAAAGCTACATTTAGTAAAAGATCAAGTTGATCAGGGGTCTGTTTCATGAATTTTTTAAATCAATAACAATGCTAAAATTCTGTGACGAATTTGCTTTCATCCTATTAAATGCAATTACGGTATATCAAAATTGTAACTTGTTATTAATAACAAGTTTTATGAACCGGGGCACCAGATTCTATAAACCGTTTCATTATTTATATACTCATTCATATTTTGTGTTTGATATATATCATTATTTGTTAATTCAATCTTCACATATACTTTGTTCTTTTCCTTGACAGCTTGAAGACTATATCTATAGATCCCAACAAACCAATTTCAGTTCCATTTGGACTTGATTCATTGGAGCAAATAGGTTAGTTTATCTGTTGTTGTTTATCGTTACCTAAGTCATATAATAATATTAATAACAATAATAATGACAACAAAAAAAATGATTATAATAAATATGATATAATTTTAGGAGCGCTAAAAACAAAAATTACTATAGCACTTACAAAATCACAGAATGTCGGAAGAGAAACATAAAATACATAGACTCATAAAATAGGGAAATATCATTATCCTACTAAGGGAAAATGGTATGCTTTAAATTTGATGGGGTCTTTGGAAAGTGGCAAGACAGGTTAATTCTCTAATGGAAATTGGGATATCGTTTTTGAAGCAGCCACTGTAAAACTTTTTTTGGGTAGATGAGTCTGGATTTGGAATGGACGGAAACAAGTTCTTTACCTCCACACACATTTCAGTTTGGAGCTAGTTTGTAATTGTAACAATGCTCAGTTTATATACCCATTAACGATTTTACAAGGGATTTTCATTGAATGTTATCAATGATTTTACCGATTAGCCACTGTTGTTTTCATGAATCTTTCTTGAAGCCAAAATGTATACATCTACAGTAGATAAAAAGAAGGAATTAAAAAATAATATTTATGTATTGAAAAGCAATCTTTTCATATAATTCTTGCATCCCTTTTCCTCCAAAAATACTTCAGGTTTACCACCTGTAGCAGATGATGATCTTGGTAGATCTAATGCAAGGACACCGTTAGACCTTTGGAAGCAGGCATTTACATCATACTTTCCACAGAAGGTAAAAATGGATCCCTTCAATGAGAATGCATATGAAAACAAATATATATACTTTCCTAGGTAAATTTCACAAACTAATGTTTGAAATATCAGTTATATAAATCCAAGTAGGTGGAAATCGAATAATTAGAATGTACATCGAATTGCATTTTCACAGAAACTCTGGTGACAATTCTGAAATGTTGATAATCTAGAAAAAAAAATTAAAAAAATAAATAAATAAAAACGTTACTTATAAAGCGCTTACCACCAAAGTCTCTAAGCGCTAAAAACTTACAATATGTAGGTGGAATTGTCACAAGTCTTGACAACGACTTACATTACTTTTATTATTATTATATCAAGAAAGGTGGGATTAATTTTCAGTTCATTCATCTTGGGGCCTCTGGCATGAAAGATGGTATTAAATTCAAATCAATAATCCTAACACGAATAAATTTAGTTTGATAAATGTAAAGTTTGATTAGATTTGATGTTGGAGTTGCATTTGCTAGGAACTTGTATGCATTAGGAAATATTGTTACAATTAGTAAAATAATATGAAATTCTGCATGAATTTACATGAACAAATTTAAAATTGTGTTTTCTTGTTTATAAATGCAGAGTACAATCAAAGCTATTGTAGAGGATCCATCAAAGGACCCACAGTATGCAGAGGCAGCGGTTGATAACATGAGAGAACAGAAAAACAAGGTATGGTTGATCAGAGTCGAGCAGATGTTTCAATATTGAGTTAATAATAATAGTAAATGCACCAGTACTCAAGCTCTGCTTAATATTATAGGAGACCGCTTGCATGTCAATGACAGGTATGTTGATGGAATTTGACAAATGAGCAATTTAAAACAGAATTGTCATACTGTATCTCATATTAGAATCGTACAAAATCAAATAAACTGGATCATGCGCTCTTCAATTTTATTTTAAATGCTGTTAATCCTCATCATCATATGTCTATTTTCTTTAAATACTAATGTTATTAATACATGTGGATATTGCAAGTGTTAGAACATGTACCAAACGGTGCAGAGTGTAAGTGTGGAAACAGGTGTACTATTTGAATTTAAACTTTACAAGAAAAATGTTTACATATTTTTCAAGTGTTACGATTAAGAATTTTTGGACTCATCTTGTGCCACTCCCCAGCTCCCACCCCTGCAAATGAACCTTTGCTCCACCACTAAATGAATGAAAATTGTGTAATCTACTTTTTTGTATATTCTTGTACTTGTGATGTCATCTTACTTATTTTGAATTGCAGGAGCTTGAGAGATACAGAAAACAGGCTGAGAGAAGAGCAAAGGAGAACAAGACGGGTGGATCTGGGGAAGGCACCCTGAGGTTATGATCAATCTCATTGAACGCATATATCTAATTCAGATAAACCTGACCCTTGGTCTAAGATCATGTGTAACAAAGGAAAACTTAGATCTCAGACTAACTTTCTTTGTCAAACCTGATTTTGGACAAAAGCTGGAGCCCAGCATCGGTTTTTTATTCTAGTAGAGTATGGGCCGTAGCGATAACATCCTTATATGTACATGAAACTGGACACTTGTACGTGTTCAAAAGAAATAGCCAGTCTGCTTCAGTTCAATGTATTCCTTAAAGGGATATACAGTCAAACCTGTATTATTGGTCACCTTAAAGTGGTCACCATCAAGGAGGGCTCAACTTTTTGATATTTCATTCATATTTATTTCATTTCCAACAAAAAGGTAAACAAAGATATTACTTTTTTTTTCATACATAATTCATTTTTTCAGGAAACTATACCGTACAAATAAACTTTGCACATAATAAAATTATTTCAAGAAATACTTAATTTCTTAAGAAATGGGGGGGGGGGGGGGATCCACTAAATAGCAATGCTTGTAGTTTGTGGATCTGCCAGAAAAAGAAAAAAAAAGTTTCAAATGATAGAACTGCATCTTGACTTTCTACAGAAAGATGTACGTGTTGTAGATCCCGTCTTAAAAGACAATTTGTCTAAAGTACCATTTTCTATGTTTCCTTTGGTGGAATGGCCTTTGTAGACCATTTTGATTGTGCAAAGTAATTTTAATGAAATCATTGATCATTGATGACATTTATCAAACAATCCAATCTGCAAAAATAGGAGTATGGCCTATGTAAAGTGAACTATCACTATCAAGTTTGCCTTCTATTTGCTGCACTTCGTTAAGGAGGGCTCATCATCTTGATAGAATTGTATTGTCGGTGACTTTTAACTCATATTCCAGGTATTGCAGAGTAGAAAAATCTGTACAATTGTTGTTGCACAGTGACTGGCTATTCACAATTGAAGTTTCTGGTCCGAGATGGTAGCCATCTTGAGATACGGGCAAGTAATTAAACAAAGATTATTCCAATCCCAGCTCTCTTCAGTCTTTGCCAAGAATTCAGTGTCACATAATTTTGATAAATCTTTTTCTAACAAAACATGAAACTTTTTTGAGCATTTCATATCAAGTGCTTGTGCAATCCCAGACATACCATGTATTGATTATCTAGTAAATCTGTTCATGATCATTTGTGTAATAACAGCCAATGACAGTGTTGGCACAAATATATCCACATGAATACTTATATGATGGTCAGTATCATCATAAAAATGCCATATTTGTATTGAAGTACTCTTTTATTACCTAGAAGTCAGATCGTAATATGTCGTGTCTGTTTTACAGATCATGATTCAATTTGCATTTATGTTTGCAGTATCTGTAAATACATGTCTATAGTGTGAATATATTAAATATAGATGATAAAGAAAACATTGTAAATGTGTCATACCATTCCACAACTATTGAAATCAGTTTGGGTGCTAAAAATCCAGTCCCAAAGTCTTGGTGCAACTTTATGGACGATTTGGACTATCTTCTGTGTTATATGTGTATTTAACCCCTCTTTCATTGATAGATTCATTTGATTTACGGGAGTTAGCGAGGTACATGCAGCTTTGCTAGCAGCGATCAATATTGCTAACTACTAGTTTTGCTGGCACAAGGTGTTACTTGAATAATGAAACACTGATCCATCAGTAGTTTTTATAGCAAGAAAATATGTTTAATTCCTCCACATCGATGAATGTTGACATTTCACATATGACTCACACACATTGACTACAAAATAACATTAATTTCTCTTGTGTACATGAATTCCTTTGTAAAGTGCACCTTCTCTGAAGAATACATCCTAGATGTTTCCTAAACACCATGACGAATTTGATGCAATGAATTTCAATACATACAAGCTTATACATGTTAAACATTAAGGAAGAAAAAGAGAGAAAATAAAGAAGGAAAAAGAAGATCAATCATAATTTCAGCAAAATATTCATATTTTTGAAAAAGGTTCCCTTCATAAGGCGTCAAGACATACATATAGAATATTCATTTTATATGCAACTAATGCTAGAAATGGAAAATTACATCATATAGAAACAATTTACTATGCAATTATATTGCGAGTGGTTGCCTACCCCTGATTAAAAAAAGCATGACAAATAAAAGCAAGAGCCAGTTGGCCAATATGGCACATTTAACATCTTCTAACAAAGATCTGATACATCAAAAGCACTCATTGTGTTTTCAAACACAAAGCAAGGTGGAAATAGGGGGAAAAAATTTCACTGATGTGGGAACTGAAGTGCTTGCCGTGAATTGAAATACATCTATATCATAATCTGAAGAGAACACATCTAAATAAGCAAATACATTTCTTCGGGTCACATGTGCTACCTTTCAATAACTAAAAAAAAATTAAAAATAAGGCTTTATTCAAAAGTAACTGACAAGTATTGAACAATGTTATTAGTTTGTAACTTTGGAAAATGACCATGACGAGAAATAAATAATTCAAATCAAAATGAACCATAACCAAGAATCGTATCAATTGCAAAGGGATGTTCTTACTCTACTGCATCCAAATACATGATAAAGCATAGCCTAGGACTATACAGTGTTGTAAAGTGAGTCTATCATCTCACCTATGTGTAAAAAGCAATGTTTACAACTGGTGCACGTTGCCTGCAACTGCACACATAACCATATCAGAGATGCCAATCTTCCCGATTTTACCAGGAGTCTTCTGAAAATCATCTACAGCGGATCCACTAACCATTCATCATCCTTGCTGTACTTGAATCGTCAGTGAGAGTGGGTTGGAATTTCATGCAGTTGAAAATGATCAAAAGGTCTCACATATCTGCAACACTAGCACAGCAGCATGACTTTTGCTGTCCCAGAAATATCTGTGAGAAAGTGGCATCACTGGCATAAAGCATGACCGGACGTGCGTCCTCTGCTCCTACCTATGGCAAGGGCTTTGGTTTCAAGTGCTCGAAGATGTCTGAAAGGTCTTGCATCACTACATCACTAGCAAACATCATGGCTTCTGCTCTCCTGGAATTATCAGTGAGAGTTGGTTAAAGGGAGTGTAGCATGACAAGACTATGTGTCTTTCCCATGGCCTGACTCGGGGGCCAATTTGGTATAATACGACCAAGGACGATGCAATCGCAGCAATCACGTGTGTGCAACATACGGGAAACCGAAATGTGAGGAGAACTTCAGTCTGTTTCGAAAACGCTAGCGCACGCTGACCATGTAGAGATCAAGTCGCTGAATACTGTTAATCAAGTCAATTCGTTTACGTGCAGTTGTCCGAAAGAAGTCGTAGATAGCGTTAACCAGTATTTGCCAAGCTACACTCCCTTTAAGTTTCATGGACTTGATAGAGATGAAACAGTCTCACATATCTGCAACACTATCACAGCAGCATGACTTTTGCTCTGCCTGAATCATCAGGAAGAGCTGGTTTAAGTTTCATGCAGTTGAAAACGACTAAAAGGTCTCATAAATCTGCATCACTGGCAAAAAGCATGACTAGACCTGCCTCCTCTGCTCCTACTGATGCATCCACAACATTAAGCTTTGGTTTCATGGGCTTGAAGATTGCTGGAAGGTCACGAATCACCTCCTTTCTCTTGAACTTCTGACTCACAGGTACCTGAAAAAAAGGAATATCACACAGAGTTATTCAATCTATAGTCTAACCTATATTTGTATAGTTAAATTGTATATTCTTTTCAAGGCTATGAAATATTTCGAAAATACCTACATAGAAGCAAACGATTTTCCTGCTACTGCTATGTAGTAATTTAGTTGGATTACTTAGTGTCATCATGTCACATCTATTTAGATCTTTCTAGATCACTCTCTGAATTTACAACATTTTTGAAAGATAAAAAGAAAAATTCAGGAAGAATGCAGAAATTATTTTATTTCAAACAAGTTTCAACCACAGTACTCAAAAACATAAAGCAAAATTAACAAGAATTAAAAAATATTGTTGCCTCACACTCATATTTAAAAAAATGATTGATTATGCAAAAAGCAACCATAAATGCAGCACACATTGATTATCTTGATTTGTTGTATACATTCATCAAACTATTCAATGACAGTATCTTCAATTTCAAGAAAATATTTAATTGGGAATTACTTATCAAGGGTTGAATCAAATACAATAGCTTGTTAAGGCTTTCATGAATGCTGTGCAGAAGTTAAGAATGGAGAAATAATACTGTTGAAGATATTTTACCCCGATGAAGCTCTGGATAAAGCTCTTGAAGGCCTCTCTCTTCTTCTTCTCAGATGGCTTGGAGCTCGGGACTTTCTCATGGAACTTCTGCAATGCTGGCTGAGTGCAGTGTGGTAAACTCAACATCACTTCAGTTAGGACTGGGAACTTCTCTCTCTGTGATAATAAATGTAGAATATGACACGGAAATGAGCCAGCTAGGGTCTGCAATTTATTAATTAATTCATAGTTTTATACAGAACATGATTAGCAGCCAATGGCTGAACTGTTCACAATTTATTTACTTAATTAAAAATTCACACAACGTTATATTGCAAATGGTGAAATTGCACAAACACAACAGTCAATAAATAATAATCAGGGTACATAGACCCTTGAGGGTTAAATAATATTTTACAAAATAGAAGAAATGTAATAAATCATAATCCCATGGATATTAGTCATATTTCTGCATTAAGATAGGTAATATGGTAATGACAATGTTGTTAATCTAATTCTTGAAGGTTAAAAAGGTTATGGCTTAGGCGTAGAACTGCATGAACAATGAATGAGAACTTATCCATTTGACTTGCATTGAAGGGTGGGTAACACTCAACAATATGTTTTTTTTTGTTTTTATGTCTTCAATTTTCATTACACTTGACAATACCCATTGCAATCTTGACTTTTAAAACCGTTCCTCATAATCCAGAGACATAAGAAAGCACACTAAAAGCCTGTACATACCAATAGTTCATAGTGGTTCATTGCTCTGTAGACGAGTTCTGCGCGACATGTGTCGTGCTCTCCGTGTATCTGTAGCCCCCTAAGGATAGACGTGTAGAGATGGGTGACTGCTTCAGGTAAGAGAGGCCTGGTCGCTAGCTGCAGTGCAAATAAAGCAAATAAACACCCAAGGAGATTCATTACAATATCAATAGCAACATTACAAGTTGAAACACAGGCATCTGATAAAATAGAGTGTAACACACAAAAATGGTTGGATTCTTATGTGTGGTTTGTAATTTGATTGCACAATTCCATCGATCAACTTTTTAAGAGATAAAACGACTCGCCTCTTGCACAATGAGCCATGAGAGACGACATGCCTTCATGCAAACACCACTGTCAGGCCAGGACATTGCTGTATATATACAGGTTACGATGCTCTCACATAGTCTCTGTAAAGAAAAAGTGAAATTTGGTTTATCAAGTAGGTTCTTTCAGCAAAGTTCACAATTTTATCCCACATTACATGAACATATATTCTACACTACTGTGAACATTTTGAATTAAAAAGTAGAAGATCAATATAACACACACCGACTTTAACATCCGACTCTCCCCAAAGTAATAGGAAAATGATTTCTACTGGTAAGAAAAAATGAAGAGAATAAGAAAATATAATTATGACATCATAAAAAGGATGTACGGTAGAACAAAATACAGTAATATACTGTCAATTGCATGTACATAGTATTAAAATGCATCTGTAAGAAGCTGTAAGAGTATTCTATAAATCTACTTCATAAACTAAAACAAGAAAAAGAAAAAAAAGAAGCTTCCAAAATATACTATCATTTTTTAAAGACAAGCATACCTCGTTCTGTAAGATGACCTTTCCGAGGTCACTGATAGTAGCAGGTTCTGACTTTGCACTGTTCCCTGCCCCACCCTCTCCCTGTTCCATGGCTTCTTCTGTCTCCATCTCTAACTCTCCTCCACCGCCGCCTCCTCCCTCCTCCTTCACTGTAACACTACTGGACGATGTCCTGTTGTTGCTCCAACATAGATTTCCTGACAGAACAATAGAAGAGATTTATGATGAGAATTGGCATGAAAAAAGCTGATGTCTTTGCATCGCTTTACACATCCTGCACTACATGAGCGTATTTCTGTCTCATGCATGAAGGGAATATGTATGATAATAATAATAATAATAAGATATTTGTATACCGCAAATTGCAAATTGCCTTTAAGCGGTTTAGAAGAAAATAGCTGATAAGTAAAAGAAACAGAATTTGCAAATATACGTCCTGAATTAGTAGCAGTGGGTGTGGAATAACATTCATGTACACATATTCAAGAGGAAGAAGAGGAAACATTGCTCTCCTCTACTGCAAACTTGTCCTTTCTTCTTCTTTTCTTTTCCTCTCTTTAAAAGATTTTACTTGTGGCATATGTTTTCTTTATACTAACTTTCTGCTATGGAGTACAAGGCTTACATAGATATATTCATCAATCTATCTAACCATTCATATATCATTTAAACTAAGAATCAATCACTGGCTTGAAATATCCCAAACTCACCTAATAACTCCATGAATTCCTTGGTGACTGTTCTCGTTAGATGATCTTCCAGGACCTCTTGTGTTTCTTGTTCATCATTTTGTTCCTCCCTCGCTTCACTGTGAGGAAAATATATCATAATTGCAATGGTCAGTCCCAAAGATGAAAGTAAATCATAATTGCAATGGTCAGTCCCAAAGATGCCTGTCCACAGAAGACATGCATCTGTGTACTGAAAATATTATGAAATTCACAAAATTCACAGAGTCTTTATTGACACTTGCAAAGATGGAGAGATAGTCCTAAATGTGCATTCATTCAATAGCATTTTAGTTTAAAAGACGAACATATGGATCAAGCCCTCGGCCATAGGCACAGAAACAATGTAAGTCAATTTATATGAATGAGATTCATGACATTCCACTGTGGCAGTATATCCCAGACTAAAGGGTTTCTGATGTGATCCTTATTTGCTTCTGATTGATCAGGAGTGACCACAAATGTGATGTCTCAAAGCGGCAGCTCTCAGTGGGGATTTGGACTTGCAACATTTTTAATGTAAAAATTAAGAGAACATACAACCATTATCATCATCAATTATTTAAGTCTGCATTTTCCCTCCTATGAGGGGTTACTGACTGGTTTGTTGAGTAAACCTTACCATAATTCATATTTCTATTCAATTTTTTTTCTTTTGGGTTGGAGGTCAATTTGAAGACACTTTAGGCTTTGGAGTCAGTTTGAAGGTGTGAACTTAGTTCCCTTATTGATCCACTGACTTTTGCACCATGACACTCCCTCTCTCTACTTGTTCTCATCTCGAGCATCCTTCTCATTTAGACCAACCTTACTGCTTTTTTTCTTCACCATATCTCTCCATGATATCTTCTGGCTTCCTTTCCCTCTAATGCCATCTACTGCCAGATCCCACATTCTTCTCGCAGGTTCATCATATTCACTTCTCAACACATGACCTATCCATCTCAATTCACTTTTCTTTACCATTTCCACCAGAGTTTCTTCCAGACCCAACCTTTCCATGAGCTCACTTGTGTTCTTTCTATTGGGACAGTTTCACACCAAACATCTTCTATATCATGGCTCTTTCTGTTCTACTCAAGATACTTTCTTCTACTGTCTTCACAAATCTTTACAAAATGAATGGTGAATAGACGTACCCAGATTCTGCCCTCTGTAAAATGATGGCCCATTGCTGGTTCAGTCTATGGACCATGAACGAAGTTAGACCAGTCATCACCGGGACCAGGACCGACTGCCAGCATTCCCTGGGACAGGATTGCACGAAGCCCTTGGTCACCACACGTAAGCACAGAATAAGAGTCAAGGAATACATTTGTCAAAATCAGAGAAAACAACTTTTGACAGAAACAAGACATAGCATTAACAGAAGGCCTTCACATGTCCTTGCATAGTTATTGCTACAAATCATTGAAGCAAGTCTGAAGGATTGTAATAATCAAAGACCAGAACAAAAATAATGGCAGCAACTAAGCAAATACCAGCAAGCATGTATATACGATATGCTCAAAACTTTTATGAAAGTGCATTCAATATAATGTTCATTTCCAATGAAGTAACTATTTTGGCATAACTAGCAGACCTATTCTTACAAATTCATTATAACAAAAATCAAAAACAAAAGAAGTAAAATGAAAGGATATGAATGATGTGCCGGAGCCTGTAATCTGGTAGATGGTGAAGGTTGGTGAAAATAGATTCGAGAAGTTGACTGGACAGACCCTCGGCAGCGAAGAACTCATAACCAAGACTCTGGAAACAGTCAGCGAACAGGTGACATCTAAAATATAAACAAAAGAGAAAATGGTATAAAACAGTTATTTCCAAAACTTGGAACAAGCATAATACAAGAGTTGAATAAATCACCTGAAGAAAATAAAAACCTACATCCGTATGAAATTGAAGTAATTCCTTGAAATGCTAGAGTGCCGTAATGGCAGCCGTGCTAAAGCCAGGGTAATAATATACCTCTGCACCTCAGAATAGTTTACTAGATCGATTAATTGGCGCATTACAGATGCTGGAGTATTATTATTATTATTTCATCTTGCATTATTGAAAGTAGTTACTAGATTGTAACATTACAATGTTCAACAACATATTAAACATTAGCCTTTTTTAATCAGATATAAATGCAATTTTTTTAAAAATAGATAAGTGATTCAAATCTTGATTTTCTATTCTCCATGGTCTCCAAACTTACGTAGTTTCATAGACAACAGTGAGGAAGATTTGGACCTTCTCCACGACTGGTTTGTTGGTTGGTATCTCGGTGCTGTTCCCATATAAACCTAGGAAGAAAGAAAAAAAGGGAAAAGTTTCCTTTATCAGGACCAACTATGAGTTGCAAAACAAGGAATACATACTGGTTGCATGTGTGTTATGTAGAAGCCATCTTTATTATGTACATTATGTACATCACAATACTTACATGGACCACTAGCTAGTCAAAAGCAAAGTGCAAGAACTTCATGAAGAGATCACTCAACTATAAGTTTACATGATGTAAAGCTTTCAAAGCATATATAATACACATTGAATAAAAAAAAAATCATGAGCTAAAATGAGATAAACAGTTTATCCAGTCAGATGAATGTTGTCCACACATGGCAGCAAATAATTGCAAAAGTGTGAGGTGAAAAAGTTGACAGTGCTAGCTGCAGGTCAGTAGACATCTTAGAGAAAGGCATCACTAAATAAGGTCACAATACACACACAAAATAGAAGATCAGCCCTGTATTCTGACGAAAGAGTTTGCTAGTGGGCAATGCAAACAAGATAAAATCTATCTACACTAGTTTAACCAGGAGGGATTAGACCTCCCTGCATGGTCACTGACAGGTGGTTATCTCATCAACTCAGCTCTCAATTAACATTAGAAAAAGGGGATCATGGGGGACCAACGGGTACTGCTTAGGCATTGTTTGCTATATAGAGGGCGCAAGTAGCTACAAGTAGTGCAGTCCCCCTTTAAATGAAACCTTACCTAGGATAGTATTCCTCTCATTCTCAGTCATGTTGTATGATTTAGTATACTCTGGACACACCTTCCCTCTGCATTCAGGAGACCACATAGCGTTCAAGGTTCTGTATAATGAGAGAGACATAAGAATAGTTTGAACAGAATTTCAAATAAAGAATAAAAGCTGTGACTAATGATTATGCAACGAAAATGTTTTCATCACAAAATTAAAAGGAATTCAAAAAGTTCCTTATAAGGTTTAGAAGTCACACTGATGGTATTGTAATAGCAAGTTAGCAAAAAATGTAAATGATTGCTATTTGAAAATATCATGTTTCGCAATTTCTAACTTGTAAAAATAAAAAACTATGGAAACAAACTTGAGCTGAAAGTTAGGAAAGAATGTTTCAATTGTTGTAATCCATATTATCTGAAATGCATACAAGCTCCAGTACAGGTTAAAAGAGCTCTAGTACAGGCAAAGCTGATTGAGGATGTCTGTGCAGGAAGTACAAGTTCACCGATATGCCATTGAAACACGTATTAAATTTGATACGCACATCAAAATGGGTTGTTGGCGAACGCTGCACAGATTCTATTTTCTTTCAATCAGCTCTTTTTGACCTCAAGAAGGCATGCTCAGTGAAATATTGAAGGACCATCTTCATTTCAGGGCTCATATTTCTTTAGAATGAAACTACGATGCATCCTTAATTCATTCTACATCAAGTTGATTGAGAGAAGTGTGAAGCGTCCTAACCTGGCAAGCGTGAAGAGGTTTGGCAAGATAGGCAAGATGTGAGGAGTACTAGGATTCTTGTAGATCGGTGCACCGCTTGGGAGATGGCCACTGATAAATCCTCCAGCTGCAGCCACCTAGTAAGACAGAAAGAGAGATTCATTACTCCAAAGAACAATGGAATTGGCTTAAGGTCTCATTTTTCAAATGATCTTCATTCATGAAACAATGCCTATCTTTAGTAGAAAATGCCTATAGGAAGTCAGGTTAACAAGCCAGGAACATAGAGAAATACTTCTATATAAAAAAAAACTACATTTTATTATATTCATCTCTTCATGGTAGTTTAAAGTATATTAGGGTAAAAATGTATAAAATTTAGCTTTGATGGTAACTTTGCCATCAATGGTAACTTCCATGGAAACCTTGATTTGATTTGCTATTTTAGTGATGTTAACATGGTACTAAATATTGATGGCAAAATTACCATAAAAGTAAGTTTTATGCAATGGGGTCCAGGAGCTCTTGCAGGTACAGTAAAATATATTTCCATAGTTTCTGCATTTAATAAAATTATGTATTTGTCTGTTTGGAGCCAGAAGGGCATTAACTCATAGACTTTCTAACATAATAACTGCTCTTCTGGCTCCAAATAAGACATATATTTACGATTATAATGTTTGAGGGATTGGAGGCCAATGAATGTTTGGTAACATGAGATGTCACATCATTACACTGGTACTATGTACCTCTGTATTACTCTATGGCCAGGTGAGGTGTACAGAGGCAGCTTAACAAACCAACAAAACGTTGGATGTCAAGCTGCACGACAAGGACATGTCCTAGAATGTTACCTCAGGCCAATCATGCAATGATTCAGTCAAAGATTATCTATCCTTAAAGGCATCGTTAAAAATCGTTTAACAATGTTAAATCTGAGATACACGGCTCTATGTGTTATCAGTGCTTGTGATATGGTGTAATATTGAAGAAAGAAAAAAAAATTGCGATTCAAAATGATCAAGAAGTGCCTCAAAAAAGTAAAAATCTTTGAGTGACCAGTTATACCATACTTGTTTCCCCCCCATTAGACTGTAGTCTTATAAAAACCCTGAGGAAAGCAAATTTTTAAATTTTGATTTCCAATCATAAATATCTTGATAATCAGACAGGCGATGAGCTTGTAAAAGTCATGGGATTCCTGACTGATGTAAAGGTTTATAATTATGATTGTAGCATGAGCTAAATCCAGGATTTTGTTTCAGAATCTGAGGCAATGTTATTGAGTTTAAGATTGAACTCTGACCTGTGGGTCTGAGGGCCAGCAGCTTCTCTTGACGACAGCCTGGCTGGTTGAGATACAGCTGAAGATCTGAGCACGATTCTTGTTGTGGACATCCTCCTGGTTTGGCTGAGCATCGCTTGGATGGTCAAGACCAATGTTGTGGATGAAAGACTCCGGAGATTGGATAATTCTGGTGAAAAATGAACATCAATATTGGAATTAATATGGAAATATCAACGATGCTAGTAGTCACATAAATTCTTGGCAGCAAATGAAGTCACTATTATCTACTTGCTGGAAGTATTTTTTGTTAATGCACAGTAATTTTCTTATTCTGTTAATTAATATGTATTACATACCAAATATCAAATATTCTAGGCCTCTAACTAGTCCAAGAATGAACATAGAAACCAATTTTTAGTTATATATTTTTTTTAACATGGCATTGCCAAACAATACAAATTTTGACCTTCTCTCGTTGTGACTTATATGGACTTACTCTGTGATATGTGGAGACAGCCAGACCTCTGTGATGGGTTTCATAATCTCGGCAATGAGGGCACTCTGACGGTTCCAGTTATGGAGTCCGTTGTTGATGAGAATGAGAGCCTCGCTGAGTGTGACCCTCTCTAGCTGGGTCAGCTGCTCTGGATCAGAGCACAGCCTCTTTACTTGGGTGTAGATCTTCTCAAAATGGGGCTGGAAAGAAAAAAGATGGATTTGATGGATGGACAAATCTTAAACTTGGGTAGATCATCTGCTTTGTTCGAAATTCTTGCACAGTGAGATGTCATAATGATGATAACAAAAATAATAATACAAATAATAATGATAATAATAATACTAACACTAATACTAATATTAATACTAATAATATGATGTCTAGTTTACCCAGGGTAGTTTGTTAATATCAATACTGTTTTCCCTGAGGGCCCTGCAATTATTTTATTACCCCAGCTTTAGCCAAGCTACCATGATAAGGTATCATACAATGTTCAAACTCACAAGATGTTCAGGGAAGAATACATTAATCATTTAACATCAATAATTTGTCACTTAAGAGTAAATAATGTTTGAGGGATTGGAGGCCAGTGAGTGTTTGGTAACATGAGATGTCACATCATTACACTGGTACTATGTACCTCTGTATTACTCTATGGCCAGGTGAGGTGTACAGAGACAGCTTAACAAACCAACAAAACGTTGGATGTCAGGCTGCACGACAAGGTCATGTCCTAGAATGTTACCTCTAGCCAAGTATATTATGTAGAAATTCTTCATATCTGCACTAAGAACAGAGCAAAGATTACCCTGAAGATTTTTCTCTACTTACTCTGTATCAAAATGCCAACCAATTAGTTGTTTGTTCTCTTTTAACAATCCTATTTACTGCTCAAAAATGTTCTATTAATAGAGAACTTCTTCATTTCCAATCTGCAAGGTTGGTCCCTATGCTTTGTAGGTCAGGCCAAGGCAACATAAGTGATCGTGTACAATGTAGATGCCATTGAGGGTACTCGAACACCATGAGGAAGAGCCTCATACCAATCTGGATTGCATTGTCAATGAACGTGACTATTGTAAATGCTATATACAAGTACACATATAGCAGTTGCAATCAATTGCAAATCCCCCAAATCAAGCGTAAGTCTCGCGATTAATTGCAAATCTGCAATTGATCGCAACTCAACTTTCTTGCAACACCCCATTAATAAGAGAGAAAGAGAGAGAGGGGGGGGGGGGGGAGAATAAAAGCTAGATCTAGCTAACTTAATTTAATTGTTATTAACTTTAATCCTAACAAAATCCTAGGAAATTTAGGAGACTAGTGGGTCGATGCAAGAGAGTTTAAGTTGCAATCGATTGCAAATATCAGTTGTAAATTTTGCAACTTGCAATCAATCACAACTTTCTTGCAATGCCAATTGTCATTTTTTATGACCACATACCAGCATGAGTGTTTGATGATCTCTGCACATCTTGACCATAGCTGAGCAAGCGTGTCGTCTGACGTTCTGAACGGATCGAGTCCTTGTCTTCTGAGAACATAGCAAAGATACAAGTACAGTATTAACCTCGAGAAAATACATTAAAACCTGTCTTTTTGTCTCCCTTGAGAAAGAAATGTATGTTTGTAGAACCTGTCTAGAAAGACCATTTGGCTACCTTTTCTGTTTCCCTTGGATGACCTTAAAAGACAAGTTTGACTGTATCTGATTGAGAGTTGAAACAGCAACAGAAACCAATCCCAATTATTTATTTTTCCTCAAGGCTTAGTATGTATGAACATGTTAATAATCTTCAATATATAATAGAAACAATACCAAATTTAAGATTTTCTAGCAATACAAATAAATTTTATATATTCTGGATAAGTGACAGTACATGGGCGGGTCACAGATCTTTCAGAAGGAAGCGAAATAAACAAGAAATGAAAATCAAAGCGACCTCTTGTATGAAATCTACCGATACCTTAGTAACACACATGTACAAAGTATCAAGATAAAATCCATATGTCACATACATAACATCTAACACCAATATCAATTGAAAAATATTTTTCAAAATAATACAACTTGAATTCATTGTACAGGAATAGGCTCTTAGATACCGGTATACAACAGTGGGTTTGGTTCAACAAACAACAAAATCTTTAACACACAATTAATCAATATCTCAAATTTATTAATAATATCTTAAGTACTTTACCTTAGTCAGACCAGGCCACGAGTACACAGCAGCAGCAAAGAGCTAAAGAAGAACAAAGATGGATAAAATTATAAGACTGAAGAAGTAAGCGATAATGTGATGGTCATGGAACACGCAAATCTTGCCTTTCTTGTCGCAAAACAATGCCATACTACCACAAGATTCAAGATAACCAGGGGGTGGATAGTTAAAAAAATGCTGTATCTTAAATGCTTGGAAACAAACATGCATCAGCTAAACGTAACCCATTTACAATTTATAACATGACAACCTATCATACAATCTTAAACAAATATGAATACAGATTCCTTTTTGAAAAATATAATTTAAATAAAATAGTACTTGGGTATAAGTAAATGTTTGAGGGATTGGAGGCCAGTGAATGTTTGGTAACATGAGATGTCACATCACTACACTGGTACTATGTACCTCTGTATTACTCTATGGCCAGGTGAGGTGTACAGAGGCAGTCTAACAAACCAACAAAACGTTGGATGTCAGGCTGCACGACAAGGACATGTCCTAGAATGTTACCTCTAGCCAAGTATATCATCACCAAGAGTCGCGGATGACTCGATTGGCATCTATCAACAATCATCTTCTTGTTCACTTAAACTTGCCATCTAAAACACCATAGTAGCAGGAATGATAGTGTGTACTAAAAAAAAATAGGTTTTTTGTTTTCCCCTCAACCATGCCCCCCTTGAGTAAAAAAAAAGAGGATTTGCGGGGGAAAATGGCATCTAACAACATTCCCCCCTTTCGAGTAAGAAAATTGGGAAAAAAATAGGGCAAAATAGGGAAGATTAGAGAAAATAATGGGGATATCGGTAAAATCAGGATAAAAGAGGAAAGAAGAAATAAAATCTGGTAAAAAAAAAAAAAAATTTAAATCAGGGAGAAAAAATAAATCAGGACAAAATCGGGAAACCAATTTAAATCGGGTTTTTATCAGGCCTGTAGTAGTTTATAGTGATTGAAGAAGTAGGATTAGTTGAAGGAAATTATCTAAATATCTAAATTAAATGGTAAATTGCCAGTTGGTTTACCCCCAGCGTGTCTACTATCCACATGGTTTAACGTTTATCCCGTCTATTGATCATTTGGTTTAATAACCATTTAGGCTAATAGTAATTTGGTCTAATTTCAATATGTTCTTATCTCCAATTAGTCTACCACCCATTTGGCCTATTGCTCATTTAGTCTATTAATCAGTTGGTCTAATTCTCAGTTTGTCTAATGCCCATTTTTTCTATCATCCATAAGGTCTTATCATTTGATGATTACTATTATTAATGATTAAATGATTATGAGACCATATGAATAGTAGACAAAATAGGCATTACACAAAATGGGAATTAGATCAACTGGAAATTAGACCAAATGAGTAATAGACCAATTGGGTAGTAGATGAACTGGCTGTTGACCAAACGGCAATAAGCCATTTTAATCACCTTATCCAGGACACCTTCTACATGTTGGTTGGAATGGTGAAGTACCGGAAATAGTGTTGATATACAGGTCAGCTGGAAAGACAGAATCACTGGGTCCTATGGGGAGAAATGAGAAAGAATATCATTCAGACAATGAGAGATTAAACATTTGTATTTGTTTGACTCTGATGTCCATATAGTTACACAATTGCTACTTTTTCACTTTGCTTGCTCATATCTATCTGACTGAAATTGGGAGTGTTGAAGAGAAAGTATGCTGCAACAAACTTTAAGCATATAAATGCTGAATACTCAGGCTACTTAATGAATGAATTCAGCTACAAAATGAAGACCATGACAACCGTTTGAAACCTCCAATGCTCGTAAATATCTTAAAGTGATACTAGTACATTACACCAAAATAAATATACTTTGACTGCATACTTCACCAAAGTAATGCTTAACATCTTCTAAATTGTTTTGTTTCCATTTGTTTTATCAAATAGTAGTGTTGAAATTAAGATTTCAATTACTCATAATGAATTTCTACTTACAGTGAACAAACAATCACTTCTACCATTAAATATTTCATCCCACAGTGAGCATTGGTTTCCTTAGTACCGTAGAATTCTATAGAGCTTGTACCCCCCTTAAAAATCTAAAAAAAGTGTGGCCCACTTAAATGTACAACAGCTTCCTCAATAGCTGGGACTGAATGAAATTAACATGAGCCCTTACCTCTATTTTACAGTTGAGAGTTGCTTGTATCAGTTCTATGGCCTGCTGTGTTGGTAGCTGGTCTTTCTTGATGAGGGTTGTTATTACGCTGTCAAGGTAACTAGACATGGCGTCCCATTTGATGGTTGATGGAGAGTGATTGGTGCACAGTTCTTTGCCTATAAGAAAGTCATGATCGATTAGCATTTCGTTAACTACATATCCATCATTAATTATTACATTTAATTTAAATTCCGATGTTTGTGTGTGTCTGTACAATGAAGGTTCTATTCGTAAATGAAATCAAGTAACTGAATTGAATGGAATTGAATAATGATTTCACATGTTCAAACTTGTCAATGTTGACAGAATTGATTCATTTTAAGGATATGACAATCTGATGCAATCACTAGGCCCTCATCGATTGTATATTTGAATTTACATGGAGTATACTTTAATGCAAAATTTGTATACAGTTGAGATAAATATGTATAATTGTAGAGCCATCGATATGATCATTCAATCATTGCTTGAGTGCTAAGCACAAATAAAACAACTCGCTATTAGTTAAAATGGTGGCATTCTCGTGAAATGAGCCACTGTTTATTTCTTTTGTACATAGCGGTTCCTTAAGTGCATTGCCTATGGGGGATTCCACCTCCGCATAGATTTTACATGCTGATGCTGGTGTGTGTGTGTGTACACACTCATTGATTGAAGGCTTATTTCACGAGAAGACCAAAATGATGACTAATGATTAAAAAATTGATGGCAACATAGACAATAATAGACATAGATAATAAAAACATTGCTGGTCCACAAAAACGGATGGTATCATGGTGTGTATCATACCTTCCTCTCTCTCAAGGGGAGCAGCTAAAAGCTCCTGCAACCAACGAGCAGCTATGCTGAAAGTAGTCTCGGGACAAAGACCTGTTGCATGTCTGAGGATCTCCAGCTGGTAGTATCTATGAGCTACATGGAAGAAATTTAGAAAAGGAGGTCAATCAGGGTCAAGGTTATCATCCTTAGTTCAAATTGGGACACGCTAAATAATTTTGAATTTCTTCAAAAAATTATGTTTCCCAGAGAAGTGATCTATTCATTGATTTGAAAGCAGAGACTCTCTTTCCCATGTAGTATGGTTCAGCATTTTAATCTGAACTCCCATCGTTGCAAGGACACAGATTTGAGTGTGAGCAAAAATCCACGGTCGGGGACCTGGTCCCCGCCCAATATTTTCTGTAAAACTGGTAATGACTCTAGCCTAGGTAAAATGCAAAGACTTTTCATCCCCCTATACCATTTGCAATGTCAATGAGTATGAATTTTTTCCTCCAAAGGGGCAAGCTTTAGTTTTCTTAATGATGTTGCTGCAACTTATTTACAGTTTTTAAATAAAAAATAAAAACAAAATTTTACTTTCTTACCTGCAAAGAAATGAAAGAACTCATCATCCGAGTCAAAATCAATCCTGGCATAAGCACAGGCAGGGGAGTCGTTACGAGATGGGTAGCCAATCTGAAATTTAAAAGTGATATCATCCATAATGTTGACAGTATACATGTTCAATGAAATTGGTTTACAATGACACCTGCCATAGGGGTTTTTGAATTTACAGGGCCCCATTTCACGAAACTTGTCATCAGTGACAAATTGCAGTTTTGTTATAAGCTACTGAAATCCTTGCTTCCGATTGGTTGCAGATTTGTCACTGATTTTGTCATTTGTCATTGAAAAAAGGCTTTGTGAAACGGGTCCCAGGTGTCTTCTAGGCCAGGTATGAATAAAGAATGTGGCATACGGTAAATAAGACATTGGTCTTTATAATAGAGACAGTCACTGTTTAAAAGCATGTTGTTCATTTGTTTTGTTGGTTTGGTATTTACATTATCTTTAAATGCGTGAAACTCGTCCAGATAGGTTAGGTTAAGAAATATGACATGCATTGTATCACTGAATAGCATGTCAGAAAATACAATATGCTTGAGCGCTAGTTACTTTGGCAACTCGGCTACAACCAGGGTAATATGTGTACAGCGCCATGAGCGTCAGAGCCTGGCGGATACTGACACTATATAAATATCCATATTATTATTATTATTATGATTATTATAAATTGAATAAATCTTTCATACTGCATATAATACAGAACACACATAAATAACTTCATAAACATGAATAACAAGACCCCGCATTAATACAACACTTACCTTCTGAGACGTGCTAATATAAGTCTGACAGAGGTTTGGTATAATTTCTAGCACAGCCTGGGTGCGTGGCATGTGCTCGTGCCTCAGGAACGCCATCCAACTAGCCGAAGTTAGGTGACAAACATGTGTGCTGGCATGCTGGGTGAAACTGTACAGGGTCTTCAGGTAGGAAGCGAGATTGGATGGCGGCTCAAAAACCTCTCCTTCTATTGCCTATCAGATACAGATACAATAAACAGAAAAATATTGTTACTTATCTCTCCAAACAATTTTGTGACTGTAGAAGTAAAGATTACAAATGTTTTGGCCCCCTAGCCAAGCATAAATGTTGCCTCATTTCATAAGTGACCTTTGCCTTTAATAGCATATCTGATTAAAGAAAACAGAAGTTGGATAACTACACATGGTGAATTTAATTTAGATCCCTGAAATTCATCTTTAAAGCTATATCTAAGAAATCTACCTTAATTTGAATTAAACTTCATCCCTAGATACACTTCATGTGAAATATCCTTCATCCCAAAGCGCGTTTCATTTGTAAGGTTTACTTTTCTGTTTCTCCTTAACTTGAACAGAAAAATGCCTCTAGAAATGTGGAAAATGTTGATACTTACCCATATTGCACACATCTGTGAGCCCAAGCCTGTGATAACTTGACACAATTTCTTCACAAATAAGTGATTCTTTTCATCGAGGCCGGCACTGCAAGCTTTCCTGAAAAACACAAAGTATATAGCAAAAGATACATACTTATTTCATTTATCCACTTACTTTCGGAAATATGATTGATCAGCGGGTAGAGCGTTGACTGTTGTACTAGTAAGTCCTAGGTTCACTGGTAATCCAGTGCACCAATGAACAGTGACTTTGGACAAGACATTGTCTTCCAACTCCCTAGTCCCTCCCATAGGAAGTCAAATATTTCAGGACTACTAATAAACCTACAAGCATGCATATACTTTCTTAGCAGGCAATTAAAACAAACCTGAAACAACTACTGAACCTAACTTTGAACAAATGTGTTGCTGTTGAATCATTAGTCCAAATAGTTATGGAATGTAAGGTCATATGGGTGTTAAAAGTTATACACAAGTCCATTCCTTCTACTTAGTACAAATATAATAATCAATAATCATTGAAAATTGACATGAATTTCTCTTTTTTCCATATAACACTTGGATCATTTTCTATGAAAATTTCAGATATCATCTGTTCAGAGCCAGAAGGGCATTATCTCAGCATTAAAGTAAATGAGTTAAACAGATGATATGTTTTTACATTCTAAGATATATTAATGAACGAGTCATCTACTTTAATGACTAAGTCAAACTGCTAAATAGTTATTTAAAACAGTGTCAAGTGTAATACGAAATACAATGATTTCTACTCACACGGCAGCATTGAAGAGTTCTGTCATAGCTACATCACAGAACAGCACCATCAGTGGTTTTCTCTCTTCTATCTTACCCTGAAAAACAAACAGTAAGTAATAAAAAACAAGTGCTATTCAACTGCACCCACCAGTGAAAAAATACACGGGGGCTCAGGGCGAAATAGCCTCCGAAATGCCCAAAAGAGCCCCCGAAAATCAGAAAAGAGCCACCTTGAATTTACATAGAGTTCAATGCAAAACAAATTTTAGAATGTTATTTTCATGCAGGCAAGGTTGAAAAGTAGCCCCCGAAAAATAAATATTATTTTTTTCCCTGGCACCCACTATGGTATATTGTATATTGTAAGATCAAAGGCTCATGTCTATTCAATCTTGTATAATCACTCATGAATAGCATCAATAAAATATTGAAGCTTCACTGTTTTCTGTCCTCACATCTTCATCTTTCTAAAAATATGCAATACTGAAATTTTGCACAAAACAAGAAATCATCCAAAACTACCCACATCTGCATTAATTACCTTTCTGTGCACAATGAGTTGTAAGCACTCTGCTGCCAGCATCTTCAGCTCCTCATTTCTAAGGAGTTGATAGAGGAAGATGAGGAGGCGGTTCTCTTCCTTGAAGAGATGCTTGGCGTCCATCCACTCTACGAAGCCACACAGGGTCACAAGGACCGTCTGGGTCACCTTACATGCAGACTTGGCCTAGCGGAAGATAGAATTGAGATTATTCAAAAAGTTTAGGTATTTATCTATATGGAATTTGATCTTTTTTTAATATCACATGCCACATAGTATTACCAAAATCTTGAACTGTTGCCTCAGTTGATATCTTGTTTTTCTTGGAATGCACTTGTATGCCATCACATGAGGAAAATAGTTTTATGAAAATACTAAATATGTTTAGCCTTTGAAAAGATAATGGAAAGCTTAAATCTCATCTGTACTAGTCTGGCCAGGAGGGATTACACCACCCAGGGTGGTCACTGACAGGTGGCTATCTCATCAAATCAGCTCTCAATTAACATAAGAAAAAGAGGATCATGGGGGACCAATGGTCACCGATTAGGCATTACTTTCTATATAGAGGGAGCAAGTAGCTACAAGCAGTACAGTGGGGCTTTAATACATGTCGCATTCTAAGACATTTCTATATTCTAATCTTATAGGCTTCATTTCTTACCTCATTACTCTGCGGTGCAGAAGTTTCCTGTTGAGACAAAGAGAGAAAAAGAGAGAGAGAGAGAGAGAGAGGGAGAGAGAGAGAGAGAGAGAGAGAGAGAGAGCAAAGAATGGATGAAGAGTTTACGTCATACTCAGTACAATACAAACACTGTCAAGTATTGAAAAGGCTGAGGAGGGCCTTGTGATTACATCAGATTGTCTTATACTTAAAATTAATCGATTCTGTCAACATTGACAAACTTCAGCACAAATTAAAATATTGAGAAAATCGTTTACAGGCATCAACAATTAGTTGCCACATTTTTGTAACCCACAGTGCACTTTTGTAGGCACTGTACTCTTTCTCGCAATATAAAAGCCACAGCCTATAATATTAGATCTATAGCCCATCCAACACACATACACATGTACAAAATCAACACCACGGCTGCAGGTTAACGACTATAATAACTCCTAATTTATAAATCATATCAGAAAAAATTATGCAACTCAATACAGCCTTTGACTCGTCTAAAATACATGTAAATGAATTCAAATCAACCACATGCCGTTTGTGTTTTTAGTTATTTTCATGTAAATCAGAATATTTTTTAGACAACAAATCTGAGGGCAGTAGTTGATGGCTGACAGCAGAGCCATCTATACACAGAGTTTTGACCAACCCGGTTTGAGTTGGACATAATATGGTGACTACTGCTTTGTTGAACAACCACAAAACAAAAGAATATATGCCATGTTGTGACCCAGTGAAACCAAGTTGGCCAAACTCTGTATATAGATGGCTCTGGATGACAGGGCACATCAGGCTTCTAGTTTGAGCTCACCAATGACTGGTATTTCTCAGAGTACATCTCCAGAACCTTGATGAGGAAAGAGGAGATCTGAGCCATGTTGGATGTCAGGGCTTGCCAGAGGTCCTTCCGCCGTCTGCTCTGCTGGACATTGTGGAATGAAACCACATCTTCTACCAGCCTCAATAGGATGAGAAGAACCAATTCAGTCTGACTATCCTGTAAAAAAAAAAAGATTTCACAGCCTTATGTATTACTAGATTTCTCTATGTAATCTTTCATCTTGGAATCCAGAATAATTTGTCTTCATTTTTTTACAAATTGAAACTTGTTATATTTTCTTACAGACAATTATAAATTTTTCTTATACCAGTAAAGAGGGTCCTAACATGATTTGACGTAAAATTGTGAGCAAGGAATTCCTTTATCTTGTGGCTAACTATTAACTATTAAAAAAGAAGGATCATAATTTAACTGGAATGCCACTAGTGAAAACAAAAACATGGCAAACTTTAATGTATAGATTCTATTAAAGGACATGCACTTTTTTGGATCACAACATCTGGATTCATGGAAAAATTGTCGCCGCATTTAAATAACAATATCCTTACTATCTTGGCAAGAAGGGCCAACAGTTTCAATGAGTTGTCGGCGAAGTTGTACTTAAGACGGTTTTGTGAAACGCTGCCCAGTAAACTTACTCCTATTTGGCACATCTGGTCCAGCTCCTCCAGTAAGCTGGGCCATTGCTGAGGCCACTCTCTCTTGATCATCTCCACAACGATCTTCACCAGACCCTCCTTGATGTAGTTCTCTTCCTCAAGTACATTGGTGCTCTTCTGAGCATGGGAAGAAAATATTTATTGAACACAAATTTAGAAATATTGAATCAAATTATGTGTTGGATAGCGATGGATGTTTTTTTTTCTTCAAGAAATGTAGACACAAGAAGAGTAATTCTTTAGGGAAACCATTTTGATTATAGACATGAAATAACAACACTAACAACTACAAGGTATATCATGGTTTAAAAGATTAATTATAACACCAAAGTATGGTTAGAAAGATGAAACAACAATAACGAAATGGTATGGTGTGGTTAGAAAGATGAAATAACTGTAGCAGCAAAACAACATCAAAGAAAACTCTCTTGACCCCAAAAATCAGTCTGTTAGAGACTTTGAGACATCTTTTACAATATCAGAGGTAAACTGTTACTATTAATAGCAGGGTACTTACCCTAAATGCAGGTCAGGGTATTAGAAAATGATGATTATTTGTCGTCACCCACCATGCAACTTAATATGCTTGAAAAGTATGTCAACAAAGCCTTGACATTTCATGCTAATGCTTTGATGTCTACACATTTGTTTTTTGCAATGATAGCAAAGTGCTTGTTCTCTCTGAGAATTGATTTTGGAAAATTATTGCCACTATCAGCAAAACATTTGAGCTTTGGAGAAACATACAGGATGCCAATTTGATGTAATATTTTACCTTAGTGATCATTTCTAGTATCAGGTTCTTGAACTGTAGTTTCTGTTCCCCAGTCGCATCATTCCACTTGAATCTGGAGAATTATAAAACATGAAAATAATTACCTGGTGTAGTTATCAAAGTCGAGTCTAATTTCATATGTGTCAAGAGCGATGTCACACAGAGAAATAAATTCATGAATTTGACACACACTAGTATAATATGGCTTAGCTTTCACAGGAAACTCTCCTTATCACAAAGCAATGTACAGTCAAACCTGACTTAGTGCCAACCTCTCTGTACCCAGAAAACGTTGTGGCAGCTGGGTCGGTCAACTCATTTAAGAAGAATGTAAGCCTTTTGTATGAGCCGGTCTAGGTGTTGTCTATTGTCTCATGTTAATTACACAACCTCCTCCCTCCACAAATAGCAGTAATCATGGAAGAATCCTGGATCGATGAACAGGCTTAGACCTACAACATCGTATATTAAAGTAAAGTAAAGTAAGTAAGTATTAAAGGCCACCTGTCTATTGTGGGAATGTAATTTGTCTTCCTCAAGATAGAAATACATGTGTTGTAGAACCTGTCTAGAAAGGCCACCTGTCTACAGTTGCCACTTTTAATAAACATGTTTGACTGCATAATACAGGCAAAATATTGACATTTCCCTGGCCATGTTTACAATGATGCCAACCTAAACTGATGTAACAAGGAAGAATATATCAAAAATTGCGACAGCATTTATCAGATTGTCTTAGAGAATTTGGTAGTAAAAAAGCTGAATGATATCAGTTGATCGTCATAAACACTCCACCCAAATATATTTCACACTATAGTCACATTGGCAAAAGAGAAAAGGTGTTGTACTAACTACTAAACATCATCAAGAAGAAGAAAAAGATAGAGAAGGAGAAGAAATCAAGTTTTTAAGAAAATATATATCTTCATAGATTAACACAAACACACATGACATGTTTTTTAAAGACCGTCACCACTACTGGGCAAGAAGGGATTAGACCACACAGCGAGCCATCGAGGTCACTGTGACAGGTGGCTATCTCATTAACTCAGCTCTCATTTAACATAAGAAAAAGAGGATCATGGGGGACCAACAGGCACCGATTGGGAAAGTTTTCTACCTATAGAGGGAGCAAGTAGCTACAAGTATGGCAGTGTGCCTTTAATTGCAGAAAAGAAAAAAAGAACACACCTCACAAAATGTTCCAGGAGCTGCAGTCCAAAATGCCTAATGACAGGGGAATGCTTTGTATCAGTAAGCAGAGCTCCACATGCTACACAATGGGGCGATGTTTCTTTGAAGTTCTCACAAATCTGCAATGATACAAAAATAATATATTAACCATGATGTACATACTACATGCACAATGGTTCAAGTTCAACTAGTTGTGTTTAATCATGGACCTAGGTCCATGGTTTAATACTACAGAATTATAGCTAACCTAGGCCTCCCCCTCTCTCTCTCTTCTCTGGAGCTCTCTCTTTCTCTCCTCCTCCTCCTCGCCCTCTTCCTTCTTCTTCTTCTTCTTCTTCTTCTTCTTCTTCTTCTTCTTCTTCTTCTTCTTCTTCTTCTTCTTCTTCTTCTTCTTCTTCTTCTTCTTCTTCTTCTTCTTCTTCTTCTTCTTCTTCTTCTTCTTCTTCTTCTTCTTCTTCTTCTTCTTCTTCTTCTTCTTCTTCTTCTTCTTCTTCTTCTTCTTCTTCTTCTCCTTCTTCTTCTTCTCGTTCTTCTTCCTTTTCTTCTTCTTCTACTTCTCATTCTTCTTCCTCTTCTTCTTCTCATTCTTCCTCTTCTTCTTCTCCTTCTCCTTCTTCTTCTTCTTCCTATACTAAGGGATACAAAATGAGCAAAGTACATCATTCATACAAAAATTACAACAAAAAAGACTTCGAGATCAATTTTGAAACTTCAATTCAACATGATCAATGTCAATGACACATGTCATGACAATGTCAATGCAATGGCAAGATCTCACCTGGTATGCTTTCATTCGGCTTTCTTGATCAATTACTGGGTTCATTGTGACGTTGACTGCATCTATCAACTGCAATGTCTGCTCTTCCAGCTCCATGTTGAATGTTTTATTTCTATATCTTATAAATGACTAGCGATCTTTTCACAGGGTCACTGATTGAAATTAACACGCTCACACACACATTGACGGTACGAGTATGAGACTAGCTGAGCTGAGCCGGGATTTCATCGTACAACACGCCGCTTGCTCCGGGTCAAGTCTCTTCCGATCTTCGGCTATGCCTAGCCTGCACCTGTCGGCGCGCGCATGTCCACCACGCGCACATAGTACGGTGCCATTGAAGGAAAGAAAAAGAAGGGAGGTGGGAGGGGGTGGGGGGGGGGGGGGGGGGGCTTGGGTTTCTGATCCCCAATACATCATAAAAAGTTCGCGCAACCCCCCACCCCCCCCCCCCCCCCCCCCCCCCAAAAAAAATGAGAAAAAAGAGAAAAAATGAAAAAAGAAACAAGGGTAAAGAAAGAAAAAGAAGAAACAAAGAAAAGACAGTTTGAATTCCACGCTTTGTTTTTTAATGTACAGCATGCACTGTAGTTTTGTAGAACTTTTAATAGTTCATATAGTTCATTTGTAAACAAGATTTCAAGAAAAAAGCAACAGGAACAGCAGATTATAAATATCAGAAACATAATTTGAAGTGCAATATTAATATGCAACATATTCTATAACCAACAACTCTGCAGAAATTCTATAAAAATTAATTAGATCATGCTCTGTATAAGAAAGAGGAGACCTCGTAGAAGCTGGGCTTGTTACAGCAAGGTCCCCAAAGAGAATATAATACCTGAATGCTTTAATTACTTTGAAGAAAACACTAGAAATAATTACACATGGGAAATATATGAACAATAACAATATATAACAAAAGAGATAGATTGATGTATATATGAAAAGGAGAAAATGGGAAGATATATAAAAGGATGGAGAGCGGAAGCGCAAAACGAAATAAAACAACAATAGAGAAAAGTTGAGAAGGAAGAAAGTTATTTGTAGGAGAAATTAATGGTGATGGGGATCGAGAAATAGAAGAGAGAGAGAGAGAGAGAGAGAAAAGAAAAAGTACAATAGAGCAAAACACAACAAGCGAGTTTATAAATGAAAAAATGTTGGTAAGGTATAAGGCCTGGAAAAGATGGGGCGGGCCGGCCGGGGGGGGGGGGGTAGACAATGAAGCAAAAAAAAGTAATTACATACTATCATATGTGTCGACATAGTTTTTGCATTAAATATTTTCAGCATCATTACTCAATAAATGCGTTTAAAAACAGAGTCACTGAGAGAACGAGTTACATCGATAGTAAGTGAGTTCTAAAAATTCGGACCAGTAGAAGCTATAATGTATTCAACTTCAAAGCAAAGGCAGTTCTCAGTGGCGGATCCAGGATGGGGGCACGGGGGCCTGGGCCCCACCCCTAGCAAAAAAATATTTTGTTTAAATGGTAACGACAATTGTACCTTTAAAAAAAAGAGAAGAAAACGAGCCCCCATCCCTGGCAAAAAAAAGGAAGAATAAATATAACAAAAAGATGGTAACCACAATTTTACTCTTTTTTTTTTTGCTCAAGGAGGGAGGTGTTGAGTAATAGAAAATAGTGCTCACTGTTGAGAAAGCAAAAAAATAGTGATTACTACCCCTTCCCCACTTATGGGCCGCTAAATATTTTCTCTCGAATTGGGCCCCCTCCCTCGCCGCCGGCTGGATCTGCCCCTGGCAATTCTTTCACGTGGTGGTATATGAAGTGCAGTTGCCTGTCTTGTGAAACTGAATTTGATTGTTTTTCTAAATAATTGCATTTCCAAAATCATACATGATTGAGCCTAACTGCAAGAGATAGATCTCTTCTACCTTATTACTATGAAACAAACATTAGTAGTATATATGAGCACGATAATTTACATTAAAAACATTTCGATATTGGGGTCCATCTATTTAAAGGATGTATAAAGTCCATGACTCCATGCCCTCTAGCTCTAATAGCTGTAGAAATGCAATTTAAATTTTCATAATGACTCCCTTCCCAGATTCGTAACATATATCCCTCGAATATAAGAAATATTTGTTTGAATAACGAAATTATAGCAGATCACACAAAGAAATCAACCACTCTTCTTGTTTTGCATGTATTTTTCTAGACTTAAAAAGCAGTTGAGGGTATAATCATAGACCTACTAAGTCCATGGTATAATTAAATGATCATTTTTTTTCTCCATTTTATTCTATTTTGTTCGTGATTTTTCCTTATCTTTTTCTGTTCAATATTTCTGACATAAAGTTGTGTGGACCTCCATGTCATTCGGTACTGTTGTGGACCTTTTGTTGTTTCCCGCATTTCAATGCAAATCAAGAAGTTAGTAATCATGATTCATGAATATATCATATGTAGGTGAACATATATATATGTATCAAGTCATAGGCGCCGGAAGTGGGGGGGGGGGGGGGCAAAACGCATTTTTGCCCCCCCCCCAAAAAAAAAAAACGCCCCCCTCCCCCCCCCCCAAAAAAAATAACAGTAAAGGAGTAAACATGGTTTGTATTTTTAATCCAAAAGAACGTAACAATAATAAAAACCTGAATTAAATTACATATACAATTCCATTCAAAGAAAAAGGAAAGTTCACAGGAATTAAATTTCATAAACATTGCGCATGCCACCTATACGGTATTTATACGATACGCGCATATCGTGGACATAATTGTGCGAGAATGGGAAAGCGTGTCCGTTTTTTTGTTATAGGGGTGAGAAGACCCTGAACGCTGGCGTACTGATGGGGGGGGGGGGGTGGTGATGTATTTCTTATTCAAAACAAGTGATTTACAAATGTTGATGTTGTGACATGATTTTCCGGCATTTTTTCTCCATTTCTTTTGTAAGTCATATCTTTTTGTGCGTTTGTTGGAAAATAAGAAATTCCCAAATTACAGTCAGGAGAAATACGCTTAATTAGAAGCCTTTATGTCATTTTCTGCAAAGTGACTAAGCTCGAGCCCCCCCCCCCCCTCCTTTTTAAGAAAGTATGTTAAAGAGAAAAAGAAAGAAAGACAGAGAAAAAAATAAGTGACCTGCCAATGTCACAAATAAGGTATAAAAAATGTTCATCTGACCGTAATTAAATGCTTAAAACCCCAGAGCTTACGGGGGCTCCGCCCCCTGGACCCTACCAAGGGATAAGGCGGGCCCCTGGATGCTCACCTGACCGTAATTAAATACCTAAAACCCCTGAGCTTCCAATGGCTCTGCCCCCTGGGCCCCAACAAGGACTCTAAGGTGGGCCCCTGGATGCTCATCTGACCGTAATTAAATACCTAAAACCCTGAGCTTCCGGGGGCTCTGCCCCCCCCCCCCTGGACCCTACCAAGGGCCCTAATAGGCGGGCCCCTGGATGCTCATCTGACCGTAATTAAATACCTAAAACCCCCGAGCTTCCAGGGGCTCTGCCCCCTGGACCCCAACAAGGGCTCTAAGGCGGGCCCCTGGATGCTCATCTGACCGTAATTAAATACCTAAAACCCCTGAGCTTCCAGAAGCTCTGCCCCCTGGAACCCCACCAAGGGCCCTAAGGCGCAGGCGCGGATCCAGGGGGGGGCCGAGCGGGCCTTGGCCCCCCCCCCCCGCAAAAAAAAAAAAAAAAAAAAGAGAGAGAAGAAGGAAAAGAAGGGAGAAAGGGAAAAAGGAGAAAAGGGGAAAGAAAGAAGAGGAAGAAGAAAAGTAAAGGGGGAAGAAGGAGATCGGGGGGGGGGGCCGAAAGGGCCTTGCCTCCCAGGCTGTTAACCCCCCCCCCCCCAATCAAAAAAAAAATAAGAGAGAAGGAAGGAAAGGGAAAGGAAAAAAAAGGAAAAGAGGAGATACTGGCGTACTGATAGAGGGGGGGGGGGGGGCTTGGGGGAAATCAAGTTCAAACGTGGTTTATTTCTGATTCCACAACGGTGTATTACAAATAATGCTGAAATGACATAATTTCCGAAATTTTTCCTCACTTTTTAGTAAATTATACGTTTGTATGTGTTTGTTGGAAAATAAAAAAATTCCTAAATTTACAACCAGGCAAAAAATATGATTCTTGAGATTCCTACATGTTAGGGCCCGAGGTACGGCGGGGATCGAGAGCCTCGAGGCATCAAAATATGCTCATCTGACCGTGATTAAATGCCTAAAACCCCTAAGCTTCCGGGGGCTTTGCCCCCTGGATTCCATCTAGAACCCTACGGCGGGCCCTTAGATGATCATCTGACGGTAATTTAATGCCTAAAACCCCAGATTTTTTGGGGCTCCGCCCCCTGGACCCCACGCCAAAGAGTGACTTGCCAGTGTCACAAAATAATAAGTTATACACAAAAATATGCTCATCTGACCTTAATTAAACGCCTTAAACCCCTGAGCTTCCGGGGCCGGCTCCGCCGCTTCGACCCCGGCCACCTCTTTGAAATTCAGACAAGGATTAAGAGTATAGAGAACGGTACAACGCATCGTTTTCTTTCTCTAAAACGTCAAAGCCTCGCGCAGGAGGGGAGGAGGGGGGGGGGGGGGGGACTGAATTGAGACGAGGATTCAGAGGCGAGAACGGTAATACGAATCTTTAATTATTTAATGAAACGTAAAAGCTTATGCGCTTTGCGCGGGATGGAGGGGGAACTAAATTCCGATGAGGATTATTTTCGAGAACGGTACAATGAATCGTCTTCTTCTCTAATGATTAAATGAAGATTAAAAGCTTCCGCGCCTCGCGTGGGAGGGGGGAACCTGAATTCAGACGAGGATTAAGAGTCGACAACAGTACTGTAAAACGAATCGTCTTCTTTCTCTAATGATTAAATGAAACGTAGAAGCTTCCGCGCTTCGCGCAGGAGGGGGAGGGGGGGACTGATTTTAGACAAGGATTAAGAGTCGAGAACTGTACAACGAATCGTTTTCTTCCTCTAATAATTTAATGAAATGTAAAAGCTTCCACGCTTCGCACGGGAGGGGGGGCATAATTCAGACGAGGATTAAGAGTCGAGAACGGTACAACGAATCGTCTTCTTTCTTTAATAGTTTAATAAAACGTCAAAGCTTCCGCGCTTCGCGCAGGAGGGGGAGGGGGCTGAATTTAGACAAGGATTAAGAGTCGAGAACTGTATAACGAATCGTTTTCTTTCTCTAATGATTTAATGAAATGTAAAAGCTTCCGCGCTTCGCGCGGGAGGGGGGGGGGAACTGAAATCAGACGAGGATAAAGGTTGGAGAACGGTACAACGAATCGTCTTCTTTCTTTAATAGTTTAATAAAACGTCAAAGCTTCCGCGCTTCGCGCAGGAGGGGGAGGGGGGGGGGGGACTGAATTTAGACAAGGATTAAGAGTATAGAGAACGGTACAACGCATCGTTTTCTTTCTCTAAAACGTCAAAGCCTCGCGCAGGAGGGGAGGAGGGGGGGGGGACTGAATTGAGACGAGGATTCAGAGGCGAGAACGGTAATACGAATCTTTAATTATTTAATGAAACGTAAAAGCTTATGCGCTTCGCGCGGGTTGGAGGGGGAACTAAATTCCGATGAGGATTATTTTCGAGAACGGTACAATGAATCGTCTTCTTCTCTAATGATTAAATGAAGATTAAAAGCTTCCGCGCCTCGCGTGGGAGGGGGGAACCTGAATTCAGACGAGGATTAAGAGTCGACAACTGTAAAACGAATCGTCTTCTTTCTCTAATGATTAAATGAAACGTAGAAGCTTCCGCGCTTCGCGCAGGAGGGGGAGGGGGGGGGGACTGAATTTAGACAAGGATTAAGAGTCGGGAACTGTACAACGAATCGTCTTCTTTCTCTAATAATTTAATAAATCGTAAAATTTTCCGCGCTTTGCGCGGGAGGGGAAAAACTAAATTCAGACGAGAATTATTTTCAAGAACGGTACAACGAATCGTCTTCTTTCTTTAATAGTTTAATAAAACGTCAAAGCTTCCGCGCTTCGCGCAAGAGGGGGAGGGGGGCTGAATTTAGACAAGGATTAAGAGTCGAGAACTGTATAACGAATCGTCTTCTTTCTCTAATAATTTAATAAATCGTATAATTTTCCGCGCTTCGCGCGGGAGGAGAAAAACTAAATTCAGACGAGAATTATTTTCGAGAACGGTACAACGAATCGTCTTCTTTCTCTAATAATATAATGAAACGTCAAAGCCTGGGAGGGGGAAACTCGCCCCCCCCCCCGCATTACGTCACTGTTGGTCACCATAACGTACCAATATTTGGCTCGCATAATTTCAAATTTGGGCCCCCCCCCTAAGAAATCCTGGATCCGCGCCTGCTAAGGCGGGCCCCTGGATGCTCATCTGACCGTAATTAAATACCTAAAACCCCTGAGCTTCCGGGGGCTCTGCCCACTGTACCACACCAAGGGCCCTAAGACGGCCCCTGGATGCTCATCTAACCGTAGTTAAATATTAAAACCTCTGAGTTTCTAGGGGCTCTCCCCCCTTGGAACACGTCAATTGCCTTACAGAGGGCCCCTGACCGGATGCTCATCTAACCGTAATTAAATACCTAAAACCCCTGAGCTTCTGGGTGCTCGGCCCCCTGACCCCCGTCGAGGCTCATGCCCTGGACCCCACGCCAATTTACGCACTACCTGATCGATAATACTCCACTTTGAAAAACGTTCCGCGGGACCTGCATGTAACTGTAAGACTGGTGGTGATGCAGATATTTCGTCTGCCCGCCCCCCCCCCCCTTCCGAACTTTTTTTCTCATTACGTCACTGCCCCTGGAATGTGAGCCCCCTGGAATTTTTGCCCCCCCCCCCCCCCCCCCAATCCCAAACTGCTTCCGGCGCGCCTGTATCAAGTACTTTATTATTGATGTTGAGTGGAATAACTGAACCCCGGGAACTGAACTGAGCTTTCGGGAGCGGACTCGGGCTTTCTAGTACGACGATCAAAGATTCCTCTCTGATATTCCGCCATCTCTTGTTGAACTCGGGCCAGTGAAAAGGGGTTAATCGGAAAGAAAATGGCATCGCTTTCGCTGATATACTTCGGCGTGCCGTGAAGAAAAGTGATCATTTTAAACCTGTTTTCTTGTGAATGAAGCAGAATTCAACTCGAAAATGAGGAGAGGTTATTCTCGACCGCCCATGGGGCGAGGATATTCTGGAGGAGGTGGACGAGGGTTCGAGCAGCATCGAGGTGGATTTCGAGGTGCACCGAGACAGAGCTCGAGAGGCATCGACAGTGGTCATGGCGGTGGGGGTGCACATGGTGCAGGAGCAGGTGCCCATCATCGTGAGAGTAGCAGCGGCTACATGCGGGACCCTGGACCGTCTGGGACAGGGATGATCGGCATGCATGATCAAGCGATGGTCGGCGGTGGCACGCGCCCGTCAGATCCGCGGGACAGATCGAGGATAATGGGTGCAATGGATCATCCACAAATGGGACATGAATATGATGCGAGGGTGCAGGATAGAAATGTAGGAAATTATTCTGCAAATGCAGCGTATGATGTTGGCCAAAATTCAAGATTTAGGGAGCATGGGGAGCGGGAGAAAATGCACATAAGTAGACAGGGACTCAGTTCAGGGCCAGCAGTGCCAGGCCAAGGGGCTGGGCGAATTAGGGCGGGGGATTATTCAAGCCAACAATACACTGAACGAGGGCCAGGTGTTGGCAGGTTGGAAAGGGATAGTTACATGGAAAGAGAAAGAAAGCAAGAGAGAAGAGATTATTACCCAAATGTGGAGAGGGCAGATCGATTTAAATCAGATTTAAAGAGCCCAAATGAGAGTAGTCCAGAGTATTTTTCAACCAATTATCCAACAACCGAGTTGGAAGAGGAAGAATATGGAATGTACGATCAGAGAAGGGAATCTGAAGGGGGGCATAGGTCTAGACATGATAGAGGGGATAGTCCTGAACCGTACCCAGAAGACGAGTTTGAATACGAATGCGAGAATCCTGACACGCAGTCCGGTACTAGGCAACAATCTCAATCGGATATAGAATTGAGCCCTGGCCCTGATCATAGTGGTAGGAAAAGCAACATGTCTGATATTGAATTGACCCCTGATGAAAGGGGACAAAGGAGCAATAATTCTGATATCGATTTGAGTCCTGAGAGTGGTAAAAGGGGCATGAGGAATGAAGCCGAAGGCCCAAGGTCCAACAGGGATCTGCAAGATAGGAAAATGGATCGCACTCAAGGTGTAGATCCAGAGTCTCATTTGACAGAGGACAGAGATCCACATAGTGGAGGTTCTATACTTAAAAGTCACTCTGATGATAGAGGATTTGACAGGATGGCAAGGTCAGGTCCTGCATATGGAGAGAGAGCCATGGCGACCGAAGATCCTAGACAACGTGAATCTAGGTCGAGAAGTTCTTCCCTGCCAAGGGATCAACCTGCACCTGATCATAAAGGACGGGAAGCCAATGCAACAAGTGTGGTAATTCCTTATGTGTTCTGCACATGCGATTATTTATTAAGAATTGGAAAAATGAATGAATATTAGGTAGGGTCTAGAATGAATATTTTGAATCTTGAAAATATGTTACCCACTTATTCTATGTCATTGTTTGCTTTCATACAATTTGTGCAAGCTCTATTTTTTTTTAGTTAGAAAGGTGGATATGAATTATAGGAAAAGGTTGAAGAATTGTATTTGTGTTTAGATGTTATTTCATTCACAAATATGTTGTCTAAGGTTTTGAAAAACTTTTGATTTAGCTCGAGTAAAAAGCAATGTAGGAATTGTTACCAAGTGGGAGATAAAATTGATTGCAAAATGTGAAGTATATTTGTCCCAGACAACACTTCACATTATTCTCGAATGTTTTGAACTACAACTCATGAACTGTACCATCATTTGAGAATTTATAGGAAGATTGTATGTTATTCAACATGGTATAGATTTATCTTATATACTGGTAGTATGCAGATGGGCTTGTGAATGAAATGTTATTTGCCATGTTACATGTAGCTCAAGGTAGAGATCAAAGAATATCAGTCTGGATTTTCAATTCTCAGTAAGTGAAATGTGGTGTTTTGCAAATGCTTAGAAGATTCAGTATGTAGTATTTACATTATGTATTATTTCTATGTTGAATGAATTCTCAATTTGTGTGATTGATTGATTTTTACTGGCAGGTTGTGGATGTTTTATACTTTAGTAAATCTAGGTTTTTCAACTTTTTTTCATTCCAAATATGTTTTGAGGAAACAAAGTTGTATACAATTTATCTCTCCCTAGGTTACTCAATAGATCTACACTAGTGCTGAATTTCTTGATAAATGATGAGGGCTACTTTGATAAGGAATTGATAAAATATCTTTACTTTTCCATATTTTTAGATGTATGTGCATTGTACAGGTACATGTATTTGGTTTTCAAGCCCATTTTTTCTTGAAGTGGATGCATGCTTGATAAAGATTACATGTACATGTAGAATAGTAAAGAATTAAGCAAAGGGCAATCCAACCTTGTGAGAAGCTCATTTGCATGAAAGCATAAAAATAAGAGAAACAGAATGGCAGATGTCGGACGTAATTTTTTTTTCAAACCACACAAAAATTATGAATATTTGAGAAGTAAGTTCATTTCAATTCTCAAATTGGCGATTTATTAAGTGTAATTTTGACGAATGCACTGTCAACTCTCCTGTTTGTTTCTGTTCTCCTTCGCCCCTTCTCCCTTTTAGTTTTAGCTGTACTGAACATTTATTGTGTCATGTCATGTCATTATGGCAATAGAATATCATTATCCTCAGTAATACATTGTGTGTGTGTGGGGGGGGGGGGGGGTCAAATTTTAGTCATTGTATGTGTTGGCATAAATTGCTATTTGCTACGGCACTGCATCACAGTGACATTACTCAGTTTAGCCAAATTTAAAGTCTCATAAGTATAGGTATTATACTAGAAAATCATAGTTTTGAAGAAAAAAATTCTGATTTTATTCAAAACAATGTCTATCATCGATCTGCTTCTCTTTCGTTTTATCCTTTCTTGAAGTGCAATTTGCTCTTGGTGTTGGATTGCTGCTACAAAAGGACTCATATATGTAATTCTCACTATTTATAAAGAAAGCAATAGATTGCAATGCTGTTATCTTCAATCTCTCTTTACTCAATAGGAGTCGACTAAGCAAGAAGATCCCAAAACATCGCTTGTCATAACTGTCACCAATGACCAATGCCCAGGGAAAGAGGAAGGACCACCTTCAGCCATTGACCGCCTTGGACCTCCAATCCCTCAGATGAAAGATGCCTCAGAGAGACTTGGACCACCTGTCTCTGCTCCTGCAGATCGTCTTGGACCACCTGTCCCTTCTGCTCTGGGTGCTGCTGCTAATCGCCTAGGTCCTTCCGTGGTAGCTCCTGCGGAAAGGCTTGGTCCATCTGTAGCTACCCCTCAAGAGCGACTGGGCCCATCTCTTATTGCACCTACCGATCGTCTAGGGCGTCCATTGCAGAATTCCGCTGCACATCAGCAAGGAGTTGCTCCAGTAGCTGCTCCAGTAGCTGCCCCTCCTAAGAGGTCAAGGAGAAGAGAAAAAATTGTAGTTGATGAAGACTTTGATCTGTATTCTGATATTCCACCTCCAGAGAATGAGGAAGAAGTGTAAGTAAATGCCCTCTGAGTACAATAAGCTTTGGTTTCATTTGTTTGTTTTATTTATTGTGAAATCTGTTTTTTAAATTGAATAAATATACATTGAGTGACATGCCCATCTGTCATGTACAAACAAAATCTGAGCTAAAAATTTCTTTCAAAGGATCAATGTGCCTTCCTGGAAATTATATACTACTAGACAGCATTGTGAAGTCGTAACCATAGCAATGTTTATTTTATTGTGTTGTTTCCAGTATGTGTTCATTCCTTGATTGTAACGTGTGTAATACGATTTCATGTGATTGACTTGTTTCAGGATCAGTGTGAAAGAGCCAAAACAGGATCTCATCATCACTTTCCAAGCTCAAGACAAACCTGCGCCTGTTCCAACTGCAGCTCCAAAGATGTTTCCAGCAGCTCAGCTCATGACTGGTCCAGCTGCTCAGTCTCAACCAGAAGCAATTCCAAAGGTAGTGGGGCCACAGAGTGAGCAGAGCCATGAGAATACATTACAAGTGGCCTCTGAACCTGGAAAGGAAGTTTCATCAGTGTCTGTTGTAACTATCCCTAAATCCAAGTGGGAGAGTGATGAAGATAGTTCAGATAAACATCTGATTCTGGTACCAAAGTCTGCTAACACACCACAACCTAAAGCTGAGATATTGAAGAGTGTCAAAAAGAGAGATCCGTCTTTGCATATGGGACAAATTGTTAAGGATGTCAGATATAAGAAAGCTGATTCTACAAAAATTCAGGAGTTGATAGGTGAGAGTAAGCCAAAAAAAGAATCAAAAGACAACACTCAGTCTGATGATAAACAACATAAGTCAGAAACAAAAAAAAGCAAGCACAAAAGACGTAATAGGAGCTCGAGTAGTAGTAGGAGTAGAAGTAGGAGCAGGAGCAGGGATAGGGGTAAGAGAGAAAAGCATGGGAAAGATCGCAGAAGAAGATCTAGATCAGATAGTAGAGATAGAAGAAGAAGAAGATCTAGGTCAGATAGCAGAGAGAGAAAAGGAAAAAGATCTAGATCAGATAGTAGAGAAAGAGGTTATTACAAAACACGATCATTCAGGGGGAGGCCGGGGAGAGGAGGGAGAGGAGGGAGAGGTTCTTACAGAGGGGGAATGTATTTAGACAGTAGAGGTAGATATCATAAAGATTCTAGACACGACGATCGTAAAAGGAGTAGATCAAGATCTAGGTCCAGAGACAGACGTCGACCACGGTATGATAAACGCAGAAGTAGAAGCAGGTCTAGTTCCTCTTCATCATATAGTAGTAATAGCAGCTCAAGCTCTAGATCTAGTTACAGTTCCAGGTCTCGTAGTAGGAGCAAATCGCCCGAGAAAAGTAAAAAGAAAGTGAAAGATCCTAAGCAAAAGGGTGATGAGAAAAGTAATCGGAAAGAGGTCGAAAAGTTGAAGTCTGAAGAAAAGTCTGCTGACAAGGTCAAAGAGTCTGAACCACCTAAAGAAGCAGCAGAGAAAACTTATGATATATTCAGTGGAGAACTTGTTAAAGAAAATCCTAAAATAGAAAAGAAAGAAGAGATTTTTGCAAAAGTTGGGGGACTGCCTGATCCTCTCGGATTAAAGCAACTTACAAAACCAATGAAAAGCAAGATATACTCTGGACCAATCTATGATATGCCTCCACTGACCGTAACTGCTGCAACTGAAGCGGATTCAAAACAGTCGGCTCCTTTGCCTCTTGCTGCTGCAAAGCCTTTGAAATCAATTCTGAAAAAGAAGAAGAAAGCTTCTGATGTGCAAAAGGAAGAGGCAACTGCAAGTAATGCTCCAGACTCGCGGGCACCGGCACCAGTAAGCGCACAACCTGCCCCAACTTCAAGTGCTCCTGATTTGGCTCAGTTGTCTTCAGTACTAGCAAACCTTATTCCTCAAGGAGGTAACCAGAACTCCCAGTCTTTGGTTACTCTCATCTCTGCAATTACTGCTCAACAACAGCAGAAACAAGAGCAAGAACAACAGCAATTGCTACAACAACAACAGCAACAACAACAGCATCAACAAAACCTTATACAACAACAGCTCCAGCAGCAATTACTTCTTCAGCAACAACAGCAGCAGCAACAACAACAGCAACAACAACAGCAAAGTCTGGGTTTCTTTAACTCACAAAATACCACAAATATTCCTGGTTTGGGGAATCAGTCTGAGTTCCCAGTAGGCAGTCAAGGCCTGTTTTCACTTGTTGGTGGTCTTGGAGGACAACAATTTTCATCTATACCTGGTCTTGAGGGAGGTTATAACAACCCTCAAGGGCTAGGAACTGGAGGTATAATGACTTCATCTGCTACTGGTCTTGGAGGTATACCTTCAGCAGCCTTGAATTCGTCAATCCCAGGACTTGGAGATGCTAGCCAGAACACACAGCCACAAACATCTCAACAATCTAATCATCTAGCATCCATTCTACAGCAGTCTGGTCTAAAGATGACACCAGAGTTGTCTGCTGTTCTTGGAATGAAACAGCCAGACCAAACTCCAGCAGGATTCAGTGCTCAACCAACCTTCCAAAGTGGTGCGTTGCCACCTGCACAGAACATACCTTTCCTGTCAGGGGCGCCGGCAGTGACAGAAGAAGAAGATCACTTCTTATATGGTGAACCACAGCAGGGATTACAGTATGCTAACCCAAATCAATATGCAGGCCAATCTCAGGTTCCATTGACAAGTCAAGGGCAGTTCAACTATCCCGGACAGGTGCAGGGATCAGCACCAGACGAATATATCCCAGAGGTTAAACCTGTAACAACACAAGCTGACCCCTCGGTAGACTCTAACCAAATCCAAAAGATTCTCTCCGCTATTGGCTTTGACTTTGACATGGCCAAAAAAGTTCAACTTGAGAAGACGCTAGGATTGCATGAAACACCTGTGGAACAGCCATTGCAACAGCCACTGCAACAGCCACTGCAACAGCCACTGCAACAGCCACTGCAACAGCCACTGCAACAGCCACTGCAACAGAGTGATTATGAACAAGTGTCAGAGTATGTTAGTGCACAGCGAATCCAAGCTCAGCAAATTCAAACTCAGCAAGCTACTCAAATAGAAGGGTCTGCCGTTGCTTCAACTTCATTGCCTGATTATAAGATGGAAGGTTTGAATCAAACTGCTTCATTCCTTGATACTGGACTACAAGTACCAGTAAGCGCTACTGAGGAAAAATCTGCCAAGAAACTAAGTAAGAAAAAGAAAAGGAAATTAGAAAAGAAAAAGGTAAAGGAAGAGAAAGCTGCGTTGAAAGCTAAGTCTTCTGATATCGAAAAACAGCCCACTAAGAAGGGACACCAAGAAAATCTGGAACAGAAGGAAAAAAGAAAATCTGACAAAAGTGGCTCCAAGAGTCCTCTCACAGAGCCTATCAGTGATGATGAGCTTGAACAGAGTACACCCAAGAAACATCCACAGTATGCTGATCTCGCCAATATCAAGATAAAGGTTGCCCAAACACCTTCTTCATCAAGATCAGAATCAAACCGGAGGATAGTGTTGCTTCCTCAAAGACAAGAGCACCCCGAGTTTCAGGAGGAGAAGAGGCATGTCTCCATGGAACCAGCTGGAGGAAAATGGCCAACACATGAGAAGCCATATCAAGGAGATGATTACTACAAACAGCAGGAATGGCAGATGAAAGAGCGTAGACACATAGAGGAACAGTTGAGGTTGGAGATGCAAATAAAAGAAGAAAAGGATAAGGAGAAAAGGCGAAAGGACATGCTGAAGAAGGAACAAGAGTGGCTGATGAGAGAGGTGGCCTTAAAGACGATGGAAGAGAAAATCAGGAGGGAAGAAGAAAAGCTACTTCAAGTCAAGGTACTGAATAAGCGTCAGGAAGAGAAGTTACGAAGGGAGGAGGAGAAGCTGATACATGATTGGGAATTAATGAGGAGACAGGAATCAAAGAGGAGAGATGCGGAAAGGGCCAGTGAAGCAAGCAGGCAGCAAAAGCTTAGAGAAGAAAAAGACAGGATCCAGAAGAAGTTGGGACTTCTTGAGAGAGCACTTGAATCATTGAAGAAGCAGCAAGGAGATCTAATGAGGCGCAAGCAGCACACAAAAGATGGACACAAAGATCCCCAGCTGCTGCAAAACGGCAAACTGCAAGATGAGATTGCTGACCAGATCAGATCTCTGAGGAAAGCCTATGCAGATGTTGGCACCAAAGGTCATGACAGGGATGCAGAGAAGAGTAGCACAGAGAGCCGGGAAGGAAAGGAGCGAAGGAGCGTGTCCACTGACAGGTCGAGCGGTAGTAGAGATGATCGAGATGGAGAGAAAGGGAAGGTATGTTGTCATTTTATCTTCTCTTAATTTTGTGTTGAATGTGCAGTAATAATGTAATGTGTGCAAATAAGGGGGTAGGGGTGACAGTAATATTCCTTGAAAAATTCAGTGTTCATCTTTGCAATACAAAATATTTATTAAATATTCCTTGAAATTCAATCTTGAGTAATTTATTTTTTAAGTCGTAAGAGCATGTGAATACGTTAGCAACATTTATTGGATTAAAATTTTATTTTACAGGATTTTTGTTATAGAAACAAATTTTTATATCGGACCCAGAAAACGGCAATCAGTTCATGTTGTGTTTTCCATTTTGACTGAGACGAGTATAAACAGAGACAGCTAGGATGGAAAGTAACGAAGGAACATGTCCACTGATAAATCAGCTGTCAGTGGACAGAAAAAGACCCCTAAAATTCACATCTGTCTATTTTTTTTATATATGCAAACAACCTTATAGAAAATTAACTGTTTTCTGTAAATTATAGAAACATTTGATAACATGTATGTCTGTTCCTTGTCCGCAAAGGGGCATTTCCAGCAAAGACCAAGGAGAGCTATTTGATGGAAATGAAAGAAGGTAAAATGTGTACATCGTGTCATCTTGCAGAAGGTTTAAAGAACAGGTAATGCACTCTTGTGTCAATATAATGATTTTCAGCTACATTTTTTAAAACCTGTAGGATCACCCTTTTTAAAAACTTTTGACTGAATTTGATTTAGGGGGGGAAAAAAGCCTCTATACAGTGTGGAGGATATCACAAGTATTTTTTGCATGCCAAGTTTAAATAACGGTTGACTTTGCCATTTGCTAAGGGTGATCCTACAAATCACCAGAATTTAAGAGTTTCCTGTTCATTAAAGTATCCCATCAATTTACCACCTCCATTTCTCTGACATTCTCAATTTTTTTCCTTCTTTCTATCCCATCTTGTAGAGTTCATCTTCGTCCCACAGCAAGCGCAGCTCTATTGACCGGAAGGAAGAGAAAGAGAAGGAGAAAGAGAGCAAGGCTCGGTTCCAGTTCACCTACTTTGACAACGGAGACCATTGGTGCAAAGTTTGCCAGAAGGCGCTGCGAAATCTCAATGAGTTTTTCATTCATCTCCACTCAAAGAAACACATGAAGGTGAGACCATATAGATATTGTTTGGAACCTTTATAGAATTCAATTGTTTGAAGAGCTTCTGTAAGTATTCATTTGTGTCTTTGATTTGGTTGTGCAATGATTTTGTTCATGCCTCATTTATTATATATAAGCACTTAAAAAGGTTTAGACATTATTGTATTTGTAATGTTATCTTGTTATTTTTAGGCATATACAGTCATACCTGTCCAAGTGGCTAACTTTCTAGAAAATGCTACCTACTTTTACTTGTACATGTTATCAGTATGTTCTCTCTCTGAAAAAATATGTGTTGTAGAACTTGTATAGAAAGACCATTCGTTTCTGGTGGGCACCTTCTCTCTCCCTTAAATGGCATTTGTAGACAGGGTTCAATTATATTTAATATGAAAAACAGAAACAAAAATATCATTACCTTTGAGAAATTCTTTATTTCGAAGGTATTACATCTTGAACTAGGTTAATAAGTTTCTGTTTTACAGTTTAATATATTGATTGATCTGAATGGTATGTTTAGACTGCAAACATGACCCTTGCCTTTTTTGCACAAGGACTAGTAAAGTAGTAAGGTATAGCTGATGTCCTCTAAGCTACTCTACATTTGGCTTAGATAAAGTCAAAACTTTCATGTTTTTCATAAAATGTTCAATCAGGAACATCTTTAATAAGGTAGATCTAAATCTTATTTGGACAGTTGGCTTGAAATCTTGAAATCCCAATTTTTATCATTGATAATGGTTTGTTTTCACTCTAAATCTTTAATCGTACATCTAGCATTGAAGTCACTACCTTAGCACCATTTTATCTCGTCTTGAACAATGTTACCAAGTCCCTTTAATTTATAGAACTGCAACCTTTTAAAAGTGAGAATGGTTTCCTTCAGAGTTCCCCATAAGGCACGCATGATAACTAATGAGAGAGGATGGTTGTATTTTTCAGCTGATTGATCCTATGGATAGACCATGGATGTCAAGTGATGCCAAATCTGAGAAGTCTGGACCTACTGAGGGCCTCCTTCCTGCACCTGTCAAAGGTAAGTTCTTACAAAGGAATGTCTATCAAAGCATCCTTTATGATAATTGATCATAGTCTTGTAAAGTTGGAAGAGAAGTAGTGTTGATGTTGCTTAGAAGTATCGGCTTGCATGGTGATGTAGATATACAGTAGGCTTGTGGAGGGGGAGGATTGGGAGTATCGTTGTGTGTACTAAAAAGATAGTTGTAAAAATTACTGTGCATTGTATCTTCTGCTTTGCACACGTTAGGAAGAATGTGTCCTTTGAAAGATATAATTTCAAATATTGTTATAGAATTTGTCTGACATTTATCAGGACATTCATTTGAATCTAAAATGATAAAATGCCCATTGAATGGTCTTGATTTCAGTCAAATCTGTGACTGAGTGTTCCATTGTAGGATTATTCCTTGAAATGCGCTGATAATTGCTGCTGGATCGAAAGCTAGGGTAATAATTTCCTAAGCTCTTTGGAAGCGCATAGAGACGTTATATAATCATAATGTGATATGCACTATACAAGAATCAAATATTATTATAATTTTATTTTATGTGATTTTGAACGAGAAATTGTTGTTATTTTGTTATCAGGCGCAGAGTTTGTGATGCCAGTGAATGGATTCTATTGTCGTCTGTGTAAGGTGTTCCTTGGTGACGGAATCTGTGGCATGGAGCACATGAAGGACCCAAGTCACAATCTAGCATATCAGGTAATTATATATTCTTGTCTTGAAATAGTAGCCAAAAATAATGCAGGTTATGACTTTATTGATGTACAGGTGACTATTTGGGTTTGTCAAAGCAATTCAGTTCTAAGTGGATTGTTAAGTAATGAAATATTACAAGACAGAACAGGGCAATGATTCTCAATGTGCAGTAGAAACGTGTAATGAAGAGCTCTGATAAGATAGAAGATACCTGATAGAACAACGTAATATGGTCCCAATGTTCTTGTTATAACAAGATTCCTCTGTATAATAATAATAATAATATTTAATTTTTATATAGCGCTTAATACAAATGTCTCTAAGCGCTTTACAAATATACAGATTGTCATCATACGTGACTTCATTAAAGGGGGTTAGCCTGTAGTGTGCCTTGTGGAGTTGTGAGTGGTCCAAATCAAAATACTCAATCAATAATAAGCCATGGCTTTAATTGAATAACTAGCAGATTTGGTGATCAATTTAGATCAATGGCAGCAGGACCTTTGAATGCCCGAAAGCATCATTTTGTTTTTTTTTCTGTAAAAGAAAACTTACCGGTATACTAACTGCATTCTGAATCCTAAAAAAAATTACTGAATAGTTCCCTGTATGTGCGTAAAAAAAATGTGTGAAAGAAGCAGAAGAGTAATTTCTTTGCAGTTTACCTATAAACAAATTAATTTTTTATTTTTATAGAAATTGTTAGATGAGAACAAGTTGTATGACAAACAGTTGCAACTGGAGAAAGCTGCATCTTCAGCCAACGCACCCATTTTCAGCAGGGAAGAAGAAGATGGAGAGGGGAAGGCGAACACCAAGAGAAAAGCTGAAGAGGGACCCGAAGACAAACCTAGCAAGCAGATAAAAAGTGAATCTCCCGATGTCAAGGTTTCATTGAAACCGTCTGGTGGATTTGGAAAGTTTGAGTTTAGCAAGGAACATGGACCTGCTGTTCCACCCCCAAAAGCTGCCCCTGAAGTACCCTTGGAGCTGAGGAAAAACACCAGTCAAGGCAGTAGTGATGCCACTGCAACGAAAGATCCTAACAAATTGAGCATCAAGCTGGGCTCATCTAAACGCCTGATTCCATCTGCTCTGTTGCGTGCTAAAGCTGCCCAGGCGACATCTACCACTACTGCTGCTGAAGCTGTAGCAGCTACAACTGCAACAGACCCTGAAGCTTCAATAACAGTTAGAGCCAGAACAACAAGATCTTCAACGTTGGCCCAGAGGCCACTGCCCATGATTGGTAAACGACCAACTCGTCGGACCAGGGAACAGCCCAAAGAGCCTCCTGCAGAAGAAAGAATCCGTCGTTCTTCCCTGGATGATTTCCTCCTAGGCTCTGGTGGAGAAGCCCTCCCAGTGATCAGTGATGTCAAAGAAGAAACCCCTGTGAAGAAACCAGAAGAAGAGGAGAAGAAGGCTGAAGATTTTGTGCCGAAGGAGATCGACATCGCTAGTGCGTTCAAGAGTATTGCAGAGTTTGGTAATCCTGAAGAGATGGAGTTCATTCAGATTGATGAAGCATCAGATGATGAGCTAGTAGAGATGCCAGAGATACCGGGAGGTGAACAAGAGGAGAACAGCAGCCTACCAGCACCGATACCTCCACCGCCTGCCAATTAGCTCCACTATACAATTGCTTTGGGTAAGAAGACATACTGTACTTCAATATCAAATTTCATAGTTTTTTTTATTTTCAGTTTTTTAAGAGCTTGGGAATCTCTCAATTTAGTTGGCCTGTATTCTCTCTTTGTCTACTTTGTAACCTCTCTATATGAACTTGTGTACATGTATGTATTTAAACAGAGCTGCCAACCATTCCGTTTTTGCCGGAATTACTCTGTTTTTTACTCCAAATTACGGTATTACGTTTTTTCTTCATAAAGTACGTTTTTAAATAATTTTTTTTTTTTTTTTTTTTTTACATACCGCACGTCAAACAACTGCCCTAAAATGATGATTGATCACAAATTCAATAAAAAATTAATTTCAAAACATACTTGAAGAGAAAAATATTCTCCAAAAAATTAAATGCCGATAATACCAAAATAACCACCAAAAAAATTACCTGCTTGTATGGAAAAAACAACATGATGAATGAACATTTCTGCATTGGAAGTGTGTCACGTTTTTTGTAAGTTTCATTTTTATGAATTCCTTTTTTTTGCTTGAAATTCCTTTTTTTTGCCATCATGATTCCTTTTTTTGGTCGTACAAGGTTGGCAGCTCTGATTTAAATGAACACTAAAGAATCGTCCAGTTGCTCCTACAACATCTTGATTGTAGGACGGGTTATTAATAGAATTCATCATTATTCAAAGAATGATGCTATCCATTATTAGAAATTTCACGACATAGAAATACACATGTATGAGAATCTGTCCAGTCATATAATACATGTAGTAGCAAGACAACCAGGCAATTAAACTTTTTCCAGCTATACGCTTCAAATGAAAATTCTTGCTGAGTTTTTTATATTTGTTTTCAAACACACCTTAGACAAAAGCATTGAAGAAAGCAGCATAATTTCCAACATGTTGTTGTTGTTGAAAATTTAACAATTTAACGCTTCTATCTATTCTACTTGGCTAGAGGTAACATTCTAGGACATGTCCTTGTCGTGCAGCCTGACATCCAACGTTTTGTTGGTTTGTTAGACTGCCTCTGTACACCTCACCTGGCCATAGAGTAATACAGAGGTACATAGTACCAGTGTAATGATGTGACATCTCATGTTACCAAACATTCATTGGCCTCCAATCCCTCTGACATTCACTCTTACAAGTGTTTCCCCCATATTGTTCGGTTTTGGTCACATTTCATGATTTTATGACCAAGAGAAAAAATTCTATTCAATTTTAACGAGTTGCTAAAATAATTCTTTTGTATTCATTGTCTTGGATATACCAGAATACTGGATGAAATGTATCTTCTGGAAAGTGTTTATTCTTCATGGTATCAGTTAACATTGGAAACAAACATTTCAGAATTACAACAGCGCTGGGTGAAGTTTAATACCTTTGAATAATGTTAATTCAGCATCACCACTAATTTGTATTTCATGTTTCCTCCAAATAGATCACAAACGGAGGTGTACAGAAGGAGACAGAAGGTTGCAGATGACTGGAGTTTGCCTGGACAGTAGATTACGGGGATGACGATCGTGTGAAGTCTCATCTTCAACTTGCACCAGAGAGGAAGAGTTATGATTGATTGTGAAAGTCTATGGATATTCCAGTCGGAAAAAGGAAAGGAGAAATGAGTTGATCATTATTTCATCTTTTATTGACAAATTTGTTTGTTACTTGTAAATTATCGATTATAGTTGAACTTCATTGGGTTACTCTCAATCCAGGTTTAACAATGGTACCTAGTAGAAATCAATTCTGTATTGCTTTTGGCACATTGCAGCAGCTTGGCTAAAGCCTAGGTAATAGTACTACCATGTAGGTGCCTTTAGCATCATGTGGGATAAAAATATGCACATAATGAATGTAGTTTTGGGTGTCATTCGTCATTGTTACTACCCGTCCAGTAGATAGCTCCCCTTGTCAGCGGTATATTTTAATGCATGTTTTTGTTTAGTGTTCAAGGATATTATTATGTAATATAAGGATGGTGTTTATACTCTGCACATTGTACTTGAAGTAGTTACATTCATGTTCTCTGCTTCTCTCTAACAAAGGCATAGAACGGTTTTGTATATTCTATTTTATTAATAGATTCCATATTTGATAAAGGAGTATTTCAAATGGATTTTAACCAAGGTATTTCTAAGCCAAGGCTTGGCATTTAAGGGGTTAAAGAAATTTCAGAACCAACATGGGCACTATTTGATTCTGTTCTTGTCAATAGTACATTCAAGTGAATTATGTTTACTAATCCAATCAAAAACATGTTTTGTATTTGTACATATCATTATTACATAAAAAATAGTGTAAGCTATCTTATTCATGTTTCTAGGTTATTGTGTATTTTGTGCTGCGTAGATGTAGGTTATGTAGCTTAGTTTGCCATACCTCTGGACACACTTATTGGAGGGCATTGCATCTATTCCTGCCTGTTAGAAGTCATCTTTTCAGCCAACGCACCCATTTACACTAGGGTAGAAGAAGATGAAGAGGGATAGGCGAACACCAAGAGAAAAGATGAAGAGGAACCTGAAGACGTCATCTTCTCTTTGCTCGGCTTGAAAGGAAGGACAACGACCCTGTTGATGCAAGTTCTGGTTTTATGGAGATCAATCAGTATTGGAAGAGACTTGTGCTTGTTCATCATCATCATCGCATCATTTTGATGCTGTTCATGTTATAGTGATCAGTTTCATTTTTTCAGGAATGCCCGTCTTTATCCATGGATGATTCTTGCAGAAATGGCCAATGAATTGCCGATGAGGATGTGCATGTATTACAGAAGTCAATGTAATATCAAAATACAAAATAACTTGTTCTACAAACAAAATGAAAACCAAAATATTCAACAGTTGATATGTACGTTGTAAGAATTTCCATTTGAAAAGTTTTAAAATGTCATAATACACTATGTTTTTACCATGTTGAGTAATTTAGTACATGTAAGTATAGATAAGATACATGCATGTATATTATTGTACTAAAATATTTTGATGTAACCATTATGACCATTTATGTATGTTGTTTATAACTTTATATTGCATCATGCATACATGTACAATTTTAATCATTTGTGTTTAGAATGAATTGTATTATGGTTATCTGAATAGGCATTTTACTAGTTGCTCTCTCAAGTAGTGAGTTTTAATTCGTAATTTTGATAAATGATACACCAAGTCATATGAGTTAATCAGAGTTTGTGGTTAACTTGACTCTTTTCAGAGTGCATACACAAATAAGTCTTCATGCTTTAGGCATTAGAACTTATAATTTTTGGGGATGTAGATTCACTTTCGTTTCTTCCATGTAGTTTTGCTTGTTTGTAGTTTGAAGAACTGAGATTGCATTTTGTAAAAGATTCGTAATTAAAACATTTCTAATTACAAACCACTTTCATGTACATAAAGTATCATTGCAAAATTACAAATAGTTGGGAAAATTATTCAAAAGCAGTTTCAAGCTTTTTCCTCATCTACTTCTGTGTGCCACACAGCATAAGCACTAATTTTGAAACAATCTAGGATTATGTTTTGTAAATGTATAGAGAAATGCAAGATTGTAATGGTGATGGAGAAGTATTGTTCAGAGAGAAAGAGAGAGATAGAAAAAGTGAGAAAGAAAGTAGAGATAGATCTATGGAGTTTGTCTGAAGCAGCCATGAAAGATTTACATATCTTTTCCCTCCATTTGGTCGAGGAAAAAGGGTGTATGCAGTTTTTTTTAATTGCAACAGGGGAAGAATTGGAGGTCTGTGCTTGGCTGGAGCAACTTAGCGGTCGCTTGTCTTCTGGTTTTTGAGGTTGAATATATCTTGCAATTGCCATGGCCAGAGGATAGGGTGGTCTGCTTTCCGTAGGCAATGGAACATTTGAGTATTGTCATATTCTATGAGTTAAGTCAGAAGACAAGGAGAAATAGCTTTTACTTCATTGGTTGTTCCATATTGACTTTGATCACCACCTTTGATATGTACACTGTACAGTCAGCCTGCTTTAGCAACCACCTGTGTAGAAAGACCACATTTACTGTCTCGCTTGAATAGTGTTTACAATTTGTAAGAGACTTGTACTGAAGGAACCTATACATAAAGACCACATTTCTTGTCTCCCTTGAGCGGTCTTTATATGCAGGTTTGACAGTATAACTGAAATGAAGGAGTTCAGTATTTTGTAAATGCAGTCAGTATTTTCTATGTCTTTTCTTCTTTCCTGTAAGTTCTGTCTCGTGGGAATTTAATTCACACAGGTATGATCATGTTTAGATCTGCCATTTGTTTGTAATCATTGATTTTTAACAAAAGGTAAGTAGTGAGATGTTGAAACAGTAATCGTGTAATGTATGATAGTATGTATCATAATTTGATCACTGTCTGATCAACCATGGGTTACCAGTAATCACAAGATTTAAATTTTGTATAAACATCGATTTAGTATTTGAGTAATTGATCTATAAAGATGTATGTACTTTAGATATAAAATCTATTTTTAAGGATTTGAAAAAATACTTATCCTTGTATTAGAAGTTTGTTGATATGCGTGTTTAAATATTCATCTAAACCTTGTCAGTTAGCACAGATATAATCCCAGTGAAGATTTGGAATTTCACACCAATTATTTGCATCATAGTTTTGCCAAGAATGATACCGTAGTTGCAATGTCATTTGTGTGCAAAGAAAGGACATGTAGATCATGTTTTGTACATGTATTATAATTGACGTCATTCTTCTGTAGAAAGATTGATCTGTTCTACACACCGCCCAGCAAATCATTATGTGTAAACTCTCTTTTTTGGCAGATTGCAATGATCCAAAGAGCTAATTTGGTATTGATTTTAAGGAGGAATGATTTAGTGTACATAGAAACTCTGTAAAATGTCCAAATGCTGTTTTATTTCTCAGACCATTTTACAAAGTGAATTACTCCAGCAAATGCAGAGATGTGCTGCACTTGTTTTGATGGACAGTGAAGAAAGTCGACTTTAAAAAAAGGGACGAATGAGTCAGAATCTAAACATTTGCTTATACATGTACTCCCTTTCCATCCCATCCCTTCCCTCCCTGTTCCCTCCCTACCCTCCCTGTTCCCTCCCTCCCATTCCTTCCCTCCCCTCCCCATTCCCTCCCTACCCTCCTCATTCCCTCCCTCCCCTCCCCATTCCCTCCCTCCCCTCCCTCCCCTCCCTCCCCTCCCCATCCCTTCCCTCCCCATTCCCTCCCCATTCCCTCCCTTCCCTCCCTCCCCTCCCCATTCCCTCCCTCCCCTCCCCATTCCCTCCCTCCCCTCCCCATTCCCTCCCTCCCCTCCCCATTCCCTCTCTCTCCTCCCCATTCCCTCCCTCCCCTCCCCATTCCCTCTCTCCCCCTTACCTCCCCTTTCTCCCCCTTTCTTCTATCCACTCCCCCTCCCCTCTACTCCTCCGTTCCCTCCACTCCCCTTTACCTACATTCAAGTTGTGAATGAATTTCTGTTTTTGTTTTTTTTTGGTAAGTGCAGGAGCTTTATATACATGTTTGGAACTTCATCATGGCTTTGGGGTTGAATAGTTTCCTCTTTTCAATTTAGATTTAATTATGGATGGTATTTTATATGTCACCTGGCATCTGTAGATGTCTTTGCTGTACATTGGAGCTCAACACTTATTTGCATTAAACTGAATGTACATATCAAAATCCATTTCAGTATCTCTTTTTGTATGAAGTCCAGTCTATGTTACCCATTCTAGATTGTGATGTGTTGGGCGGTAGTTAATGAAGGCACAGTGTAAAAGCATGAAAATGGATGAGCAAGATCTGTCAAAATACCCAATCAACTGGTTTCTTTTTTGCCTTGCTTGTTACTAAGCTCTGGCATATTTTGTAAATATTTTACTAAATACATGTAGTTTCATACAAGAATGCAGAGAGAGAGAGAGAGAGAGAAAGATCAAGCCGAGAGAGATGTAAAGAAGGTTATGTGGAGATGAAGTAGCAATATAGATCGAGGGAGAGAACACTGGGGGTAAAAGAGCTGGAGTTGCAGATGAAGAGGAGAATACATTTACTGCAAGGGTTCATTAGCTTGTCCCAATGAAATTCACTTATCCCATTCACAGGATTAGTTTGTACAGTACATAAGTAAAAGAGAAAGATGGAGAGTGCATATTTTCTACAGAGAATGAATCCATAGAAGTTTGTGCGTAAACCGAGGACGGGGATAAAGAAATTTTTTTGTTCTTTTTTTTTAATGAGAAGAGATCAACATTCTTAGGAAAACAATGGCATAGAAATATGAGGATGAGATTTGATACTTTTCAAAGAACACCAGTTTTAACCAAATTGAAATTGTTATATTTTGGAGAATGCAGGAAAAGTCTGAAAGAACAGATAAGAAGAGATGAAGTACATACAGTACTAACTTTTTGGAGAGGGCTATATGGCAGAGAAAGACCCCAAGAAGACAAAATGAAAACATGAGAGCAAGATTTTAGCAAAGATATGTCGAGATAAAGAGAAGACCTGGGCCTCGTCTTTGTTTGAGATTGCTAGCAACCGCATCTCCTATCTCTTTAGTACAGAGTTGCGATTGATATCGATAAAGTATTTGTAATTTCTTTATAAATCGAGGCCCGGGAGTAGCTTTATGTTTAGTTGTGAAAGAAATGCATGCATGTGGAATGAGATTATACACATGTATGTATATATTATTCTTGTCTTGATGTTTCACCCCCTATTTATTGGACACTTTTAACAAATTGGAATCTAATTTTGTGTGACCCACTATACTGTAGAGCCAAGAATTGACACACGACCAAGCATAAACTTGTGAATAACAATATTTTATTCTTTCAAAATTGGCCATGCAAGATCACTACACCATCCCACTCAAATACAATACACATACCTGGGGGTGTTTCACAGAGATCTGAAGTCGAACTTGACTCTAAGAGTCCAACTTAGGATCTTAGTGAAACACCCCCCTGAACAGATAAGATATTACTAAAAATGTGACGTTACTTTCCTAATAAAGCGACATAACGGAAGAATACAACAATGTATAATGTATATAAGTACTTTGATCTTTGCAGGTTTTTCTATCCCCTTCCAACTCATTTTCTTAGATACAAAGGAGAGCTGCAAGCTTCATTGTTATGCAGTAGCCCTCCTACATTGTATAGATCAGCATTTGGACTTTGTTTCACATGTTCCACTGCTGTACTGTACGAGAAACGTATCAAATTTACATTGAAATTGTAAGTTTGAAGAAAAAAAAAGATATAGCAACCAATATAAATCATATATTGTAAGATTCATATAATTTATTATTTAAAACCCCACAAATCCAGAAACGTGCACATGGACGAAACATTCCAAAATGTCGCGAGTTTTTCAGATTTCACAGGATGACTGGGAGAATTTTCAATTCATTGCGGGCAGAATTTTTAATACTTTTTAAAAGGTATAGGAGAATCTAAAATATTTGGATTAACTTTAGTGCACTCTTTTAAGCTCCTGAACTTCTACTGTTTTCTCCTGTTCGTGGTTCATTTCTAGATGTGATGTTTGTATTTTCCAGGTGAATCGTGATTAAATGGCATACTCAGTAGTTTTTCAGTCTGATCATTGTCTTTGATTGGCACTCTACAAGTTCCTGGATTGGATAGGATTTAATTCAAACTTCTAAATATAACTATTTTCACTCTTACTTAATAAAACATTTTATCAAGAAAGACACTGGCTGCAAATTAAAACAGATACAATCATCTCATAAACAAACATCTCATATATATACTTGATCAGTGCATTCCATTTAACCAAAGCACAAAAATAAGTTATTAGCAAGGAAAAAGACTATAATAAAACTGTAGAAAACAACTGAAGTCTAATTTCTAAATCAGTTTATTTTCCTACTATGTGTGCATACACAGAAGTTTACTGATTTGACCCATGACATGATTTTGATACAACACACATTTTCATATACTATCGCCCAAGTTATCTAAGTTTGGTATTCATTTGGTACCTTAAACCATAACTTTAAACAAAAAGTAAAAAATTAATTAAAATCCTTAAGTGCCCAGTTGAGATAAAGCATAAAATCTTTCAAAATAAATGTGTACATAATTCACAAAAATAAGTCCTGGATCATATCGCATAATATGATTTGCAATAGTTTACTAGATATACACCATACCCTTCAATGTCAGAAATGGAGGGGGGGGGGGGAAATTCCATCTAATTATTGGAAGTTGGAAAAAGTAACATATTATTTAGGTGGTTTCAATCATAATAAAAAAAGACAATGAACTTACAAACCAAAACATATGTCCTATTTAATACCAACTGAATAAACTGATAATATTAAACATAAATATGACTTTCTTTCAAACAGATTGATAATCGAAAATACCGGTAATATCTCTAGTGATATTCGTTTGTCTCGCAATGTATGGTCAAAAAGGAATCTAAAAGATCACGTTTCGTGCCCCGCTGCAACACTTCGTCAGGTGATAAAATCTAAGAGTAGATAAACACACTTGCTTACATTAGATTTTATCACCTGACGAAGTTTGCAGCAGCGCAAGAAACATCATGATCTTTTATATCCCTTGTTGACCCTACATTGTGAGACAAACGAATATCACTAGCGCTATTATTTTTTATACTACATCCGCAATGAGTAATATATTTAGCAGATTGATGATGTTAAGTTACAGTGTTCATGTAACTCAAATGAGCAACCTTGTGATCCACAGTCTGATGACTAATCCCATGGATGGCCATATAGCAGAGACCTCACTAATATTAGCATAATTAGAATGGAAAAGTACTAAAAAAGGACGTCTCATGGAAGACACTATTTTATTTTAGGGTTTTGGTTCGTCGGTGTGAAGAAGACCGAATTCGTCTGCTGAATCCAAGAGCGGGCAAATTATTGAAGCTTCAACCTATTAAAGAGATAGAGGAGAAAGAGCAAGAAAAAGAACGAGGGAGCGAGAGTGACAGAGAAGAGAGTGAGAGAGAAAGAGAAAGACAAAGAGTAGTAAATGAGGTCATTACTGCATATTCAAGAGTGTGCATGAGCAGACATGGGCGCCATTTTGAATTGCATATAACTTTTATTTTATGCAGCTTGCAAAGCGCATGTGTCGATATGATGTGAGTGTGCAGCGCAGGCAGTGACACAACAATACATGCAGGTCTGAAAACATTGATGACGCAATATTTACTTGCAAATTAATATGGCTGCCTTAACCTTGAAGGGGTGTATTTGATTTAACCTATTGCCATCAGAAACTTGGTGGCTACCAGGGATGCCAACCTTTCAGAGCACAAATCCGTAATCATAAGGCTAAAAATCCGTAATTTGGAGACAAAATCCGTAATTTTCTGCGCGACGCAAATTTTTCTGCACGCTGGCAAGCGCAGCTCCCGCAGGCAAGCGCGATAGCACAACAAGTTAAATAAAAGTAACATACCTGTTCATTAGTTGGTGTTACACGATGCATTTCCATTTCTTACTGTATTCTTCTTTAAAAGTCTGTAACTTCTTGCCACGCTTCTTAGTTGTGGAAGACATGATGATTGATATCTAAATCCAACCAACATGAGTTCAGATTGTCGACGAAAATCGACGAACGCTGTGACAGCCTGTGAGAAATCCGACAGTGTACACGGCGCTAGCGTAGCGAGGCCTGGCGCTGGGCGGGCGGGCGGTAGCGGCGCGGCCAAGAGAGGTATTTGGGTATTTCACCCGGCCCCCGCTCGCGAAGCACATGTTGTATGCACATGTATGCACTGAAAGGGGCGTGCTAGATAACAAATTGTCCAATCGGAAGCCCTGTGGGATTTCTATGCATGGATTCAAGGATGGCTGCGCTGCAATAGTCAAAAGTACGTGCTAAACCTTAAACGTGCTAAACCTTAAAGTGCTAATTTTGAAAATCGGCAAAATCTGCAAAATCCGGAATTTATGGTATGAAAATCGTACCGCCCGTAATCGGCCGATTTCCCGTAGAAATTACGGGAAATCCGTACTAGTTGGCATCTCTGGGCTACTGTATCAAGTCTATGGGCATGAGAGACTTCAGAAGTCAACGGGTTAAAATCAAAGGTACTATCACCTGGAACTTTCCTGAGAGACACACATTGCCTATGCCCTCAGGGTGACCTTTTGGTAGGAATACTCCCCAGGGAGTGGAGATGGTGCACATTCTGTGTGAATGAATCCGGTGACGGGGGTACTAATATTTGTAAAGTGCTTAGAGACGATATACCGCTACATAAATCCAAATTATTATTATTATTATATTGCATTAACACATGGGCCAATGCTCAAAATTTACTTCCTAACTTGGCCTACCCTTACACCATGACACTAAATGGTGATTAACTATATATATATATATATATACAAAGGCAGCCATTATCAGGGTTTAATGCATTTCTAACAATAAATCTTGCAAGATGTTATTTAACATCTTGTTCACTGGAAATCTGTAGATACAATGCCTTATCTACCCACAAGGCAGAGGTGTGAACGTTTTTAAAGAGAGCTCAGTGAATATGACATGCTGGACTTCATACTTACTCCTAAAATATAATCACAAGTAGCTGGTTCTACAAGATAGATGGTGACGGCGTGCTGACTAAGAGATTCCTTGCATTTTAATTTCACCTGAACTTGACGAGGTTTTCCCGTTAAATCACACATATCACCTCCAGAATAAAAATGTGTGACTTGTTTGGAACTAAAATAGAGAGGGGTGAAAAACAAATAAAGATCTATATAAATAAATATATATATATATATATATATATATATATATATATAATACAGTTAAACAATAAATGAATTTGAACATGAATATATCTTCTTAATACATGAATTTACTCATAAATTGTACATAACAGTGCTTTAAAGGCCCACTGCACTACTTGTAGCTACTTGCGCCCTCTATATAACAACCAATGACTAATCGGTGACCATTGGTCCCCCATGATCCTCTTTTTCTTATGTTAACTGAGAGCTGAGTTGATGAGATAACCACCTGTCCAGTGACCTTGCAGGGCAGTCTAATCCCTCCTATAAACTACGGCACATAAGCTTTAAGAATCAATGTGTACTTGCATCCTACCTTATGAATGTGATAGCATCTATGTTATCCAATATCTGTCTAAAGTAACCCTAAAACAGCTCCAAAAACTTGTGCATTCGCTATCAATCCTAAAATATTCTCAAACTTCTCTAATATCTTTACTTGTGTTTCTCTGCTTTCACCAAAGCAACTTATCATCACGGTTAGATTTCTTCAGAATTTACACGGTGCCCTTTCTTACCTTGATGATGGTTTGGCCTTTTTGGCATCTGCCCACCATTTTTTATGTGCATCCTCATCCCAAGCACCAAGTAATACTATTGTTTTTCCTGTTTTATCCTATAAAACAAAACAAAACAAAACAAGAAATACAATTAGATAAATACATTATGATAACAAAGATAGATAAATAAATAGAGAGACAGAAAGATAAACAAATCAGTTATATATCTCCATCTCTACAAACACCATCTAACTCCAGCACCAATATTAGCCTCCTACTATGTGGATTCGTAACATGTTAGAAAGTATATAAAACATTTACTTGACACTAGGATCCCCCAAATTGAAAGCTTTCCTTCATGGAACGATAATACACTTTATTCCCACCTATCATGGAACACATTTTTACTACAGCAGTACAGATTTTCCACTTAAAAAGTGAAGTAATGCGAGCCTTTCACACTGAGGAAAGACCCTGATTGGCAGAGGTCATAGTGATGTTATACAATGCCTGTAATTGCAATATCATCATTTATATATTCATATGATCATACAGAAGAATGTGATCTTTCATATCTAAGAAAATAAGGGGGAGGGGGGAGGGGGGGGGTGAAAGAAGAAGAAAAAAATTCTCCTTGAACATTCATTGTCAGTTCAGTAATCAACCTGTAGTATGAAATATAATTACCAATGCTAAGCATCTATATTTATTTTCTTCAACACCACAGACAAACGTCATAAACAGAAATGTATATGATCATACAGAAGAATTTGATCTTTCATATCTAATCCTAATACCAGTACATTTTCTTTCAAAAGATAGTCATAGTAGGTTTGTAATAAATATGAAAGAGATAGACAGAGAGAGAAAGATAGGGAGAGAGACAGGGAGAAAGAGGAACAAAAAGAGAGAGAGGGAGAGAGAAATACATCACGCTTCCCTTACCAGATGATATTGCTGAGCATATTTTCCGTAACAGAATTCAAACTTCCACCAGCCCTGGCCGCCATGCAGGCAGTAGTCTCCCTGTAGAAAGTCTCTCAGTAGCTGGTCATCGGCCAGAGAAGTGACCGGTCCTCTGGTGGCTCTGTCCACCGACTGGACTATTTTGGTGTCCGTATCTGTCTCGGCCTGCTTCAATCAAACATACAAGTAATGCCAACGGTCAGATTCGGTTTTTTAATAGTTGTGAACAAAGGTGTCAAAGTGAGTTTAATTGAACTTTTCATAAGTACAGTGAAACAAGTCTATAAAGACCAAGGGAGACAAGAAAAGTGGTCTTTATGTACAGGTTCCTTTAGTACATGCTTCAGTGAGAAACCATTTCCAAGGGAAACAAAAAATATGGTCTTTTTAGACAGGTGGTCTTTCTATAATATGGTGGTCACTAAAGCAGGTTTGACTGTATTATGAAAATATAGGGGAAATGCCTGTACATGTATAAATGATTACAATGATACTGAATCAATACTAAGTAACTGCTGATTAAAAATCTTAAAAGGCTCCTTGCTTATGCCAGAATACATTATACAGTGTCCCTTGATAGTGTCTTCTTAGTTTTCTTTTTTGTTAAAACATGAACAATGTGTTATTTCTGAAGAGCTTCGTACTAATGAGGCACTGCTCTTTTGCAATGGATGATAAAGTAGTAAAATACTATACTCATTTCTCTCAAGGGGAAAGGTTGTCTTATCATAAGTATGGGAGAATCTCACACAATATGTGACAATGCTGCTACATGTAATTCAAAAGGCACAAATCATGGTATTTTGAAGAATTATAACAGGAGACAAATCTGATTGTAAAGTAGTCGGTTCTAAAAAGATTGGTTTATGAAATCACTTGTTAATTAAATACTAGTAGCTGAAAAATGAATTTGGTTTTAGATGCTTTTAATGGTAGATATTATCATTTTATGACACAACTCGATAACCATAGATTAGGAATCAAGATACCTTGGGCTGGCTAACGTGATGTATATTGTCCTTTTTATTAAGAGCCTCGTATGCCTCGGGATTGGCTGGCGAACCATCCATTGCATGGCATCGAATCATGTTGATGGGGGATTCTTTCAATCTGGTGAAAAGAAATGGGGCATTGTTCTAGAGTCAGTTGAAACAAAGTTATCTTACATCTCATCAATATCAACCAAAGATCATCAAGAGTATAGGTCTATGATACCATTAATCAATATCAGGGCTCGACACTAACATGCGCCCGGGACACATGGGTGCCAAAAATCTAAGTCTAAATTTTTTGAATTTTTACATAGGATTCGTACATACAGACTGTAAAAAGTTCAATCCAGACCCCTTTCTAACAAAAGTTTAGTTTGGAGCCCTGCTTAAAGCCTATCTGCACTAGTTTGGCCAGGAGGGATTATACCTCCCTGCGTGGTCACTGACAGGTGTTATCTCATCAAATCAGCTCTCAATTAACACAAGAAAAAGGGGATCGTGGGGGACCAACAGGTACCGCTTAGGCATTGTTTGCTAAATAGGGGGAGCAAGTAGCTACAAGCAGTGCAGTCCCACTTTAATACATGGTTTTAAAAAATTATATGATATAATATATAGGAGAGATAAAAACAGCAGAAGAAAAAATATAGAGAGTTGCAGACAAACAGATAAAGATTGAACAAATGAAGAGAGAGAGTAGGGACAAAAACAGAAGAGGCGCAAAAAGGGAAAACTAAAAGACAGAAGAGAGAACAAAGTAGTTAAAGAGAGAAAGATCGAATGACAGAATGAAAGAAGAGGGGGAGAAAGAGAAAAGAAATAAATCCATGATAAATACTAGTAAAAAAAGAAAGGGGTATACCGGTATGCAGGAGAGAGAGAGAGAGAATATGTACACTACAGCGATGGTGATCTGAATGAAAGAATTACAAAGTTAGAGAGGAAGAAGGTAAAGAGACAAAAAGAATAAATGAGCAAGAGATAGACGGAACAATAAAGTAAGAGCGTAACGAAAGAAAAACAGACAAAACTCACCTGTACAGAGGATGACTACATAGGTGTGCCGAGAAGAGAATGGCTTCGTATTCACACGTACTGGTCTCCTTTAGTGATAAGATGTCACCTCTGCCGTTCTTGTCACATATATACTTGACCCTGGTCAGCCGTGGTGTATTGCTCTTCAGGTCACAGGGCGTGCCATTACCCATGATGACCTCAAAGAACGGAATGTCCTTCCCTTCCATGTATATTGTAGGCACCTATAATTTGAATTTTAAAAATGAGACCAGTGTAATGTAGTGTCCAAATGGATATACAAAGTCGACAGTTATAGAAAGCAAATACGTACTGATGGAAAATAAATTTTAACAGCTTCATTATTACACATCAAGAATAATTTAGCATTTGAATTCTTTTAAATGAGACCATGTAGTGTCCAAAATTGATATACAAAGTCAACAGTTATAGAAAGCAACTACGTCCTGAAGGAGAAAAAGTTTCAACAGCTTCTGTACCACAAATCAAGAATGATTTAGCATGTAACAGCATTTTGAGCTAAAACTGTATGAAATTTCAATGCAACGTTGGACCCTTTTTCTTTTGGAGCATTATTGGACTTATTATCATATGTTACATGTAGTAAATTTTAGTTTTTTTTTGTTATAAATCTCAAAATGATCATAGCTTCAATTTTGCATGGTATGACCTATCTATATATAGCTTTTGAGTCCATTATTAAAAAAGAAAATTAATAGGCATTTCAAAAGAAACACCTTTCATTCTTAGATCACTACTATGGTATTATACCATATTTAACAGCTTTCTTGAATGTATAATGACTGCCATTGACGGACTTAAAGGTAAAGACCAGTATTGGAAATGCCCCAATTTCAAAAAATGTAATGGAAGTTCTTATTACCAATCATGTTAAAGAATATGTTTTGACTAATACATGATGATAACAAATTTGCTGGGAAACCGCCTACTAATTGATATATTTTGTAAATTAGTTTTTTATCAATTGGTATGTGAGAGATAAACGCACGTACAACGCACGTGTTTGCGTAGTCCCATATACATCTTTCTGTGTACAGTGCTTGTAACTTTACGAAGACTGGGCCAAAGTTCTTATCATTTTGGTAATTCCAGAACCTTGCAGTACACACCAATACTTATATGCTAGATGATCAATCTTTTCTGATCGATTCCACGTTTCTTTCAAAATGCAATCGCATGACCGTAACTGGTCTTTATCTTTAACATAAGGGCTCTACTCCACACCAGCTGTTACTCATCAAACAATTACATGTATATTTATTCTACATTGACAGACAGCACATCGCCAAATGTTTGATAACAATTGATTTTTCATTCTCTATCTACAATATTATGTTCACAAACATGGCTGCCCTGCATACTCTTAAGTTTGATGATGAAGAAGATGCAAATCAACTTACTTTTATATCTTTTGCTGGACCTTTTATCTTTGATATATTTTGACAGGCAAACTGCTCATCTGGAGGGTATGCAAAGTCTTTTCCCAGGAAAAACTCTTGCTTTTTGGTGTCCTGTAAACAAGGATAAAAAAAGGATGAATACTTCACATATTGCTTCCTACTTCACTGTTTTCAAATGACACAAAAACCCAACTGTAGCAACAATCTAATTACAATTTTATAAAATGTCTCAACGTTCACACAGATAGGCAGAGAAAAAAGATTGTCCAATCATCGTTTTACTTCACTGCTGATATATTCCTGTTTTGCTGGGGAAAAAAACCTGTTAATTTGGTAATCGTTCAATGTAATTCAATGTTATTGTTAACAGTAAACAATTCAACTCGTGGTTGTGAATCGTTATAGTAACAAAAAATTAAGAAGAAAAAAAAGGGGGGACAAAAAAATGGAGAAAAAAAAAGAGAAAATTTTCTCCATGAATAATCATTGTCAGTTCAGTATTCAATCTGCAGTATGAAATATATACCAATGTTTGGCATCTATATCTATTTTCTTCAACACCACAGAAAAACGTCATAACATACTGTTCATTTTATAGCACTATAACATTTCAAAACTAGATATTGCTCCTACTACATGAACTGCACCGCCCCCCCCCCCCCCCCTCCCAGTTCCTCTACTGTTCTATTTTCAATACACTTTATCCAGATATTGATTCACTTTTATTAGGATTTCACTCAATACCACCTCCCCAATGAAGAAAACACATTTGCCTATATTCAATATGCTGTTGGCTCTATTGGAGTCTATTCTGAATGACAGAAATATTTCTCAGCCACTGAATTCAAACATACACAAAACAACAATTTTAAATGACTATGTTTGTTCAAGACCATATGAGCAGAAGAACTCTGTAACAAGTCTTACCCTGCCTGGTAGTTTTTCTTCATGAAACTGTCGTAGGTGCATACCATGACAAAGCTCATAAGTCCAATATGTTTCAACCTGCATAGTGTAGAGAATATAAGTCTATAGAGATAAGTCAACTTGTAACAATCAAGTAGCTAAATGTACCATCTATTGACAAACATCATCCAACTCATAATTCTATAAAAAAATCTTTGATCTACCAGCATACCAAATATAAAGAGGTTGCAACTCCACCAGTACATGCACATGATGCATGAATACTAGCACACAAATACTGCATCGTTTGTTTCAAGATAAGAAAGCTTCTACCACACCTGTAAACTTGTGAAGAAAATATCATGCCTTTCATGGATACAGTGTGTACCGTTTTTGAAATTAGCTCCTTTAAAACATTTTCAGATAGTACAATAAGCCAATAATAGGTACAAATACCTCTAATAATATCATGTATGGAGTAAAAAGTTCAAAGTTTGTGTTTAAAAAATAATTACCGGTAATGCAGCTCCCCACAATGACAACCAATGGTTAAATTTGTCAACCTGATTAGCAACCCTTCATCCTACCAGGGTTAGAGTAAAAAAATTAAAGTTTGTATTTTTGTGTGTATGTGTGTGTGCAATTCACAATAAATGAAAATGAAAGGTTAAAAATGGTAACCACAGTAGTAAACATCTACTTTGTTGGTCTGGCAGCCTGAATTGAAAGTGATTTGTGAGAGCTCTCTGCTCAGGGGGGAGGGGGGGGGGGGGTAAATTCTTAATACTTGCCCTCAAAGTGCAAGATCCCCCTTTCAAGACGGGTTCCATGAGCTTATTGGCTGACGGGCCATCGTATGATAGAACGTTCTGTGCATTGGGGTCATTCTCAGGAGGAACGATACATTGGTATTGCTCATTGTTGGCAGTTGTCATGGTGAGAATGTTATCTGCAAACTGCTCCATCTGCAAAAAATAAATACAAATAAAATAAAATAGAATGCAGATTATATAGAAGATAAAGAGGTCAATATATTCATTTTTTAGGCGGATAGGTTTATATTAAAAGTAGACTTTTTTTTTACAGCGACAAAATCAGGAAATCTAAGTTTATTTGGACCTAGGCCTAGATAGTAAATTTAATGAATATGGAATAGAATATAGATGTCTAGACCTAGTAAACAATGGAGGGAAAGTTTCATTATTTATATGTAAGCTCAAGATTTCTAACATAGGGTCTAGTCTACATAGCACTTTCTGAATTTTTGCCAACTTAGATCTATAATCCATATCATCAAAAACTGAATAGTGAAAGTTGTGACTGTCTGAGACTGAGCTAGACCGAAGTTGAGCAACAAGAATATAATAAAGACATCTGATCTACCAATCCATCAAGAATTTGATCTATATTCTATTCTATCTCATTCTGTCTTTCTTCTTTTTTCGACAATCAGTCTTTAGTTCAGAATGTGTAGACCGCAATTTCTGTCTCTAATTCGTTCGTTAGCCTCTGATTTGGGTAGGGTCGGGCGGTCGGCTACTCTCCTACCCCCACCCAAGGGCAAGGCCAAATCAGAGGCTAACAGTAACAGTAACAAACGAAAGAGGTCGAGACAGAAATTTTCGGTCAACAGAATGTGTAGAAACAAGATAATGAAAGAAATATGCCTTAAACATTGAACTGAAATTCCCCTCTGAAAACAAAGAAATGACTTCTAAATCCTTGTGCCGCATGCCCGTTGTAAACTTGTGAGTTGCTGTGGCTTTATTGTGCACAATTGTGATCCCTCCCCCAATATCTTACACTCCATAGAAAGTAATACCTGGGACTGAAGGAGGAATATTTACTTACTTGGCCAGGGGAAGAAGCACCAGGAAATTGCAACTGAAATAAGACATTGTCACTGTTAAATGATGCACAAGTCACAGCTAAAAGAAAGAATAAAATGTGTAAAGATGTGAGCCACGCCGCGTCTAAATTTTCCATTTTTAACAGGCAGTTTTACATCGTTCAAAATGAGAAATTACGTGTCAATCTTCAGTAATGATAGTGTAGCGCAGCTCGTTGCATACCATCGAATTCGTTGTGAGCACCACAAGCGCGTACATAATACATATGTGTACTGTACTGTAGGGTCCATAGAGATATATAAGTTTATACAACACCTACGTGGATCCTTGTCATTTGATTGGACGATTGTTGGTCACATGATATTCAATAGATGGTATATTGCACGGTCGTGCATTTTTGGTTATATGCGCCGTGCATTTTTGGTTATATGCGCCGTGCATTTTTGGTTATATGCAGACTGCGTATCTCTCTGCTGCATGTGCGCGCGCGTATCCCTGCGTGTATCTGACGCGAAGGCAATCTGCATGTAATTGAGAAGGCTTGACTCGAACTGTAATTTATCTTTATAAGGAGTAAAGCATAATTTGTTGATTAACGTTCTATTAGGTCTTCTTCGATGTTGTATAAAACAAATAATGAATGTTTTTCATTCGTTTAATAGTGCAAATATTTTCATTCGTTGAAAGATTAACGTTAATTCTATTCAACTCGGCTGACGCCTCGTTGAATAGAATGTTAATCTTTCAACTCATGAACATATTCGCACTATTGAACTCATAACCATTCATTATTTGTATAATATATCTCTATGGTAGGGTCCCAGCTACGCGCTATATGTATCTCAACTCCTTGTTTTGGCCGCACGTACTACAATTTGATTTTGTTTGTGTTATGTTTTATTGTTCTTGGATCTTGGATTCTTTTCCTCCTAAATACTCCGAAGAAGAGTTTTGACTGGAGGTTGTGGAGGGTGGACGATTATATTTTGGAAAAAAGTTCTTTAGTGACTGCATTTTTAAACGAGAGCGGGGAGGTTTGGTCGATGGTACTCTGTATTCCGCTTCGATTGGACGTAGGGCATATAAATGCACGTAATCTGATTTTAAAAACTTGCATCTAATATGCGGTAATAGAAAAATCTACCCCATTTACTCCAGTATAGAGCCCCGGCCTCGGCGAGCAATATAATTAAGACAAAACGGTGTCAACGTTTTTTTCCTTCTTTTTTTCTTCTTCTTTTTTTCCCCCCTTTTTTCATTTTCTTTTCCCACTTGAATAGAATAGAATAGAAATGGATCATCGCAGCCAATGGCTGAATTTGATCCATTTTATAAAGATACAAGTGCAATCCAAAGTTGAAATAACACAAAATATGACATAAATCAAAAATCAAACATAATTATAGACATTTCATAAAAATTCATTAATCAAACTTCAAATTTTTGTTAAAAAAGATAAAGAAAGGGAGAGGTGTATAGGACGGAGGGAGAGTTGGAGTAATGACAGAGAGCGAGAAAGAGAGGAAGAAATAAAGAAAGCCAAGAAGGAGAGAGAGAGAGAGAGAGAGAGAGAGAGAGAGAGAGAGAGAGAAGGGGGACGAAAGAGAGAGACGGAACTGAGAGAGAGAGAGAGACAGAGATGAAAAGGGAAGAGACAGACAAATGGTACCTTATCATTACAGATGAGGGGAGATGGCGAGAAGTATTTAGCAATGCATAAAATCGAGATAAAACTATCAAAAGTCATTCACATAGTTCAATCATGGACTGTGAAATTCTAAAAACACTGATATTGGTATTACATTTTATTAAGAAGTTTTATAAAGTAAGGAAAAGAGCTGCACTGGAGGCGTTTTGTTTGACATTCAGGTATTGCTTAACTTTGATTGAGATTTCGGAATACGTGCTTTGATGTCTAACAGGTAAACATTCTTTAAATTGTGGGTGTTTGGCAAAATGCTCACGTCTTGATTCTAAATGAAAGTAGATTGCACGTTTCTTATTGCTGCTTCATAATTGTCATACTGACGTCCTAAGATGATTTTGCAAGCTCTTTTCTGAATAGGCTACGTTCTAAAGTATATACATGAGTTTTTGTTAAATTACCATTGAAAACCGGTACCCCCATAATCTAAAATCGAACGAATGTATCCTTTATATATAAGTAAAAGGTCTAGAGGCAATCCATACTTTTTAAGGCAACGAAACATAAACAACTTCCTACTATACACCTTTTTGTGAGATCGGATACAATGTCATGACTATCCCATTTTAGGTTTGATTGTAAAATTAATTACGAGGACTTTGGCTTGATGAACATAAATTAATCCTTTGTCGCCGAAAAAATTGAAGATTGTTTTACACAATTTTTCATAAATGTTATAACCATAGAGAAACACTTAAACGGATTTGGCCGCCGAAGAGGGGGGGGGGGGGGGGGGTGGTAAACCGCCGTACCCCCCCCCCCCCCCTAGATCCGCCCCTGACTCTGTACTCTGAATTTGTCTTATCTTAAATATAGAATGTTAGCATAGGGGAAGTCACTAAAAACGCAACTAAATAAGATACATATCGCTCAGAAAATGGTGATTAGAATCGTTTTAAATGTATCGTGCTCATACTATATAATTATTGTTTGTTTCATAGCAATAAACTATTAAAGGTATAGAAGATATCTATCTCCTGCAGTTAGTTAGGCTCAATCATATATGATTTTGAAAATAATACTAGATCCCAAATACGTTAGTACAACTATTTAGAAAAAACAGTCAAATTAACAGTTATAGTACAAGACAGGCAACTGCACTTCATATATCACGTATATAAGAACTGCCGCTGCTTTGACTTGTACTGGTCCCAAGTTTTGGAATTCCCTAGATGTAACTTGTTTTGTCAGTGTCTCTGTTTCTAAACGCAAACTGAAATTACATTTATTGAGTAGTTATGCTGAAATATTTAATGTAAAAACTATGTCATCACATATAATAGTATGTAATTCTTTTTTTCTTTATCTCTCTCGCTCTCCTGCCGGTCCTAACTTTACCTGACCAACAATTTCTTCATTTAGCAAACTCGCTTTGATCTGTTTTGCTCTATAATACTTTTTCTTTTCTGTCTCTCTCTTCTATTTCTTCCCTATCACCATTTCCCCTGCATATTAATTTTTTCCTTCTTAACTTTTCTCTGTTGTTGTGTTCATTTTTGCGCTTTCGCTCGCCATCCTTTTTGTATATATATATATATATTCTCATTTTCTCCTTTTTCATATATACATCAACTTTTCTCTTTTGTAAATATATTTCCCATGTGTAATAGTCTCATATAGTTTCGTGCTTTTTTCTTTCAAAACTGCATTCAGGTATTATATTCTGTTTGGGGACCTTGCTTTAACAAGCCCAGCTTTTATAAAGTCTCCTCTTTCTTTCATGTACAGAACATGATCATACATAAGTAACTTTTTATGAAATTTCTTTTGTTAATGAAAAGAGTTGTATGTTGTATATTAATATTGCACTTTAAATTGTGTGTGTTATATTGATAATCTGCTGTTCCCGTTACTCTTTTTGAAATCATATGTCCAAAAGGTTTGTGAAAGAAGAAATAAAAGGAACTTTGAACTATGAACTATAACGGCCTAGCTATGTTATTTGAAAATTCTTTTATCTACATAATAATTCCAAGTTCCATTTTCAAAATAACGTTTTCAGAGTAATGTGTCATAATTATTATGCCCTAATCTGATAACAACAATTATTGTGCAAAAAAAGTAAATATGAGAAAAGTGTGACTGTATGGTTTATAAGCGGAGAGGGCGAAAATAATATTGGGCTGGCCCATATTTTTTTTTCCGTGCGTTGCTATGACTCCCATTGTCTACATTTGATGGGAAAATGGCTACTCTTGTGCGATTACAGCGGAGCAACGGGTCAATAATGCAACAGATATTCATAAGAAATAAGTAAGTGTTATTACTGATAGTATACATGTCGTTTAATATGATTATTGTCGCACTTTATGTGCTATGTTATCACTTATAACGACGTGGACAAAGTGATAACGAATAGCAAAGTTTAAAGTTCAGTCCCACCCGTGTTCTTTCGTGTTGGATTTGATTCAAGATCGAAAGCGCGCCTCAACTCGGCGTAGGCCTACACTCATTGCTTTCGTCTCCGATTAGCTCTATCAAACTGTCAATGATATTATATTCTATGTTCTAATGAGCCTATAGTCCATGTGAATATTGTTTAAAGACATTTTTGTAATAAATAGTAGACCTACCTAATCCTGACAAAGGTGACACAATTTTCGGGGCATTTTTTTGCCAGACACATTTTTAAAATATTTAAATTCAAAAGGATTTTTACAAGTGATAACAAATGAAAAGATGAAAGATTCCTACATTATAATGTTGAAATGTTAGTTAAACCTTATGTTGGCTGTCATATCATGTTGAGTGATTCAGTCACATACACAATCGATGAATGAGTGATTTCAAGTACGGTGTTCGTTGCGTTGCCGTTGGGCGCTTGTTCAGAAACCTATCCAAAATTTGACCCGTAACTCTGGCGTGGAGATACCCTACTAAAACATACCCAAAATGAAGTAAATATTAATTAAATGTCCAAGTAAAGATCATGAGTTAAAAGTTGTTATGTTTATTACCTGTTTCGTGTCAATTTTCTTGTTATTTTTGGAGTAGATCTAGAGTAGAGTCTCCGGTTTGCGGCATCGCCCGGTTTGCGGCCAGGGGTATTTGTTTTAAAAATAAAATGAATATGACTCGATAATAATCATTGAAACCTACCGTGGATTCCACGGTAAGTTCTGCTTTGCCGAAAACGTCCGTAGCAGGTGCTCCTTTCGGTACGGAGTATCCGTCAGCGATGTCGGAAATCTACGGCACCAGTCGCCGATGAAAATTCCAGCAGGTGCTAACTTTTAAGAGATCGAGGCATGACTAGATCAATATTGTAGCTCTATTTGTCCGATATTTGTCCGATTGGAGGTGAAATTTGATGTTTTTGTGAAAGTATGATGGCTGTGGTCTGTCTCCTATCGCAGATATTTTGATTGTGCCACCGCATGGCCAGTTGCATGGGGTGGCCGCAAACCGGCACGTAATTACGTGTTTTTTCTGGTTTGCGGCGGGGGGTGTTAATACACACACAACATGCGGGATCGTGTATGATGGTATGTGTGCTGATGTGTGTACCCGCTATGACCCGATAGTTTCTAGTAGTACTTACCCCCGGATGGGATGATCCATTCGAGGAAAAGGTGAAATTGTTTAAAACTTGACAAATTTACCGTAGCAACAGATAAACATGAGAATTTGGGTTACCCGTAGTAATTTGGTACATGCTTTCATCATGACGTAGCGCATAAAGCTTTGTGACGTACGCGTGCCGCAAACCGGTAATGCGTGCCCGCAAACCGGGGAACTCAAAGCATTTCGAAACGTGGTCAATGCTGACCATGCTGTGGGTCAGTTAGGTTATTTGCGACTTCTATTTAATAAGTAAGTATATGGACTCTTTATTGAGGGTATTGAAGTATTCTGTGAGTATTCCAATAAAAATAGAATCGGCAGTTCCCGCCGATCGGCCGCAGACCGGAGCCACTACTCTAGGGTCTATTTTTTGGAAAAACATTGATAGTTTCACGGCAAACCGCTGCACAATACAAGTACATATCGATGGTGGGTTGCGAGCGGTGGGTGCGCGCCTGTGTGAAGTTATCTACCGTAATGAGAATCTGAGACTTATGGTATACTGTAACACCAGCCTGATTTCAAGTTCGGTGTTGTGGCTGGTGTTGGTGTTCTCACAACACCAACACCAGCTTTCAACACAGAACTTGAAATCACTCATTGAATCATGAATCGCATTCACAAACACAAACACAGAACTCGGAAAGACAGAAGCAGAATAATTCATTCACATTTGCGAGTTGGACTGAAAATCAGTGACTTAAATGAAAAGATGAAAGAAAATACACGTAACAAATGTGGAAACAGCCTTGTATTGTATCAAAATAAGGTTTAATATAGAATCTATGGAGATTTAGCTTGTTCCACTTGTATCTTGAAAATATGCATGGATTTTAACATGATAACAAATATTGCATAACTAATTGTAGTCTGTAGACTGTTTTTAACAGTGTACATGTACATGTATGTCATACTATGTGCTTGTTTCTACCCTGGCAGAGAGGCAGAGGAGCAGAGAGATATTGAATACAAGTCGGTAGTGAGGATACAGGCATGGTTCCGTGGACAGCGCGTCCGGTCGTACATCCTTCATCTCCATCGCTGTGCTACCATCTTACAGAAGGTGTGGAGGGGCCATCTTGGAAGGAGGGTGTACAGGGAAATGATTAAGCAACTCATGCTGGTGATGAGGATGAAATACTATAACAGAATGGCTACCCTGGTAAGCCGAGTCTCTCGTTACTTCTCTCCTAAAAGATTTTTTTTCCTTAGATTATTGTTTTCTGCATGAATATTAGAAATTTGCAGAACTCTTTATTGTGTGATTTTGTCTTTCTTCCTTTTTTATGCCTCCGCCACCGAAGGTGGTGCCGGAGGCATCATGTTTTCGGGTTGTCCGTCCGTACGTCCGTACGTCCGTCCGTCCCGTTTGACCGTTATCACAATATCTCAAGAACCATTTAAGATTTAAACTTAAGACTCTGGAATAGTATTTATCACCATAGGAAGACGATCTGATTAGATTTTGGAGTACGTAGGTCAAAGGTCACAGGTCACAGAGGTCAACTTGTGAAATTCCTTGTATTGAGTTTGTTAGCGCGATATCTCAAGAACCATTTGAGATTTAAACTTAAAACTTAAGGATAGTATGTATCACCATAGGAAGACGATCTGATTAGATTTTGGAGCACGTATGTCAAAGGTCAAGGGTCACAGAGGTCAACTTATGAAATTCCATACATTGAGATTGTTATCATGATATCTCAAGAACCACTGGAGATTTAAACTTCAAACTTAGTGATAGTGTGTATCACTATAGGAAAACAATCTGATTATATTTTGGAGCACGTAGGTCAAAGGTCAAAGGTCACAGGGCTCATTATGTATGCAAAAACAGCTTGTGATCGCGTTATCTGAACAACCAATTGATGGATTCCTGCCAAACTTTGGTCATGTATGTATCTTGCAGAGCTGATGAACTGATTAGATTTTGGGGTCACGAGGTCAAAGGTCAAAGGTCACAGGGCTCATTATGTATGCAAAAACAGCTTGTGATCGCGTTATCTGAAGAACCGATTGATGGATTCCTGCCAAACTTAGGTCATGTATGTATCTTGCAAAGCCAATGAACTGATTAGATTTTGGGGTCACGAGGTCAAAGGTCACAGCGCACATTATGTATGCAAAAACAGCTCGTGATCGCGTTATCTGAACAACCGATTGATGGATTCCTGCCAAACTTTGGTCATGTATGTTACTTGCAGAGCTGATGAACTGATTAGATTTTGGGGTCATGAGGTAAAGGTCAAGGTCATGCGGCTCATTATGTATGCAAAAATAGCTTGTGATCGTATTATCATTAGAACAGATTGATGGATTCCTGCCAAACTTAGATCATTTATGTATCTTGCAGAGCCAATGAATGGTTCATAAGATCAAAGGTCATGAGCTCATTATGTATGCAAAAATAGCTTGTGGACGCATTCTCATTAGAACTGACAGATGGATTACTATTTAACTCAGGAAATCTTGCAGAGCCAATGAACTGAGTAGATTTTAGGGTCATGAGGTCAAAGATCAAAGGGTCATATATGTTTATGAGAAATTGCTTGTAATCACGATATTCTGAGAACATGTTAATGGATTACAATTGAACTTGAATTTGAAAAATTTCTTCCGTTTCGGTTTGTAAAATTGCTCTATGACGGAGGCATCATTTTCGACTGCGCGCAGTCGAATTCCATCTAGTTTACATATAGAAGCATGTTAACAATTTTCCCTCAAAGTATTGTACTAAAATCAATTTCAATATAAATGTTCTGGTTCAATATCAAATAGTGGTTATATTTTCTTCTTCAACCCTGCACCCAATGTTTTATTGATCCCTGAAGTTGATATCAAACACCTAATCTAGTATTAACACCTTGATTATATAACTTTGACAAACTAGTCAGGATCAAACTCAACCAAAGCAATCGTTTGGTCACCACTCAAAGTATGTGACTGATTTTTATGTACGTTTGATTTGTAAAATGCTTAGATTGACACCATAGTTATTCTTAATATATCTGTTTTGTAAGTTTTTTAAATTTTCTATTACAGGTAATTATCATGATTATTTTCTTTATTTGATGCATTTTCCCCTGTTGTAGATTCAAAAGATTTGGAAGGGATACTACACAAGAAAATATGTTGCCAACTACTTCAGTAGAAAGAGATATCTTGAAGGTCTCATTGTCAAAAATGAAATCATTAGGTAAGTTTGTTGGTGGACTCAACCTAATATATTTTATTTTGTGTTTACAAATAACAGGTATATCCAAGTATGTAAACAAAAAACAGATTGATGAAGGACAAAAAAAATGTTTTCCAGTATGTTGGTATATTTCTTACAGCAATAAATTATATTGGAAATAAAGGAATTATAATTTTCATAATCATCTTTTAGCTTTGTAAAATACCAAGAGAACAAATAAAGAATGTAACACTGGAAAAAAAATGTCAACAAAAGTTGTCACTATGTTAAATTAAAAAAAATCTTCATGGGATTTCATTCAGCTGGTTAAGTGAATGCAGTTTGAATAGTAACTCTGACGGGAGATCAATGAATCTTGTTATATGTATTTTCATTCAAATTAGTATAAGTTAACATTTGTTTTATAAATAAACTGTAGGATGCACCTGAATCTTGCTATCGAACTTATATGAAACATGCTTCTATACAATACAAAGATTAGATTTTTTACTGTTTTATTTTGTAATATTTTCAGGAAAGAACTGGAGGAGTACAAAGTGCAGCAAGATGAAGAAAAAGCGCAGAAACTACAAGCAGATATTAAAGAAAAAGTGTTTGAGGAAGCCAGAAAGAATCACTATCTCCTTAGTACCGAAGTGGTAAGTTAATGAAGTAGTATTAAAAGTAATTAGTGGGTTATTCCTTGCAGGAAAAAGAAATGGTTTTCAAACTTCGATCAATTAATGCTCTACATTTGTTTTGAAATACATATTAACCTTACAAAGAAAGCTCTGATGGCTCAAGTTTGAGGACATTTTGTCAGGATATTGCCTATACTTGAATACCTACATGTATATGAAATGATGTTCTGCTTATGTTCTATCGATCATGGATCAATCGATGTGGAAAGATTAATCATTCCAATTTCCAAAACTGATTTACATGACTTTATTGTGTTGGCCAGTCTCTCTTCCGATGTAACCTTAATGATGGATTCCGAAAGAGCTTGCTTATCTTTGATACTAATCCCGTTGTATATTTGCCACTGTAGGTGCCTGGTGTGTACAACTCTCCCTTCAAGCCTTACCCAGACGAGATGGAATTCATCTTACGGAGTGTCAAGCCACGCCCTCCCCCTGGTCCCAAGCTCATAAGAGAGAACAGATCGGGCAGAGTGGTGGCTCCAAGCCCCCCTCTACCCCTCACTGCCCCCTTGCCACCCATTGGTCAGAAGCCCCAGGTAAGATCTCTCTCTCTCCCTTGTCTATATCTCTTTTCTCTCCTCTTCTCTTCTCTTCTCTTCTCTTCTCTTCTCTCTTCTCTTCTCTTCTCTTCTCTTCTCTTCTCTTCTCTTCTCTCTCTCCTAGAACTTGTTTGAGAATCCAAAAGTAAGGATTCTATTCTCACCAGGATGCCTGTATAGACCTGTGGGCCTGACAGTTAGCAACCACATAATTAGACCGCACCATTCTGCTCTGTCAAGGGCCAAGGACCTCACTTTATCTTCTTCTCCTAATAATAATAATAATAGTAATCTTTTAAAGTCCACTCCAAATTTTATTAAGTTAAACCGAAAATGGAAATTATTTTCTCCTAATCTCTTTGGGTTATATTTAGTTTGGTCTTTTCTCTTGAGTTTCCAGTTATATATATTCTGTTAGTGTCTCGTTGCACGTGGCCATACCACAAAGTTGGTTGGAGTCGAAACATTAAATTTAGTGTGATAATTATTTCAGTGATTGCGCTATCAAAATTTGAGAGGTGGGGTTTTGGTGAAAAATCAGTTTGATAATCCAATATTTCTTTTGGCATCTTCTGCTCTAGACTTTATCATGTCGGAGATATAGATGGTTAGGCTATGGGTGTAGTTTGCGTTTTAGGTTAGGTTTGGGGCAGGATGGGTCAATGTTCGGTATATAGTATTGGACCCATTGTTAAAGTTACGGGTACTGAAATTAAATGTTATCAAAATTAGCTGCAGAGCAATCAAGTTTTCCCAGAGTCTGAAGTCTGTGTCTGTGTTGATAAGAGTTAGAAATAGGCCATGGAGTACTTGACAGTGAAGCTTGTTATTTCATTGCGCTTAGAGACTTCAGTGGTAAGCAGTTTATAAGCACTGTTTTTATTATTATTATTATTATTATCATTGCAGGGTCCATTCAGGGAGCCTCTTGAAGTGCAGAAGCAGAGATACAAGCCTCTCCAACCGACCCTGAAAGTGGCCACATCCTACACGTCTGTGGAGGAGGCCAGAGCGGCCATGAGAGGTCAGGAGTGGGTCATGAGAGTCAATGACAACATGTAAGTCACCCATCTATCTTAAAAATCTATCTATGATAATCATATAAATGTACATGCACCATAACCCTCCCCCCCCCCCTAAAATTAAAAATAAATAAATGAAATAAATAAATAAATAACTAAATAAATAAAAAAATAAAAAAATAATTACAAAAATAAAAAATAAATAAAATGAAAGAAAAAAATGGAAAAAAGATAAATTAATATATAAAGAATTAATAAATAAATAAATAATTATAATGATAATAATAATAATAATAATGAAAATAATAATATAATAATGATGAATAGATAAAAAAAAGTAAATGAATAAACAAATAGATTGATTGATTAATTGATTGATAATATATAAATAATATAATAATAATGAATAAATGAATAAATACAAAGTAAGATTTGAAATGAATAGATAAATAAAGCAATGAATAAATGTACATTTACAACAAAGATAAATAAATATGAGAGCTGGGAGGATTTGCATCCTAACCTTTCTTTCAAAAACCCCTTTATGTAAAAAGGAGAGCTACTGTAAAAGAAAATTACAGCAACAGGGTGTGATGCATATAGTTAATGATTGTAAGAGTATTGCTAAGCAGAAGCCCTTACAAATAAAAGTCTTTCTAACCCAGCATTAGACCATTTGGTTTGTTTGCTGTTAGCAACACCTACAGGGCTGCAATATCAGAAAGGGAAGGGGGGGTGTGGGATAGACAATGTTGCATAAAACATAATCTTTGCCTTGTTGTAGATATGAACCTCACTTGTTACATATCTAAGTATAATGTTCATGTTTATGCTTTAGCCCTCCTATCTCATGTTTATCTTGTGCATATAATGCATTAACCGTGTAACTTAATTTCCTATACCTTTTCCAATTTCTATACAACGTAATTTATTGTATTGGAAAATCTATCAAATGTAAATGAATCAAATGCCACATATCACGTTGATGAACATGAATACCTATGTTTGAAAAGATGATACAAGAATCAATGAATCAATTAACACTTATCAATTATCGGTCAATAAGTTATTTTTTTGTTATGACTCTGAGGGTGGATAGGAGTAGTAAAATCCTGAAACTGGAGTGGACTGTTGATCGATGGCAGCCACTGTGTCAAAGAAATTATCACAAGATGGCAATTAAAGTCAAGATTGTTCAGCTAGTTGTTTAGTAAATTCAGCTTGTGTTGATATTGATGTACCATGACAATTTTATCACCCACTCTCTCTCTCTCTCTCTCTCTCTCTTTCTCTCTCATTTACAGTTTTGTGCCTTTCACAAGGAGAGATCGAGATTACGATCCCTTGCTCCACACGACATCCAAATATGGGCATTTACCGTATGGTACACACTACTACAGAGAAGGCGATGAAACAAAACATATTACTGCAGAGGTGAGAGTAATTTCTATGCCTTAATTATCTCAATAACTTTTAACTCCAATTAAATTCAAATTTGCCATATACAGTCAAACCTGAAAGTGACCACTGTAGACGGATGGCCTTTATAGACAGGTTCTTCGACACATGTTGATGCTCAAAAACTGTTTGACCAACAATGAGGGTCGCATCCTACCGGGTACCCATTTGACACCTGGGTGGAGAGTAGGAAATGCAGGTTAATATCTTGCCAAAGGATATTAAAGCCGGGTTGGGATTCAAACCCTCGACCTTCGCATCTCCAGTCAAGAGCCTTAAACCACTGGGACACGACACTCCCATTACCAGTACACATAGTATTATTCCCCTATAGGATTCCAAATGGCTTTATTTCACGTTTACCCCCCCCCCCCCCCCCCCCTTACAAATGATAATTCAAGTATTGTAGTAGTCTTATGTTTCAATACACCATAATATGTACAGTTTCAATTCAAAGCTTGAAGTCATTAAAGCACAATTTGTTCGCTAACATCACATAACTCAATTCTATCTGCTTATTAATCATCCTTGTTTTCTTTTCTTTTTTTGTCTCTACAGAGGTTTCAACCAGTTGTTTCCCCAATCCCCGTCTTCGATAAGTTAAACGACAACTACTCAAAAGGAACGGAAACGGTACCCTAAAAGAAAGAGCTATACAGATCCCTTGTACTGCCCTGAGTTTTTATGTGTTGCAATATGTTGTCCCTTGTTTCTCATTTTGAAAATGAAAAACAATAATATGCGTCATTTGACTAATAAATTTCTTTAGAAAATGTAAATATAACTAAAGTATGCTTTAATGTACATATCTGTATATTTTGTATGTATTGTAGAAATGTAAATATCTGTATATATTTTGATAACAAAATCATATTAAAGCTAATGTACTAATGTGGATTTACATTAAATCACAAATTTGCTTTCTCTCTCTCTCTCTCTCTCTCTCTCTCTCTCTCTCTCTTCCTCCACTACATTATTAACTGATAGGATAAGTATTCATTAAGGAAAACATGATTTCAAATAATGCAGTGTGCATTCAGTACATGTTTTATACTTGAGTCTGGTATGATAATGCCATGGGACATTTTTATGATCAGTACATGCAAAGGTCATATATCAATTGTATTGAATGTATGAACCCAAGCCCCTCCCCCCCCCCCCTTCCATTCATCCTGTTATCCAGGTACCTGTTTGTGTCATTATACCAGCCATTGAACATGATCAGTGTTTCCTATCCTCCATAAACATGTGATCGTTTTTTAATACGGCAAACAGGAAGCAACAGGATTGTTTTTCAAGCACCATTTATTCCAAGGTTATTCCTGTTCATTCAATGAGGTCTTGCTATTGTCTTGCAATAAACATACGCTTATCCATATCTGCTATTGAATTTCCATTTGTTGGATTTCAGATCATATATTCTGAGCTTGAGATTTGCTAGAGCATGATAGAACAATCTTTTAACAAACTGCTCTAAATCTGGTACTGAATTGAATATTATTGGACAAATAATCTTCTTGAAATTTACAATAGATTCATGACTTTTGCATTTAGAAAAATATTGGTTCCAACTAATAAAAGTTTAATAATGAAAAGGGGCATTTTATGATTGAAAACCCCTCTTACACATTCTTATTTGTAGTATGTGCAAGTATTTATAAATATGGGGTCACTGTTTATTAGGGTGAAGGTGTTTATGAAAACTATTTAACATGGAGTTCCGCTTCAAAGGATTAAAAAATGCCATAATACTAGCATTTCAGACAAAAATTATTGGAGAAGTTATTGATCAAAAGAATAATTATAACACTGATATAATTAAAAAAGCATGTACTTTTGCAATTCAAATACATTTCACTACGTTTAAGATCGAGAACAATTGACAAGAAAAGTAGGGTGGGAGTTCGTTTCTAAAACTTGTTATCAATAACAAATGCTAAATTTCTATGACATATTTGCTCTCAGCCAATCAGATGCCATGATTTCAGTAGCTTATAACAGTAGCTTGTAACTTAATTGTTATTGATATCAAGATTTATGAAACAGGCCCAGCAGTTGGCAGGAGAAAAATACTGGGAGGAATGTTATGTATATCAGCTTTTTGTTTCATGATTGTAATTTGTCTGTTGAGAGCCAGAAGGTTACATTAATAATAATAATAATAGCTAGTTCTTATATAGTGCTTTTCAGGACCGAAGGCCCTCTCAAAGCGCTTTACAGATATATATATATATTATTACCCCGGTCATAGGATTCAGGCTTACCCGCACACAATGTATGCACATTCTCCACTCCCTTGGGAGCATTCCAGCCAGGCGTCTTTTTTTACAAGCGCACACTTGCTAATCTAACCACATTAGCTTTCGCATCCTACCGGGTACCCATTTAACACCTGGGTGGAGAGTGGCAAATGTAGATCAATGTCTTGCCAAAGGACATTAGTGCCGCGGTGGGACTTGAACCGCGAACCTTGTGATCCACAGTCCGGTGACATATCCACTTGTCCACGACACCTTTTCCTTAATCTGTGTTCAAGGATATATGCCCTTCTAGCTCCTGGCATACAAATTACTTGTACAGACATATGTATACAGGTTTGACTGAATGATCATTATATATGATTTGATGAATAAAATAAAGTATATTGTACATGTATAGATCATGATTGTGTCGTGTCCTTCATTTATGACTAACCCAAATGTGAATCAGAAACCAAATAAATACAAAGGAGGTATATTCTAAAACATATTCAACTTTATAGAAAAAACATGGTACACTTTTCAAGCAAATTGAGTACGTTTATGTATTATCAGCTATCTACTCATTTTTTTTTTAAAGTGTTGTACGTAGTACCTGATTATTAATTCCATCTGCCTTTTATGTTGTCTATTTACCTAATATCTCATCTTTATCTGATCATCAATATACAAACTGGTCTAATAGACGTGACTATATTTGGGAAATGGATCGGTACAGAATTAGAATTTTGGGGTTAATGACATGTTCATGATAATTGTCTATGACGCATACATCGAGGTAATGGATACAAACAAACAAAGACCAAGCAGTTTGAGGCAGACGGATTGCATCGGCAGATATTTTGAAGAAAAAAACTGCCGATTTGTACAAATCAGCCAAGCGCGTAGCCAGGATTTTATTTTAGGGGGGCGGTAGTGCCCAGGACCAAAATCCAGTTGAAACCAATTGGAGCAAAACCAATTGAAACCAGTTGCCAACTGGTTTCAATAGGGAAATTGGAACAACTGGTTCCAATTGAAACCAGTTGAAAACCAATTGCCAACTGGTTCCAATTGAAACCAGTTGAAACCAATTGCTAACTGGTTCCAGTTGAAACCAATTGGTTCCAGTTGCCTAATTGGTTTCAACTGGAACCAGTTGTTCCAATTTCCCTATTGAAACCAGTTGGCTTCAACTGGTTTCAACTTGTTTCAATTGGTTTCAATTGGATCCAATTGAAACTTACAGTAATTGGCATAAACTTAATTAGTTATAAGTTAATTAGCTCTTGCACTAATTATCGCTCATGTCAACACAGAAACATTGTTATATGTGTCTACATTAAGTACAATGTAAAGGGCATTATAATATGCAGACCATATAATATACTTAACAAGGAAGGCATTGCCATTATATATGTTTGTAATTGATGTATTTTGTACATGGTTAGTGTTTTACTCATCAACTTTTAATCTGTGTAATTACAAAAATATGTTACAAATGAACATGCTTATCATTGCTAATTAATCTTTATATTTATCTAAAACAAATGCATTACTTGCAAATGAAAATTAATTAATAAGTACATTGTAAATCAAAATAAATTACATAAAACGTTGATCTGCACACAAGCATATAATATGCAAATTAACTGGTTTCAATTGGATCCAGTTGGGTAACTGGAAATATTTCCAATTGGAACCAATTGGGTAACTGGAAATGAATTCTAACTGGAACCAGTTGGGTAACTGGAAATTATTTCTAACTGGAAATGAATGCTAACTGGAACCAGTTGGGTAACTGGAAATGAATTCTAACTGGAACCAGTTAGGTAACTGGAAATAAATTCTAACTGGAATGAATGCTAACTGGAACCAGTTGGGTAACTGGAAATGATTTCTAAATGGAACCAGTTGGGTAACTGGAAATAAATTCTAACTGGAACCAGTTGGGTAACTGGAAATGACTTCTAACTGGAACCAGTTGGGTAACTGGAAATGACTACTAACTGGAAATGAATGCTAACTGGAACCAGTTGGGTTACTGGAAATGAATTCTAACTGGAACCAGTTGGGTAACTGGAAATGAATTCTAACTGGAACCAGTTGGGTAACTGGAAATGACTTCTAACTGGAATGAATGCTAACTGGAACCAGTTGGGTAACTGGAAATGACTTCTAACTGGAACCAATTGGGTAATTGGAAATGAATTCTAACTGGAACCAGTTGGGTAACTGGAAATGACTTCTAACTGGAAATGAATGTTAACTGGAACCAGTTGGGTAACTGGAAATGAATTCTAATGGAACCAATTGAGTAACAGGAAAATCATCTTACTGTTTCCAGTTGAACTTCTAACTGGAACCAGTTGGGTAACTGGAAATGACTTCTAACTGGAACCAATTGAGTAACTGGAAAAATTACCTTACTGGTTCCAGTTGCACTTCTTATTGGTTTGAACTGGAAATGAGTACCCATAACAATATTTTCCAGTTCGGCAATTGGTTTCAACTGGAAATTTTCTATTCCAATTGAAACCAATTGAAACCAATTGAAACCAGTTGAAACCAATTGAAACCAGTTGGAGATTTCAACTGGTTTCAATTGGATTTTGGTCCTGGGTGAGCACGCAAAGCGTGCGAATCACTTACAGAGCGCGCGTATAGCGCGCTCCCTAGGGGGTTGGGTGCGCGAAAGCCTTGACGTTATAGAGAAAGAAGGCGATTCGTTGTACCGTTCTCGACTCTTAATCCTTTTTCTTCCTATGTCCTCTTCCTTTCTTCTTTCTCTCTCTCTCTCTCTCTCTCTCTCTTTTTGGCCGGCGTTTTTGGGGGGCGACCGCCCCTACCGCCCCCCTGGCTACGCGCCTGATATCAGCACATTTAGGGACAATGTGCTATCATTATATAAGTATGACATTTTATCATTATTATTATTACCGGTGTATATGAACTTTTATGAATACTCATAAATCACTATAAAAATCACCTTTTACTGTCAGAACATGATTCTTAAATAGTTCGAACTCTGAAGTTTCTGATAAATATGAATAGGATCAGTGGCGAATTCATTCTAGCGGGGAGTGGGTGCATGCTAGAGAGAATAACAATTATATGTCATTTGTTTTGTAGTTTTGTAGGGTACAGACTTTCTTACTCCTGAATAAAAGTGCGTTAACCACATTTTTTTCCCTTTTTTCCAGAAGCCTTTTGGAGATAAGAGTTGCCGCCGCGGGAACATTATAGAACGCCAATCGTTTCAAGTTTCGATAGCCATGATAAGAATCTAACTTTGGCAGCAATAAACCTTATACATGCCAAAACGGTATATCATACATTGATTACAAATTGTTGTTTTTAGTTCCGAAATACTTGAATTGCACTTTGAGAGAACCTGAATGACCTTGACTTTGAAAAAGCTGATTATGAGTTCGGTGAACTGTTCAAACCAATAGGGTAAACAAATAAAATGAAATAAATAAATTAACTTGATGTACGTTGACAGGATTTGGGATGGGCATGCAAGTGAGCACAGTACCAGGGAGTATAATGATCGAGAAAGAGGCTGGTGACGGGGGGGGGGGGGGGGGGGGGGGGGGGGGGGGCAACCCACTGATCGATCGCTATTATTGTTCCCGACTCTTGCTTAGCAAAATAAGCAGAAATGTATGCGAAGTCGTATCACATGACAGTGGCAATTTGGTCTACTCTATCCAGGGTATTGCTCAAGGATGTAAGCAGTAGCATTGACCAAGGAACAAATCTGTATAATTATGAAAGTCAAAGAGTCCTCACCAATATACCACAGTGCTCCATAATGTTATTCACATATTCAGAACTTCCATGTGTTCGGAAGATTAAGGTCCAATTGATTTCATCATTTCGCATCCAATTTCATTAAACTTCGTCATCCTCGGTTGCCATTACCACATTTATATCTTATTCATTCTATTTCCAATGTTTTCTGAATGTTTTCGAGACAACTATATTTTTGTCGATCACATAGTTTTATCTAGCTTTTTGTCCCATGGGAGTTTTCATTGTTGCTGAATTTTAGCAACAATAAATAATGTTTGCCATTGTTCCTCGTTCATTATATCCATGACATGGGGTAGCAATTTAGTCTTTCGAGACTTCGGGGGCAGGCGCGCAGAGAAGGGGGGGGGGGGGGAGTTTTGAAAAACTCCCCTTCCGCTTCCGGGTGTTTTATGCCGTTTTTTGGTTTTTCACATTCTTTCTTATTTGTTCATTGTCTCTACAATGCTATCTGGGCGGTATTCTGAACCCTGTTGTAACTTTTGTGTTATCTTTTGTTGTATCTTTTCTCTCATCTTATTGACGGCGCCTGCGCTCATACTTTGGTGTGCTTGTATTGTGCGTATTATTAATAAAGTGGCATTTAATCCTCATTTGCATAAGCGCACGGGAGATAATAATTATGTGGAGATAATTGGTATTCTGAAAGTTGTTGTATCTTTTATCTTATCTCATCTTGCATGGTATTTACAACAATATTTACAACAGGTAGGGGGTTGTTGTATCTTTCGTGGTGATATAATGGCAGCAATATTTTTTGGCCAGAACCAACTTCGTGCCAATAGACGAGTTAGAAGAAGATTGTGTGTTGACCGGAAACATCACAGATGAGAACTTTTAAAGATATTACATGCTAGGATATGACGATTTTAATGCTCTCATCATAAACCAATATAGTGAAAGCGTGATTTTTGGAGTCTCCGAGGCCCATAGTTTAACCAGTACCTCGAATAGAAGGCATGGTATATTTGTTTTATATCCTGCATCAAAAATTTGTTTAAAAAAAAAAAAAAAAAAAATTTTGGAAAAAAAAATGTTAAAACAAAAAAAATGTCAATTTTTATCTAAAAAGATTTAAAATATTTTGTTTTCATTAAATTAAGATTTGAAAAATAAAATTGATTCAATTAAAAAAAAAGAATTCACATTTTTTCAACTCCCAAATAGTAAACCAAAATAGTACTCTCATAATAGTACTTTCTAAAAATAGGTCAAATATTTCTGGTCATGTGACGAGCTCTCAAGTTGAAGATATTTATCGTTTACAACTAGGAGCTCTAATGTATGAATTGAATGCAGGTCTACTGCCAGTGGCCTTGGCTGGAATATTTAAGAAAAATAACCAAGTTCATAGTTATTCCACACGACAGGCGCAAGCATATCACTTACCTCTTGTTAGAACGCAATTTGCCCTTACTACTTTGGGGTCCACTGGACCTAGGTTTTGGAATTCCCTTGAACCAAGAATAGCGCAATCGGTCAGTATTTATGTATTTAAGCGCAAACTGAAGTTACTGTATTTGAGTCGATATCATCTAGATTTATAGTTGTGATCAATATTTAAGAAAATTATTTGCTATATAGGTCAGCTAATTCTACTCCCGTTTTTAACATCCTTTCATCTGTTTGTCTTGTTTAGTTTTTGTCTGTATTTCATTCCTGTTGCTCGTAGTATATTCCTGTTCCAGTTGTTTATAACCATTATTTAGTACCCAGTAGATTTTATTGTACTTATTTATGTTTAATACTTTATCAGTTGTTTAGTTAGTTTAGTTTTGTAAGCATTTAAATGTACACATTATTCTTATCTGACGAGTTTGTTCTTTTAGGACATACTCATGAACTACTCATGAGGGACCTTAAATCCACAAGCCTTGCTTTCAACCAAGGTCACCTCATCTTTCTATTGTAACGCCATATTCTGTTCACTCCTTTATATTCATGTCATATTTGCAATGTGTGTTATGAAAGAAAGATAAATAAACTTGAAACTTGAAACTTGAAACTTGATAAGATAAAGGCGGTCCTTCAAGAGATAACACAGGGATAAAAACAATGTTCAGAATACCAACTTACAACACTATTAGCGCTGTGTTATCTCTAGCTGGAAGATACAACAAAAGATAACACAAAACTTACAACAATGTTCAAAATACCGCCCCTGAATGACAGAATGACATTAAACAACACTTTTTGTTTAAACGTTCGGCCTCCTGGGAGAAGTTTCAATTGTTGTAAAGAAACTGGGTACAAGCCAAAAAGTTATCTATATACAACAAAAAACAACATTGTGTTATTATTTTATGTATAGCGTCACATGGCAGATAAATTCATGTTTAATACCAGGTTTAATAATGTTAAAGAACACTGGACCATGCTTTCTCTCCCCCCCCCCCCTCTCTCTCTCTCTCTCTCCCTCCTTCCCTCTCTCTTTCTTTACGTCATTGACTTATAGAACGAAAAATATTTTATTCCAGACAGTAGGTCTTGCAAGTAAAAACAAAAACTGGAATCAATGATGATTCAGTCAATATTTGTTATAACTACTGTTTCCGAGTTTGCTATTGGTTGATCTCTTGAAGTGAATGATTGACCATAAGTATAGTGATGATAAAAATGAGAATTTTTAACGTGGATATTTGTATCATTTATGTACAAAATGGGGATGGAATAATGTTTCGTTTACACCCGGTAGCCTCAGTGTTAACAGTGGGTGTTTTTTTTTTTTTCTCTCATCTCTTTGGACTCCTGAGAAATTATTCCGAATTTAGGGGGGTACATTGAGCATTTTTCCGTATTTAGGGGGGTCTCCAAGGCAGGAAAAGCTCGCGAAAAGCCCGCAAAAGGGGGGTTAGGAAATGTTGGCAGTCCTCAGATAGGGGGTGCTTTCAAAAAGAGGGAACGAGCATACGCGTACCCTAAATAACACTGAGTGGATGGGGGGCGGGATCACACCCAACTGCTAAAAATGATACTTAAGCAATATCTTGTATGGTGTATAAAGAGAAGCAAAAATTGTAATATTGAAATAAAATCTGATAATGTTATGACAATATAGGGGTAGGCCTATATACCAATGTCTAAAAAAATAGTATAGGCCTATTTTCGTTTTGAGATTGTTGTAGGTGCCATTTTTCCTGATAGTGCCCTTTTTGTAGGTACCCCCCCCCCCCCACTTTAGAAGTCGCTCCGCCGCCCCTGCCCTAATTTACATCTGTTCCGAGTTTTGCTTGGTTATTTTGTCCTGAAGATTACCATGAATAAAAATAAATAATTAAAAAAAAAAAAAAAAAAAAAAAATCACATTTTTTTGTCCTATTCATTCTATTTCTATCAATATTTTCTTGCTGTTTTCAGGACAATATAATTGTAAAGGTACCCTTGTGCATATCCTGAGGGTGTTTCACTAAGCCCTAAAATTGATCTTAAAATCGAAATCGATTTTAGTTGATGAAACACACCCCCCCCCCCCCCCCGAACACATTATGTACGAGGGTTCGATTACAGCTACGAAAAAAAAATCGGTCTGTCAATAAGATTAATTATAAGATGAAGCTTATTTTTTTTTAACATGTAATCTTTCCAACATCAACAATAAAAATCTATCCTGAGGATAAGGTGATTTCAGTCGATTCGTTCCCCCTATATAGCCAATCCCCAATCAGACACCGGCCTCGCCCAAGCCATCGGCCTCGCCCCTATAGCCTAGCAACATACGTAACGCACCGCCGCGGTACGGCCGTGTATATGTTTATGGTCTTGAAACATATACCCTATACTAGGCCTACGAGGTCGATGACGATAGGTGCACTGTACTATACCATGCATGTGTGAGGTTTATTAATTGACTGTACTAAAATTACACGTCGAGTCGCCGACTGCACCCAAACAAGCCCAGTGCAGTGGCCGATATCGTGAGTATTAAAGATTTATTAATTATTAACTATCACCGCTTTAGAAATCAAAAGATTGAGGGTACCGATAGACCCACTTTCAATCTGTAAGTTGAATTCAGATGGAAGAATTGTTAGTCATACTTATACTTTCGCGGTAGCGAAAGTGTACAGGTTGTGCTCGCAGAAGTTGAGGCACAACCGGCCGGGTGGCTTGCACAGTGTTTACTCGTGAGCCGCGCGCTGGTTACTGACTATGCAGTGTGATGTGGAGACCCATATCTGCGTATCGTAACATTTCACTTGAAAGTTGAAATTGACAATAATTTTCTGTCGTATTCCCATAATGCTTGCTCTCATCTTAATCATATTCTAAAGAGTAAGTGTGCTGTAATCTCATCAAAGTTCGAGTAGATTTCTAGACCTATTAAAGCACAGTGTCATTTTCACAAGATAGGGCCAAGTCGTAAGTGAAGCATTACAAATAATTGTTATTCCTTCAAAACACAACCCAAAGTCCAGACAAAAGAAGACTTTATTATTGACAATAACAATGAATTTTGCTACATTTCACTTTCTACTTTTCACTTTCTACTTAGCTCTATATTCAGGTGTACTGCACATTCCTTGATTACTAATACAATATTGTGTAATTTTGTATTGTTTTACTGTACCATTTTTGGTCCCCATGGAAGACCAGCGGCATCATAACGATACCACTGAATATGGGCTACCCAGCCGTTAAGTAATTGTTATTCGATACTGTTTTACTTATTGCATGTTGTCTTTTTAATTTTATACAGAAAGTTAAAACAAACCAAAAAACGAACAAACAATTACTTTAATCATTATAAATTAGGCATCATTGTAAAGGGGAATAAATAAACAGACCTTTCAATAATGTCAATGTAAAATATAATAACAGGAGAGGTATCAATACTAAAACTCAAACAGCTGAACATTTTTGAGGGGATCGTTTTGAACTTGAGTTATCTGTCTTACAGTACATTTTAATCCATTCTTAATCCCTAAACGTAAACATCGTCCTGGCCAGGCTATATCTAAATCCCTTGAGCTGCATTCATAAGAGTAGGTCAGTTTATCAACTTGTGGAGTGTTCTTCTTTATTAAAGCCAAACTGTCCTACATGTTCCCCAGTCGGTGCCTGTTGGTCCCCCATGTTCCTCTTTTTCTTATATTAATTGAGAGCTGAGTTAATGAGATAGCCACCTGTCCAGTGACCTCGCTGTATGGTCTTATCCCTTCTGGCTGAACTAGGACAGCCGGCCTTTAAAGCATCCCTAAAGTGTTGGGAGCCTCAAAACTCTGATGGCAAAAATCCACTTCAATTGTACTAAGCTTTATAAAATGTGCATGGAATTGCAAGTAAATTGTGTCTCACCAAGACTTACTGTAGCCATGTTATCATAGTCACAACTTGGCTGTTTCCTGTTTGATAAAGAGGATGCGATTAAACTGATAAGTGAAGGGCAGAGCTGATAATATTTCTACTAAACTTCAAACCGATAAGTCAGAATAATAAGGAGTTACAGTATCAATTAAGTTTAAGTAGAATACATGCACATTTTTAATGTTGGCTTTCTTTAACATTATGTGTGTAAGAGTTAAAATTAGACTCCTTCCATAGTTGTATTTTGTGACAATTATATATTTAAAAAAAAATCTTTTCTCCCTATACATATTCATTTCATATCATTTGCTTATTCACTTACATATATTAATTTACTTCAATTACTCAACCCAATTCCTTCCTCCATTCAGCTCCTCTCTGCATACCAAGTCTTCCATTTCACAGAGTGGGGGGGGGGGGGGTTCACAAATCTTGTCATCAGAGACAAATGACAGTTTTTGTAATAAGCCACTGAAATCCTTGCTTCTGATTGGTTATCAGCAGATTTGTTACTGATTTTTGTCATTGAAAGAAGGCTTTGTGAAACGGGTCCCTGGTTTTTTCCTTTGTCCACTTTTTGCTTTTCCTTGGGTATCTTTTTCTTTCCTTTTGAATATTCATTCTTACTGTTAAATCCTATTAGTTAGTGCTTTATGGTGTATTTCATTTCAATATACTTTGCTCAAAAATCTTCAGAATGATGCTGCATAGCATCCTACAATACAACAGACAGACCTACACTGGACTTCTTCTGAGTTAGTTGCCATTATTTAGTGCTCTGTTAGTTTTAGTTGGAGATTTAGGACTTAGGAGAGAGGATTTATTTGAGTTTGACAGTGACTTTTGGATGATTATTTTTAATCTATATTGGTGAGAGATAAATTTGTATTACATGTACTTTACATGTTTAAGGCCTATAAATGTACATGTGTGCTACCGCTTTTCAATATGTTTAGGAAATAGGAAATGTTCTGTAGCGAGTTGCAAATGCAAATAGGATCAGAGTACGGTAATAATATAGTATTAATGACTGCTTTGAGAGAAATAGTTGTTTTTATACGCTCAAGGGAAGGTTACAATTGTGCTATTGCCCGAGGCGTGCCGAGGGCAATAGCACAATTGTAACCTTCCCGAGAGCGTATAAAAACAACTATTTCTCGAATATCAAAGCAGTCATTAATACTTTTATATACTGAAGAGTCAACTTACCAATCAACTGGTAGAACAGGTACTCAGAACAGGAACTCAGAACTCCGTAGAAAATAACTCAACTGTAGAACCGTAGAAAATAACTCAACCGTAGAACCGTAGAAAATAAACCGTAGAACCGTAGAAAATAACTCAACCGTAGAACCGTAGAAAATAACTCAACCGTAGAACCGTAGAAAATAACTCAACCGTAGAAAATAACTCTATTTGTTCAAAATGTTTACCGTACAATTGTGAAAATTATACGTGGGGGCTTGCACCTGCTGACTAGTGGCTACATGGCTACTTGTGGTGATGTTGCATGTGCGTGGGAAGTTCTCTGGGTTATTTGTGATCTCATTGAAAATGTCATTTAGTTCCCGCAGTTCCTGGCTTTCACTACGCTGACCACCAGTAGATGTTGATGACGATGGTACTGATTTCGGATCAACAGCTGCCGCGATACCATGACCTATGTTTGATGAGGATGGTACTGATTTCGGATCAACGGCTGCCGCGATAGCATGACTCATGTTTTCTTTGGCTGTACTGCTAGTCATAGCATAGTGTTTCAGACTGGTCTCCGCCTTGTGTCCGGAGACACTCATTATTTCTCTGTCTCTGAACCCAGCATTTTGTAGGGTACTGATGCTGGTTGCCCTTAGGCAATGGTTGGTGTAAGCCTTGGTACCTGCACGAGATGAAATTGTTTTCATCTTGTCTCCGATGCTGTTTTTCCCTAGGGGTGCATTACAGTACCATTGATCAAAAGAAGATGGATTGGATTTGAACTCACGCTTGGCCTGTGCACGTGCATTTGCCGGTCTCTGCCAAAAACTCTTACATTGTGGATTCAATTTATCTTTGTAGCGTAAGAAGGAGGCAACAGGACATCGTGGACCATTAGTTGGAATCATGACACCACCTTGGCTTTTCTCTAGTTTATCTGCCCTGTTGTTTTTTGTGAGTGTATCTTCAGAGTTATGGAGCATTTTCCCCCTTCATCACAAATGTCAAAGCTGTCAAGTGTCATTTCACGCAAATTCTCTCTACCCCGATTGCAAAAGTACAACATTACATCCATAAATACCTTGTCCTGAAGACCCACAGGATCATCCAAATCAAGCGAACCTTGGATTTTGTCCATGTCTTCTGCTGAGATAGCTGGTTTGTGAGTTACAACTCCCTTTCCTTCCTGTTTAAGCATTGCTGAAAAACACTTAAAAACTTGCGTCGAGTTGGAAAAATCTTCATGCTTGATGATATCTATCTTATTACAGTTGAGGAAATGACGCTGAAGTCCGAATCTAATAGCTAACATTGACTTCTTCATGTAATAACTTCCGTTCTTCCGTCTGGCACCAGCGTAAAACTTTTGCAGTACATTGTCCAGCTCCGAATTTGAAAGCTTGTTTACGCTATCGAGGTCTGTCTTGATAACTTGCAGGAAGTCTTCGAATATTTTCATGGAGCATTTAACGGAATTTTTCGTGTTCTTGCTGTCAGCAGAATCAATCAAGTCTCTCATTTGATCATCATCAAGAAGCTGAAATCTTGGGAGCGTTTCTATTAATTCCGCCATTTTGGCCTAGTAGTACAGTCGGTCGTCTGCGCTGCACTCGATCACTGGCACAACAATGCTACAAATTCACAAGGGAGTCGGGCTAACTCGCCCCACGGGACATCTCGCCCCAGCGAGATATCCCGACATGATTTATCGATCGAGAGATACCAGTAGTCTGCTAATTAACGGCCAGGACGAAAGAATGTGAACAAATATCAGCCATATCGTCTAAAATGTACAATGAGCACAAACTATATACACATTGGTATCTCTCGATCGATGAATCGTGTCGGAACATTTCGACCCAGTCTTTGATGCTGGGGCGAGATGTCCCGTGGGGCGAGTTAGCTGCTAGTTGTATTACAAAATTGGTAAAATGTAGCGACCATTTCTTCGCACACATATGGTATCCTCCATCGCTCAAACCATTTTTTAACATGTAAACCTATGGGGTAACCATGGAGACTGACCTATTTTTTTAATAACCATGGTTATTAAAAATATTGAAATGTTTTATGCATGGTTACCGAGAATTTTACAGGAACAGTTGAAGTTTATGAATGCAATTTCGACCAATCAGATGGCTGGATTACTTAAGTGAGGTATATAACATTTAATGATTTACTCAGGAAGTTACTCAAGTATTGCTGTTTACCTCTTTTAATCAAGAACATTAGTGGGTACATGCATCATGTTTGCAGAGAACTTTACAATATACTGGTATGCACTTATCCAATGGCCCATAGCAAGCCAGCTAATTCATTTTTCAAAGTTGATTTTATGCATTCTAGCTAAACATACTATTTTTGTAGGTGATTGATGTACACTTTAATTTGAGATCAAGGTACTGGGTCTGTATTATATTATTACACTCTGGAGTGCAGTAACAAGGACAGTGTGTATTGAAGGTCTACATGAAGCTAGACAAACAGGCCTATCAATGTGTACAGCCGTGTATCAATCAGATATGACATATTTACGTCTGGGGACCATCTGGAAAAAAGTACATTAAAAGGAATAAAATACATGAAAATACACCAAAAAGGAAAAAAGACAAAGAATAATATAAGGAACAGGGTTTGGAAAAAATATTGACTTCTAAAAACGTGTTTTGCATAGCTGAGATCATGAGGATTTGTTGCATTAACTGTAAAGCAACCTTTATGTATGTATCATTGATCGGAAGAAGCTGGCAGTTCTGGTACTAAAAATGATAACGTGCGGTTACAAATTTACACACTTTTTTTAACTGAGATACCGGTAATCAAATCAGGTATAATTTCTGCAATTACTTGTATAGGCCTACTTAGCGGACAGGGAAAGATCATTTGGACCCCCTGCATATTAGAATGGCTAATTTGTTGAATGAATGATTTGAGGAATAAAAGATTTCAGGGTTGGAAATACTTATGATAGGAAGAAAAAAAAATTGATGTTTAAAGGTACTATGTCCCATTTGCAGGCCAAAAAAATGAAAAGGTTAAATTCCAATGACATTTGAAAGATAATACTAATTTAGAACTCCCCTTAAAAAAGGGGGACTTGAAAATGTCTTTAAAAAAGACAAAAAGTAATAATCTGTGTGTCCTTGAATGATACGTTATTGTAAAGAAGAACTAATATTCTGTCATCCATTATCATAATTGTGCTGCCAAGGATGACTGAACAGCAGGCTTTTCAAAGGGTATCGTCAAAATCCTCTTGAACCTAGTTTGGGCTGAAGCAATGAAAGTGGGTCAAAAGTCATGTGTGTGTTATCTCATTTAAAGCCCCACTGTCCTACTTGTAGCTACTTGCTCCCTCTATATAGAAAACTTCCCCAATCGGTGCCTGTTGGTCCCCCATGATCCTCTATTTCTTATGTTATTTGAGAGCTGAGTTGATGAGATAGCCACCTGTCAGTGACCTCGCTGTGTGGTCTAATCCCTCCTTGCCACACTAGTGTTGATAAGCTTTAAAAAACAATTTCTCATTTATTTGCGTTGACTATTAGGCAGTTGATAAAAAAGGTGTTAATATCAACACAAACTCAAGGAAATACAACAAAGCACGAGGCATCGTTTTACATTTATAAGGAAAAGACCAAAGAAGCACGTTCATATGGCCTGACCCACATACTGTAAGCCCAAACTTGGAACAAGGCAATTTTGACAACACTTTTTATAGACCCCGGTGCTCAGTCACCAGTGGCAAAAATATTATGAATAGGGTATCAAACAAATAAGTTACTCTTCATCATGAAACTGATTCAAAGTCATATTGGTAATGACTTTTCAATTAGGAGCTACTATACAAATAACACACATCAGTGAGGGCATTAGTAAGAATTACCCAATCAAGGTACCTTTGGAACAGTCTAACATGCCCGAGGCAATAGCAGATGATGTTTGGACTGTTTCAAAGGTACTGAGTGTTGGTAATTTTACTAATGCCTGAACAAAATAATGTGTATTATTTATTTTATAAGATGATGTTTTATTTGTTTTATAAGATGATGTTTTATTTGTTTTATACAATGATTTTACCGGTCATTAGTAAAATTATGTGTTAGGCAAAATGAATGCCTGGTCCACCTCCCTGGTCACGTGTACGCTCTCAACCAATCATTTGATTAGGATCTGCTTTATCATCTTATAACAAAGTATATCCCACTGTATTAACATACACACACACACACAAGATAAAACATGACATTCAAAATTGTCTTTATTTTAGATTGAGATAATTAAACTGGGTATAATTTCCACAAGGTATAGGCCTACAGTAGTGGGTTAGGAAACATCATGATGGCATAAATACATATACTTGTAAATAAAACTAATTTGGCTAGTGAATGAGATCAGAATTAAATAATTTTGTTTGAAAAATGTTCCCCAAACGTTGAAAGAAGGATAGAACAAAAAGGGATAGGTAGAGAAGATGAGTGGAACACAAAACAAAGAAATAGGAAAGGGTAGAAGAAGAAAAAATAATGGTGGGATAAAAGCAAAGGTTAGCATAAGGAAACAAAAAGAAGAAAAGATAATAGAAGGATAAAGCTAAGAATAATATACAAATGTAAGGAAAGAATCTCTTTAGTACAGCATATAAAAGCTCACATTTATAATGCGCCTAATACTTCGTTTTTAGGCGCAGCACCCCGGTCTTCAGATTCAGGCTTTTTTTTATTTATTGATTTATAACACATCATTACATGTACCCGCAACACAATGTATGCACATTTTTCACTCCCTGGGGAGCATTTCAGCCAGTCACATTTTACAAGCGCCACTTGCTAATCCAACCACATTAACTTTCACATTCTACCAGGTACCCAATTTTACACCTGGGTGGAGAGTGGCAAATGTAGACCAATGTCTTGCCAAAGTACATTACTGCCGCAGCTGGACTTGAACAGCAGACCTTGTGATCAATTCAAATTTAAGAAACTGATCACTGATAAATGCCTTGCAACAAAAATAAGCCCTAAGAAAACCCATGACTCTGACTGACTTTGTGTGTCACATTATCTGTACACTTAGGTTACTGTAGTTTGCTTATTCACCACACAGAAGAGTACTTGACTTCTCATTGATGTAATTAATTGATAATTATCTGTTAATTATCTGTTATCTTTCCAGTGTAAACAGCATACTGTATTGTATTTCCTCTTTCCAAACAGATCTAGGTCCATGTCAAGACTCATTCTTGACGTCATCACGGCAGGCACGTCTGAAATATACGTAGGACCTTGATTGCACGAGCCAAGTGCAGCTTCCTCTGCAATCTTCTTTATCTGGTGTGTCAACAGAGGTGTCGAATCATGGCTCCCGGGAAGGATGAAGTAACACCCTTGCTAGGGCATCACGGCCATATATCTACAGATGGGCACAACAGCAGGTGCTCAATTCAGCAACGTTGTAAGACCATGACGACCAGACGGTGGGTGTGTTACGCCATCCTGATAGTACTTGCCTTGGTGCTTGTTCTGTCGGGCCTGATTGGGATACCGTACATGATGTCGGCCATTTACAAATGGGTCATCAATACAGTAAGTCACCTTAGATTTAATATAACACTGGAGAAAAGAAAAGTAGTATAAACATACTACTTTGTTTCATTTTCTTTCTTTTTTAATACCATGGCCTCAATGTACCTCGTGCAATTTTATCTTGTTTTTCAAGACTAATGGCAAATAAATAAGGCCTGCATTTATCTATGAATAAACTTTATTATCAAAGTCCAACAGTCATTGCAATGATTCATTCATAATGTCATATGCAAGTATTGTGTTGAACGTTGTTTGAAACTTGAGATATTCTCGTATATCTGTGCGACAACTGTGTATTTATAGCATTCTCTATTAATGATCTTCTAGTTTAATAGATGGATTATATTTTTCAATGATTTGATTAACAACAAAGGAAAATTTGTCATCTTTATAATATCTGTGTGTTCATTTTATTAGTTTGGGAGTTAAAGCTCTACTCTCACAAGTATTACAAGTACATAAATGTACATGTATTACAGTAGTAGCACACTAAATATGTATAAAATGGTAGTGTATTACTGTACATTGTTTATCATGAGAAAAGTTATAACTTTTATACCTGTTTAATCGTGCACAAGTAGAAACAACATTTTGGCAATTCTACACTGTAAATGTTTTTTATTTTGCTTTCAACTAAAAGCTGTATGGTATGTGTAACTTGCTTTGAAATTCCATGATTTATATCACAAGTTTTTATATCACAACAGTCCTTTTCAGGACTCCCCAATCCTCCCCCCTCTCTCTCATGGTGCCACAGTAAGCCTAAGTACTGTATATGTTTTATATCCTTGTTCATAATGATGTTAATTTTTCATTTTTTCTCTCTCATTTCTTATTTTTATGTTTAGATGATGGTACTGGATCCCTCCTCTCCTCTCTTTGTAGAATGGGAGACACCAAACATACCCATGTTTCAATCCTTCTATTTTTTCGACATTCAAAACCCGGAAGAGTTTAAAGCGGGTGGAAGGCCCAATGTTATCGAGAGAGGACCCTATGTATATAAGTGAGTCATTTTTTCTTTTCTTTCTTGTTGAAGAAGATTATCAGGATAGTGCAAATCACCAGGAATTAGTTCTTTGATACATCTAAACAGTGTTTACCGGTGACTGTTCCGATATAGTATTCAAAACACGTTTCTCAGAAGTGTACTGGAAAACTTTAGTGAACCAATCACCTACAAAAAATATTTTTACTGCTAGAATGTATAAAATCAACCTCAACAACACTTTTCCCGCATTCTATAGGCCAGTGGATAAGGGCCCTATTCCATGCTGGCATGTACGGGTGCGTCAAATACTCTACTCACACATCGTTTGTATTGGGAGTGTATTTAAAATTACAGTATCTCTTTATAGAAGTAATATTTGAAGCTCATATTTTGAATATAGTTCATAGCCACATGGAACCTCTACCATACAGAACAAAATATATATTTTTTTTTTTGGGGGGGGGGGGGGGTGATTGGTACACTCTAAGTGAGCTGCCACTTTTATGTTTCCGACCAGAAGTTGCTGTTTTAGCGAATACTTGTATGTGCCCCTGTCTCTGTTCATGTTGTTTAGTGTTGGTTGAGTCCATATTGTTTCCCAGGGCCAAGTCTTACAAAGAGTTGCGATTGATCCGAATCAATCCCAAGTACTCCAATCAGTCGCAAGTGTGCAGTCTCCTATCTCTTATGTACATAGTTGTGATTGATATCAACTCTTTGTAAGACGGGGCCCTGCAGATCTATCTTTTTGGCCTGGTTTGCCAATACACACTTGACGTTGTGGTCTGAACCATAGACGTTGAAACTGCCACAATTGAATACCGTTAGCTGTGTCATATGTGTCTTTATTATTTTCTTTATTTGATACAAATGAGTCTTTTGACCCCCCCTCCCCCCCCCCCCCCCCCCCACACACACACATGCACACACGTTTTTCTCCATTTAGTAATTGCAGTAACTGAATGTGAATGATTGCATCAATAATGATTGTTCTTTTCTTGTTTCTTTTTATTTGATGTGTTACCAAACTATTAAAGGCTCTGTGCATTGTCTCTAAGTATGAAACTGACTGCATTATCAAATTATCTAAATAGTTTTGATAGGTAGTTTTTAAACAACAGGAGCACACATGATGAGATACTGTATCTTCCCATCAAAGCGTCACATTGGTTTAAAGGAAATATGTTTTGACAGTGGAGGTGCACGTACAAGGGTGTATGCACTATTATACAAATAATTAATGTTTGCATGTGCATTAGTGAAGATGTACAGCATAAAGGTTACGTCCCAATCGGATAATGAGCCTGACAAGTCTCTTTGAAATGCCGAAACGGATGGCTCAAGACCGAGGTACTTGGAGAGACACCTGATATAGAATTCTGACTGGGTCACTGAACCTGCCATAAACTGACAGATCACTATTGATGATGAAGTCTCTAAATGTATGCCGCCAAACAGTGTAATCTGCATCTCAATGTGCGCATCAATGTCCCTGTCTTATGAAAATTTGTGCATTTCATCACATTTTATCTTTGTACACGTCAGAGACACGTACAGCCCCCATCCCCCATCCCCCTGGGATCCTCCTATTGAAAACAGAGATCATCTTAGAAAGTGTAAAAGTTGAGCCTCGAGTAGATTGATCTACACGTCGTTTTTGGAATTACAACAGTTCTGTACAAAGTTACAAATGGAAAATTTACCGTATGAGAAATTAAACAAGTTATGCATTTTACAAGAAACAAAAATACATGTTGATGTAGACCTATGCTTGTCTTTGCACCCAGGATAATGACTGGTCAATGCCAAAAGAATGTGTTAGAAACAATAAATGCCTGGTCATGCATATGCAGCCAATCATTTGATTAGGATAACGTCACCATTATATAATACACGATGACATTGAGCACAAGAAACATTGAGCACAAGAAACAATTGAAAACCTATCTAATGTCTGAATTCCTTATTTAAGACGTAGTGTATTTCACAATCTGATGTAATTAACGTTGTTGAATTGTATTTAATTATGTCATATTATTTTCGTTCAATGTACTTACCTTGTTAGGCGCCTTGAGCATCTCTTGGGGTGGATATGTGCGCATTATAAATGTTGTTATCAGGTGGGCTGTATAACGTACAGACCACCTTATAATTTCGTTAGAATTGCCTTTATTTATTTATTATTTATTATTTATATATTTTTCTTATTTCTAACCACTTTTTTGTTGGCAAGATAACTTGGAAATGGCTCAATCAAATAATTTGAAATTTGGCACACATATGTATAGGCATATGTACAAAGCACAATAACGTTTTCAACATTGACCTTCACTGATGACGTCATCTAGGCGCCATTTTGTAAAATTTTACGAAAATCAACTCCTGATCATATCTTCATAACCAAAAGGTATTTCTGATTCATATTTATCATGATCAGGGTCAATATCCGTCCGGTCAATTTCAGGTCAAATAACGCGCGCGTGCGCGTACGTCCGCGCGTCAATGCGCGCGCAAAATTTTGAAATGCTCAAAATCGTCTCAAAATCATTTTGCATACGTTTTAGGCCATTCTAAGCATTTTTTTAAAAATCGCGCACATGCGCATGCGCGCGCGTTTTCGCGCGTAAAACTATTAGACACCATAGAATCGCCATTTTTTTTCTTTCATAATATTCCACATATTCTTACAAACAAATTGATACCATGTTTGTCTCTTTATGACTATAAATAATTGAATAATCGACCGTTTAACATAAATTTCAATGCGCGCGAGCTCTTGTAATACATAGCATATATGGGCAAAAACATGCCTATGCAAAATCCATTATAGCTCTTTAGGATGCAAGGTGACCCCAATTTTGTTTTCATATTTTGAGCGAGTATGAATCAGAGATATGATTTCATGTCTCATTTGACCCTCAATTAACTCATGACGTCATCATAATGGCCTCCGAACTCAAAATTTCAATTTGCCTATTATGACGTCAGCATTTTTTTGGAAAATTGATTGTATCTTTCTAAAAATTGATTAATTTTCTTTAAAATTTTGATATGTTCTAGCTGAGACAATTCTCTACAAATCCAGTTTTCACAATTTTTCATTTTGACAAAGGCATCATCGCGTATTTTTGCGATTAAAGGAGGCAAGCTAATTTTTTCACATTTTGCGTGTATTCTCTATGGGACATGACTTTTTCTCAAAACTTGATTCTACATTCCCGTCTTTCGCGAGCAATGTCTACGTCGTTTTAGCTTCATTTACGCTGAACTCCGAATATATTGTAGCTGAGACAAAAAGCTATTTCAAATGTACCCTTTATTTTGTCTCAATTTTTTGTTGGATCAGCCCACCTATACTTGTTCCAAACAAGTATTACAAATCTAGTTATTATTATTATTATTACAAGAAACTTAATAAGATAATAGGATTAACATTAGACTTGTGCAAGTAGACATCAGAGTTTATCAAAGACCATTTACTCAAATATTTAAAAGTTTTCAATGTAAATACCACAGTGAGGTTTTATCAAAAAGTCTTATCTAACTAAATATTTGACAGTGACTCCATGCTAAGAACGCATTCCTGACATTATTAGTAGGAAAGGATGGTTTTACGGGTTAGTGGCAGTATTGTGATTAGTACTTTCTCAGTAAATGCCCCTATCCTTTGGAATAAATTACCAGCGCACTTTCATAATATTCATTCTCTTGACCAATTCAAGTCCTTGCTGAAAACGCACCTTTTTAATTCATGAATGATATTCTGCAGTTGTGAGTCTGTCAAAGGAGGTGCAAACCTTCTTATTTCTTGTTTGTTCGATCTTATGTTTGATCCTATGTTTGACCTCATGTATGTTTGATCTCACTCTTATTTTTATTATTATATATGCATGATTTATTGAATAAAGAACAGATGTATAAGTTGTGTGTTTATTATAAGTTTTGGTAAATAATTATTTAGTCAGACTATGGTGTGCTTAGAGACACCAGTATTAAGCGCCTAATATATTGTGTAATATTATTATTATTTATAGCTGAAATTGTTTACGTTTCATATGAACGAACCCTCCATTTTTAACCATGTTGTATTTGGTTGGCTTCAAGGCAGTAATGATTTTTGCCGAATGAAATCTAGAAAAGTATTTGTGAAAATGTCCTGATATTTTAAGTCTTGTTGAGGTATGATGAGTAAACCGCCACACAATATAACATGAGTGGCAACTGCCTACAACACAGGACTTATGTGTAGGCACTGAGGTTTGTGTTTTAAAAACAGAAATGTTTTTTAAATGCAGCGGTTTTGCTGCATCATATCTGAACGAGCCTTTAGAATGTGTATGTCCTCATGCACCTTAGAAAAATAGTATGCATCCTTTGTGCAAATAATAATAGTGAAGGTAACATGGTGGTGGTGGTTATTTTACGTGACTGCTAAGAAAGCATAAATGCTTGTAAGTAAGCAACCAGACGGCCGACGGCTTCCTCTCTGAGGGACCTGGTAATGAGGATTAATGCCTTACCAAAGGGCACTAGCGCATCGACTTGGTTTCGAACCCAGGTTACCGAATTACGAGACCACTGCTCTACCAACTGAGCTATCGCGCCCCCTATCCAATTCAAGATGTCAACTGTTTTTATTTGATTTGTTTGTTGCTAATATAACATTAGTCAGGCAGGGGGAAAAAGAAGACAGGAGATGAAGAAAAATTTGCTCCCCAATTCATCACCTGTTGAATACTATGTAGCCTTCAGCTGCATAATAAAGCCAGTTAACATTATGTGAAAATAGCGATAGAACATTGTTATTATCCTCGAAGGCTGTGCATGTATGTAATGCATTGAATTGCTGGAGTTAAAAGAGCATTCAAAAAGGAAAACCTGTTCTCAGAAAGGTTGCTAGTTGGTGAATTAAATCAAGGAGGATATTACTGGTATCTCTTTGATAAAATATACAATAGAGGTAGTACAGACACTTCAGAATCTAGTTTTGTCTCATTTGTCCTTCGCTCTACTTAAGTTTGGCTTTTCAATGAACATAATGCCTGTTTATTGCTTTGAAAGTCTTCCATTGTGCAGTATTTCAACTGAATTAAAGCCCCTCTAAAGCGTTCAGAGCCTCACTTAAAGAGAAGGTTGAGTTCTTGGAAGAGGCGATAAATAATTTGTGAGAGTTATTGTATTATGCAAGTCTAGAAGAACATTAGATAACAAATGTTCCCTGAAAAACATGGCTCTTCAAATGCCTTAATATTCTAAATATGGCATGTAACATCATACAAATTGGGACAGATTTTTATGTGTACAGTGCTTGTAACTTTACCAAGACTGGGCTAAATTTCTCATCATTTTGATGATTCCAGAACCTTGCAGTACATACCAATACTTAAATGCTAGATAATCAACCTTTTCTGATCGATTCCTTTCTTTCACAATGCAATCGCATGACCAGAACTCAACTTTATCTTTAAAGGTATAGACCAGTTTTGGAAACTCCACCCTTTCAAAAAATGAAACAGAAGCTCTTATTACCAATCATGTGAAAGAATATGTTTTGACTAATAGGTGATGATACAAATTTTGCCGGGAAACCGCCTACTAATTGATATATTTGGTAAATCATTATATCTATCTAATCTAATAGGTGATGATACAAATTTGGCCGAGAAACCGCCTACTAATTGATATATTTGGTAAATCATTATACATGTATCTATCCGGACTGGATAGATATCGCGCACGTGTCGCCTAGTCCTATATACATCTTTCTGTGTGCAGTGCTTGTAACTTTACCAAGATTGGGCCAAATTTCTTATCATTTTGATGATTCCAGAACCTTGCAGTACTTATTTGCTATTTAATGATCAACCTTTTCTCATCAATTTTACAACGTTTCTTTCACAATGCCATCGCATGACCAGAACTGGTCTTTACCTTTAAACTGTATCATAATTTGAAAGAGGATGTCATTTAAAGAGAAGGTTATGTTCTGGGAAGAGGTGAAAAACAATTGGTGAGTGTTATCATTGTTATTATGCAAGTGTGGAAGAACATCAGATAAAACATGTTTCCTGAAAAGCATGGCTCTTCATATTCTACATATGACAGCGTAAAAATCGGGATGGATTTTTATGCCACATGTTCATGTAGTCCTGTATACATCTTACTGTGTAAAGTGCTTGTAACTTTACCAAAACTGGGTCAAATTTCTTATCATTTTGATGTTTCCAGAACCTTGCAGTACACACCAATACTTTTAGGCTAGATGATCAACCTTTCCAGCGCGTAGAGATGTTAACACTTAACAAATGTATTATGCGCTTTATAAGAACTGTACTATTATTATTATTATTATTTCTTATCGATTCCACACCGTTTCTTTCACAATGCAATCGCATGACCAGAACTCATCTTTATCTTTAAGAAACGCTTCCGCAAAGATTTCCCCCAAAAAACAAATGTTTGAATTTGAATATTGATGAAAGAATATAAAAATTTAGGTTTTCTGCATACAACAGAAAACCCAAATTATTTATTCTTTTGTCAATATTTGTCTTCAAACAAATTTTTTTTTTTTTTTTTTGGGGGGGGGGGGGGGGGAATCTTTGCAAAAGCGTGTCTTAAATGACATCTTCTTTCACATTATAATACAATTTAAGTGAATTTTTCGCGAATTTAGGGCTCCGAACACTTTAGAGGGGCTTTAATTTGCCTTTCCAATGAACATGATGCCTGCCTGTTATTACTTTGAAAGCCTTCCATTGTACAGTTTGGCAAGAAGATCAGGCGGCACATGAAGGGGAATAAACCTGGGCAACTTAGCGTACTTCAAGTGTATTGATGAACCTCAGGAAATGTGAACATATTATTTCTTCATTCCTAACTTTATAAACACATTCTCATTTAGTATTTTTTGGTGTCTTTTTTAATGTACAGGTTGGGATTCGACAGACCCAACTTGACTTTCCACGATAACGACACTCTGTCCTTTTATCCACGATATTTCTATTCATTTGATGAGGAGAAATCAGCCGGGCCGGAAACAGACAGATTTATCACCTTGAATATGCCTTTAGTGGTAAGAACAAACACTTAATGCTATTGTCAATTTACAGAACTTTAAAGATACTATGTCCCTTTTGCAGCCAACATCAAATTCTGTAGAACTTTGCAGGAATTATGAATATGTCATGTATGTCCTATCTGTGAAATTTAAACATACTGGCCCGAATTCACAAAGCAAGGTTTGAGCTCAGACCAAGGTTTGAGCTCAAACCTCCTTTTGTTTCGCCAAACCTCCCTTTGTTATATACAAACCAGGTTTGTAAATAACAAAAGGAGGTTTGGCGAAACAAAAGGAGGTTTGAGGTCAAACCTTGGTCTGAGCTCAAACCTTGCTTTGTGAATTCGGGCCTCAGTGTCCTAGTATTCACATAATGCAAGAAAACCTGTTTATCTTCTAGACTATTGAGTGACTGGCTGACATCATTTTTTCTTTTGTAATAACATACATGTACATAAAATGAGCTGTAACAGGTACATGAGCATTTGTCTACATCAATAACCCACAACTTGTAATGGCCAAAGTTAAACTGATTGAATCTTTGTGCGGCACAAAACGCACGACCATTTGGTAAAAGGGTCTGAAAATCAGACTATTACTTAGGTGATTGCAATCACTTAAGTTGATTTGACAACTAATGGTCGTTATTTTCCCACTAAAAGCCATTTTCAAGCCCTTTTAGTTTTGAGGGAAGTTCTAAATTAGTTTTGTCTTTCAAATGCCGTTAGAATGTAACCTTTCATTTTGTTGGCCTGCAAATGGGACATAGTACCTTTAAAGGTAAATTTTGATTTTTAAAATGAAATTTGTTTTAATCATAATTATAATATGCATTGCAGAGCTCATCATCATCATCATCATTGGCTGTCACTCTTTAGCGAGTATTGTTGTTTAGTGAGGAATTAGCTAGTATGATTTTAGGATATCAAAAGATTAGAGGTTATACACCCCTGTAAATGGCTTAAGAGACCAATCCTTGAGCTTCATACACGGCAGCATGCATCTCTCTCTCTCTCTCTCTAGAGCTCTCTCTCCGATTCCTCTCCTGTTCTTTCTTAAGGCCATGTAAACAAAAATCATGTTTAATGTCCCCGCCCGCTTCCTTTTTGGGGGCCGCCTATTTTTTTATATATTTTTTTGGGGGGGGGGGGGAAGAAAAAAAACATGAACAACACTGCTAAAATGATCTATTCCTGATTTTTTTTTTTTTAATTAAAAAATGTCGGCGGCCATCTTGAAAAATAGCCTGACTTTCAGGGAAAATGTACTGGGCGGCCATTTTGAGCGGCCATTTTGAAGAAAAAAGAGAAGAAAAAAAAGGGCCTCCTCCTTCCTATTTTTCAAAAAGGCAGGATGCTACACATGTTTTTTTTTAATTTGGCCTAAGAGATCTTTTCCTTTCCCCTGCCTGTTGAAGAGCTCTTTCGAAGTGTTCCACTATGTTGTGTGCAGTCTTGCTCCATTCACCATTCACAACGTTGCTGAGCAAAAGAATCCAAACTACCTGTGTTGATGCAACATTTCTTGAGATTAGCCGGTGTCCTTGTAACGTTTTCTCTGCCCTCCTCTAGTCTAGACAGCATTCCTTCACAGGAATACGGCATTCTTCTTCTTCTTCTTTTCCTTGTTTCTCTTTCTTTCTTCTTCTTTTTTTCTTCTTCTTCTTTTTTTTTTCTTCTTCTTCTTCTTCTTCTTCTTCTTCTTCTTCTCCTCCTCCTTTTATCATATCAATTTCACTACTGAATATATATTAAGCATATATTTTCCCCATTTCTCTTTTTTTGTTCTTCTTCTTTGTTCTTCTTCTTTGTTCTTCTTCTTTTTCTTCTACTTTTTCTGTTTTTTTTTGTAATCTTCTTTTTCTTTTCTTCTTCTTCTTCTTCTCCTCCTCCTCCTCATGTCATATCAATTTCACTAATGAATATATCAATTTTTATATATTTTCCTATTTCACAATGTACACTTTGCATGTTTATATTTTTATTTGTAAATTCACAATAAATCGGCTCTCAACTGTGACTTTGAATTTTTGTTATCAATAAACCTGGTTTAATAATTAGATTCAATTCAACTTCTGCAGACGGTAGCCTATTTTGTGAGGAACGCTGGACCACTCGTCCAGATCCCTGCCAATGCCCTGATGGAGATGCTAGGTGAGAGACTGACTCTAAATCTTACAGTAGAGGAGCTCCTGTGGGGTTACGATGAGCCGCTTTTCAAACTCATTCAGCCCATCATCAACATTCCAGGCTACGACCAAGGGAAGTTTGGCTTTCTGATGTCGGTGAGTTCTGATTTGTCTTTAATATTGCTTGGAGAGATAATCTCGGACCAAGGAAACTGGTGAATTTTTGCAAAAATTCCAATGCTCCAAAATAATTTTAAAGTAATTGAATCAAAGCATTTAATTATTGGAAGTGCAGCATGTTGAAGTCTGGTAAAGGTAGTTTTCGACTAACAAATAGACCTTATTTTATCAGGGAAAGTATGGAAGAAATGTAAAGTGGGAGAGCGAAGAAGTTTTCAGATTACACTTCCTTATTTGATATTATTTCAAAATCTGATTTTATTTTAGGTCAAATGTTATAACTGCATGTGATCCTCCATATGGGGCTTCAATAAGTGTTGATAGTAGTAGACTAAAATGAACTTGCCATTGGGTACTGTGATAAATGAAACCCCATGCATATACATAGAAATGATCCTTCAAAACATTATTCATGGATGCGCCTCCCTTTCATATTGTTATTGGGTCAATTTTGTACGCTTTAAATATGGATTGTTGATTGGTAAAATGGTATTCTGATTTTGTTGTTCTTTTCTGCTTTCAGTTCAATTATACAACATTAAATCTCTACACTGTAAATACTGGGAAAGAGAATCAGACATTGCTGAATGATGTTGTCAACTTCCAGGGCTTGCCAGACCTTAGCTGGTGGGGGACACCAGAAACAAATGAAATATTAGGGACAGGTGAGTAGCCTATCTATTCCCTATGTTTGATAATTATATTGATAACAGTGGGTTCTCGTATAGCGCTGTCAAACTTGACAGTCCTGATTATAACCCCAGCTTTAGCACGGCTGCCATTACGGCGCTCTAACTTTTCAAGGAATCAATTCCAGCCAGGTACCCATTTACCTCACCTGGGTGGAGTGTGGCAAATGTAGATAAATGTCTTGCCAAAGGACATTAGTGCCGCGGCAGGACTCGAACCATGTGATCCACAGTCCTGTGACTTAGCCACTAGACCACGACTACTCTTTACATTTGGGGGGGGGGGGGTGGTGCATTATATAGCCAAGATTCTTTGCTTAATTTGTTGACTGATGATAACTAAACTCATATTACTCTAATGGTAAGCTTTGCTGTTATTCGCTCCAGGGTGTATTATGATGGTGGCGATAATGATAATAATGATGGTGGTGGTGATAATGATGATGGCAATGGTGATCATAATGAATGATGATGACGATGATACTGGTGGGGATGATGATGATGATGACGATGATGGTGATAATGATGATGATGATGGATTTTATGTAAGGATATATTCATATTAACCGATAGAGAAACAATTCTTTCCAAAGAAATTGATATATTAGCTTTTCCTCTTCAAATTCTAATCAATTATTTTTTTCCTTGATCTTTCAATCTCTATATTTATATCAAACTAACCCCTGTGGGTAAATATAGTGCAATGCAAAAGATCTATTTTGTAAAAGGAAATAGTGATTTTATATTCCATTTACACATTGCCATTTTAAAGAATTCAATGGTGGTTCTTGCAAAAAATATTATTTAGTGGAACAGAAATGGATTTATGGTATATTTTTTAGTCCCTTTCTGCTCGCCTGTTATATGTAGAAAGATATAAATTAATAATGCAACAATGTCAACATATGGTAACATTAAGAGTTATAACAGTATCTGTTTAGTAATAGGTTGGTTCAGCTTTTCCTTACATTTTACTTTGCTAGGTCTGCAAAGCTTCTGACAAGTTTAAAGACCGTCATCGCCTGAAAGAACTTGGGTATTGCAAATGATGGAAATGGTTTAACTTTGATTCACTGGTATTTATCTTTTCTTGTTTCTTAGATGGTACTATGTATCACCCATACCTGACAAGAGAAGAAAACATGCATCTTTTTCACCCAGATCTTTGCAGGTAAGCATTGCTGATATCTTTCTAAAGAATACCATAATGGCATTCATTTATATGTATCTTTGTGTTATTTTATATGGAATCGCAAGTTTTAATTCAATGTATTGAACAATTTTTTAGAATAAATTGAATTGAATTGATTAACACTGAACTGAACTGATTTAGAAAAGAAATTGTCTTCAGCTTTTTTGTATCTCTTTTGTATGCTTTAAGGAATCCCCATGTGTGTTGGGGTTTATTAGTGAACTTACGAAAAAGAATTAGAAATTGGAATCCTTACATCATTTTCAGACATTGTGTAATTGTGTTTGCTTTGTAGAATCGTCATATAATTTTGTGTGATCAACGTTGATCTTTGTTTGGTTTCAATTTTATCATTGTCTAAGATATATTATCTATTTTTGTTTGCCTTGATAATCATCAATTAGTTATTTTAGGATTTATATAATTCTGATTGCTTTCGAAAAAGAATTCAAAATTGGAATCCTTACATCATTTTCAGAACTTGTGTAATTTTGTTTGCTTTGTAGAATCGTCACATAATTTTGTATGATCGACGTCGATCTTTGTTTGGTTTCGATTTTATCATTGTCTAAGATATATTATCTATTTTTGTTTGCTTTAATAATCGTCAATTAGTTATTTCAGGATTTATATAATTCTGATTGCTTTTGAAAAAGAATTCAAAATTGGAATTCTTACATCATTTTCAGAACTTGTGTAATTTTGTTTGCTTTGTAGAATCGTCACATAATTTTGTATGATTGACATCGATCTTTGTTTGGTGTCAATTTTATCATTGTCTAAGATATATTATCTATTTTTGTTTGCCTTGATAATCATCAATTAGTTATTTTAGGATTTATATAATTCTGATTGCTTTCCATAATCATCTCAAAGGATCACGACCTACAATGTAGTTTGGTGTGATTAATGTAGATCTTTGTTCGGTTTCACAATTATCATGTTCTAAGAAATATAATATATTTTTGTTTGCTTTGATAATCATCAATTAGTTATCTTAGGATGTATGTTATTCTGATTGCTTTCCAAAATCATCACGTAATATTCAGGATTTTGTAATTGTGTTTGCGGTGAAGAATCGTCACATAGTTTTGAGTGATTAATTTAGATTTTTGTTTGGTTTCACAATTATCATTTTGTAGGAAATAATATATTTATGGATTTTATTGTGTTTGCTTTCATAAGTTGTCACATAATGTCAAGATTCATGTAGTTGTGTTGCCTTGAAGCACAATCAATGAATTTCTTAGGTTTTATCTTCAATCATTTTCTTTCAAGTGTCATTACACAATTTTTCAGATTCATATATTTTCTTCCAGAACTTTGAAAAATCGTCATATAATTTCCAACGGTTCTTCTAAAGTCTTTTTGTTTTTAGCATCAACTGTATTTGCTAATTTGCCTCCAAGGAGCATCATGTATTCAAGAGATTTTAGGTGGTTATCTAATTCTATTTAAAGGGATAGTTCAGACCACAAATGCCTTCAAAGTGCATGGTTATTGCTCTTATTCTTAGCTATGACATTTCTAGTGCCCTTTTAGAACCTAAAATTGCTATGAAGGTAATTTTAGACCCCAAAATGTGTGAAAGTGTGAAATTTAGCCAATACGACCATACCAATTAAGCTTCACTTAAAAAATATGATGAGCGTTAATTAATTATTTTTATTAAAAATAACAATAATGGGCCGGCTGGTTGTGCGTAATATAACCAAAACGAAAATGCTAACAAGAAAGCCAACATCGGCATGCGCTAAAATACGACGTACATGTAAAAGGCGCTATTTCATTTTTTCAACGACTTTTTCAAATCATCTAATATTTGTGGTGGTACACAAGTATTAGAAATTGTTATATTTATGGATATTTCAGCCGTCTCTGAACTGGTTTTGATCAAACAAAGATGATTTTGTCATTTAAATTTTATAATAATAATAATAATATTTAATTTTTATATAGCGCTTAATACAAATGTCTCAGTTTTTCATTATCACAAAAAAATTATTTTGTGTAGCGCCCTCTGCAACAGAACTCAACTATTCCTTTAATAAGCATTACATATTCAAGGATTCATATATTTGCTGTCAAGAATCAACTTACAATACATTGAATGTTTTCAAGAGGTATCATCAGATGTTTATCGGATGTGATGTGTAAAGTGTCTTTCGGTGGTGCAGATGCAGTGAGTGGTGCAGATGCCGTGAGTGTGTGTGTGTATTGGGGTTTTACAGACATGTATCAATCAGATATGATTATTTACATCTGGGGACCGACCTTTAAACGTCACCATCCGAAAGACGTGACTCAGTTTGAAACCTGCGTCCTCGGCTGAATCAGTTTGTAACTTCAATTGTTAGCTAGATTACAGGCGCACGCCACAACGCCTAGTGTTGGCTCAGTCAGTCAGCATCCGCCTCACAACCGGGAGGTCGTGGGTTCGAACTCCGGCCGCGTCATACCAAAAGACGTTAAAAGATGGGAGTTGTTGCTGCCTTGTTTGGCGTTCAACAATAAGGGATAAAGCAACGTCGATCTGGCGCTGCTCAGTAGCTGCTGGGCTCACAATCAATTGGGCAAAAAGAATTTCCGTTTCGGTTTAATAAAATTTGGAGTGGACTATTAGGCTATTATTATTATTATTATTATTAGTTTAGATAAGGACTTTACCATATGGGGAATTAAGAGACAGAGCATTACATCAAAACATTAGTTATAAAACTGAAAGATAATCCCGATGAGTGACAACACCTGTTATTGGATGAACACCCGAATGGTGTCAAAGTCCCCATGAGACTCCACTTGTAGGTGTCTTTAAGATAAATGGTGTAGACTCAGATCAAATAAGGTTGCAGGAAGCAAGCAGCCTTTTCACACACGGGTTAAATTCATTGTATACTAAACAGCTTTAAAGTGAATTTTCCTTGTGTGAATGTCGTTTATACGATGTTCGGACAGATCAGAGTCGCGATCTATACGCCGGTCAGAGCAGGCTGCAGATACGAAGTCCGTATCTAGAGAGCAAGTCATTTTGTGTGTGAACGGATATACGTTCTTAACTGGGCGGGGCTAAGACTGGGCACTGCTTTTTAAACGCTCAGTAGGGCCATTGCGCATTTACGACTAGCAGTGAGTCAACTGCTTGTCGCTGAAATTTTCTGTGTGTGAATGATGTTGTATCTATTAAAAGCTGATCAGCTTTAAAGAATTTTACCCCTGTGTGAAAAGGCTGAAGGTTATATGGCAGGTGACTTTGATAGAGAATTCCTTGAGATTGCTTATCTGTGATTCTAGTGTTATTTGTACATTAGTATGAGGAGGACTCTTATCATTCCGAAAGGGTTGTTCACATATCAACTATTTGATACTACTGCTGCTAATTATGATAATCATTTATATTGCCTGGTATCCATTCCAGGAGATGTTCAAGACCCCTACAAAGGAGTATTATTACCCTGGCTTACGCCCAGCTACCCTATGGCGCTGAGAAGCATGTAAGGAATAAATTCCTGCCCAATACCCATTTACTACTACACCTGGGTGGAGAGTGGCAAATGTAGATTAATGTCTTGCCAAAGGACATTAGTGCCACGGCATGACTCAAACCACAAACCATGTGATCCACAGCTCAGTGACACATCCACTAGATTACAACACCTCTAATGGTTGCAATATTAATAAAATGAGTCTATGTAGAATACATAATTATACTCTGTGCTGAAGGCTCATTAGCAAGTAATCTTTGAGAGCCATACATTATAGACCATTTTCAAGGTCATTTTCATCGATATTGTTATTGTTATTATTATCAAATCGCCAATATCTGACCAGCCTTTTTCAGCGAGTTTGAGGACATTGCTATCATTCTGGAAGTTTCTTCACCTCACTGTTTAAATATTTGTGTTTTTGCACTTGACAAGACCTAGATTGTTTGCATGATACACATACTTCACCCATCAAACTGTGTACTCCAGTCTGTGTACACAGTAGATAATAACCCTATCATAGCGGTGAGCCTTTATACTCGATCTGAAGCTGTTATACTCAAAAGCTGTTATACTGGTAATTAAAAGCTGATTCATAGCTTTGGCAAGGCTCCAAAATGTTGCATCTTTAATGTATTGGCAAAATTAAAACAAAATAAAAAAAATCATTAAAAAGTTCTTGTAACTTGTAACCTTGTTTCTTATAAATTGTTTTGCATTTCTGTATACTAATTCAGTTGAATTCAACTTCAAAAATGTGTTGGTGTGTCTCATATTACTGTATCTTATGACACACAGATAAGATTTTACCCATCTGATATGCGCTTTCATATGTATAGTAAATTAGTTGTATTCCTTCGCTCTTGGCTACGAGAAAAAAAAGGAGGAGAGGAAAAGGAGAAGAAAAAAAGAATAAAGCGCCTGTGAAGTTTGTGCTCTTTGAGTGAATTACCAAACAAAAGAGAGGTGGTTATTAGCAAGGCTATACTCCCTCCATTTAAAGGTACTATGTCCCATTTGCAGGTCAAAAAAATGAAAAGGTTAAATTTCAACGGCATTTGAAAGATAATACTGCTAACGTTTAAATTTCACAGATACCGGTAGGACATACATGACATATCCATAATTCCTGCAAAGTTCTACAGAATTTGATGTTGGCTGCAAAAGGGACATAGTATCTTTAACCAGATGATGTAAAATAAACAAACAGCTAGGTGTGAATTGAGTTACAGAAATTTATCTATGTGGAATTGCTATGTAATGCACTCCTATGCATACAGAGATGTTCATTACAGCTATTGACACCTGTGTTGATAAAATAAATCGTAGATGGAATATCAACTGTTGTCACATGCATTTCTTATACTATTGACAAGGTATGGGGTCATACCGTACTTAATAGAAATCAGTCCATTTCTTTTTCTCTGCCATTTTCACTCTTACGGGGGTTACTGACTTTCATGCCATGAAGGCACTCCCTTCTTGCACTAAAGAAAAGTCGAACTTGGGTTTCATCCTTATTTTAAGCAAGGGGTATGTGTGTGTTAGCTATTAAAGTCTAATCAACTAACAGCCTTTTCACACACAGCTAAAATTCTATAAACATGACTAGTATAAACGTGTTTCGAACGTGTTTAAACTAATCACGAGCCTTTCACACACAGAAATTTCGGTGCGATCGTTAATTGTTTCGTGATTAACTACTGCTCGTAAAATGCGCAGTAGTGCCATTGCGCATTGAAGGTCATGTCATGTCAATCAAAGCGCACGCTCCATCCAGTTTAAACACGTTTAAACAAGAATTTCCTTTCACACACAAAATGTCAAGCTCTCTAGATACGAACTTCGTATCTGCAGCCTGCTTTTAGGGGCGTATGGATCGCGACTTCGTATCTATCCCAACATCGTATAAACGATGTTCACACTGGGAAATTTTGTCTATAAACATGTTTAAAATTTTACGATGATTCTAATCATCACTAGATACGATGAATTTTAGCTGTGTGTGAAAAGGCTGAAGATGTCTTGCTGTTCACTTGTAATGTATTTGAATTTCAAAATCTTTTTTTATATTATTTTGAATACACCATATACATGTAGCCACATATGGAACCCTTAAAGGTAAAGACCAGTATTGGAAACGCCCCAATTTCAAAAAATGAAATGGAAGCTCCTATTACTAATCGTGTGAAAGAATATGTTTTAACTAATACATGATGATTATAATTTTGCCGGGAAACCGCCTACTAATTGATATGTTTGGTAAATTAGTCTATCTATTGTTATGTGAGAGATAAACGCATGTGTCGCGCACGTGTGCGTAGTCCCATATACATCTTTCTGTGTACAGTGCTTGTAACTTTACGAAAAACTGGGCCAAATTTCTTATCATTTTGATGATTCCAGAACCTTGCAGTACACACCACTACTTATATGCTAGATGATCAACCTTTTCTGATCGATTCCACAATGATTCTTTCACAATGCAATCGCATGACCATAAGTGGTCTTTATCTTTAATTTACATCAAGAGCAACATTTATTTTTGGTGATTGGTACACTTTAACAATTATCTTTGTTAAGTGCTGATAATGAAATTGCATTTTAAAAGACACTGGGTTGTTTGGGCAGGCAAAATATAAACAAAGGAATGCAAACTTGTGAATTTCAAGGCAAAACATAACTCATATATATATATATATATATATACATATGCACATGACCATGATGAAAAGCTCTTTGTGCTCAATATTCAACTAATTACATGTATCAATTTGACCAGAATCGTTTTAAGCATGCACGGTTTGTGTTTATATTCTTTTCATTCATCGTAAATTTCATCTGTTTTTTTGTGAAAATTTATTTTCTGTCATTACTCACAATTTCCTTTAAACAATAATTGTAATGTTTGTAATTGTAATCATTCTACTACCACTAATACTACAACTATTACTACTGCTACTACTACTACTACTACTACTACTACTACTACTACTACTACTACTACTACTACTACTACTACTATGAGATTGCCAAATATCCTGCTATTTGAACTATCCGGATTGCAAATTATCCACTTAATGTGCGTCTTCATCAGCCCAAAGTTGCAATTAGCGGGATATTTGGTTGAGATAATCATCCTAAGATATTTTGGGCTGGTTTGCAAAATATCCCACTTTTTGTCCGATGCGTCTTCACCAGCCCTAAGACTCGCACTATGCGCGAGCGCTGAGCAAAATATCTCGAGCTCGAGTTTCAAGTTTCAAGGTCAAGTCTCCAGCTGATGAAGACGCGATTTGTAATTTCAGGATTATTTCCCAAATCAGAAATAGCGGGCTATTTGGCAATCTCGAGCTGATGAAGAAATACCTTCTGTGGCTGGCATCACAAGGTCCAAAAACAGCATCCCACATATCACAATCGCACATCTGCTTAGATGAATTTTGATGTGCTTTCCCCCAAGGAGCACTACTTGCAACAACAAAAAGGCGAGGGGGGGGTAGACTTTGATGGAGAATGCTCTATGAAGATGTCAAGGAGATTCCACAGTAAATGCTCTTCATTCTTTGGATTCCAAGGCAGAGATTTTTTACATGCCCGTTTTCAGAGATGAATCTGTAGGGGATGGAAGTTATTCTTATAAAAAGTAAACCCCTTTTCTGCAACCAAGTTCCGAAATTTGTCAGAATTAATGTATTTTCTTAAATAATACTTCGATAATACATGTATATTGAACATTAAATAGATTGGGATTTTCATATCTTCTATTTGAATAAAGTTCACAATATAGGTAACTATTGCTGATACAGCGAGGAAGCATGGTCCATTCTTAGTTTGTCTAAACATATTGTTGAACACTCAAATGGCATTGTTCAATATTGAAGGGGTCATGCAATGTATTGAAAGTGGAGCACTGTACCCTAGGGTGAATATATGGACTCAAACTTTGGAAAGTTTGTCAGAATTAATGTATTGTCTTAAATAATACTAAGATATATTGAACATAAAATAGATTGGGATTTTCATATCTTCTATTTGAATAAAGTTCACAATATAGGTAACTATTGCTGATACAACAAGGAAGCATGGTCCACTCAAATAGCATTGTTCAATATTGAAAGGTTCATATTGAAAGTGGAGCACTGTACCCTAGGGTGAATATATGGACTCAAACTTTGGAAAGTTTGTTGACATGTATCCCCTCAGAATGTTGCAGGCCCTTTTCATTTTTTTCATAATGGAAATTAACAATTGATTGGGTCTACATGTTCATCATGAAACAGAAAACCCCCTTTGTCATTATACAGTGTATATGCCCATACCCCTATTTGTAGTAGGGATTATTTGTTGGTCGGGGGGGGGGGGATATTGTCCAGGGACTGGTTTTCTGGGGAAAGTTGCCGTAATACTATGAAAGAAATAATTTTGCAGTAATATAATCATAATGATTAACTATTCTACAATTTTAATTCCCCCCCCCCTTATTTGTTGTTTTTTTGTTTTTGCAGGTCTGTGCCATATGTTTATGAACAAGACACCATCTACAAAAAAGTGCCTTTACTGAAATTTGTCCTAGCCAATTACACATACTCTAATGGGACAGACTACCCACCCAACGCAGGATTCTGTAGCCACGATCAGGATCTCTGCGGACCATCGGGAATCATGAGGCAAGACCCGTGCCGTTTTGGTGAGTAGATTATGGGGTCATGAGATTGGAATGATAAAGCGTTATCTTATATTTTGGGCCATATGATTTATGAAAAATTATCGTAAAGCAACTGAAGTTAGTCAAGTACTTCTTCAAGTCAAGTGGCTCTTTGTTCAGTTTAAATATTTTGATGGGTTACAATCTTTACACTAGTGTACTTGCCTAAAACATGCATATCTGTTTTTGGAATGAAAAAAAAGATACATATTGTACGGTAGTTATTTCTAGTTTAATAGAATATTAAGTTTTGTTGGACAGGATTTGCAACCTCCTTAAGAGAAGGGGGTGATGTGTGTCACGGAAAAACGACAATTAATCTTACTGGTTTTAGGTCTCGGCTCAAAGAGGCTTTATTCATGGTGTAACTGAAATACAAACACCAAAGGAAAAACTCACCCTATTCAGGGTAACATCATTCTTAATTCTCATGTGACAATTAGCCCCCCATTTTAAGAACAATTTACTAAAGTAAAATTTCTACACAAATCATAGAATTATTGGCAATTACATATCTCATGGAATTTTTTAAAGCAAACTGTTTCAATGTTTACTGAACATCTCATTCCAAATGTACTTACTATAGCATGTTTACAATCAATATTCTGCACAAAACCTAGAGATATTGGCAAATACATATGTCATGAAAATTTGAATATCAAACTTTTCCTACAAAAATCAGAGAATTATTGGCAATTACATATCTCATGGAATTTTTAAAGCAAACTGTTTCAATGTTTACTGAACATCTCATTCCAAATGTACTTACTATAGCATGTTTACAATATATATTCTACACAAAACCTAGAATTATTGGCAAATACATATCTCATGAAAATTTGAAAATCAAACTTGTTCAATGTTTACTGCACATAAATCATTACATTGTCATTAAAGCTTTCCAATAAGTATCATCAGTTTCTTTCTGTGATCCAATGTATCAGTCCAAGTTGTGAGTAAACGCGTATGCTAAAACCATAGTCTCTGTGATAACAAGGAGTATTGTTCGTAATGGGACATCATCTCGGTCATTGTTTGTCGTTTGAGTCCAACCTTTGTGATCCCTGAAGACTTTTAAAGATGACCACCAACAGAAGTCCAAAGCTAATTATGGCAAAACTCACATCTAAATCTGTTATAATGTCCACAATGATATAGCTCCAACACTAAAGTTCATAACGAGTATCATACATAGACACCGTTCAAAAAAAAATACATTGGCATTGTTTAAAATATACATTGGCATGGTTCAAAATGCAGTGAGTAACATTCCTGCATTTGCATAAACTAAAATACATGTAATACTGCTGTAATACTTTCTTCTTAATATCAACCTTCAGTAGAAACAAATATCCAGGATAATAGTGTGTATGCACTATCATTTACAGTTTGATGGTACATACATTTGTAGTTTGCAAGGTCAAAATACAATAACTGCTGCCATTTAGACAGACAAGCTCCCTATACATAAACTATGCTCGAAAAATTACGAGAAAATAAACAAATGATGTCTACAAAACTCTTGCTATCTCGTGCTAACATCGTAGATATTACATAATCTTATTAAATGCAATGTGTATCCAACAAAATTGACATTAATAAACTGTGTTAACCCATGATACATAATACACATATTCAATCATTTACAATGGTACGCAGACCAAAATAAAAACATGTGTAGTGCCTTTTACACTCTCCTCATTCCATTTGCGGCAACACTATCCTGACCCTTTACATCCTAAACCTGTACTCATCTCATGATTCTTAGTCAGATGCCTGAACAATTGGCACTTTGCGGCTGATGTCTTCTATGGTACATCAGAAAAGACCTCATGATACTCACGCAATGACTGAGATATCCCTTTCCTACGTCTCTCTTTCACGGACTCATTCACCCTGACATGCCCTATGAATTCCTTCTCATGTATGGGTGGCATCACTGTCACGTCAGCGCCATCAACATCACTAATCTGAACCTCAACATCTTCCGCTGAATCCTCACAAACCTCGCTACTCTCTGTATACATATGAACACAGCCATCCACTGCCAAGTTAACCTCCTCCCTGCCTACTTTGTTCCACAATGAACTCAAAGATGAATCTTCCTTCTGTTCACGAACAAAACCTGCATGCTCTATGCAGGAAACGGGACTTCCAATTTTCAAACCCTTGAGCGGTTTGACCTTGACCTCCTTCTGAGATCGAGTTTCAACTGCCATCACCCATGGACTACCCTCTTTCACACCAGAGATATTTGCAACCTGCTCAACTCGATCAACTCTATCAACCACCTGCCCTTCAATATCATCCTTGACATCACCAATGGTATTCTCACCATCACTATTCACCTGATCTGCAACGTCACTTACTACTTTACCTCCTTTAGGTACCCAGTTCAAATCTGGATCGCGGGGTTCACGTGCACCAGTTATATCCCCAATAACAACATCAAATAGTGAATGAGGCATACACAAAGCCTCTATCTCACCCACATAGTATGGAGAATCAACTGTGAGCTTCGCAACTGAGAACTCCCTTACTGTACCATCAATGAGCAATACTAACTGCTTGTACCCTGTTAGCTGATCTTCATCGACTAGTTCTGATTTAACTACACAAGTAGTGCATCCGCAATCTCTCAAAACTGATACTGCTTTGTTCCCTTTTTCCAGCCTACCTGAAACTACGGGCATATGCTTCGTCATAGCCCCTACCAGATCATAAGCCATGCCTAACTTATTCACAATGCTTTGTCTTGCCTGCTCTAATGAATTTAATCCATTTGCTTCTACTGGTAGTAAACAGATACTAGCTAGTCCAAGATGCACTGTATTTGCATGTGGTGAACTATCCACAGACTTCAATGTGCCGATACTATCTCCTGTGTCCTCAACACCATTCGCGACTAACTGAGAACTGCCATTACCGTCTACTCCTTGGGTGGGGAAATCTGTCCCATCCAAAGTCATCATTCCTTGCGCTGACTGTATTCGTTTGCGCAACGGACACTCGCTCTTAAGGTGCCCCTGGCTACCACACATATAACAACCTCTAGCAGAACGATTGCCTGCATCATGTGCTCTTGCACCCTTACTACTTGGTGTACGCGAGTCAAAACCCTTACCCTTGGGGACACTTGGCCGAGTGGGACCGACACTACCCTGTGTACTTGTAGCCGTCGGTTTGAATTCACCTGGATTGCGGGGTGTACCGAATGTATGTAATCCATGGGCCCCTACGTAAACCATAGCCCTTTCAACAACCTTATCAATGCTACTATCCTGCCCCTCTCTAACAAACACTTCAACTTCCCTTGGGCAACAATACACAAACTGTTCTCTTAGAATTAAATCAAACAGGGAGTCATAATCCTCTTCAATGTTTGATAACTCAATCCAATTCTGCAAGTACCCCTTCAATCGTACACTGAATTGCCTAGGCTGTTCATGCTTTTCTGGCTTCGCCGTACGAAATTTTCTCCTATAACCATCGGCGGTCAAATGATAGAACTCCATCAACTCTCGCTTTACTGCCTCGTAATCTTTGCGATTTTCCCTTGACATTCTATTCACTACCTCCAAAGCCTGCCCTGTCAATTTAGAAATAAGGTGTAAGGCTCTTACACTGTCAGGTACCTTTTGACTAGCCATGACTAATTCGAATTTGGTAATGTATGCATCAAATTTATCACATGTGTCATCAAATTTACCAATTTTCAACCTCAAACCACCCGTATCAACACCGGCATTCTTTCTCTCCTCGACCCGAAGCTCGGCTAGCTTCACTTCCTTTTCGCGCTCTTCGCGATCACATTCTAGCTCTTTTACTCTTAACACTTCGGCGCAGCGCTCGGAAACGAACTTGTTAAGCTCACTACCCGCAAGGCTCATCTCTCGACCTAGGGTTGAGAACTCTTTTATCTGATCTATACTGGCCATTATGAAACTGTATTCGAAATCACAACTGGGTATCAACAGGTACGGAACAATCCCCGTAGAATCTATTCAAGAAAACATTGACAACCATCAAGACTCTTGTTGTAGAGGTCTAGCTTAATTCCCAAGACAAGAACCCGTGAAAAACTATCCACCATTTGTCTTAATTAACATAGACATGCAATATCAAGACCCGTCTCAAAGTCAAAGTATGACAACAAGTATCCCTGTGCATCCAACCTAGATTAACTCATGCTCACACACAGCTAAATCCAACACCATGTCCAATTCAGGTCATTGAAACCCATCACAGCACTCGCATACAAACCTGTACACACCGCTGAAATACACAATGCCTACGGACACCCATGCACATAACACGCATACCTGAAATCTGAATAACAATCTACACACAATCCCGTATACCGACGCAAATCACCCACCGCAAATACTGTACGTCTATTGACGATACACGCACTGCTGAAACCGTGGCGAGAGACACACCACACCGAACCGCAAAATCACTCCTTTTGCTAACATCCGTCTCTCTTTTCCAATACAACCTACACGTACAGTGTAACGGATATTTAACCAACAAAATGGGATATAACATACGAGACCTAAAACTTTGGTCCTGGCAAGGTCGCCATAAATTGTCACGGAAAAACGACAATTAATCTTACTGGTTTTAGGTCTCGGCTCAAAGAGGCTTTATTCATGGTGTAACTGAAATACAAACACCAAAGGAAAAACTCACCCTATTCAGGGTAACATCATTCTTAATTCTCATGTGACAATGTGGATATGCTAATAACCTCTTCTGGTATTAAGAAATTAGGCTTCATGTGATATTTTTCATTGTGTATAATATTCAGGGAGTTTTAACTGAAAAAAACCCAGCAAACAAAGATATGTGCTGTCACATTAGCCATTGAAGGATTTCGCCTTACCTTGCATAATTAAGTACAAAACTTACTTACAAAACAGAGAGGGGATGTGGATATATCCTTTATGTCCTTGAGGGAGGCATTTTATCTACTTTGCTCCTCTCCACCTAGGTGTTCAATGGGTACCAGCGCTATAACTGGTAGGATGCGAAGGTCAATGCGGTTAGATTAGCATATGCAAGCCATTAGAAATGCTTCCCAGGGAGAGGAGAATGTGCACCGTAATGTGCAGCATAGTAATGGAATTCAGTAACTGGGGTAATAATAAATCTGTATTTAGCGCTTGGTTCGTTGATAATGGTAAACTGCTTTATAAGAAACAGATGTTATCAGTATGAATTGGAGTCATAGCCAAACTATTCATTTGCCATCCTGTCTTTCCGAATCTCTCTCACCACAGGTTCTCCATCTGCCATATCGAATCCTCACTTTTTCCAAGGGGACCCAGCTTTGTATGAAGCTGTAGGGGGCTTGAACCCCCAGGCAAAATATCATCAGCATTACATGGAGGTAGAACCAGTGAGTATTTTTATGCCTCCATTACGAAGTAGCCGGAGGCATTATGTTTTTGGGTTGTCCGTCCGTCCGTCCGTACGTACGTCCGTCCGTACGTACGTCCCGTTCTCGTGATCGCGTTATCTGAAGAACCGATTGATGGATTCCTGCCAAACTTTGGTCATGTATGTATCTTACAGAGCCGGTGAACTGATTAGATTTTGGAGTCACGAGGTCAAAGGTCAAAGGTCACAGGGCTCATTATGTATGCAAAAACAGCTCGTGATCGCGTTATCTGAAGAACCGATTGATGGATTCCTGCCAAACTTTGGTCATGTATGTATCTTACAGAGCCGATGAACTGATTAGATTTTGGAGTCACGAGGTCAAAGGTCAAAGGTCACAGGGCTCATTATGTATGCAAAAACAGCTCGTGATCGCGTTATCTGAAGAACCGATTGATGGATTCCTGCCAAACTTTAGTCATGTATGTATCTTACAGAGCCGATGAACTGATTAGATTTTGGGGTCACGAGGTCAAAGGTCAAAGGTCACAGGGCTCATTATGTATGCAAAAACAGCTCGTGATCGCGTTATCTGAAGAACCGATTGATGGATTCCTGCCAAACTTTGGTCATGTATGTTACTTGCAGAGCCGATGAACTGATTAGATTTTGGGGTCATGAGGTCAAGGTCAAAGGTCATGCGGCTCATTATGTATGCAAAAATAGCTTGTGAACGCATTCTCATTAGAACTGACAGATGGATTACTATTTAACTCTGGACATCTTGCAGAGCCAATGAACTGAGTAGATTTTAGGGTCATGAGGTCAAAGATCAAAGGGTCATGTATGTACATGAGAAATTGCTTGTAATCACGATATTCTGAGAACCTGTTAATGGATTACAATTGAACTTGAATTTGAAAAATTTCTTCTGTTTTGGTTTTTAAAATTGCTCTATGACGGAGGCATCATTTCGACTGCGCGCAGTTGAAGTTCCATCTAGTTTTAGTAGTAGTTGTATAAAGGATTTTGTTCAAGTATGTAAAAAAATTGACTCGTTCCGATTCATATTTATTAAGAATGTAACATATCAAATCTTACATCTAAAAGTAATTCACAAAGGCCCTAATTCAACTAGTCCACCTTTTATTCTAAAGTTACAAAAAACGCCCCCCCCCCCCAAAAAAAAAAAAAAAAAAAAAAAAAGTTACTTGGGGTATGAATAATTAAGTTGTTAAATCAATACTCTATTTAAAAGAAATCAGATAGAGAAGGCTTCAATTGGTGAGCATTATTTTCACAGAAATGTTCTATGTAGGTTCCTAGTCTAGCAAACTAGATGTTCATACAGTTTGCCGGTTTTGTCCTTTTATGGTTGTTTACGATGAACTGCACAAAATTCACACAGAACTAGAAAGTCAGCATTTTAGTTGCCATCGGGGCAACAAAGGCAGGATTTGAAGGTTGCCCAGCAGGGTTGTAGGTTGTGAGTGGCATACAAGCAACTGCTAATTACTAGTGGCCCTCTCTACACTCCCAATGCTATCTTAAAGTCCTTATAGTTTTTATTTGATGTAGTTTTTATGCTTAGTAAAATTCAGACCAGTCATAGATCAGCCATTTTCTTGAGTAATATTTCAGATAATATTGGCTAGTGTGTTTTTAATGTTTGGCCGTTTAAACCCTTCCTCATGGGTTCTTGGTTTAGGTCCCTGCATATTCATTCTTTCTTTCCTGGATTCAATACCTTGAAAGTTGTGGAATTAAATTGTCATTGCCTGTGCAATAAAGTGCATTGATTCAAAAATAGTTTAATGTTTGGCCTTTTAAATTCTTCCGTATTGCTTCATGGTTTAGTTCCCTAGGTATTCCTTCTTTCCTTCCTGGATTCAATGCCATAAAAGTTGTGGAATTAAACTGTCATTGCCTATGCAATAAAGTGCATTGATTCAACAATAGTTTAATGTTTGGCCTTTTAAATTCTTCCGTATTGCTTCATGGTTTAGTTCCCTAGGTATTCATTCTTTCCTTCCTAGATTCAATGCCATAAAAGTTGTGGAATTAAAGTGTCATTGCCTATGCTATAAAACACATCAGTTCAACAATAGTTTCAAGGCTGTTGACTTGAGCATAATAATAATAATAATAATAATAGTGAACATTTATAAAGATTATGAAGATTTAATTGATCTTTAATACAGACCACCAACAAAAGCAGCATATCATAAACATATTTGATTGAATTGAGAAGTACATGTGTTTTATTACCACCGATAATTCTCACTCCTGAAAAGGATTCATGTTTTTGAAATGCTCAGCTTTTGGAAACATTCTGATGCGGCAGAGCAAAAAAGGTATTATGAAAAACATGACTCTTCTTGTATATGGTACATTGTACTTTGTATTCATATTGTTGATGCATTTACTTGTAGCTGTGATTCTCTACTTCATCATGGAATGATAAATGTTTTGTGTATAACTTAGACATTCAAGTCTTCATACTGTGTTTTCCTTTTCTTTTCTCTTCCCGTCATGAAATAAAACCCTGTGTTTTCCTATCTTTCCTTTCAACAACACCTCACAGCTGATGGGCATGCCGTATGTATTGAAAATGAGATTACAAATCAGCATGATTACATTGCAATTACCCAGGATAACGTGAGTTTTTTCCGCTTTCTTCACTCTTTTCCAATTCTCGTTCCTTTTTGTGCCACTCTTCAGTGAATCAGTAGTACTTCATTTTTTGTGGCATTTTAAGATCTAGATTTAAAATGCCATGAATTACACATGATGATGATGCATGAGTTTAAAGAGTGAAAATCATTGCATAGTTTGAATCCATTTTCATTGTAGTGCATTAAAGGTAAAGACCAGTTATGGTCATGCGATTGCATTGTGAAAGAAACGTTGTGGAATCGATCAGAAAAGGTTGATCATCTAGCATCTAGCATCTGCAAGGTTCTGGAATCATCAAAATGATAAGAAATTTGGCCCATTCTTCGTAAAGTTACAAGCACTATACACAGAAAGATGTATATGGGACTACCCTATATCTCTCACAGACCATGAGAGAAACAAATTTACCAAATATATGAATTACTAGGCGGTTTCCCGGCAAATTTTTTATCATCATGTATTAGTCAAAACATATTCTTTCACATGATTGGTAATGAGAGCTTCCATTTCATTTTTTGAAATTGGGGCGTTTCCAATACTGGTCTTTACCTTTAAGGGGTTCATAGAATAGACTATTTGGCTGTAAGTGAACATGAAGCCTACACATTGGCAATACATAGTATAGAGAATATAAATTCAATATATTTCCTGCATTAAATTTTGTTGTTGCTTTTTTTATAATTGTTCATACATAGCCATACAAATTCATTTAAGATTGCACTTTTAAAAAATGATATGATTATTACCAAATTGAGGAGGCAAAGTAATTCAGATCATTAGAAAATTCTGTTTCTATATGGGTCAAATTAATTTTTTGTTGTATCTTCAGATATTATTAGTAAAGCGATGTTAATGATAATGATAATAAAGAAAAAGAACAGCAGGAGTAAGGTTGAACATTAAACATATAAAAGAGAACAATTGATTACATTCCAAATAAAACTGATATGTTTTTAGATCATTTTTGAACACTTCAACGGATCTACTATTACGACTCTCTTCAGGGAGAGCATTTACATCAAAGATCCTGCATTAGCAAAGGTTCTCTCCCCCAGTCAGCTTTAATAGCAATAACAAGTAATCCATAGATTTGAGAGCTGATTAATCAAAGCGATAATCAAGTCATTGTTTTTATAGTTCTTTTAGCATCTTGTAGCCTGCATTAATTATTCAAATTATTTTGCATTTTATTTGAAATGTTGAGTAGTACATGTTCATTTTAGGTCATATCTCTGTATGAGTTTTGAGCACCTTTCATTTGAATTTCTCTTGTTTCTAGGGAGATGAAAAATGTTCGAAATATGGCGATGCCAGTTTTATGGTTTGAGCAGGTCAGTATATGTAAAAGAGCTCTATATCAATACAGATCAATTAATATTTTTTTAAACCAAGGATATAACTTGTAAATAAAATATTGAAGTTAGGGTGGAAAATCAATGTGTCAGCTTCTCCATGACCAGAAATATGAAAAGTATTGTTCTTATTAGATAAAATATAGGATTAGTTGTAATGTATATAACACTAAAGTTATCAAAACTTCTCTTCTTACTGAAGAAGAAAGTATAAACTACTTAGTTTTGCTGCAGCTTCGAATAGGATGTATACTGAAGGGGATATATCATTACATCATATTTGATTTTGATGTTTTTTACCAACAGCAATACAGTAATACATTTCATACAATGTGTTTACATATACAAGAAGAGAAACTATTGGTTGGTAAAAGGGGCCAGATAATAGCACATGTACTAGTAGAGCCTAACCCCAGCTAAACAAAGTATTTAGGTACAAATCAGTTTAGAAAACATAACATAACAAAATAATGAATTTCCTTTAAATTATAAGAATACCTTCATATAAAAGGGGCTATTTATTTATGCAATAAATTGAGATTATATCAAAGTCTATTTGAATTGAAATCTTTTCTTTGTTTGAAGTCTTGTAAAATCTAAATAAAAAGACGTTTTTCTATCTCTCCCCGCTTCAGAGTGTAGAAGCAGACGACAGAATAGTTGGGTACTACGAAACAGGGTTTGTCTTGACGGCGTACATTGCCTTGATTGTTAAGTGGATCATGTTTAGCATAGGTCTCCTCATGTGCGTGCTGACGGTCGTGTCTTGCGGAAAGCGACTTGCTCACCCTCCGGTTGGATCATCTGAAGAAAAGGTGAGATTTGTTTACCCTTGTATACAGTGAAACCTGCATAGAAAGACCACTGTGTATAGAGGCCACATTTGCCGTTCCTCTTGAATAGTGTTGCTTACCTGAAAGGAAATCCAGCCTTGATAGTAAACTACTCAAAAGGAAAAGCAGAAAAATCAGAGAAGCAGATTGGTGAAAGTTGGAATGAAATCAGACAAAAAATAAGGAACTTGTAATTCCTTTATGTTGTTGTTTCCCGTGAATAGTGTTACTTACTTGAAAGGAAATCCAGCCTTGATAGTTAACTTCTCTACTAAAGGAAAAGCAGAAAAATCAGAGAAGCAGATTAATGAAAGATGAAATGAAATTAGACAAAAAAATAAGGAAGTCGTAATTTCTTTACGTATGGGAAACTATAAATTGGCTAAATCGGCAGTGTCGCTGTGACATTGCGCCCGACACAATTCCCATTTGTTCCGACACACAAAATGAATAAAATGTATGACTTAGGAGGCTCTTTTCTTTTAAAAAAAACCTTCTTTAATATATGCTACCTACAATATATTTTAAAGACATGCCCCAAGGTAGAAGGCGCTTAAGAGAAAAAAAACCCAGAAATTTATGATAATTTTTGAACGCAACAAACAGGAGATTTGTCAGTGAATACATCATAATCCAGTGACCAATATGCGATTCGCATAGATTTAGTGATCTCATATTCCAAACACTCTTAATTTTTTTAAATTACTGGTCCCAGTTATTTCAAACCTTTAAATATTCTGTTTCTCTTATTATTTCGCTTTCATACAAATATAACTATTACAAATGTTGGATTGCCCTTTAAATCTACGTTTCTCTAACCGTAGATTATAGACCAACTGCCCGTACAGAGCACTTTTTGTGTCTCCAGCTTGCGATCTTGTAAACAGGTTTAAGTTGAACTCTAGTTGAAAAAAGGGCCTGCTGGTATTTGTATTTCCATATTAGTTTCAGTTTGATGTTGGAAAATTTCCAAAATTGCAAACAAAGAATGAAGTCATGTATAGATTATTTCCTTTATCATTTGATCTCTTGCGTATTATCGATCAAGAGGGTCAAATGTTTTCTTAAAATAACTTAATAGTTAGTATCGATATTGAAGCAGTTCTACAATAAATCACTTAGTGTGCCAAGGATCAAGTCACGTATACACTTCTTGCATCAGTATTTAGTCTTCTGCCAGGGTATTATTCAAGTTCATTATTAAGACTTTAACCTTCTGATAAGTAGCTCAGGCTAGTGGGTAAACATTTGTCAAGCAATCGTAATTCCATCCAGTCAAGGCTAGTAATACATTAAAATGATTTTATCAGTTATTTACCCAACACTTAGTCTAAGGTTGTTAAACATTAGTCGGTTAGTAGAAACATTGAAATATTCCTACCATTTGCCAAATCAGCAAACAAAGAATTAAGTCAGGTGCCTAATCCTTCCTTTATCAATTATAGCTTTTTTTTATTCAGAAGTGTCAATTATTTTCTTTCTTGGCACTTAGTGTTATGTTAATAAACATTAGTCAGTAAACATATTGAAACAGCCCTACCCTTTTCCTAATTAGCATACAAAGACTCAAGTCAGATCTAGAATCCTTCTTTATTATTCATAGCTTTCTGCCAGGGTATTATTTGAGTGTTTTATTTTGTTTATTTTGTTTGTTTTTTTATTCAGAAGTTTCAATCATTTTCTTTCTTGGCACTTAGTGTTATGTTAATAAACATTAGTCCGTAAACATACTGAAACAGCCCTACCATTTTCCTAATTAGCATACAAAGACTCAAGTCAGATCTAGAGTCCTTTCTTTATTATTTATAGATTGAATTTTTGTTTTCCTTCATTTTTTATTGATAAAAAGGGTCACATGTTACATGAATAAACTGTATTCAGTTTTGGATCTGGATGTTCCTAGTAGAATCTGTGGGTAGCCTTCTCTAATGCACTAGCAGACGTTGCATTCACAGTACTTACGCTCAGGTTGTTCCACTTGATAATTGATAAGATGAAGGGTGAGGGTGTGTGCATATGTGTGTGTGTCTTTCTCACGCACATGCACACACACACATACACATTTGATAACCAATTGGTAAATTTCTTTTTATGCCTCCGCCAATCGAAGGGTGGTGCAGCTAGGAGGCATTATGATTTCAGTCTGTCGGTACATCCGTCCGTACGTCCTGCTTTCTTGTTATTATGATATCTCAAGATCCACTTGAGATATGAACTTCAAACTTGATGATAGTATGTAATGCCATAGGAATACAATCTGATTATATTTTGGAGTAACTAGGTCAACGGTCATGTAGGTCAACTTATCAAATTCCAGGTATTCGCTTTGTTTTCGCAATATCTCAAGAACCCTTATAGATATGAAGCTCAAACTTGTTGATAATATGTATCACCACAGATAGATGATCTGATTTGATATTGAGTCAGTAGGTCAAAGGTCCAAGGTCACAGAGGTCAACCTTCTGAAATTCCAGCTATTGGCCTGGTTATCGCAAAATTTCTAGAATCACTAGAGATATGAGGCTCAAACAAGGTGATTGTATGTATCACCATAGGAAGCTCATCTGATCAGATTTTGGGTAAATAGGTCAAATGTCATAGAGATCAATTTCTAAGATATGAGCTTCAAATATGGTGACAGTATATGACCATGGGGAAGATGATCCCCCCAAAATCATCCAATTACATTTTGGAGCTAGCATGTTTTTAATGACCTATTTCGAAAATTGAAAGGTCATTTAAGAGTATGAATTTCATATTTGAAAATGAAACGTTACCAAATAACTAATGTAACTTTATCATTTACAATTGATTCCAACTACTCATGTATGTGTAGCATCACACGAGGGAGACAATTTGAACATGGATGGTAAGATGCAATTTCATGACAGATTATCACTCTAACAGGTCAATACAACATGCTGTACATCCAAAACCTCATGCATTCTTTATCCACGAAAGCATGCAAGCATCTTGATTAAAATTAGCCTCATCTGTAGAAAGTACTACAACATGTGGTTTGCATGCATGATATGGGCAATGCAGAAGTTGTTAACAAGAATGGTGGTATGGGAAACTGATTTATTTATTGAATTCAAATTCAAATTAAATTTTACATCAAATATAGTCATTGTTTAAAGTATAGGGTCAAAGGCACCTATCACCCCCCCCCCCCCAAAAAAAAAAGAACAAAAATTTTTTTTATTATGTCTTTGTTTTAGGGGTCACACATACATGTACATAGACATGATGTGAACTTTTCTTCAATTTCATTGTCTTCCTCAACCTACAATCAATAGAATGTCAGTTTAATTTTTTAATAATTTTTTTAAATACTTTCCAGCTGTACAAAAATTACGTTTTGAATTGATTCATTTTTAGGTACAAATATCAGACAGGGGTCACAAAGACATATAATATAGGGGGAAAAAATAATAATGTAGATTGCATCCAAGTGATCTTTATTATTTGTTTTCACTTTTTATATCTGAAATCTAAAAGAAAAAAAAATTGCAGTGTTGTAGGGGTGATACTGTCTCGCTATTAATCAGCTCAATTACAGAATATGACCGATGACCGATATGAACGATTTTTATTTTTACATAGCGAACTGAAGCTTTCATGGGCCCTAACAATGCATGGTCTGTTTATCATGTCATTTGCCATTTTATGCATGGTAATTAATCTTTTGTTTGGTTATGTTTATGTTTCGTTTTTCTTACCTTCTAAAATGCAAACATACTAACTGTACTATTTAACTTTTTGAATACATTTTTAAAAGTCAGCAAGATTATTGAGAAAGTGATCATCATTAAAATCAATATATAAAACATTGGAAAAATAATAATTACAATTATAAACTAATGCATTTCATTAACATAGTTATCTCCAAAAAGTTTCCTTTAGTAGAATATCATTATGTAAATACACGCATGAGCTGAGGTTGGGTCGTGAGCCCAATTCTCCACCCTTACGGGCTGATATGAAAGAGTGATTTATCAAGGTTTAGTTTGTTTTTACCTGACTGCTATTAAAGAATGCATGTATATATGTTATCAGGGGACCAAGGGCTTTATTAAAGTCCTCTCTGAGGGACTTGGTTAATAAGAATCAATTCCTTACCAATGGGCACTAGCGCTTTGATTTGGTTTTGAACCTGGGCCTTCCTTGTTAGGAGACCGCTGCTCTACCACTGAGCCATTGCGCCTCCATCCAGTTTGAATCTAGCATGTACAATTTTTTGATGTCGTCCATCAACACATTTTACCAAAGTAGTACTGTTACTTTCATAGACATTAATTTCTTATATCTTTTAAAAAAATTATCTATATGTGTTGCTTGGGGGTAAAAATAAAAAAATAGTTTTTAAACATAAATAATGTGAATTTAAAACTTGTTTATCACTGAGGTCAAATTTATTTGGAGTATTAAAGTCTTATGACATCTCTTCAATACTTTTCTTAAAATGAAACTTTGAATTTGTACTTAAATTTCTGACAAAATGAGGCTATATAAACTGTACCACAACTGCCATTTCCTAATGAAATTTTGGGTAGGAACGTTTAGAGCACCAGAAATCAAGGACAGATCTACTGTGAATGAAAATCATGATAGTGTATTCAAATATTGGTTATGTCATACTGTCAATAAGACATCAAAAATAGGAGACAAAAATCAGTTCATCACATAAAGAAGTTTGTCATCAGTAGATTACAAAAGTGGGCGCTGTCAGCCTTAATCTTAAAGTCAATATATGCCAGGCTACGAATTACACAATTTCAAACGGAATCGCATTTTTATGCTTCTGTTTACAAAATTGCAGGAGGCATTATGTTTTCGGGTTGAACGCCCCGTTCTCGTGATCGCGTTATCTCAACAACTGATTGATGGATTCCTGCCAAACTTGGGTCATGTATGTATCTTGCAGAGCTAATGAACTGCCTAGATTTCATGAGGTCAATATTCACAGGGCTCATTATGTA